TACGAAATTATCACATCATGGAGAATGGCGTATCCATCCCCTCAAGCATTTATCCTTTGTGTTTTCAATTTTCGGTTTCAGGTATTTTTAGTTTTTTTTTTCATTTCGTATAAGTTTTCTGTACACTTTTAATATTAATAATTTTTAATATATTATTTTATTGATTTTAAGTTTTTTAATTTTTGTTCTAAATTTTCTTGTTTTTAACTTTTTTGGAATTTAAAAGAATTTTACATTAATCAACTTTAAAAAACTTAATTCTTTTTAGTTTTTTATGATGTATAGATATATTTTTTTAAAAAATATTTATAATTTTATGGATTTATAAATATCTCAAATATTTGTTTTTGTGATCAATTTTTAATTTATATTTTTTATATTTTTCATAAGTCATTCTGTGTTTTATATTTTTGACTTTTTATATAATTAAAATTTTAGATATTATTATAATATAGATTATTCTATAAGTTATTATTTTAAATATCTCTTTTATAAATGTTCTTTTAGGAATGATAACGATTATATAAATATTTATGCATTCATTTGAACTTTTTTTGGAATTAAAAGTATACATTTTAAAATAAGTAAAATTAGAAGTAAAGTATATAATAATAGTTAATTTTAGAATATGCATTATAGTTTTATTTATGTTCAAATATTTCTAGAGTAGTATGGGGTAAATCAGGAGTAAATATGGATAACGCAAAAACGAATAGAAAATATAAACATGGCTAGTAAGAAAACGGCTTAGTGAAAAATATAGGTTAATTATATAAAGAAAATAGTTTTTTAAAAAAATTCAATTTAAATTAACACAGTTGACACAGAAGAGACTATTTTTAATTTATTTTGCAGTTCTTATCATTTTACTTGCTTATTTATTAAACATATATGCTTTCTTCTAAAATTTTACGTATACATTTCTTAAACGTTCATTAAGAAGTATTTTTTATTAGCGTAAATATAATTTTTTTAATTAAAATTAAAAATAAGTTTTAATTTAAAAATTTTTTACTTGAAATGATCTAAAATTTTATTGAATTAATATTTTTAGAAAATAAAAATTCAGAAAAAATAAAAAATGTTTAAAACATATTTTTTAATACAACATACTTTATAATACATTTTATGTAAATAATGAGAGCAAATATAAAAATCTCTATTTACTATAAATATATAATTTGTTTTTAAAGACTTTTTTAAAAACTAATATTGAATAACTGGTTTAATACAAAAATATTAAAAATAGAATTTTATTTTCATTATCTATTTTTTAAATTATACTTATAACAAAAACCAATACTCTACATGATTCAATGATGATGTCTTATGATTTGACCCGGTTCCTAATAATTAAATTTTAGTTCTACTGTTTTATTTTCCATAGTTATTTAGCTTTTAATATTGTTTATATCTTATTAATATATTCGTAAAAAATAATAACTTTTATAATAACATTATTATCAAAATCGAAATCATATTAAGTTGAAAAGTAATAACCCAAATTACATTTTGTTTAGAAGATATAATTTATGAGTCAAAGATAAAACTAGTTTGATTTTAACATCAAGCCGACTCACTAAGCTTAGAATCTTTAGGTTTACCATAGTTATCCTTAAATTTAAGTACTTTGTCTTTCAGGTTTTTTAAAAATAGTGTTTTAGTACAGAACATGAACATTTAACTTTTTTTGAATTGTGTTCTATTAATTTACATTTTTTTAGCTCTTTAATTTTCACTATTTAGAAATTTATTTTTAGTTTAAAAGTTTTTGAAAAGCAAATGTTTTCAGATGTAAATCTTCTAAAAGTTCTGCTTTTTTGGATGTATAAATAATACAAATAATCTGTCATTTTTTTCTTGCTTTCTAGATTTTTCTATTAGTTTTGTTTGAAATTTTATAAACTATATTTTATTTTGTGATGTAATATTCCTCATATCCCACTACAAAATACTTTACTTATTAGCCCTTTAAATTCTTTTTTACAGTATAGCACGTTTACATTCCTGTATTCTTTATCAGAAGGATGATAACTCTTAAAATATAAACAATATGCTTGCAATTTTATAAACTTTAACAAGAAATCTCTTTAGTTTATTTCAAATAATCGTATTTCTTTTCCCAGAAACCAGTCTATAAATTCTTAGAGATAATTTGAATAGTATCTAACTCTTTTTCTAATCTTTTGCATTTTTTGACTTCATTTTTATCGGAATTATTTCCAGTACATAGATCTATTGTAATTTTATGTTTTTAAGGGTCTTTATATTTTTCTTTTTTATTTTGAGCTTTGAGAGCAAGATTCTAGATTAAAAATTTTAGTGAATATTTACATTTTTTAGCGGTAATTTTTAAATAAGGATTTTTTTTGTTGCAATCTCTGGTTTTATAAGATCGAAATTAGAATATGGTTTTGTGTAGACAACGCTTTTTCTTTTATAATTATTTATAAACTTACAATTTGGTGTATCAGTGTTTTTAGAGTTTGACTCGTAAAGGTATTATTTTTCAAACAATATGATATATGTTTTTTCGTCCAAGTTTCTAAATTGTTTACCATTTTTTGTTTCAAGGGAATTTTACTTACATTGTGCTTTATTTATGAAATCAACATGTTTTCGCTGGTAAAAACATGGTCCTATTAATTTGTTATTTTTTGTATGATTTTAAATAAATGTTTGATTTTTTATCAGATATTTTATATTTTCTAAAGTTTTTAAAATACCTCCTTAAAAGAACTTTTTTTATGTTATAGTGTTCATTCTGATAATATACATTTATCATACGACCACTATTTCTTTTATCTAAATTAAAACAAAGATTCCTATTAACCATATAATAATATTCATTACTTTTAATTCAGATATTTTTATTTCTTTATTCTGTACTATATTATTTGCTCCATCTTCATTTTCAAATTCTTCTGCTTGTGTTTTTTTTTCTCTTATGCATGGTGCTGGCTCGCATTCTTTTGCTGATACTGTTGATACTATTATTGATGATATAGTTGTTTCCGTAAATATCGATTCAGTTGTCATCCAGTTGATTTTTGTATGAATTTTTGTATAGGATGTGCATTTCTCATTCATTGTTTTTGTCATATTAGTTGTTATATGGGCCTTTATAGTCGTTGAATCTGTAATTGTTATTGTTGATGTAGACGTAGATGCAGATGCAAATGTTAGAGAAATTGCTTTAGGTAACAGAAACTCCCTACAGAATTTGCGTATTTTGTCACATAAATCTTTAAAAGTAGGACAATCGTTTTCAAAAGAGCATTCTACAATAAAATGATCACAACTAGCTTTAGCTTCCAAATATAAGTCTACAAGTAAAGACATTAAACTATATGCTAATCCATAATGCATTGATGTTTGCATATCCAGGATATTTTCATTGAATAGATGCTTGATGTGGGTTACAATATTGCTACGTATATTAAGATGATGATTTTGTTTTCTGTTTCTTGTTGGGGGAATTCCTAAAAATAAACCTGAACCATTAACAGCTTTTTCTGTCAATTTTTTAGTTTCTTTGAATTCATCTAGTTTATCTTTTAAGTCTTTAGCTGCTTTATTCAGTTTAGTTGAATATGTAATGCAGATTTTTTCTATCCAAGTAATGAACTTATTACAAGTTTTTTCCCTTATTTCATTCTTGTTATATTTCTGACATAAGTTTTTAAGAGTTTCGTTTGATTGTGTCAACTTTGTGCAATAGTTATTTAACTGCTGAACACATGCATTTTTTTGTATTAAGGAGCTATTCATATTATATACGAGGGCTTTCAATAAGGATTCTTTCTCACGAACCACTCTGCAATTTTCTTTGAGCTTTGAACAAAGTCTGTTTAAGTCATTGTTGCCTTGTTTTGGCATGTGAAGACAATTTTTTATAAGCATATCACAGTATTTTTCCCAAAGAAAACAAATATTATCGTTTTCTTCATTATTCGACTGTTCAATAACTTTATAGTTTTTCATATTTTGTTGGAGTGCAGAACAATGATTCTTTATATCTTCAACTATTATAACACATGTTTTATAGTGTGCTACACATGTAAGAGTAAACATATTTGTTTTCCTTTTAAGCCATTGAGGGCACTTCACATTCAAATATGTTGTACATTTATTAACATTTACCAGAATATCACTATTTTTACTTAATAAAATCTTTTTTAGTTCTTTTGTATTCCTTAAATGAGCACAATGCATTTCTAGTGTATTACAAGGAGCATTAAGTTCATTAAAATCTTTTGTTAGATCTTTGCATTTTTTTTCTAAAATGATACAATTATTTTCTCGTGGATAATCTCTTGTTTTATCTAAAATATGTTGTAAATCGAGACTTTTCTTTTTAACATCTTCTGCAAGTGCTTTGCATGTTTCTTTTGGTCTTAGACACATTGAGAGTATATCTATACTGTTGTATCTAACTGCTTGACAGTTTTTCACTAATTTAGCTGCACATTCCTTAAGTCTGTTTGAAGTTAAATTGTGAAGCAAACCAAACAGTCCCTCTTCTAATACTTCGTATGCTGATTTGTAGAATGCTAACTTAGAACATGCTCGTCTTAGATTATTACACGCATCAAAAATAATATCATCGCAAAATGGATCTAGATAATTGCACTTTTGGATAAGGGCTACACACTCTTCTTCTGAAATTGTTTCTGATGTTTCATTCGAAGAGTAGGTTAAGGGTATAGATTGAACATCAACGGTTATGGAGGTGAAGTTTTTCTTATAGAGGTCTAAGCTGAGAGTGTTGCATTCATCTTGTAGCTCATTTATTAATTGTTTGCATGTTTCGTCTTTGTTTTTTGTACTGCATAGAGCTGTTAATTCTTTTGTTAAGTATCCAAAAGAAGAACATTCCCTTAAATAAGCAACACATCTTTGAGTATTATTGTATCTTATTGATTCAAGGTATCCATCATAATAATTTGTAAACACTAAAAAACGAGAAAGATCTGTTAATAAAGACTTTTTCAAAAAAATACCATAATTTAATGCATCTACATAAAGCTGCTCAAGACCTATTTTCTCTTGTAGTGTAAGCGAAAATTCTATTGGGTTAAAAGAAAAACGGTGAGGGAAGAAAGGAAAGAGAGGGTACTCTATATTTTTTTGTTTGCATTGTTCTTTAATATTCTTACATCTCTGTATACCTTCTTCACAGATTGATGAGAGAAGATAGCATTTCTCAAAAAGAGAGTAACAGGTTTTTTCTATTGAAGTAGCTCCATATATACTTTGAAAATTTTTAAGAGTTTGGCAGTCATTAGCCGCCCTTGTAACAAGAATCTCACATGTTTGTTCTTGAAGGAAACAATGTGATAGTAAATAATAACTTTCAGTACTTAGTTTTAAGCAAAGTTCTTTAATCATGATTTCACATGTATTTCTGCCTTTTAAATTTCTACCAAAAGCCCTTATAAGAATTTCATATGCTATTTCTTTACTTCTTCTTCTATAACATTGGTCAGCTATACCATTACATGTAGCTAAAAAACTAGGAAAATCTTGGAAAAAAATAGATTGAGAATGCGCATAATTACAATAAGTTTGATATAAATCGGTATTTCCATCTACAAGTTCTGCATAAATATATAGAAGAGAATTTTCGGTATTATATATGAAAGTATCAATTTGAGTTTTAAGATTTTTGCATTTCTGTTTTGCATTTTTACAAAGTCCTTCTAATGTAGGATGCACGTTCTTTGGCTCCAAGGTCATACTTTTTAAATTGTTGCAGTACTTTTGTAGTTTTTCTTCACATTGAGACTCTATTGCGTCTTTTCCTAGAATTAAAGTTATAATTTTTTCTTCACTGCATAAAAATGTTAATTTTGTATGTTCTGTTGTCGCTTAAAAATTTTTATACCTTAATGAATTTAATGATAAATCGAATGATAAGTCTAATGAATTCTGTGATAGATTTTGTGATGGATTTTGTGATGGATTTTGTGATGGATCTGAGTCAGATCTCTTATGAATAAATTCTAAAAAAAGTTAAAAATCTGAAAAAATAAAATATAATACCAATGTTTCTTGAGAAAGCATACACTATACCAAGAAAGCTGGCTAATGCAAATGCTTTCATCTATAATGATAACAAATAATAATTTTTATAAAAAGTGTTTCATATTTGAGATCGAAAAATACCATTCTCATTAAAAAACTGTAAACGATGATATATTAAAAATCGATAAATCGATATACAATAAATAGACAGATAAGTATTGTTTTGTATTATATTTTGTATTATATTTGTATTTACATGTTTTATTTTTCATCTAGTTTTTACTTTTAAATTTATAAATTTTTATAAAAAAATATTCTTAAAATATAGTAAATGTTATAAATGATATAATTTTATTAGCAATCTTTTCTATGATTTCTATTTTCTAATACTTTTTTACTACTATTCTTATCTTTTATTGTATTTCTATAAATATGAATATTATTGTTTTGATTTTTTGCTTTAATTCTATTTTTTAAATCTATTTTAATTAGAACTCTATAAAACTTTTTTTGGAAATGTAATTAAAATTTTCAGTATTTATTTTTTATTTATTTTTTACCTTTGGTTCTATGGAGTCAAAATGTAAACTTTAAGTTATCTATATGACATTTTCTTGTGTTTTTCAGGCTTCTTATTGATTTTCGCTATTCTAGAGTAATTTAAATTGTAAAAATACTCTTTAAATAATAATTATTATTGTCTTTAAAATTCATTTGTATTTTTGTATATTTTAATTTTTGATTTCAAGATTTTTATTTTTTTTATTTTATAAATTTTTTTGTATACTTTTTTCGTTTTTAGTAGAGATTTTTAAAGTTTTATAATATTTAAGTCTTTTTTTTTTTGTATTATTCGCTTTTTTTAAAAAAATTAAATGATTTTTTTTAAGATTATATCTTTATATTTGTTTCTTAGTGGTTTGTGCTATTGTCTGAGATAAATTCTAAAAGATATTAAAGAAGAATGTGTCAGTGGATTTTCAAGTGATATTATGCTGTTATCTGGTTTGTTATTAAAATATTAAGAAATATTCTTGATTAATTGTAAAATATAAAGCTTCTATTAAATCATTTATTTCATATCGTTACTGATAAGGATTTTGATAATAACTAATAGAGATAACTAAAATATAAAAACGAAGTGGGTTATGTAATATATGATTTTAAGTTAATTTTTAGATAAATATAATGTAATAAATAAGATTAAGATAATTATATGTTATAGTAATGATTAAATTTATAATGTTAACTTATATAAAAAACATTACTATTAAAAATATATTTGTCTTTTGTAGAATATAAATGATTGAAGAATAAAATAACCCCAAATACTAAATGATTTTCCAAAAATAAGGAAAAATAAAACTCAATATAAAACTTAGTCCTCAAATATCTGTTAGTAATAGCAGCAAACTCTATATGTAGTCGTAGAATGTAGGCATAAATAGATCATATATGTATTCGATTCTTTTAATTTTTTGTACTTTTTAGCTAATTGTGATTTACATGTATATGTATCAAAAGTTCCCATTTTATAACCGTCTTTATTTGGAGTGCCTATTAGAAAGTAAAGAACTGAATTCACATATGTTTTTCTATAACATGATAGTTTAAGTCTATCGTATCCATTACAAAGTGTTTGATTTCTAAAATTGCTATAAAAATAACATTCAGCTAGAGTATTTATACAATAATCTTTATAAACATAATTATAAAATGTATTTAATGGTGTAGAAATAGTATTATCAATGAGGAATGAGTATTTATAAAGGGATTTTTGGAGAATATTAGGATGACTATAGTAAGTAGCGCCCACTTTAATTCTATATTTTGAACAAACGGTATTTCTTAAGCTATTTAAATGTTTATTTGTACAAAAAGGAGTTAGATGCGAATTAGTGGTATAAAATATACAATTACTTAGAACCAACCCGCATAACTCAGTAGTTGCCTTGAGTTATGCATCAGAAATCAAGAGACTTATAGAAGAATCATGATGATTTTTTGTATTTAATGAAGGTGTTCCAATAAGAACACCATACTCTAGGTATATATCTTCAAACATATTTTTTATTATAACATCATCTACAGATAAAACAGTGTCCATAAATGATTTGAATAAATAGTTATTGATTATACAAGCGGCTTTGGGTTGTTTGAAAAAAGTTTGTGTGTTATGATGGTAATTTCGTGAATAGTAAGAGCATTCAACAGTAACATAATATGTTTTTTTCTGATATATTGTCTAGATCTAGTACATTTTGGGCCTTTTTATATAAAAAGTGAATTTCTGTTGTCTTATTTTCATAAGGTGTCTGTATGTATACGGCCAGCTTGTGCAGAGATGCTTCAATTCTTGATTTAAACTAGATAATTTGTAGCATACTTACTCCAGTATATTTCTACATTGTCTAAGGGTTTGTATATCACTTTGAGGTGTTCTTAAAAAGACAGAAATAGATGTATCCCTGCATATCTTATCAATGCAAATAAGTGTTAGCTTGTTACAAACAGAAACAAGGATGATAAAAGGCTTTAAGAAAAGGGTACATCAATATAATATTTATATTCTGCATGAAAGAAGTATGTTAAACCAGATATTCTTAAATACATTTCTTGAGCTTTTGCGACAATTTCTTTGGGAAGTTTATTACACTCAGAATTATCGGATTCTTTAGTATAAATAGTATTTAGCCAAAGATCTATAGTATTTAAATTATTGTATATATTTTTTAATTCAGTACATAATGAATGATGTGAAAATGAACAACCAAATAAATAAAGTGCCAAGTACTATATATAAATTCAATCAATATCATATGTTTAACGACATTTAAGGACTTTTATACCTTAACTCACCTGTAAAACTTGGTTTTTTAGAACGAGTTTAAAAAGTTAAAAAATTATAAAAAAAAGAAAACTTCAAGTATTAAAATTTCTTGAAAAAATAGGTATTATGCAAAAAATAATAACAAATACAAAATCCTTCACAGGTCGAATGAAAATCAAAACATGTTTTTGATTAACGATAAGTAGTATGAAATTCTTGATATAAAAAAAATATATGTGAATATTTTGGTTTTTAAAAAAATAATATTGAGGTTATAATAAACAAGTAATATTCAGTTAATTATAAATATTATCCTATTATCATAGATAATATATTGCTTTTTCTTGTTAAATTTCTATAAAAAATTAGTTTTTTCAAAAGCGGATAGATCAAAAACATCAAATCAAACTATTTAAACTATTTAAATAATATTTTATAATTCATATATTTTAAATTTAATTTATGTTTATTTATGTAACAATATTTCTGTTTTTCTTTATATTTTAATCTCATATTTAACTGAAAAAATATTTAATTTCGAACAAAACTTTAAGATTTATCTAAGATATTATCAGACTTTAGCTTAATATTAAATATATAATTTTATACTTAAATTGGAATAGATATTATCTATTTATGATTATGCAATTCGTATGTTTATTGTTATATATGTTAATATATTTAGTACATATTATGTTTATTACGTTCTTATTATTGAAATTTAAATTCTGTATGCATAATATGTTCATAGCTATTACCCTTAATTAATTTTATCTATAGTTTTGATTATTGTTTCTTTTAGATCCATTTTAAATGTAGTGGTATATGTAAATGCATTTTTTATAGATGTAATACAATTTAATATTTAATGGTTATTTTTCTTTGTGAATTCCTTTTGATATTTATAGTTTTTGAATATTCTTTTTTAATACTTTTGTTTCTCCTAATTTTTTTGAATTTTTGTAGTATTTTTTATTATTTTTTGTTACTATTGGATTTTATTGGATTTTTTTTAGTTCTTTAAATACATTTTCATTTTGGTTTATATTTCTTTTGTTTTTTTGGGATATCAACTCCTTTTAAATCTGCTTAATTATGGTACTTTTCCTTTTCGTAGTTTTAGAGCTAAGTATTTTTGATACCATTAAATCCTAAGTTTTTACGAAACTTTATATTTTTAAAATTCTTAAAGCTTTTAAGTACCGAAAAAACTAAAATGTTCAGATGTTTACTTTAAGGTTGTTAACTGTTATCTTGTACAGACTATGGGTATATTAATAATTCTTTAGGTCCATAGTATCTTTTAAAACTTCATTTCTTCTGAATTTTTAGAATTTTTAAAAGCATATATATTTTCTGAATCTCTTTAACTATAGTTATGATATTTTTTTATATCATAAAAATTATAATTTAAAGAATAATGCTTATTTTTAACTCTAAATCTTTATCTATTTAAGATTGCTATTTGCTTATTTTCTGTCGGTATTTCCCTTTGTTTTTATATTGAAATAAATTTAATACTATTATTGGTGTTAGTATTTATTTGTGATTATATTTGGAGTTATGAAACTTCTTTTGTAATCATTGTAGATGAAATAAACAATGATATTGATGCTTAATTACTTAGTTTTCATTGCCAATTATAATTACTATCTACTATTTAATACTAATAGGATAATATCGGCATTTTTCATGGTTTTTTATCTCTTTTTTAAAATCTTAAAAAGCTTATTTTTTTAGCTTATCCGTTAAATCCAAGAGTATTAATAATACTATATACTGTTTCGTAATGTATTTGAGAAATTTGTTGTTGAGTTTGATTTTGAGATTTATATTATTTTTAGTAATACTATTTTTCCACAAAATATGAAATATATTACTGAAATTTATATAGTAGTCTTTTAAATTTGAATTATTTAAATTATTTATGCTTCTTTTTAACTTTTAAGTTATGACTATAGTCAAAAGTTCTATTTTAATATGCATTTTTTTCGAGTTTTTTAGGATCTATATCCTAATCAGTGCTCCCTACAAAATAGATGTAATTTAGTACAAACTTATAGTAATATAACTTTAAAAGAAAATACAATACTTACAATTCTATTAATATTTTTAAAGGAATTGCTCATTTTTAAAGTTTTTGCTAGTTCTGAATATTTTGTCTTAATTTTTTACATTTACTATTATTTTGTAAATTATTTTGTAGAGAATGTTGTAGATAATACTTGTTTAATTTTCAGTATCTGTCTACTAATTTTTAGTATTTTTTACGTTCATTTAACAATATTAAGCTGAAGAATAGCTAACAATTTATTTTTTAATAATTTGTTGGTTGGTGTTTTTAATGTAGAATATATCTTTAGATTTTTGAATGTTTTAAGATTTTTTAAATACTTAATTGCATCATTTCCATTATTTATCTTAGAGGACTGTTTTTGATGGTTTTTTTTTTTTGAAAATTGTTATTTTTTTCATATTTAAATATTTAGATTATTACAATGTTTTTCTATTTTATTTTTCGTCATGTTAAATATTTCATTGATTTTTTAAATTTTTTGACTTAAAATATTCATATTTTTATCAAATTTTTTCTATTGATAGTGCTGGTAAAAATATCTTAAGTTTAGAATGTTAATTTTTAATTACGTTTTTAATGCAGTGTTTTACAGGATACTTTCTGGTGTCTCTTAAAAATTTTGCAAAGTTTATTTTTTGTTCAATTATAATAAATAGTTTATTCGAAAGATAATTTTTATAATGTCCATGTTGTTTATTTTTCTTCTAAATTTATTCTTAGATTTTTAATATGTATTTTCAAGCAAATTACTAATTTTTGTTTTAAAAGTAGTATACTTTGTTTTAGTTATTTTTAAAAATTTTTAGATATTTTTTTATATAAATATATTTTTTCATTTACTTATTTTCTTTGTTTAACTTGAAGAAAATGCCTTCTAATTTTGACTAATATTTATTTTGATTAATTTTTTAGTTATGTTTAAGAGAATTTTCATAATATTAATGTACTTTTTTAATAATATTTATTTTATAAAATACTTGAGTCCTTTTAAAAATTTAGAGATACTTTAAAAATATGTATTATTTATTTTTCGTACACTACCAATTTTACGAATATTTTAATATTATCTTTAAATTGGTAATTTTTCTTTAATATTTATTCTTTAAACTTTTATATTATACTTTTATTGTTATTGTTTGTATAAAGTTTCGTGTTTTTTTCATTCTTGTCTTAATTATCTATATGATATTATTGATATAGAATCTTAAATGATTCTATTTTTGCTTAATTATAATTTAGAAGAATATAAAGGATTTAGTTGAATTAGATGTATTTTAGAAATAATCATTAACTTTTTTGTATTGTTTGTAATAATGTTTTCTTTGGTTTCTAATCTTATTTGTAAAAAGTATTAAAAAACTGTCTTTAAAAGCATAGTCTTTAGTTGTATTTTAAAGCATCTTTGAGATATAAAATAAGTTTTGATTTGTTTATTTATGTAACATACTTTTATAAATTCAATGGTTTTCATAATTTTTAATAATAGGTTTATTTATAAATTATAGAAAAACAATTACTGTTTTTTAAATATATTGTTTTAAATAGTATTTTTTAAAAAAAAGGTTAAGGATTTTGTTTTTTATATTTTAATTATAATATATAAAAGCTTATCATTACCCAATCAGAAATTCTTACATTTATTTTTTAGCTTATTACAATTTTTTATGGATATTGTTTATTGCTTTATATTTCAGATTAAAAGTATTATGCTATTTTTATTTTGAAAATCTATAGAAATTTAATAACTTTATTATTAATTTATTGTGTAAATTTATTGTGTAAACTTGCTTTTTAGTTATGTAATTGTATAATTAGTTTAGTATGTAATTGCTCATTCATATATTTTTCTAAAATCATGTAATATATTAATTTTAGGTTTAAGTAATAATAGTGTATATAATCCAAATGTTATTGCAAAATTATATGAAATTAAATTTATAGTTTCTGTAAATATTTGGCAAATCGTGAAAACTCATAATTATAATTTATAGTAGTTTTTATTTTGAATTTTTATTTTAAAAGTATTGTGTTTTTGTCTCAATAATGTTTAATTTTTTGTATTTATTTTTCTTTTATATTCTTTTTTGTAATATAAGCCTTTTAAGATTATTTAACGGATAAAATATTAACAATTTTATCTTAATTGTTTTTTTCATTTGTTTTTTAGAGTTCTTTTTTTACAAATATGGATTTATATGAGACATTGATAGAATATTAAATACTTTTTTTGATTAAATTTATTAGTAGTAACGCTATGGAATATTAATTTTTTAAAAAGTTTTTTGAAATATATTTATTCTAATGGATTGCTTTCTATTAGATTAAAAGAATATTCTGGATATATATTATGTTTCTTCTTTTGTATTTTTTATAAATTTGCTATGATTAAGATTATTATTCTAATTTAGTATGAAAAAGTTATGTTTTTTTAGAGTGTAAAAAATATTTTTTATTTTTCAAGTTCTTATGAATATTTTTAATATTTTTTGAGTTTTATATTTTTTGATTTAATACAATTATAGATATAAATGAAATTGAAATTAAAATGTCTAGGTATGAATATGCTAGTTTTTGTATTAAATTTTAGATGTTTTTTGAAGATTTTATTAAGTATTTTTTTTTTAAAATATTTTTTTTCAATAATCAAAAAAGCTTTATTTGTTAAACTATTATATTTTTTGGTACAATTTGTTTAAATTATATTATTTGTTTAAATTATATTATTTGTTTAAAAGCATGTGATACTTTTATAAAAGTGTATATTTTTGTTTATAATTTTTGTATTTATTATATTTATTATATATAATTTATATAATTTACGTTTGATTCTTTGAGCAAACATTTTTAATGATTCAATAGTTTTTTACCTCTGAACGATTTTAACTTTTGAATTTATACATGTTTTCGGTGCTTTGTTATTTCCTAATTTGTTTTAGTATTTATTCAGAGTTATTTTCGTTGACTTATAATTTTTTAATACTTGAGTGTAATAAAATAAATAATTATTATATTGATAGGAAAAGTTTTATCTTTTCAATAATTCTTGCTTTTAATTTTTAAGATATTTTTTGTTAATATTATTTTTTAATTTTTTCTTTTTATAAAAAAATTATAAATATAAAAAATATATATTTTATTTTTTAAAAAATATGTTTAAAATTTTAATAATAAAATTTTATATGTAGGATTCTTTTAGTTATTTACAAAACAAGTAAATAATTTTTATTTTTTGGAGAGATAGATGTATGTTTTTAAGAGTATTTTTAGCTACCTAGTACTAGTATAATAATAGTTTTGGATGCAGTTTCTAACAAAAATATTATTTAAATATGTTTTAAGAAAAAGTTTAAATAGTAGTATTTGTTCTTGCAAAATAGTAATTAGATTTTTAAAATTAGAAATGTTATGTTTCCATTTTTGTATTTTTTAGATTTCTTGAGATCTATTTATGATTTTTAGACAGCCTTGTTTATGAAGTAAAGAGATATTTGAGTAATATATTTTATATTTTTTTTAAAAAATTACACTAGTGAATAAACTATTAATATATGTTTTAATTGCAGTTTTTTTGAAATTTTTTATATGATTTAAAAATATGTGATTAAAAATATTTAAAATGCAAATTTATATTTTTTATATTTTATTATGAAGAAAATATATTCTATCTTTTTATAAGATTTGATATTATTTAAAAATCTTTACTTTTGAATTTTATTTTTCTAGCATTCAGAGATTTTTATAGACACTGAACAATAAGAATATGTATTTTAATTTTAAATTAATTTTTTTTATCTAGCTTAATATTTATCTAGTTTTTCTTTATTTTTAATATTTCTTCCAGAAAAATAACATACTTTTATTATAGAAATTTGGTGAAAATAATTTGGTGAAAATAAAAATGAAATGATTTGTTTATATTCTTTAAGTTTAAAAATGATTCTTTATGAGTATTTTTTAAAAAAATTAAAAAAATATAGGAAAAGAATAATTTAGATTATTAATACTTAAGAAAATGAGCTAGAAAAAGTGAGAAAAGACAGAAGCTTTCATTCATTAAACTACAAAAATCCATATAGTTTCTTTTTCACAAATACTTTTTTTATAAAAACTTTTTAAAAAGAAATGATTTTCTAAGAAACTAAAGTGATATACTCAAAAATCGAATGTTTGAAATTAATATATTGAAATTGTAAAATATTGTATATTAAATAAATGCTATTTCCATTAGTATTGATTATTTTAATTTTTTTAATAAATTTATAGTTTTTTATAAACTATGTAAAATAATAAATGGATCATATATCTTTTAAAATAATGTTATTTTCTAATGCATTGTTTTTGATTAATACTCTCCATTTTTCGTCACGAATTTTTAATTCAATAGAATTAGATTTCAAATTATCTAGAATGACCGTATTACATGGCATTTGATCTATAAGAATAGGTGTATTTCCACCTAGTTGAAATTTCCACGGTAATGTTTCTAAATTACTATTTAGTTAATGTTAATAAATTTATTTTATATACGAAATTCAAGAATGATATTAGAATTTTTCAAGTTAATTTTATATTTTTTTATTGTAAGAGTTGATGGCCATGAACTATAATGTTTTTGTAAAAGTTTTTTAGAAATATCCTATGATTAATTATTTTAAATACTAAATAACATGATTAGATATACAATTATCGCTCCTCTGCATGAATTATTAGAAATATAATAAATATATTATTTTCAGAATTCAAACATACAATATTTCTTTAGTTTCATTACAAATATGCTTATCTTGATGAAAGCATGTTTTTATTGATGAATAAATAGCAAGTTGCGTGAGCGAAGGTGATAAGGAAGATGTAGTTAATAAAAGAAGATGTGTTGAAAGAAGTTGCATGATTTTGTAAAAAAACTCAATAATAAATTGGACGAATTAAAATTTTTAAAAATTATTTTCCGGATTTCGGTGAGGTTATTTAAAATATGAAATTAATTTTTAAAAAGTATTATAAAATAATATTATAATTCTACGCTTTTTGATATGAATTAGATTTTCATATATTTATATATTTCACTTAGTTTTATGATTCCTTAAATTTCAGCATTTTCGTTTGTTGGTATACCTAAAGATTGTATTGTCGTTTCTAAAGGCGCAGTTTCTTGATCTGATGTAGCTTTTTTTGTATTTAATTCTTTTAAGCTGTTTTTATTTTTTCTTTTAGTAATTTGTTTTGAAGATATTTTTTTCACAGAAGATTTATTAATTTCGTCCAAAGTTTTATTAGTAAAATTGTCTATTTTTGGATTATCGAATTCTTGAATTAGTTCATCATTGGGTTTATTTATCTTGGACTTGTCAATATTTTTAATTTCCTTAGTTTTCAATTTTGACAAGTTTTGAATTTGAAGATTTTGATCTTTAATCAATTCTGAATTATTTCCCTGTTGTTCTTGAAGATATGGACTAGTATCAAAATAATATTTACAAACATTAACTATTTTTTTTTTCGCATTACATTCTCTAATGTAGTCAAGAGTAACAATCGGTATGTTCATAGAAATAGCTTTTTCGTATTCAGGACCAGAATTTTTCGAAGTAATAAAATGTGTCGTATCGATTTTGACTTCTGATTGGATAGGCTTCGCGCCTATTTTTTCTAGTATTTGTTCTAGTTCTTTTTTGTCATTTTCATTTAATTCTCCTATACACACAGTAATCCCTGTTAGGTCTGTTATCTTATGTGTATGTACTATGACTGGTTCAGAAGAATATACACCACCAGAAGTTCTTAGAACAAGTTGAAAAGAATATTCTGTATTTAATGAGAGACCTGATAGTTTTGTGTTCGTAGTGGATGTTGCTTTTGGAATTTTTCCAAGACGCGATCCATTTTTGTATAAAATTAGATCCCGAAGTTCTGTTGTAGCCAATTCAATAGGATCCCATTCTAATACTACATTTGTTTGTGTCACATTTTTGACTCGTAAAACTGGTGAAGTAGGTTTTTTTGTTCCAAAAGTTGTATATATTTTTGTTTGTAGTTCTTTAAATTCATTTTTTTCTTTATCTTCGGCTTCATAATTGCGTGAGATAGATACATTTAAAACTGACCCTGTTTCTATGTCGTAAGGAAGTAATGAAGATGGAAATTCTATAAGGTAAAAATCAGATGTTAATAAAATTGTCTGAACTTAAATAAGTATTTTTATAGGAAAAAGTTAATAGTTACCATTCCTGCATCAGTCTTTCCAACTGTAAATTGCAAATTTCGTGTATTTTCATTATTCATTTTAAATAAATTATCTATAAAAATCAAATTATATTTTTGCTAATACGTGAATTGGATGTTAAGAAAAATTAAAATAAAAAAAAACTAATATTGTTTTATATAAATTTATATTATTTTATTTGAATGTTTTAGTTGTTGCTTGAAAAATAGAGTTATATTATAGTTTTGAAGTGTATTTATTTTAATTAAAAATATTTATTTTTATAATTTTTAGAATTTATAAAAAATATTTTTAAAATTCTTGTGTACATTTTAATAAGAATTTGACTTTTTGTTTAATTTTTAATGCATCTTATTTTGTTAAAATCACATTTATATATTTTACTATTTATTTAATATTATAACTAAGGATGTATGTTTGTTATTAATTAAATAAAAAAATAAAAGTACTTATTATTAGATGTGTTGTTAAAATAACAATGTGATTTATAATAGTTTTTAGTTTTTTAATTTTTTATTTTAAATATTTTAATTAATGTTTTTAATATTTCTAAATACCGAAATGTTAAATAACTTAAAATGAAAGACCATGCAGATCAAGAATTGTTTTCTAGGCTACTTCTTTTAGATGGGCCTAGTCTTCCTGGAAGATTAAAATTTAGGCCTTTACAAAGAAATGATTGGCAACGAGGTATTATTAATTAAAACAAGAAAATAATAATAAACATAGAATTTAACGCTTTATTAAATTGTCTTTCTGGAGAAGAATATACGTTAAATAAACAAGATTTTGAGGCACGGTTTGATCTTATTCAATCTACACTTCCGAAAAGCTACTTTATTGTTGTTATTGAGGACAGTGTGACAAAAGAAATTGTAAGTTTATATTCTTTCAGAAATAATTTATTCTATGTTATTATTATTTACTTCCTTTTTAGATTGCATGTGGAACTGTATTTATAGAATATAAATTTTTAAAATCTGCATCCAAAGCTGCTCATATTGAAGATATTGTTGTTGCGAAATCTTATAGAGGGAAAAATATTGGGAAATTGTTAGGGTTATAAGATTTTATTAAACTTTCTGAATATGAATTAGATTAATTGAAATGCTTTGTAAAATTGCAAAAACAGAAAAATGCTATAAAATTGTACTTGATTGTAAAGAAAATAATATCGAATTTTATAAGAAATGTAATTTTAAAGCTACAGGTATTGAAATGAAGCAGTATATTAGTTAAAGAATTAATAGGTATACAATATTATTTTGTAGTCTGTAAATTCAAGATTAATGTTTTAAAATTAAAATATACAAAGTATTATGGTGCAATTTGTGAATATTTAAAATCTTTTGTATTTTTGTTAAAAATATGCATTTGTAGAATAATTTGTAGGATAAGATGAAAAATAAAATGAAAAAATGTATCTAAAATCTGTAATCATTCGTTATAAAGATCCAAAATAAACAAAAATATTTTTTAAACAATAAGCCATGCAACAAATCCTATTGCTCCTATAACTACTAATGCAGTTAAAAATCCTGCGCCAATTTTATCACCAATAGTAGCAGGTTTAACATTATCCCAATAATATGGAGATTTATTACCATATATATTATTGGGATCGGATTTTGAAGTACCTCCTGTATCACTTGTAAATGGCTTTGCCGCATTTGGTGCTAAAATCGCTAACATAGTTTCCAAAGCACTCATTTGTGAGCCTAAAGAATCCTTGAAAACATGATTAATTTGTTTCTTGAATTGTCAATAGTTATACCCATCCATCATAATCAGAATTTTGCCAATTCATTCCACAATGATATCCAGAAGGAGGCCCACTACATGCACCCGCTGCTGCCATAGAAGAAGATTTAAGAATTGGCATAATATAATCAATAGTATCTGGCATTAAAATCATAGTATAGCCCATGAATCTTGAAAGATATGCTTTGAATGACATTTGATCTTGATTACATGTTTTAACAAATTCGCAAGCGGGTTCACCTAGAGTTTGTATTAAATATGTCTTATAATATTAAAAAAAGGGTTTACATAAAATTCCGTAATTCCTGTAAAACGATTTTTTTGCTCTAACAATGTAACGATAAACTCTTGCTGCCCATTTAGGATCTCTTGTCTAAATAAAAATATTAAATTATAAATAATAAAAATATTTTTATTTACAAAATCATACATGAAGGCAGAACCTGCCATAAGAAGACCATTATTATAGCTCCATTGCACACGAGTTATTGGAAAGCAATCAGGTGTTTCTGCACCATCATAAACAGCATAACTTGTTAAATTAATGAATTGTATATTTTCCATCCAAACATATGCCTTTTCCGCCCAATATGCATATGTTGAATTATTTGTATAACGAGCAAGACGTGCTGCTAATTGGAAAAACGCTCCATTAGATACGGTATTTTTGTATGTATATCCTGAATTGTATGGAAAAATTTGCCATCGTAAACCTCCTTGGCAATTTTGTTCATCCCAACGTTCAACTTGTTCATTAAATACTTTTTGAGCAAGTTCTAACCATTGTGGTTCTTCAGGTGGCGGGTTTTCGAAATTTATTTCTGCTGCTGTCATAGCAGTAAATGCCCAAAATGTTTGATCATCATTCCCTTGTGATAATCTGAACTGGATAGGTAATAAGTCCCTGTTTTCTCCAGCTTGTGAAAGAATTGCTTCCATAATAAGCCCATTCCATCTTGTGTCGCCTGTATAACGAGAATAATCAAGAAGTGACTGTAATATTATTAGTTCTTAGAACATTAAGAAAAAATGAACAAATATTAATTATATGAATTAATTTAAAACGTATAGTTTATCAAATTTTTTAAATAAAAATAATACATACGTTCCATGCAGCTCCTGATTGCCACCAATAAACTGGTCCTTTGAATAAACCAGGTGTTCCAGAATAATAATATAATACATTTTCAGTAAGGAATGATGCAGTTTGTTTAATGCTTTCTATAAGAAATTCAATAATGTTAGATTATATTTATTATTTTGATATATATGCATGTTATTTAAACATGTAGCATTGACATTTACCTGGATTATTAACGTCTAAGTAAATTGATGCAGCATATGGAATTATTAATGCAAATAGAATGTATAAAATATTCTGTATACTTCGAGAAAAGATATGTATTGTTCTTTTCATATTCGTCAATTTATCAATTTATAAATATATATTTACTATTTTAGTAAAAATATTATGTTTTTTAAAGAATTATGCATATAGATATATTGAGAATATATTCTTTATTTATTGGATTAAATTGAATGTTTTTAAAGATTTTAGATTTTAATTTTTTTGAACGAGAAATAGAATACTTAAAATATCGAGTTAGATAAAATTAAATAATAGTAATTTTTGATAAAACATTAAAGAAATATGTTACATTTAGGTATATATGGTGCAATTTAATAAAATATTAAATTGCTTGAATATAGAATTAAAAATTATAATAATAAATTTAAAAAGATACTAATAATGTTATTATATCCTAATAAATTTTAAACATATGAAAATAAGATAAAGTCTAAATAAGATAGATATATTAAAAAATATTCATACATGGTTATATAAACTAATATCTTCAAAAGCTTTTATTGTGCCGTTATTGTCAAAATTTGTTATTGAAACAATGTTCTCGTGCATTATTTCGCTATTTTTATGTAATTCTTCGAGGTAATTGAAATAATTTTTATCTAAATTAGTAACATATTTTCCTGTAAATACACTAGTTTCAAAGTCTGAGACAAGAGGATTATATTGACATGATTTATATAAGTCTTCTAGAGTCTGATAAATAACTTCATCTGCACCAATTTCTTTTGCTATTTCTGTTTCTGTACGTTGATATGCTATAAGATCTTTTCTATTTGCTAGATCAATTCCATAAACATGTGGATATCTATTATAAATGTTATTGAAGCCAATAATATTTAAAATGTATATAACCTAACAGGAGGTGCACAACTGGCAAAATATACTTTCTTTGCGCCTGCATCCTTAGCCATTTGAATAATCTCTTTACTTGTTGTTCCACGCACGATAGAGTCATCAACAATTAATACGTTTTTTTTATTGAATTCAAGTGCTTGTGCATTTAATTTCCGGCGAACGCTTTTTTTTCTAGAAGAGTTAAATATTTTTCATATAAGTACTTATTTCAACAAACCGTATTTGTTGACCAGGCATAATAAAAGTTCTTCCAACATAACGATTTTTAATGAAACCTTCTTTATAATTTAAATTTAAAATCTGTGCTAGTTCTAATGCTGAATTTCGACTAGTATCTGGGACTGGAACAACAACATCGATCTTACTTACAACATCTTCACCAAGTTTTCTTTTTACAGTTTCAGCTAAATATCTACCCATTTTTAGTCGTGCACGATAGACACTGATTCCGTCCATAACAGTATCAGGCCTTGCAAAATAAACATATTCAAATATATCAGGTGTATATCCTAATTGTTCATGAACCTGTTTTATTATCGGTAATTTTTGGGGTTCATTTGTTTTTTTTTTTTCAATAAATATTGCTTGTCCTGGTTTTACATCATAATAATTAGTAAATCCTAGTTGATCCAATGCAACACTTTCACTTGCAAATAAGTAATCTTTTCCATGCTTATTTATACGTTCTCCAAATACTAAAGGACGAATCCCGTTTGGATCACGAAATCCTAAAATCCCATATCCTGCAATCATGGCTACACACGCATAACCGCCTTGACAATGTCTAAAGAGTTGGGATAATGCTTTGAAAAGATCATCATAAGTAGCTCTTGATTTTTGAAATTGCGATAAATATGATGCAAATACATTTAAAAGAAGCTCTGAGTCAGAATTTGTATTTATGTGACGATGTGCAATTTCATCTAAATATTTGCGAAGTTCTTGTGTATTAGTTAAGTTTCCATTCTAGAATTATTATAAAAAGTTTATTAATGTAAAAATGCTACTAACATGTGCAAAAACAATTCCGTAAGGTGAATTTACATAAAAGGGTTGAGCTTCAGAATTTGTAAATGAGCTAACAGTGGGATAACGAACCAAATAATACTATCAGATATACATTAAATCATAGAAGGGTTATACCATGAGCAATAGCCATATTTCCATATAATTCCCGTAGTTGATGTTCATTAAAAACATCTCTAACCATTCCACTACCTTTACATTGATAAAAACGGCCTTGTGATCCACATGTTACAATACCAGCTGCATCCTTTAAAACTCTTAAATAATGTATTAGGAAATCACAATCTCCTTACTTGTCCACGATGCTGAAGAATATTAAGGCCTTCAAAAATTTCTGGACATGCAACACCTGATGAATTAGCTAGTAAAAGTCCAAGAATTCCACACATCCAAAACTGGAAAATATTAAACTTTTGTCTAAAAATTATAATAATAGCAAAAATAAAAGAATAAATCTCAGTTAAAGCTGTCTACAAGGTAGATAATATTCAGTAGTCTAATATCTTAATTAAAATATTCCATCACCGATATTGAATGATAAAAAAAGAAAATAAAGATCTTTAACACACCTTAATTTAATTTTTATATTTGTTGATGATTTTTAGTATTTTTGGAATAATAATTAAAAGTTATATACTTTGTTAAAATTTATTTTTGAGCGAATAACAATCGGTTTTAAAAAAAGTATATGTTTAATATAATTATAATAGAGAAATTAATGATTTTATCTTAATTTAATAGTTTTGTATAATAAGCAAACATATTGAGTAAAATAGGGTTTAAATATTTAAATCGTATATTTTAAGATTATATTGTTTTATATCAGTTATTTTTTATAATTTTGATTTTTTTAAAAAAAATTGTAAAAATATTTCCAAAAATATTAAATACTAAATTTAATTTAAAAAATATGTAAAATATGTATTTATTTTTGAAATTATAGTTTATAAATTATTGTAGAATAATTTTCATTTATAAAAATATAAATATTTTTTATTATAATACTTGAATAACTTTCTACATTAATTTTAGTAGAATATTGCTAATAATATATTTGTTGAGTTTTTTTAATTAATATTAAATATTTAAGCATAAAAACATAAAAAAATCAAAAATATTTTTTAAAAATAATATTTTGAAATTAAATCTAACGAAATTTTATTAAAATATTAATTTAGAAAATTTAATTTTATTTAATATTATGATATTTTTTATTAATACTGTATTTTATATAAAATACAATATTTTAGATTTTTAAGTATAATTTATCTATAATATCAAAGTATCTTGGCTTCAGAATATATTTATATATTTGGTTTTAAAATATAATATATAAGCCATAAATATTGATTACAATTTGTTTTAATATAATGTTAAATATTTAGCTTTTAATATCAAAATTTTTTAAATATCCTAAGACTAATTTTTTTAAAAGAAAAAAATAAAATTTAAAGTCAGAGAGATAATATATAAAAGTGAAAAGAACATATAAAAATGCTATATAAAATAAATAATTGCCATAGTCTAATAACAAAAGCTATATATGAAAATAAGGACCTCAAATCTTTATAAATCCATTTTTACTTAACGTTTTTTAACTACAAATGGAACCTGTTTTATAATTAAAAAGTTATAAAATTATTTTAAGATGGCATACAATAATTATTGTTAGAAGTATTATAACACCTATAAAAAGTTATAATAGTCTATCTAATAGAAAAAACATACCAGCAATAAGACATATATGCATTTTAACATCTAAAAGAATTAACAGATAGTACTAATATAAGAGAACTAGGTTACCTTTCCACCACATCTGCTTCCTCACGCGATTTGCCCCACGACGAAATCCTTGTGCAGAGGTTGCAAGGCTTTCTGTTTTATCTTGTAAAGAATCAAGTCGTTCTCCTCGTTGTGCAACCTTAGATTATTAATTAAAATATAATTTGAAAATAGATAATAACCTTGTTAATATTTTCTCTCATAATGCCAACAGTATCTTGTATTTGTGCTTGAATCACCGCTGTTTTTGGATTTCCAGGTCCAGAAGGCGGACAATTTTGTTGTGATCCTAAAGACTTTTTTGTTAGATTTTAAAACATTCAAAGAACCACAATAACTTACACTATGCTTAGTATATTCTTCCTGTGACATTTTGTTTTGATTTTTTCTAATATCTTAAATTTCCTTTAAATGTTCTTTTTTTCGTAAAATTTAGATTCGAATAAAATTTTCTATTATAAAATTTTCTATTGGGAATTTAAGTTTTATAAAATTTAAAAAAAAGATTAGTTATTAGATATTTTTAGTTTATTAAAAAATATCCATATATATAATGCTGTATAGTAAATTCTATGATAATCTATTCTACATGCAAATAAATGATAACAGAATATTTGTATTTTTATTACAATAAATTGTTCTTTTATATATCTAGTTTTTATAGTTATTTGAAACAGATAGGAATCTTGGAGTTAGTATATATGTTTAAACAATCTTTAGTTATCCTATTAATTTATATAATGTATCAATATTAAGTATTTTGTTTTTTTTTATTAACCTGTATATGTTACCAAAGTATTGCATATACAAAATTTCAAGGTTTTTGATTAAATAATTTTAAATCTAACATTTTTATATTAATCAAGTGATCGAAAACTTGTTTTTAGATCATTTTGTTTTTCAAAAGCTTTTATGATAATTGTATTTAATTTAAAATCTTCATTAATATAGTTTGCAATATTTTCTGCTAAAAATATGAACAGTATTATTGTATGTCTAAAAAGCCAATTAATATGAAATATATGTAGTTATTTTCTGTTTTAATGTTACTCCTTTACCATATAGCTTTTCTACATGTTTTAATTTTTTTTGATAAAATAAAAGTTTTATCCGCATCATTAATTTTTTGAAATCTATACTTTTATTTATAACTTAAATATATAATTGAAAAAATTAATGTAAAAAATTTTTTGTAAACTTTGTTTTAAAAAATTCCGGGAATTAGATATTGTTTAGATAAAGATTAAGTTTTTATTTGAAAGTAATATCGGTTTTGAATAAGGTTTAAAATTAATAAAAAGTATTATTTGTAAAATTTTTAAAATTGTTCATTTAAAGATATAGATTATTATAATTGTTTAAGTTTTTTATAATGTTAATGTTATATTTGAATCAAAAAAATATTTTGATTGATTATTTAACTTTTTATAGTTTTCTTAAATAAATGTTTTTTTTGTTTAAAAAGTTAAAAATTCCGTGTTTTTTGAAAATCAATTATTTATCGCCAAAATAATATTTATTATATATTTTTAAAATTTATCTAAAAATTAAAAAATATCATAAACTTAAATATTTTTTAATTTTTTAAGTAAGTATGATTAATCAAAAAATTATAAATGATGTTATTTAATTTGCGTTTGATAAATGAGTGTATTTAAGTCTTCGCCTGGTCTTATGAAAATACTCATTTTTATGAAATTTTTTTTTTCTGAAATAGTTTTAATTAAATCTTATAACTTATATATTAATTAATTTTAGGAATATTTTCATTCTACTTTTATATAGTTTTTAGGTAAGTTATATATATATGTTTATAAATTGTAAGAAATGATGAAAATATTATCTATGATTATAATGATAAATATGTTAAAATCATCACCAAGATCTCTGAATTTCAATGATTTGATAAACTTCAATATATTTAGGTAAAAAAAATTAATATAATTTAGATACATTGAATAATTTAAAAAATAACATATATATATACAATCTTTAAACTATATAATATCTGTTAAAATGTTACAAATTTTCATTGAAATGATTAATGTTTCTGTTGATTATAATTAAATAAAAGCGGTAAATTTAAGAACCAATACTATGCTATGTTATTTTGAATTTAATGCTAAATAAGCTGATAGACCAAAAAGTATAAGATGCTGAAAGTTATAAAAATTGAAACCACACTTTACAATAAATAACTTAAAACCAGGATTAATATTGTCTGCTGTATAAAAAAAAAAAATCTGTTTAATTTGAATTTAAAATATGACTTTTTATTAATAATTTTGTTTTTTTTTTTAAATTTGAAATATGGTTTTATGATTTTAATTTATATACATCCGAATTTATTTCTATATGTTGATTTGAACTTATGGAAGGTCTTTTAGGTTCTACTGAATCTTTTTTTATTTTCAATATACCTTGGTGTCGTTGTTCTCTAATTATATCAATATCGTCTGGATAAAATATTTTTTGAATTGATTTTATAGCTAATTGTGGAAATATAGCAACAATAATGGTTAAGAAAAACACAATCCAAAAGCTCGGTGTGCTAAATACATGCGCGGCAATTTTATAAAATTCAAGGGTAATAGTAGATTGAGAATATGCTCCTGTCCATAACCTGAACAAGTTAGCAGTACATAGTTAAAAACTTAAAATACTACCAGAATAATAAAATGGATAAACCCCAAATTAACATAAATAACCAATCCCAATGTTGTTGATCCATCAAAATAGATATGTTTACTACCATAATTACTGGTGCTGCAATAAAGACCCCTATATCTTCTATCCCGTTTAAATTAATGCCTGATATGGTGACAAAAGTTCCTTTGTAAAATAAAAAATAAGGAAGATAAAAGCATACAACTGATTGATAAAAGCCATTTAAGATGTAGATCCTAAAAAAATTAGTAAAATAATATAAAATTTGATGATTTAAACCAAAATCTTTTCATTGACCAATCTAATTGCAATATTCCGCGTTTATATAATTGTGGTACTTCCATGGATGTTTTGGCATCAACATCTTGATCAAATGCACCCATTAAAATAATTACTAAAGAAGTGAATGCTAAATTATAAAGTAAAATATATCTTATCAATCAGTATAATATATAAATTAAAAGGAAAATTACGTATAATCAAATAAATGGTTTCCGTTAAAATTGTTGTAAGTTTGGTACCAAAATAAAGAAAAAGTCCATACAATATTCTAAATTTATAAATATAGAATTATGTTTTTTTTAATTAAACATACTTTGTAAAAAAAATTGGCAATCATTTCACAAAGACGGCGATATGACCATCTTCCATGAACTAACAGTAATTTACTCAGAAATCTAAACTGACCAATTGCATAATCAGCAGACATAACAGCTTGACGTCCTTCTTCTCCTGCAATCCCAACACCAACATGGGCTTCTTGGATCATAGCAACATCATTAGCACCTACAAAAATAAGTATTTTTCAAAACCTGAGTTTTATAACCATCTCCAATAGATAGGGTCATTGCATCTAAACCCTTTTTAACTATAGAAACAACTGCTGCCTTTTGTGATGGACTCACTCTACAACATAAAACAGCTTTACATTGTTTACAAAGCATTAAAAATTTATCTTTGAGATGATCTTCCAGAAGCATTTTTAGAGCATCACCATCTACTACAAGAGCATATGTTAATGGTGGACGATTATATTCTTTTTTTATGAAAGCTATCTCTTCCTTAATTTCATTAAGATTAAAATATTTTTTTAAGTATTCTTCAACAATATAACCGACTTTTTCTATTTCAGGACAATCGGACGTTAATGTTAATATTTTCATATCATTAGAAAGGAGATTGCAAGAAAAGCCGATATTAACTGCTGTTTCTACTTTATCACCTGTAAGAATCCATATTTTTATCCCGCCTTCAGCTAGAAGTGTAATAGTTTCAGGAACACCTTCTTGTAACTTGTCTTCAATAGCTGTTCCGCCAAGTAGTTCTAAATTGCATTCTATTTCTTCAAATATTTTATCTAATTTTTCTTCACGGTCATCGATTGCTGATGATGCGATAATATATTGTTTATTCCAAGAGTTATATTCATCTTCAGACAATTTTCGTCTTGTAATAACAAGAGTACGTAGACCTTCTTTAGCGAAATCCTTAAGATCATTTTTAGTTTTTTCCTTAAGTTTAGAATCACTTATTGTTAACGGAAGAACAGAACTATCGGCACCTTTACAGAACAAATATATTTCATTATTTGGCATGCGAATAATAATACTCATTCGTTTTCTAAGAGAACTAAATCCAAGAATGTTAAGAATTCTATATATTTTTTCTTTTCCGTGAATATTTAAATTAATTGAAGTTTTATGCCGAGCAGTCATAACATAACCCATATCTCTAGCTGTTGCAACAAGAGTAGCTTCATCTGGTGATTGTGCCTTATATCCTAAGCGGAGTTTTGTCTCTGGTGATACTTCTGCGATAACAGAATGACAAAGTGCTAATGTAAGCATAAAATTATGACAAGCTATTGCTTGTGCTTCACCATTAAATCCTCTTAGATCATTTACAAAGTCACTTGATATAAAAGTTAGTTTAGATTCATCTAAATACGGATTATTATTAAGTTTTCGTAAACCGGCTATCATAGCAGCTTTGCTTTTAAAAATAGATGCTTTTGCTTCTGCACTAGTTTCATCGACATCTATTCCTTGTCGCTTTTGCATACCAGCCATTGCCTCAGTATATACTTCTCCATAAGTTACTCCGTTTATAGTACACTTCTTAAATTCCATAATGTTTTGAGTAAGTGTACCAGTTTTATCAGAAAAAATATATTCGATTTGCCCTAGATCGTCAGAAATATTCCAATTTTTTGGTGTACATGGATAATCGATTTTATCATAATACATTTCAATATCTGAATAAATAAAAAATGCTTGTGCGGTTTTAACAATTTCAATGGAAATATATAATGAAATAGGAACTAGATTCTGAAAGAGAATAAGACATGTGACAAATGTAATAATACTATCTAATGATGGTTTCCCGCCTAATGAACCAAACTCGAAAAATTTTGCTGATGTTTCTTTATTTCTCCAAGACATTCCTGACATAACACCTGATATAAAACAAATACAAAAAAGAATTATAAAATTAATCATAATCTAAGAAAAAAGTTAATAAATATAAAAAGCTGCAATATTGAATGTACTGTGCAATTTAAATTTTTGGCAATTTTACTTCGTTTACTAGGTGTAGCACCCGCATTTAACATGATTTTCGTTTCTTCTCCTGTAAAAATGACAATACCTATTACCCATTTTGTATTTTTAAGCTGGCATCCACGAAAAAGGGTATTTTGTATAGAAGCTTGTTCTGAAAACCCTTTTTGCTCATCAAGATTTTCATCAATGAACTGTGTCCAATGAATAACTGCGTTGTACTTATATAAATTAGAATTCGGATTTTCGCTTTCTATAATAAATGTAGCTTTTTCGCAATCTGCTGCGCTTTTTATTTCATATCCGCATCTTAAAGCATGGCGTAATTTTAGATTTGTTTCTCCATCTAAATTTTTCGTTTCTACGTAGCATGCACCGTCAGGCTCACTTGTTGCAAGAATCAAAATATCAGCAGGAATTAAATCATCTTCTCGAAGTCTAACAAAATCCCCAACTCTTATATTTTTCCAAAATGTTTGTTTAAAACATGCTTTACCGGGCGTTTGTTTATAATGATCAATTACGGTTCCTAATTCTTGCTTTGACGCTATTTCAATATTCTTTTTTGAACTTATAAATTCATTAGATAATCTATAATCTAATGAGGGTAATTGTATCATAGAATATAGATCTGGATTCTTTTCGCAGCTTAATCTTCTACTTTCTACACTTCTTCTTCTGCTTTCTGCGCTAATCCTATAAGAACTCATGTAATCAAGTGATAAAGGATCTTCTTTAATGCCTTTTCTTCTTGCAATAATTATACGTATAAATTTACTTGTTGCCTTTTTTAGTCGACGCCACAGTGAAATATTTTCATCAATAACATTAGTATTATGCCAATTGCATAACATATGAGTTTTAGTATTGTTTAATTCATTATCAAGTACAGTTCTTCTCCAATCTTCAATACCATCTTTAATAGCTGTGACTAAAATAATAACAATAAGGGGAACCGCTGATAATCCAGGATTTCTTGTACCAAATATAGAAAAATTCTATAAGTTATTTAGATTTTATGATGTATTAAATATTACAAAAATACTTGCAAAATAACGATAATAAAAAAATAAATATTAGCAATATTATGAAATTGATAAAAAAGGTTTTTTGGAATAAAAGAAAGAGGAGTATATTTCGTGGTCCGAATCTTATTTCTTGGGTACGATTTTATAGGTAATCCATATTCATCTTGCATATCTTCTGATAAAGAAAGATTTACGAATATTCTTCGGCTTTTAGGAGAACTTTCACTTGCTGTTGAACTTTGAAGTTTATCTAGAGCAATCTTCTCATCTTGAAATGTATTTAAATATTTTAGAATTGATCTTGATGATTTATTTCTAAGATTATGCAATGTATCCCAAAGCATAGAGACCATAATAGTTATTATTTAAACCCAGTTGAGTGTTTTTAACTCTTTCCTTTATGTGATGATATTTTTTATATAAATACAATGAAAATCGTATTAGTATGTGTAAGTTGATAAAGTTGAACGAAAATTATTGATAGTACGTATATTAATAAAAACTCGTGAATTTTTTAAAAATATAGATAATAATATATGTTTTATATACCTTTTTTTAGCTTTATATATTTATATATATATTATATTGTCTTAAATGATTTTTTTTAAAGTTTTGTTTTTTCTTTTTTTATTCCTTTTTTAGTATAAAATCTACTTGAACTTTTTGTATAAGTTTTCTTTTTGAAACGTATATTTCTTTTTATGTTATTGGCTTTCCGTTGTTTGTAGAATTTCTCAGTTTTTCTTCATTAGCCACTAGATTTTAAATATCTTCAAATTTGTTCAAAAATTATATTTTTGAATAGAAGGGAATTCACTAATTTTGTATTAGTAAGTGACTTTTTTAAAATAGTTTACACGTACATGCATAACAGTAAATTGTTTCCACCTTTTTGATGTGGTTTGTTTAAACTGCAAATTCATCGACTTTATGAAAATGTGAATCGATCGGTTGGTTAAAATTATGGATTATATAAATTATAATATACCATTATATATATTATATATTTAATATTTATCTTTTATATTTTCTATATTCTTTTTGCTCTTTGTTTATAATAAGTTTATAATGTAAGATATATTAAAAGTTGTAATATATAAAATAATACATGTTCTTAAACAATTAAGATGAACCGTTTTACCCTTTATATGACTGTTCATAGAAATATAATAATAGATACACTTAATATATATATATATATATATATATATGCATTAAATAACATATATATGCATGAAATAATACATATATATAGCATTTATATTTTATTTAGAACAATAATAATGTTTATTTGAATTATAAAATATTCAGAAAAAGGTATATATTAAAAAAAAATTGGACTTAGAATATTTATTATTTCATACTAAAGTTTTAATTTTTGAATGTTTATTAACTGTTTATTTAAAAATTTCTGATAAATTGGATCATAATAATATGTGATAAATATGTTAAAAATATGATATTAAAATGTGTCTATTTATTTTTGGAAGTTAAAGGTAAAATATAAATATTTTTGATAGTTTTAAAGTTTTTTTGTTAATTTATAATTTTAAAATTATTTTAAGTATTTATTTTAGAAGCTAAAAAAAATATAAAAATATTTATATGAAATTATAAGTGCAATAATTTTCGTATGGAATAAATTTGATTGGTATGATAATATATATATTTATTTGTTTCAGATATTTCGTATACTTTATATAAAATATTATCATTATTAACATGAAATATTTGCATCTAATTTATTAAAAATTCACTAGATTGCATTTACTGTTTATAATATTTTTAACTTTTTTAAAATATTGTAAAAATATTATAAACAGTGAATTTTATCTTTTAAGATAAGTGAATATTCATAACTATTTATTATAATAGTGTTTATTGGTTGCTTTAAGTATATAGTTTAGAGTTAATAAATCCTGAGTATTTAACAAAATAATTTGTTTTTAATTATATATTATATTATAGAAATTTAAAGATTTGATTTTTTTAAATAAAATATTAGTTTATTAGCAATTTAAGTAAATTTTAAGTAGTATATAAAATATTTATAGGAATATATTTTAAATGAATATAATTATTATTTTACAAGATTTTACTTTATAGTTTATATTAGTAAAAAAAACATAGTAAAATGAATAAAATTGAATTTTAACCTTTAAGAATACAGAAATACATTTATTACAGAAATACATTTATGAGTTATTTAGTTTGTTATAAGAGTATAATAACTTGATATATTATAAAAGTTTATTTTTGAATTTGTTTGTCTTTATTTTAATTTTATATTCATTTTTAATAGATTGTAAAAGCTATTTTTTATAATAATTATCATTATTATTAAAAAGTTTATAACTTTCAAATAATTACCTAATATTTATTATTGGTTATTTTAAATGTTTAGTTATTAACAGTGTTTTTTTCGAAATTTAACTTATAATAAAATTATTAACTTAATGTTGGTAATTAAATTTATTTTTATAATTAGAATTGTATCAATAAATATATTATAATTATATATTTAAATTTTACATGATCTTCTGTTTTTTCAAGTATTTTTGGATATTTTTAAATTTTTTGTCTAAATATTTTCATTAATAGCTTTATATGGTATTTTTATGTTAAAACTTATTATATTTTTATTTTTTTGTTATTTTTACTTGGATCTTTTTAATTATATAATTATAATTGAAATAATTAAATTTTAAAGACTCGTATCTTAGTTAAAAATGAATTTTAGAATTTAAAAAGTGTGTTTGTTAATAGTAACATGTCATTGGATAACAAATGTTCCAGTGTAGACAATAAAAAGACTAAAAAGTATTATTATTTAATTTTATTGGATTAATTTAAACTAGTACAATTATAACAGATTTTTTTTTGCCAAAAACTTGCTCTGTATCAAATTTTTCTGAATTCTCAATAAAAGATCAATTAGTTAAGGATAATAATGAAGGTATTATCAATATTTTATTAATTTAAATGAATAATTTTTTATACTAGAAATTTTCAATTTTGAAAATGAACTAAATACTGAATTTAATTTTGAAAAGTCAAATGTTGAAAAATTAAAGTAATTTAAATTTTAAAGAATATATAAATCATTGATTTTACCTTATCTAGAAAAAAGTCTATTGATCCTATTGTTTCAGAATATTGTTTTTCTCTTGAAACTCTTTTAAAAGATCAAGAAAATAGGAAAAAAAGATATGAATCATTCAATCGTGCTCAGGAATTATCTAAGGTGGAAGTAATTAATTTAGACGATATAACGTCTTTTGTTGGTTCCGAAGTTGAAATTGCTCTTAAAAAAGAAAAAGAGAAAAGAAAAGAACTTCAAACTGTTCTTAATGAAACTGATATTTTTAAAAAACAAATATATTGGTCCTTTTTTGTTAATGAAATAAAAAAAATAGATTTAGAAGACATATCTACTAAAGAATTTGAATTGCAATGTGATATGTTGATGTTGGGTAATTAATGTTGCATTTTTAAATTTTAATATTAATTAAAAAAGAGAAAGATAGATTTTCGTTTCTTTTAATTACAGGATATTTTTTGGATATGACAGACTCTGGCGATAAGTTTTCTCCAAAATTTGTACAATGGTTGTTAGATAATCGTATGATTTTAATAACTTAATAATTATGTTTAATATATTAATATATGTAGTTTGTATAGAAGAAAATGGAATGTTGCTTTACGGATATTTTTCTATCCTTTTAAAAATATATGTTTGTTTTTATGCGTATGTTGTTGGTTTTATTAATATTTTTTAGAGTTCAGTTTTTTATCAGATGCATGTTTTATCTGAATTTCAAATCAAGAGAATTTTTTTACTTCTTGGTGCAAGTAGTGAAGCAATAGATATTCAATCATTTATTGAATTTGAAAATATAAAAAATTATAATAGTATGTTTTTTTTTTGTAAAAATAAAATTAAATTATTTTTAGATGATATAAATAACATTTTTTTTTCAAAAATAGTGAATCTTAAACTGGTTTTGATTTTTTTAACGAATGCATTATTGTATGATTTTATTTTAGTTTGATTTTCGTTTTTTATAACATGCAGGCTAACTACACTTTAGGCATAATCGTATAAAAAAGCGTCAATGCATCTTACTTATTTTTTCAATCATACTTAAGCTTTACATGGATCAGAATTGTGCGCTCTATTTAAGTTCTTCATTATATTTATGTTATTTTCAGCTTTTTAATAATATATCAAATCTAGATTTTCAATCTATAGTATAAGTTTAATATTGACAATACTTTTTTCTGATTTTTATCTAAAGGCATTTGATATGTTTAGTATTGCTTATAATATTACGAAAGACTCGTTTATGAGATTACGTATTTTACAATCATTTCCAGTAGAACATATTTATGGGAGGGTTTTACGTTCTACATTAGCGTTTTCAATGTTACTAAATACTCATATTCCGCCGGATAATTTTCCTGATAATGTTTGTTTTTTTTTGTTTTCATATATTTCCTAATCTGGATATTAGCCTAATCTTTCTTTTTCAAGAATACTTGATTATATACAGTCATCTCGACCATTCTTTCCAATAGATTCTAATACTAACTATTTCGAATTATGTATTGCCATATATATGTTGGATTATATATTATCTCAATCCTCATGTCAAGATATTCAAATTGTTGAAAAAATATGTAAATTATTGAAAAATGTAGATGAAAAAATATTGAACTCTAGGAATGCTTTTGTTGTTAGAACAGAGGTATAAAGTATATAAATTAGAAATTATATTAATTTTTTAGGCTAAAGTCAGGATTCAAAGGCTTTTGTTAAGATTAACTCATACGTTTGGCATTTTTTCAAAGATGCACCAATCTACACTTGAATACCACTTTAATAAAATATGACTAAAATGTAATTAAAATGCAACATCGAATTAAAAAATAGGACTATATTAAGATATATTCTAAGTGCATTATACGTTTACAATGAAGTTTATAGAATAATATTGGAATTGAGATGAATTAAATAAACGTATTATTTAGAATTCTTTTTTAATCATAAAACTTACGATTTTCCGATTGACTAAAAATATATAAGAATGTGTTAATAAAGTTATTATTTTTACCCAAACAGTATTAGCCGAATGGTGGGAAGGGCTTCTTTTTTTAATAATTCTAATCTTTCTTCGAATGTATTGTTAATGAAAATATTTTTAGTTGCTTCAAAAATAATAATCCCACCAAGTCTATATATTATCAATACAAGCAGTATAATAAAAGGGAAAAAAACCCATCTGAACAAAGGTATTCTTTGTCAATTTGGACGTCTATATTCGTATGTGTTTTATGTTTGAAGACATCAACAGCATTATCAATAGCTTTTTCAATGATTGCAGAGTCTGTTTCACGAGCACGGATTATAATATTTTTTTCCATTAATTGATACAGCCCCTAAATGTTTTATACGGCTTTGTATTTAGTTGTTTCATACCTGTAAAATTAAAACTTTCAAAAGTTCTTGATAGCGTTCTTTGTCTTCAGTTAGGTCCTGAATTATTCCCTTAACCTCTTCAAAAATTTCTTGTAAGATTTTTTCTTTTTCTATCAATAATTTTAGTCTTGATGAATTCATCTTGTTTGATTTTGATATTTGTTGGGTCATGGCTGCTTTTTTCATTTTTTGTTTATATAATTCATCAATTTTAGCCATTTCTTGCTGAACTATTTTAGCCTTTTCAATAGCAGAATCTTCATTTGACTGAATAAAGTTTTATTTTCTTGTTTCTAAAGATAATCCGTTTACCTTAATATGAATTTCTCTAGCTTTTTCCATTGCTTCTATCTTTATAAAATTGATTAATCTTTGCATTTCAGCATTCACTTGTTCATCTGAAAGTGCCATTTTTTGCTTTGAGAGGTCTTTTATTAATTAAATATTGCCAGATATTATGTTAATTATATAATATTAACAGATATCGAGTTACGATAGTTATATATATTTGAAAAATTATTTGAAAAATCCATAAAAAAGATTACACATAAAGGAAAAAATGTGTATTTCTAGTCTACTGTTTTTATTGATTCTATGTGATTTTTTGTAGTCTAAGATAACCCCTTTATAGATTTTAATCTTTAGATTTTTTGTTTTTAACTTTTTAACAAAAGAATAATCTTTACCTATCTAATTCTTTGTATTTTTGGCATTTTTATTCCCTTTTCTTTATATGCCAGTTAATAATATTATAAAACATTTGTAAATTCCAATCAGAATCTCCACGATATATACTATCAAATATACTTATCTATATCATAAATAAAAACCCGCCCTATAAAAAACCCATTCAACCTTTGTTTTAAATAAATACAAAATAATCTTAATACTATGCTAAAATACAAAGATTACACATCCAATCTTACATCGATAGATTTATCTCAATATACACCGTTTCGAATCTTACATTATTGCCACTTTTTTGCTGTCTCTGTTTCATAGATAATATTTACTAAAATATTAAAAATAATTATTCTCTTGTTAATTGTTCTTCCTTGTTTTTAATTTTTGCTTTGTCCTAGCCCATTCCATGAAATCTTCCCCCTTCTAGTCCCTCATTTTTCCTCCTTTTTTAACACCTATATTCTTTTTAACTACATAATTGTTCCCTCTTTCTGCCTTCTTTTTCTCTTCTTTTTGTATTATTTTATTTATGATATTCTGCTTTTTTGCCTATTAATATAATTTTTTTGTCGTATGATTCTTCACCTCTACGATCTCACTCCCAACTTTGATTCGTAGCAATTCCGTTTTCTAAGGTATGTTTTCTCCTATAAAGTATCTTTTTCTCTTCTCTGCCACTTTCTACTTTTTTTTCTTCCTTGTTTATACTCTTTTTTTCTTTTATTTCCAGTTTTTTTTACTTTTTCTTTACTTCCTCTTTATTCCTTCTAATCTTCTTCAGATGGTGAAACCTAAGGAAAATTCTGACTGCAACTCCTCTAAACACCCTCCTGAGCCTGAGAATGATTCTTCTTCTTCTTCTGACACTGATCCTGCCAATATTCCTTCTGATATTCCTGCTGGCTCCAATATCCAGGTTTTTTCCCGCTCCGAGGCCAAGGCACGTAAACAGATCCTTAAACATGGGCTCAAAAAGATTGACGGCGTCCTCCGTGTCACCTTTACCCGCACAAAATCCGTTTTTTCCCTTTTTTTTCTCTTCTCCACTCACTTTTTAGACTCTCTTTGTCGTCATCAATCCTGAGGTCTACAAAATGCCTTCTTCCGATATATATATTGTTTTTGGTCAAATCAAAGTAGAGGATATTGGTTCCCGGGATCAGCTTACTGCTGCACAGCAGCTTGCTCATTCTGCCTCTGTTCCTCCCAAGGCTTCTCTCGATACACCTAAGGACTCTTTGCCTGAGGACGACGATGCCGTTGATCTTGACGACACTGACCTTTCTCCCAAGGATATTGAGCTTGTCATGGACCAGACAAAGGTGTCTCGTGCGAGGGCTGTTAGAGCGCTTCGCGAGAACGACGGCGACATTGTCAATGCAATCATGTCTATTGCCATCTGACTGGGTCCCGCTCACCTGTCTCGTTGCCGTGGTTACCGTTGCTGTGGCAGCATATCTGTTTCTACAGAAAGACCCTCAATCTCCAGCTTAGCTCGAGTGCACTGCCAGCCAGTTGTGCCAGAGACGGCATGCACTGCGCCCTGCTGCCTGCTAAAAGCACGTTTTGCTCTGAGTGTCCCTGCTCGGTTTCCGTGGCAAATAGTTGCTATGGTAACACAGCCGGCGGTAGGTGTTGCTGTGGAGCGGCGGTGCTCGCTCGAGTCCTGGCTGTTCAGACAACGCTCCCTTGTTTTCGCGGAAACAGCCTCTTGCCGCAGCGCTGTGCCTAAAAGATGTGCTTGCGCAGATGGAAGGCTCGCCTCACAGACGCCTTTGGAAAGCATTTTCATCTCGGCTTGTTGTCAGGGTAACAGTAGCCATGACAACAGTTGTCCTAGCGATGACCCGGTGCCTAGAAAGTCCGAGGACACGAGAGGCGTCCCTACCGGCCTCCTTGGCCCTCGTTTTCATGTATCCTTGCGTCTGTACGGCACAGCACTGTCTCGGTGCCGGCTTTGGCAGCCAAACACCGCTTTAACTGGCGCGTCAACCCTAGCTCTTGTAACCATGGCAATGCTCAGTCCCGAGTTCCTAAGTCTTCGTATGCCAATCATTGTTGCCATGGAAACAATGTAACCAAGTTTTGCCATCTCTGCTTATTAATCGGCGTTTTTCAGGCGCTGTGTTCTGACTGTGACTTTTGCCGCAATGTAATAGATACAATTTCTCGTTGGCCATTCTCTTGTGCTGCATCGATCTCGGACTTAACCTCGTTCGCCTCGCTTTAAGAGTGCTTCGCAAGGCATAACCCTAAACCCTAACTTTAATGATGGTTGCCATGGTCTCATGTTGCTGTAGCAACTCTTTCTCAGTTTATTTTCTTTTGGTTTCTACGGCAACCCCTGCGCTTTTGTTGTAATCCTATCTGATCCTATTATTAGCCCTAACGCTGTTGCCAAGTGCAATCTTATAACACATATAACCTATACATATGATCAGCCTATGCCCTAACTCTACTATGTTTTCAGCTTTAGCCCTAACACTGCTCAACTTGTATCCGTCTTGAATCTGCAGCTCTACAGCTTATAACCCGCATTGTACTATAGCCATGTATCTTAACTTGTACTTTAACATTAAGGCATATTTTTAACAGTTTTAGCATTTGCTTTTAACATATGCCTTTATACATTACACTCAACATGTACTTTATAACATTGATATATAACTCCAATATACAACACTAGCACAACACTAAGATAGCACTAAGATAGCACTAACATATATTCACCGCGCATACCCTGTGTCGTGTAGATGTTTTTTACATATATACTGTACACTATACATACAGCACACACTATATATTGTACAGCGTATATGTATGATATACACATACAATGTACATACACTCCGTATACATGGTGTGCACGCTGTACATATACATACATATACACAGACATCCACGCATATACTATACATATACAGCGCATACAACGCGCATATAAAGCATGCAGCGTGCATAGTGTATAGCATATAGCGTGTATAGCACACATGGCGTGCAGTACAGCATATGGGCGTATGTGCATATAATATATCCACTGCACATGCACTCTGCGGTGTATGCACTGCGACTATGCTGCTGTGCATACTATACATATACTGCGTATACACACTGCACACCTACGGCGACCGCTGACACAGTGCACCGCATGCACTGCGCATATATACATGCATATACACACAAATATACACAGACATACAGACTACGCGCATACACATGCATAGACACGCACAGACGCCCACTGGCACGCAGCGCGTGCATCGTACAGTGTAGCAGTGTATGTACTGTATATGTTTAGTGCATATATTGCTACACAGCACGGTGTATATGCTGCTGCATTGCGGGTACACTGCGCATACACAACGCATACAACGCATACAACGCATACAAAGCATAGTGTATACATAGCATACTGTGTGCATAGCATATAGCATATATAGTGTATATAAGTGTATATAATATAGCATACATAGCATACATAGCATACATAGCATACATAGCATACATAGTGTATATAGCATATACAGCGATATAGTTGTGTAGCATAGATAGCATATATAGTGTATACAGTGTATACAGTGTATATAGCATATACAGTATGTATAATATGCACAGTATATATGGTGTGCAGTGTATATGCAGTGTATAGTGTGTGCACAGTGTATAGTGTGTATGTATAGTTACAGTGCACATAGTGCATATAGTGCATATGGCATATGGTATTTATAGTTCTATAGTATACAGTGTACATGGCGTATACAATGTACATAAACGTATAATGTATATGAATGCACTGTATCATAGGTATAGTATGTATAGTATATATAGTATATATAGCATACACGGCATATATAGTTATAGTGTATGATTATAGTGTGTATGTATAGTGTGTGGTATATAATATATGGTTGTGTATATACAGTGTATATACAGTGTATATAGCACAGATAACGTGTAGTACACGCAGCGTGTAACACATAGCGTGCAGCACAGCGCGCAGTGTGCATAGCATAATAGTATTATAGTGCATACAGCGCGTGTTCTATGCATTAGCACACATATACTACATGCATGCACACTATACACACCATCTGTGCGCAACATGCACTGCATACGTGCTGTATGCGCGCTGCATGCGTGTTGTATGCACGGTGTACGTGGCATATACACTGCATGCGTATATATACAATATATACAATGTATGCATAGTGTGTGTATTCTATGTGGCGTATATGCGACGCATATGTGCTATGTATACTTTATCCAGTACATACAACGTATACTCAGTGTATGCTCAGCGTATGCTCAGTGTATACTCAATATACACACAGTGTATACTCGATATATGCATTGTATGCATTGTATGCATACTGCACGCGCACTATATGCGTCATATATGCGCATTATATGCACTCAACAGCAATACGCTTTCGCTCGGCACCTTTGCAACAACGCTTTGGGCAATCGACGGAGAAAAAAGATAGGGTTTAGCAACCGAGAAAAAGCACCATTTTTTCAAATCCATAAATACACATACACTGCACAAATAACTATGGCCGTCAAGTAAGTTTCCAAAGTAACCACTTAGCTACACACATATACACACTATATATACATACAAACTGCTTCATACACACAAAACGTTCATCTCTCAAGATTTAGCGTCGTCCGCGAACCGTTCGAGAGCATCGGACAATGTCTGTAATGTATGCAGACTATATGCGGACTATATGCGAGCTGTATGCAAGTTGTATGCATATTATATGGGTTATATGCGTACTATATAGACCTTTAGTGTGCATATATACGTAAAATTACGCTTCTGTGCTACGCTGCTTCTTGCTACACACTCTGTCCTTTCAGCTCACTAACACTGTTCAGGCCGGAGGAAAATGCTTCTCTCTCAGATGTTCATGGGGAAATTGACTCAAACTGGGATGAAGTAAGTTACCAAAATACTTGCAAATAAAGCGCCCAAAAACATATTTTCTTGGAAAATCAGGCGCTGGCAAAGCTGCCAATGCATTTTCATAGCGCATATAGTCGTAAAATTAACGCTGACGGAGCAGGTTGTGGACAACTTTGACAATATGGACCTAAAGCCGGAGCTTTTGCGTGGTATATATGCATACGGGTAGAAACAAAGCAAAAAAGAACAAAAAAGAAGCAGTAATGACAAAAGCAGGTTTGAAAAACCAAGTGCAATCCAACAGAGGGCAATTCTACCAGTTATTCGAGGTAAGCAGAGCAGTAAAAGCGTGGCAAAAGCAAAGACCGCATATACAAAAAAAAAAGCAAGAAAACCGTAAATGCAGTGGGTATATGCGTAGGAAATAAGTGAAGAAGAGGAATAGCGGGACTTTGGCAAAAAACAGGGTTTTCAGGGTATATAGAGAAAAACAGAGTATTTGAGAGACATTAGGATCAATATAAGAAAAATGATTTAAAAAGCATATTTATGTGAGAAAAAAGGCTTATGTGGGCGTTTGTAGATGTTTGTAAGGATCTATAGAGGTCTAGAAGTCTATAGACATTGATGGAAAAAAAACACTATACAAGGAGATTAAAAACACAAAAGGTTCTTAATGAGATAAAAATGCCTTTTATAGTGGTTTTTGTATATTTGAAAGCAAAGATTTTCAAATAGTTTTCATATATCTGCAAAAATGATACATTTGAAGCAGTTTTTGCAAATTTGCACGGATTCTTGTGCATTTAAAGCGGCGGCAGATACTGATTATCTGCAATATCGTACTAGCAGTGTAGGAGCAATAAATGTAGCAACAGATACATTTGAAGCTACTGCAAGACATTTATTGCTGCCGAATGGCTATTACTGTATTAATTGTCACGCCAGATGTGCATCAGCTATACATCAGCTATTCATCTGTCATGATACAACGATGCTTGGCTGTTCTTGTAATTTAACTAAGCTGACAGAAAGTTCTATGAGATAGACCGTGATGTGATTGCGCAAGCGCAATCAGGAACGGGAAAAACAGCAACATTTTCGATTTCTGTACTTCAAAAAATTGATATTGGGCTTCGGCAGTGCCAGGCACTAATTCTTGCACCAACACGGGAACTTGCACAACAGATCCAGAAGGTTGTTATCGCTATTGGGGACTTTATGCATGTTGAGGTAGATATTGCTATGAAGCAAACAGTGTCTTTCCAGCTCCGTATCAATATTACAATGAAATATCTATGAAAGGAGTTGGGGGACATTTTAAAAGCGGTTTGGCTGACAAGAGGGATATTTTTAGTGTCATGCGTGTATTGGTGGCACGAATATACGTGACGATATGCAAATCCTGCAAAGTGGTGTACATGTAGTTGTTGGAACACCGGGGAGGGTCCACGATATGATTCAACGCAGAGCCTTGAGGACCGATGCAATCAAGATTTTTGTAATGGATGAAGCAGACGAAATGCTTTCGGTAGTTTTTGTATATTTAAAATGCCTGCTCATGGCAATTATAGAGGGGTTTCAAGGATCAAATGTATGATATTTTCCAACTATTGCCACCATCAACACAAGTTGTGCTTTTATCTGCAACAATGCCTCAAGACGTACTAGAGGTCACGACTAAATTCATGCGGGACCCTATCCGGATTCTTGTTAAAAAAGACGAGCTCACTTTAGAAGGTATTAAACAATTCTATATAGCGGTTGAACGAGAGGATTGGAAACTCGATACATTGTGTGATTTATACGAGACAGTTACTATTACACAAGCGGTTATTTTTTGCAATACTCGAAGAAAGGTAGATTGGTTAACAGAAAAGTTAACTTCGCGTGATTTCACCGTTTCTGCAATGCATGGAGACATGCAACAGTCTGAACGTGAAATCCTTATGAAGGAATTTCGAAGCGGCTCATCTCGTATTTTGGTATGATTTCCTTATATAAAAGAAAACGCTATTATATACTCATGATTTATTTCAGATTGCTACGGATCTTCTTGCTAGGGGAATTGATGTTCAACAAAGTACACCATGATTCTCCCGGTTCATATTCTTTTTCTAACAAAATCCTAGTTTCGTTGGTCATAAATTACGATCTACCATCCAATCGTGAAAACTATATTCATAGGATCGGACGTGGTGGCCGTTTTGGCCGCAAGGGTGTAGCAATTAATTTTGTTACATCGGATGACGTAAGAATGATGCGAGATATTGAACAATTTTATAGTACACAGGTAATTCCCTTGTTTTTGATCTGTATACAGAATGCATTTTATTTATTAAATCAAGATTGAGGAAATGCCTATGAACGTTGCAGACTTAATATAAAAACACTGCAGTTTTCTCAAAACTATGTCTGGTATAACTTTGTATTAAAATAGGTTCTCACATGTAATTATTTACAACTTTTTAATTTAAAAAAATATCTTAAAACTTTTTCTTAAACTATTGATTCAAATATATTTCAATGTGTTTTTCCTTTTGTATCATATCTTTCATAATCGTCGATGCAATCTCACGAGTTTATTAAAATATAAATGTATAATATCAGTCTTTGAATATAAACATATTTGTCTTTAATATGAAATAAAACATGAATGAAACGTCTGAATATGAGTTTTCAGATGAAGAAGGGTTAAGATCTATCTTAGAAGCAACGGAAATGATTCTTGAACAATTAGAAATAGAAACAAAACAATCTAAAGAAACAAATGTAAATATTTTATTCTTTTTGTGGTTTAAAGTTTAAATTTTGAATAGAAACAAATAGGAAATGAAAAAGGACACGAAAAATCATCAATATTAGTTCAAACAACACTGTTTGGTGATATAATTCCGGAAAAACAAAATAATTTAATGATCAAAACAATAGAGGAGATTCCTACACATCACGAAATTGATAGAGCCTTGATTAAGACATGGATTTACCCTACTAATGTTAGTGAAAGAGATTATCAATTTAATATTGTCCAAAAAGCACTTTATCAGAATGTTCTTGTTTCTCTTCCAACAGGACTAGGAAAAACGTTTATTGCAGCAGTATTAATGCTTAACTACTATAGATGGTTTCCAAAAAGCAAAATTATATTCGTTGCACCTACAAAACCTCTTGTTTCTCAACAGATTCAAGCGTGTTACAACATATGTGGAATACCATTAAAAGATACAATTGAATTAAGTGGTAATACAAAACCAATACTAAGATCGGCAGCTTGGAATGAAAAAAGGGTATTTTTTATGACACCTCAAGCGTTACAAAATGATTTAGAGTCTGGAATCTGCGATAAAAAATCTATTGTTTGTTTAGTTATTGATGAAGCACATAGAGCTACTGGGAATTATGCTTACTGTAATGTCGTTCGAATGATTCGTTCAGAGAACAAAAGTTTCAGAATTCTAGCTTTAACAGCAACACCTGGAACAGATATTGATTCAGTACAAGAAGTAGTTAATTCTTTATGCATTGCTCAAATTGAACTTCGAACAGAAGATTCTATTGATATTCGTGGTTATATACATAACCGTACAGTAGAAACCATATTAATACCACTTTCTCAAGAATTAATAATCCTCCGTGACTTATATGGAGATATTATAAAACCATTTCTCCAAAAATTAAACACAGCAAACGCATGTCATATTCAAGATCCAAGTGATTTAACAACTTTTGCACTTATGCAAGCTCAAAAATCTTTCATGAAAACACCTTCTATGATAAACGCACCATCTAACAAAAAAGGAGAATTTTATGGGCTTTTTTCTTTCCTATCTTCTTTAGCATATCCTATGTCTTTATTAATTTGTCATGGAATAAATCCATTTTATGCAAAGATCAAAGAATTAACTGATAATAAATCATTGGGGAAATACAAATCGTTTCTTAGAAATGACGAAAGAATTAAACAAATTGTATCTCTCATTGAAGATATGAAATCAAAACCCTCATTTATTGGACACCCAAAATTAGATAAATTACGTTCTCTTATATTAAATCATTTTGCTAATACAGATACTAAAAATGAGGAAACACGAGCAATGATATTTGTCGAATATAGATCAAGTGCTGAAGATATCATAAAGTCTTTAAAAGAGCATTATCCATTAATAAGAGCACAATTGTTTATTGGTCAATCCTCCAATAAATCGTCTTTAGGAATGTCTCAAAAAGAACAAATTTCTATTGTTGAAAAATTCAAAAGTGGGTCTTTTAATACTTTAGTTGCTACATCTATAGGAGAAGAAGGCCTTGATATCGGTGAAGTTGATTTAATTATATGTTACGATTCAACATCATCTTCAACTCGTTTATTACAACGCATGGGAAGAACAGGGCGTAAACGACAAGGTCATATATACATTTTACTCAGTACTGGTCGAGAAGAACGAAGTTATTTTCGTGCTAAAGAATCTTATAAAATAATTCAAAAGGCTATTGCAAATGGGAATTTGTTAGAATTACAAGAAAAAATGTCACCCAGAATAATACCTAATCTAGAAAACCCTGAATGTCAAAAACAAGAAATTGTAATACCAGAAAAGAATATATCAACTAATTTAACTCATAAATATACAAAACAATATGAAACAAAACATCAAAAAAGAAAAACTATATTTCCAACATATCCAAGTCAATTCATTACAGCGTCTACTTTATATAAACATACAAATCAAACCAATGAACCATTGAATCAAACAATAAATATTACAGAGTTGAATCATTCAACAGGGTATTCCGAACAGGAAAAACACCTTAATTATAGCATTGAAATTGTTAAAAATAAACCATTATCTAGGAAAAACATTACATCATTTCCAACATTCATATTGCAACATAAACTTAGCTCAATAAATTACGTTTCTCATAGTAAATTATGTCAACGACTAATCCAAACTATACAAAAAATCGAATACATAAAAAAATACAAGACTTTATTAAATGACAATTTTATAAACAATAAAGATAAAATTAATTCTCTTAACTTTAGAAATATCCTGTTCAAAAATTCAAGTGACTCTAAACTTATGAAAAAAAATCTTAATTTATCTCAGTATTCAAAACAAAACAATCATAAGGAAAAATCATTGCCTTTGAAAAGCACAGGTTTGAAAGAAATTCAAAAAGAGCAAACATTTACATACAAGCCATCTTTATCCAAAACCATAATACAGCCTGGACGATCCAATCAACTCAAACGCCGCAAAATTATTAGCGATAGTGATGATGACAGCCTTGAATTACCAGAGGTTTCTAATCTAATATATTTACTAAACAAAAAACAAAGAAAAAGAATACTACTAAGTTAATATATAATTTAATGAGATAATATATTTAACGAGATAATATATAAATTAATTATTTATATTTTTAAGGACTTCAACCTTCGAATATCGATTCTAACATCTCGAATTAACATTTAATAAAAATATCATTAATCTATGACAAATCAAGATAAATTTCCAGAAGTTTCAGAAGACGATCTTGTTAATTTCCACAAAAGCCATTTCAATGATCATTTATCACAATTTTTTAATTTTTTTTTGGAAAAAAATGAAGAAAATATATGCAAAAATGCAAACTTTTTAGAACCTATTAAATATCCGGATGGAAATATTAGGACACTAGATGACGAAGATATTGCGTATTTTAAGTGGTCAGAATCATTTAAATCATCAAGTTTACTATCAACGTATTTTTTCATAACTAAATATTACTTTAGAACCAGATCATACAACTTATATTATTTCTAACGAAGATAAACCAGATTTACTTGAAAAAACTGAAATATCACGAGAAGAACTTAAACCTTATATACCTTCTTATTCTAAACTCATCAGAAATGACCAAGAACTTTTTCAAAAATATGGAGAAAAATATAAAATGATTATAGAAGCGGAAGATGCACTTGATTCCTATTATTATAAAATCTCGCAAATGGATGATGATTTTTGTAAAGTAAGCAGAAAAAAGATTAAAATCAATTACTGGCCAGCCATACCTATCCGTATTTGAACAAAAATACTAAAACGATCATCCATGATGAAATCATTTATGTCATCCTTGTCCAGAATTTGGTAATTTATCTACAAGATTATGATGACTTAATAAAATAGTGATTTCTGAGATATATATCAAACTAAAGATGTAAATAATTCGAGTTTTTCCCTAAAAACGCATATATTAAGTCAGATCATTTACAAACACATGTATATTTATAATGCATGAGTAGAAAAATAATTTAAAATATTCCATCAAAAGGGCCGCTGCTTTAGATCTTTAAATGTTAACAAAGTTGATGAAGCAAATCAAAGCAATGTAAAAGCAAATTAAAGCCACCATATAAGAATATGTAGCCCAAAAAAGCCATCAAAAATCATTCACCTTGTATAACAGACCTAACACCCATGTTTCTGAGCCGATTTCTTATCGCAAAATTAAACATAATAATTCCTGTATTATTCGAATTATTCTATCTCGTCTTCATAAGGATCCAGCAAATCATCAAGAATAATATCAGAAGCATTTTCCCTTATGTTTAAAATAAAAAGTTGTAAAAAAAGAATAATAAAATCAAAAAAACATGATTTAAATCGACAATGATGAACTGAAACTTAAGTATTTCAAACTTAAACATAGAAAATACCTTCCCCAACAAAATTGATAAAAATTCCACCATGTAAGTACCCATATTGACCATCCGGAGCATCAGGGAGCATCCATAATAAATGACAGGTTAAACAAAGAAAAAAAGACATAAAAACCATATAAAAAAACACAAGAGGCGATATAACAGAAAAATAAATAATCTTATGTGCATAAATATTCTTTCTTTTCCATTAATCAATCAAAATTTCGTTATCCATATTCATACCAATTGTATAACTGAACGAAGCAAAAGACGCAGAAAACTCTCACTAAAAAACATAAAAACAAAAGAAAGACAAAAATAAATAAGATACTCCATAAAATATACATAAACAATATGAGAATATATCAAAATATCAAGTGAACGGATTAAATTACTTTTAAACAGTTCACTTGTTTTGTATGATCTATTTTGACCTAAAGAACCGTATAAAGGCTCTAAATTCAAAGGATCTGACTCCATTCAAACGTTTTCTTAAGAAATTAAACGCTGAGTTGACCTTTTTACTAAAAAACTAAATTTAATAAATAAAAGTGAGATAAATGATCGTCAGAACGTTTAACAAAAGTTAAAAAAATAAGGGAAATAAATAAGGATATTAAAACAAATAAAAAGACATAAAAATAAAGCTATAAAGAACAAAAAGAAGTATTTTTACTATAAGTTTTCATTACTAATTTTTACGAAAAATAGACACTTTTTTGAAGATTTTTGAAACACCAAATATTATTCAATTATGTCTACCTCAAAAAAAAAACAAATAAATTTAAATAATAAAGATAATGTATATTTTTTTTAATAAGAATGTCTATTTTTTAAAAAAAATTTAGGAAAAAATGATACCATGGGTCGAAAAATAGTATTTTTCTATTATAGTAAGAAAAGAAGCTAATCAAGGGATTAGTCGACCACAAACACTTGATCAAGTAGCATTTCAAGACCATGCAATCTCAGTTCTTAAAAAATCATTACAATCAATGAACGTATAAGCATTAGATTTGATGATATTTTGCTGATAAAATAGCTACCTCATTTGTTATTTTATGGATCTCCAGGAACAGGCAAGACATCAACTATTCTTGCATTAGCAAACGAGCTCTTTGGGTAAATCTTCAAGAATATAAATTGTGCTATTAATATTCTTGTAGCATGGAGTTAATGAAATCACGAGTATTAGAACTAAACGCATCAGATGAACGAGGAATATCAATTATTCGTGAAAAAGTCAAAAACTTTGCACGAATTGCAGTATCTAATAGCTCTGAGTAACAAAAATACATTTTTAGCTGAAAACTTATGCTACTAAACAGACATTCTTGTCCACCTTATAAAATTATTATTTTAGACGAGGCAGATTCTATGACTCAGGATGCACAATCGGCTTTACGACGTACAATGGAAACATATTCTAAAATTACAAGATTTTGTCTAATTTGTAATTATATTACTCGGTAACTTAAATCTTTGTTTTTCATATCTTTTTACCATCTAAAGAATTATTGGACCTTTGGCATCTAGATGTTCAAAATTTCAATTTAAACCTCTTAGTTTTCAACATTCAATGGAAAAACTTAAATACATAGCTTCTTGTGAAAATGTCAAATATGATAAAGGTGTAATTGAAATGCTTATTGAACAATCGAATGGTGATTTACGAAAAGCCATTACATTTTTGCAATCCGCAGCGCGTTTAGTTGACTCAGAGCCTAACAAAAGTTCATTAGAAAATACTAGATCTATTTCTGTTGAACTAATTTCGGAAATCTCAGGCACCGTTCCTGATCATATCATTCAACATCTGCTTTCTATATGTTTTTCGTCCAAAAGTACTCCATCACAATACCATTTGATTGATCAATATGTTTCAGAAATTGTTGCAGAAGGCTATAGCGCTAATCAAGTGATATCACAGGTTTGTAAACCCCTCATTTTAATATTTTTATCATTATTTAAAGTTACATGATTCTATTGTTTCAAACGAACTCATTTCTGGTGCTCAAAAAAATAAGATGGTTCAAATAATGGGGGAAACAGATATGTATCTTAGCGATGGCGGAGATGAGCACTTAAATTTATTGGATCTGATCTTACAATTATCAGAAATTTATACAAAAAACTTACACGCCTAATATCAATCCTGTACTCTCTTAAATATCTTATAAAAATATCTAAAATATAAAAAGCTATACTGGTAACATTTATAGAACGATTATTATATTTCTACATATCCTTTAACATCTCAACACTAACCCTAATAATATATCTACTAATATCGGCTCTACTTAACTAAAATGTCACTAGAAATCAAAATTTTGGACCCTTTATATATATTTTTATCAACTTTTTTCAATCTTCTCATCACACACTTATTTTTAAAAAATTAAAAAATAACACAAACAAGAACTTTTCATTCTAAAACACTTCTTTTACACTCTTATCTACTAATATTTCAATTTAATTAACTATTCATCACACTTTTATCGCGCTATCATCGTTTTAAATATTTTCATTCTCAATTAAACAAAACACAACAATCACAGAAAATACATGTATTTCATATTATTATTTTCTTTTTAAAGTCTCTTAACTAATCTTTTACTCATTTTATCTATGATTTCTTTAATATCGACTAATCAACGACAAAAAAACAACTAATTTTTAAAATGTCTGAAAGAGGGCCTCCAAGAATCAAAAATAAAGCTCCAGCACCAATACAAATAACAGGAAAATAGTGTATATTCTATATTTATTAATAATTTACTTTTTTTTAGCGGAACAGCTGCTTCGAGAGGCATTTGAGAGACAAGAACCAGCCCTTCAAGCACCAAAACAGCGTTTAACAGATCTTGAAGAATTACATGAATTCCAAGGAAGAAAACGGAAGGAATTTGAAGATGCAATACGGAGAAATCGTCTTGCAGTTGGACAATGGGTACGATATGCAAAATGGGAACTTGAACAAAAAGAATTTGCAAGGTTGAAAAACGAATAAATTCATAATAATTTGAACTAAAAAAGACAGAGCACGGTCTATCTTTGAAAGGGCACTGGATGTAGATGCAACAAATGTGCCTTTATGGCTTCATTACATAGAAAGCGAAATCAAATATCGGAATGTAGTTTTTTCAAATTTTTATCTATAATAATTAACAGAATTAATATAGATAAACCATGCACGCAATCTTTTTGATCGTGTTGTTACATTATTACCAAGAGTTGATAAGTTTTGGTTCAAGTATGATCCTTTATAGTTTTCACATACTTTATCATTTTTTGGCCGTGTAAACTAAAACAATGTATAGATATGTGTATATGGAAGAAACACTTGGAAATATCTCAGGAACACGTCAAATTTTTGAACGATGGATGTCATGGGAACCAGGTAAATTTATATTTTCAAAACAAAAATACATCTGATTTGTACAAGATGAAGCTGCTTGGTATGCCTATATTCGTTTAGAAGAAAGATATAAAGAAATATCCCGTGCGAGAGCGATCTTTGAACGATTTCTAGCGTTATATCCAGAACCGAAAAATTGGATTAAGTGGGCACATTTTGAGCAAGAATATGGAACTCCAGGTTTTTTATTTTTTCTATATCATTTTAATAAACATTTATTTTAATATTCATAATAGATAAAGTTCGAGAAGTTTTTACAAATGCAATTGATACATTGGGGGAAGAATTTATGGATGAAAAAATTTTTATTGCATATGGAAAATTTGAAACAAAATTAAAAGAATACGAACGGGCCAGAGTAATTTATAGATATGCTTTAGATCGGTTACCAAGAAGTAAAAGTGAAGCATTATACGATGCGTATAGCTCATTTGAAAAAGTATAAACACTATATTTCTATCAATTTTATTAACTCTAATAGCAATTTGGTGATAAAGAAGGTATTGAAGAAACTATAATGGCTAAAAGAAGAGTTTTATATGAAGAACAAATAAAAGAAAATCCAAAAGTATGCTACCGTTATATACTTGTATTTTAAATTTAAAACATTAGAATTATGATGCATGGTTTGATTATATAAATCTCGAAGAGTCTTCAAATGATCCAGAAAAAATTCGAAATATTTACGAAAGAGCAATTGTCCATATTCCACCATCTAATGAAAAAAAACATTGGAGAAGATATATATATATTTGGATATTTTATGCTCTTTATGAAGAATTAGAAACAAAGGTTTATTTAAAACCCTTAAAATCATATTAATGTTACTAGGATTATGAACGTTGTAGACAAGTCTATAAAGAATGCTTAAAATTAATTCCACATAAATCTTTTACTTTTGCTAAAATATGGGTGTTATATGCTAAATTTGAAATAAGACGTTTAAATTTATCAGCAGCCAGGAAATATCTAGGAATGGCTATTGGAATGTGTCCTAAAAGCAAACTTTTTAAAGAATATATTGAACTTGAGCTTCAAGTAAATCATTAAATTTTTTGTTTAACCTTGCTAAAAATATTAGCTAAGAGAATTTGATCGTTGTAGAACTCTTTATGAAAAATTTATAGAATATGACCCATACAATTGTTATGCATGGATAAAATATGCAGAATTAGAACATATGCTTGAAGATTATGCACGAGTACGAGCAATTTTTGAATTAGCTATTGAAGAACAACATAATCTAGACATGCCAGAGCTTCTATGGAAAGCTTATATTGATTTTGAATTTGAAGAAGGAGAGTACGACAGAACCAGAATGCTTTATGAAAGACTTTTAGAGAGAACTCAGCATGTAAAAGTATGGATAAGTTTTGCGCATTTTGAGTTTTCTGTACCAGATGATTTGGGTAATAATCCAGAAGATTCAAAGGAAAGAGCAAGAAATGTCTTTCAAAGAGCATATAAAAGTCTTAAGGAACAGGATTTAAAAGAAGAAGTAAAAAGATAATACATATTATGCTGTCAACTTAACTTTATTTAGCGAGTGATATTGCTAGAAGCCTGGAAACAATTTGAAATTTCTAATGGTGATGAAAAATCTCTTAAAGCAGTCGAAGATCAAATGCCACAAGTAGCTAAAAGTAGACGTAAATTAGATGACGGATCATATGAAGAGGTAAAAACATCATTACTATATCATATCTTTTTAATATTTAATAGTATTATGACTATATCTTCCCTACTGAAGATAAGAAAAATTTCAAATTACTGGCGATGGCTCAAAAATGGGCAGCAGAAAACAAAAAAAAACAAAATACTACAGAAAAACCAACGGAAAATTAAACACTCATGTAAAAACAAATTACCATGTAAATTATTTTTTTGAAATTGTCATTATATACTACCTTCAGATATTTGAAGGACTTGGATTTATGGTCTATTAAATCCAATACATTCTTATACAACATAAAAATAAACTCTTTAATTCTTTTTCCAGAAAAATAACATTAAAAAATTATTCTGTATGCTTAGTTCGTCTTTTAGATGTTTCTGGCTCTGAAGAATCATGGTTATTGGATAAGTCACTAGCTTTCAAGTCATTGGTAGTTTTTGAATCATCGTTTTCCGTCTCCAATTCAAGAGCCTTAGATTCAGCAGATGAATCAAGTTTTGACTAAAATCAAAGTAAATCATAAAAGAAAACAACCATTAAACTTACATAAGTAAAAACCAAGCTGACAACTCCGTAAAGAATAGCTATAAGAGTAAGAAATATAGTTGCTACAGTGGACGCAGTCCCGGGCATTGTCTTAAAAGCAGAAATAGGATCTTTTACTAGTAAATCAACAAATATAAAAAATTTCTTTGCCAGAATATCGAAGTATGAAACATCCGGAGTAAGTGTTGGTGATTGTGTCTCGGCGGTATCTTTTTTTTCTTGGAATGTCTCACTTTTATATTTTAGTTCAAAAGTAGCTTTAGCGAACTTCTCCGCTTCTGCTACTGAATGCCCAATATATATATTGTCAAACAAAATATCGCTCTGCATTGTCCATAATTCAAAGCCAATCCCAATAAATGATTCAAAATCAGATGGTGACTTGTCTTCAAAATAATCTGGATTAGGAATTTTACGTGGTTTCCTTGATAATTGATTAAAAAACAACTTGTTATCAAAAAAAAACAAACCATTCTCCAATATAATTTGGATTGTCAATAAGAGGCGGAGTCCATACTATAATAAAATAAACATACACAAAATAGTATATTAAAAAATACCCCCTTTATATTTAGGATTCTGTATCATTGGTTCAAAAGGCCCACATCCAGCTGCCTTTTCACATGCAGGATTAGGTATCATTGGAGCCTAGCAATAAAAATAAGAGCACTTTCTAAATAAAAACTTACCATAAAATCACCGTCTTCATCATCATTCCATTCGTCGGGTTTAGAAACATCTAAAAACATAAAAAAAAGCTAAAAGAAGAAAATATACAAACTTGGATCAGGAATCATTAAAGGTTCGTTTTCAAGCCAATTTGTTGGTTTTATAGCATTTACATCCAAAATCTGAGGAGGCTCGCTTTCATCCCAATCATCAGGCTTTTTTGCATTCTTATCAACAATCTTAGCATCATCAACCCAACCAACCGGTTTTTTATCAGTCGGATCAGAAATAAACATATCTGGATTCACAGGTGGTTCAAAATCGTTCAATAAACTTCCCATTTTAAGTGGTTTGTTATTGATACGGATTTCAAAACTCTGATCCGGCCTAACTATCAATGTATAAAGTGTTGTAAACTTAGTCTCTTCAATCGTAGGCGGCGATTTAAGATGTTTCTCTTCATATTTACCCGTTTTCGGGTTCTTATGCCGAAAAATAAAATGCACCTTGTTTGTCGCTCCACACTTATCCGGACCAAACATCTAAACCCCAGTTACTCCAAGTCCATACATTTTAATCCAACAAATTACAATTGTATATGGTGTCTGATTACTAAAGTCTTTAAAGCGAATATCTTCCTGAGACTCCGTAATCAATTTTAGATATGCTCCACCACATTCTAAATCATTCTGAAGCTTAACCTCATACTGAACTACTAACACTTTTCCCTTATTGTTCAGAGGCTCTGAAAATTTTGCCGAAATAGCATGATGCGCAGCCTGTTTCTTAAGTACAAGTCCCATATCCCCGTTAATTCCCTTATATACTGTCGGCTCCTCAACCTTCCATTCTCCATCATAAAACACTGTATTATTCCCATCAGTTAATCTCAATGCTGACGATACTGTCCACCGAGTTTGCCAGTCTGATGTAAACTGTTCAACAAATTTCGCATTACGTACATCCGTTGACTCCATATATTAATACGAACTATTCCTATTCTTACATGTATATATACCTTAAAATCAGGCAATTTCAGTGATTCTTTAGCTTTATTTTCTGGAACTGCGTATACTCCAATATTTTCATAGAATCCTACTGCACCAATAATGCTCAAAAACAAGCATCTTTTTAAAAACATATTCATCATAAATTAATATATTTTCACTCAATTTAAGCAGTTTTTGCACAATCAATAGACTTTTACTTAAGCACCCTTTATTCGACACTTCGTTTTTGTCAATAAACTCCAAATCCAAAGAATCTTACCAATTCAAATAGAAAACTATGTATTTATCAAGAAAACCGAGTATTCGTCAAAAATTCCTTTTTATCAAGAAAAAAATGCTTCTAAAGTTTGCAAAAAAAGATTAAAATATTTTTCTTGAGACACTTGAAATTTAAAAAAAAACCAGAAAGAGGGTGTCCATAAGAATATAAATATATATATAAATGTATATAAGTTTTTGTAAGAAAAGAAACTGAAATAAAAAAGAAAATGAGAAAAATAAAACAATGATAGATTTATGTTTTCTTAATCGGCAAATGTTTTTGATTGCGACGCCAAAAGGTGATGAGCTGCAAAATTAGAAAAAGAAGAAAAATACAGAAACATACGGTTTTTGCAGTTACTTTAGGCTCGTCTTCATGGAGAAAATGACCGGTATCATGAATAGTAACTAATTGAAACTTTCCCTGCATCTGAGCAATCATCAATGTTTTGTCAAGTCTATCAGTGTTTGAAAGAACAAGTAATTTTGGAGTAGGAATAGCTAAAAAACATTCAGAAAGTCCAGAAAACCAATCTGATATAGGTAAATAACATGGAAAAAAAAACAGAGATCTTTACTAAGCCAAAATGGCTGTGTTTCACTTAAATTGACACGCCAAATCCATTTGCCATGTGTTGCATTCTGAACAGGTAACTTCTTGAGCAACATTGGAACAGAAATACGGAGAGACTGTTCGTTTTTGACGACTTTATTTTTTAAACTGCAAAAATGTCAAATAATAAATAACAATATGTGTTATTTACTGCCAATCAATACATTCCTCTATAGTATCAAATGCTTTGGGGCGCTTCGAGAAATAATATGTCATCTTTGAAAAAGAACTAATAACAGAACCTATACAAATTATTAAAAAATATTGTTACTGGAATATCCATACCTTCAACTATATCAAGAACCACACAACCAATAATGCCTGGTACTAACCGTTCTTTTGCTACATAAGTAAGTACAGCACCGCCTAAACTATTTCAAATATAAGAATAGCTCAACTATAAAATACAACACAGTTAACACCTATGTCCGACAAGAATAATCTCCATAGTTTCTTTATATCCAAGATATTCTCTTACAAGCTCTAGCATTAGTACAAAATCCTTGCATAACTCATCCAGACGAAGATCCATCTTTCCATCTTTCAATATATCATCTGAATCACCATGTCCACGAATATCATATGCCAAAATACCACATTCACCATCTACCAAAGACGTTATCTCCTTAGCAAGACACGCAAAACTCAGCCCACACGACCCTGCTCCATGATGCATCACAAAAAAAGTTTGTACACGTTCTTTCTGAACATTAAGCCACTTTGGACGCGTGATATACACACGAAAAGATGAAAGTTTTAACGATTCTTCAAAGTATCCAGACCATAAGGAATTTAGATTATTAGATGCCTTATTCATAGATATACTCTTCTGTCCAGAACAAAAAGCACATAAATCTCCAGGAAACTACTCATTACAAAAATTAATACCCAATATATCCAAAAATATAGTCCTTTACACCCTGATAAAGCTAAAGACACAACTTTTTTGTTTTTAACACCTACTAACCCAAAATTAACGTACAAACTCGGCTCAAAATCCACAGACAGACAAAAATACTAGAAAAGATACTCCTAAAGTGCTAATACCAGGTCTTAATAAGTTATTTCACACAATTTGCATGTCTTTTATTTATAAAAATCGCTAATATAGTGTTTGAACGATCAGCGTTTTGACGGTGACGCCACTCGCCAAACGACAGATAACCCTATGGGTTGTAGTCAAAGGCCTGGAAGAGCCAATTAAGCAGAAAAAGAGCACTAAACCAATGTATTTTTAACTGTTTAACAAGTCGATGGGTCTAAATAAGCTGATTGGCACTTTTACTACGTTTTTTCATAAAAACAGCCATTTTTCAACAGACCAAATCAAGGCAAATAAATATCGTTTAAATGGACTATTTGACCTATTTAAACAGCTTACTGGTCTTTCTTAAGCTCTTTTAGAGCTTCTGAGGGTATATTCGCCCCAATTCCTCTGTTTCTATCGTTTCTATCCTCCATCAAGGCAAGGATGATATAGCCTATCAAAACAGCGTTTGCCATCAATACCGCAATAATTGCAGCATATGTTGTCTTATTGTCTAAATTGAATCATAAGAAAGCTGTTTTAAGGCCTTTGACCCTACAATCAAAAACATATTTCAAAGATAAATAATAAGATGAAATAGGGACGATAACCATCGCTGTTGAAAACAAAAAAAATTTAATCAAAGCATCTCTGGACAATATTAACACTGGAAACACAGTTTAAATAGCATACGATCTATTTATTGTCTTATCTGACTGTTCTATACCTTTTGACGTCATTTTGTCCGCAGCTCGTTATATTGTGTGTCTTAAACATCGACAACGAATCTAACAGATACGAACAACCAAATTGAAAGAATATCTATAAATCACAGAGAAATGAAGATATTTAGAAGGCCTTACATATGTTTGAAAAAAATAAGGAATTGTTGAAGCGTTATTGGTCAAATGAAGATTCATTAAACGAAGACAAATATAACAATATGGATACAAGTTTTCAAAATAAAAAAAGATGTATTGATTTAACAGAAGAGTCCCCAAATGGGCTGAAAACTGAAAGATCATCAGTTATCCAGGTTCCTTGTTCATCACCAATAGCATTTTCGTCATTTTTGCCGAAGAATATAGAAATCAAAAAAGATATAGATAATTTAACATCATCGGAAGAAGAGGAAAAAAAAGATTTGATAAGGAAAACAAACTTTGTTCCTGAAACAGTGAAGACAAATCTATCTGAATATAGTAAAAAAAGTGAACATCCAACTTTGAAGAAAACATTTGAATCTATTCAAAATCAAGATGAAGATGTAATAACTGTTATTGAAGAATCTCCTATGGGTAAATTTAAAGAATATATGTCTAAATTTCGCTATGGTGTACATGAAGACACGCGTTTTATTTCAAATCAACAATTCCAATCATCGAATACATCTAGTTTGTTTACAAATCCAATATCTAATATACAAATGGAAAAAAAAAAACTTTTTGCAAACAATGCGGAAAAAAATGTAAATAGGAATGCATCATTCCAAGAAAAAATGAGTTTTTTAAAAAAAATTTACCCGCATTTACCATATTATGTTCTTGAAAACATGATAAACTCAACAAAATTTGAAAATATAGATGAAATTGTAAATTTTGACAACATAGATATTACGAATCTAGAAACACCAATAGTGGATACGCATGAAAAAACGTCATCAAAAAGAACTTTGCAACATCCTCGTTATACTATTAGAGAAAAACATATCAATTCTACACAAAATCAAAAATATATCACACCAGTTAATCGTGAAAACAAAATTGTTCAAAAGAAAAGACTTATTAGAGGTATATCTCGTACGAAAAATAAAGAAAAAGAAGATTTTTCTGTATCAGATGATTCTTCAGTATCCGATGAAAAAATAAATTACAACAATGAACTAGAAGAAGATGTATTAAATTTTTTAAATGAACAACAAGCGGAAAGAATAGCAGATTTGGCAAATTGTACTCTGGAAACAGCAAAAGAAATTATAGAATCTAGACCATTTCAGAACATTGATTCAGTAAAAGCAATTCGAAGTAAAGAACATAAAAAAGATGTAAAAGATAAACGAAAAGAAAAAAAAACTATAGGCACAAAAATTTTAGAAACATGTCTAGAAGTGAGATAAACTAAACATTTATTAATAGATATTTATATCTCTATAGATGATGGAAGGTTATAAAGCAATAGATTCTCTTATTTCTAAATGCAATGAATTAGGAAAATCTATTTCTAAATCATTATTAGGCTGGGGGTTGGAAATCGTTTCAGAAAATGGAGAACTTAGTATTGGTTGCGATGATATAGATAAGATTCATACAATAAATGATCGTATGTTTTAGCTAATTTTTCATTTTTTTTAAATATTATTTAGATGAATATATAAACCAACAACCAAGTCTTGTTCCAGACACAATTAAACTAAAACGTTATCAGCTCTTTGGTGTAAACTGGTTAAATCTTTTGTATAGAAAAAAGTTATCCGGGATACTAGCAGATGAAATGGGTATTTCCTTTTATTGTTTAGGAATATATTAATGTATCTGTTTATACAGGGCTCGGAAAAACATGTCAAATAATAGCATTTTTTGCATATTTATTAGAATTAGGAAAAGTAGGACCTCATCTTATTGTTGTTCCTGCATCTACACTTGGTATAACTTTTTGTATACTTTCCACTGGAAATAATTATCTTTAGAAAATTGGCTTCGTGAATTAGCAAAGTTCTGCCCTGCTCTTAAAGTCGAACCTTATTATGGTAATACAAACTCTTTTTAACCATAATTAATCAAAATAGGCACTCAAAATGAACGATTAGATATAAGGTACCATTTAGAAGAGAATCCTGATTATAATATAATAATTACTACGTATAACTTAGATATAGTTTTATTATTATTAATAACAAAACAGATATCAGTTAGCTACTGGAAACAAAGAAGATAGAGTGTTTCTTAGACGTCAAAAGTTCGATGTAAGTTTTAAAATATTTCTTACTTATTAAATGTCCTAGGTTTGTGTATATGATGAAGGTCATTTCCTTAAAAATAGCCTATCCGAACGATATAAACATTTAATGAATATTAATGCCAATTTTCGTCTTCTTCTTACAGGAACGGTAATTATTATTTTATTTTAATGTTTATTAATAAATCAATTTATTATAGCCTTTACAAAATAATTTAAAAGAATTAATTGTAGAAAAGTCTGATATTTAAAAACAGTTCTAACATTATTTCTAGTCTCTTTTATTTTTTATTTTACCAAAATTGTTTTCAGAAAATATTGAAAAGTTAACTACTGTTTTTAAAACAAAGACAATTAATGATAACAATATGGAGTCAACTTTACTTTCGCAGCAACGCATTATGTGCGCAAAGTCAATGATGACACCTTTTGTCTTAAGAAGAAAAAAAATACATGTAATTACATTTTTAAATTTTATCATTTTTATTTTTAAAATTAACATAGGTATTAAATGATCTTCCAAAAAAAATTCAACGTGTTGAATTTTGTGAAATGAACCAAGAACAACAAAGTATCTATAATGAATGCATTTCTAACCAAAAGAAATCAATGGAAACAAAAGATGAAGAAGTTGATTCTAAAATAGACAAAAAACGGCCATTTAATGTTCTTATGCAACTTAGAAAAGCAGCGAATCATCCTTTACTATTCCGTCGAATTTATAATAACAATATGCTTAAAAAAATCGCAAAAAATATAATAAAGGAACCAGAATATCACAATTCTAATCAAAAATATATTTATGAGGATATGGAAGTAATGACTGATTTTGAATTACATCAATTATGTAAAAAATATCCATCTATACATTCATTTGCTTTAAAGGGAACACCGTGGATGAATTGTGGAAAAGTAGAAAAGCTTAAAAATTTACTTATAGAGAAAAAAGAAAGGGGGGATAAAGTTTTATTATTTTCTCAATTTGTAGAAACCTTAAATATTTTGGAAGAAGTGTTAGAAACGTTAAATATAGCATTTACTCGTTTAGATGGAAGAACATCCGTAGACACACGCCAAGACATCATTGATCAGTTTACTGATGAAATAGATATAACCGTTTTTCTTCTTTCTACAAAAGCAGGTAACAAAATCATTTTATATCAATTTATTTTACATTCATCTTCAGGCGGGTTTGGCATAAACCTTTCTTGTGCTAATGTCGTCATACTTTATGATGGATCTTTTAACCCTCATGATGATAGACAAGCTGAAGATAGAGCACATCGTGTTGGCCAAACACGAGAAGTTGAAGTAATTCGTCTGGTTACAAAAAACACTATCGAAGAATACATACAATCACTAGCAAATACAAAGCTCACATTAGATTCAAGAGTAAGCGGTTTAGATGATGAAAGAATAGAATTAAAGGCAGAAATGTTTGTTAAACATTTACTTGAAAATCCTTCACATCAATCGGAACTCTGTACATAATAATTCATATTTTGGCATATGTAAATAGAAAAGTAGAATTCTTTTTAATTCTTCATATATAAAATATCTACAGAAATTTCATCTACAGCTTATCGTTTTATCAACCTTAAAATTACATCGTACAGAACAGCTAAACACGTTCATCAACCTTTAAAAAATAGAAATTTTGAAATATCAGCTTTAATGTTTACTTAAAGACTATAAAATAAAGAGAATATTTTAAATATGAATGTATATGATACATATGATCTTGAATATATTGATTTGAAGCGGCTGGAATCGCGCACGCGTTATGAATCAACATTAGAAGAAATTTTTGAACGTTATGGGAGAGATATGACAGAAGAATCAGACGAAGTAGATTTAAGAACAGGAGAAGTCATCGTTGATCGAGGCCATCTTAATAGTCTCCGAGTTTCATGGTTCGTTGGCGAAGAAACACTTAATTTTAACGATGATAATCATGAAAATGATTTTTTTGAAAATATCTTATCATTAATATCTACAAACAGAAGAAATACACAGATGAGCAATAAAGATGTTATAAAGAAAAGATTTCCAAAAAAATTTCCTTCAAAAGAACAAATTTTTCAACAATTTGGCAGTCTTGGACCATCTATTATCAAATTAATTGAAAGTCAAAAAAGGAAACAAAAGCAGTATTTTAAAAGGAAAAAAAAGACTCTAAAGTGCTCAAGAAGAAATAGCAATGAATTATATAATTCAGAAATTCAAGAAATGAATGCACTTACACATCTTAGTTCACGAGCAACATCTTTTAAATTTCAACAAATGCCTATTAACATTTTAGAGAATGCGCACAGAAAAGTAACAAGTAGTTTTAATAATTTTTTTATTAAGAACAACCAGAATACATTATTTAATTCACTACATAATGTCAGACGTTTTGATATAATTATTGACTGTCCTAAATCGAATCACTCATTCATTCAATATTCAAAAACAGACCATTCTTCACCAGGAAATGCACTAATTGCAAAGAATATGTCCGCTCATCCTTCATCTACTCATTTTTTTGATGAATATTATAATTTTGCTCCAAGTTCACAAATAAAATCAGCATGGGCATTCAATAGTCAACCATACAGCGATTATATATATTCAGTTTGTCCATCACCTTCTGAATCAACTTCTCACTCAGAAACAGAGCACCAATCCATAACTACATCTACTGAGCAATATACTGATTCCGATACTGAAAACACACATCAAAAAAAACTTCATTGCAATAAACTGTTTTGTTTTACTTGCTCATGTTTATGATTTTTTCTGTATAATTTTTATTAACAAAACCCACAAGTTTTATACTGGATATTATTTCAATCTTTTTATCGTAGACAACAACGATTGCACAATTTGTATATTTTTAGAATTTATTAAAAAAGAAATGAAGAAAGATTTAAACAGATACATATCTTAAAAATAATTTATTTTCATGTTAGATTTTTATTGGGTTCGATTTATTTTATCTGGTTCAAACCGGTTACTCTGGCAAACGGCTTATTCAAGATGCTATAGTACTTCATGGATAATAAGAAGAAATACAAAAACTCAAGAAAAAGTATATCCTTATCGTTCTGGAGGTACACTATATAATGATTTGCCTGAAAATTTACCAGAAAAATGTCGAAAAACCGATGCTGCATCGTTAATAACAGAAAAAATACCACCTCGACAAGTTCAAATGTTGGTTCGTGATTTTATTGAAGATTCTCTTTATAATCCATTTTATGGGTACTATAGCAAACAGGCATGCATCTTATCAACACCAATGCCATTTGAGTTTTCAAAAATGAAAAATAATAATAGTTTTTATAAAGAACTAAGTAAGATCTATACAGAATATGATAAAGCAGCGGCCCAGGAGGGTATACAACATCCCAAGCAACTATGGCATACGCCAACAGAGCTATTTAAAGTATGTGCATAATTATTAGTTCATTTTTATAACTTATTTAATAGCCATATTATGGAGAGGCTATAGCGCGTTATTTGTTGACACATTATAAATTATCCTACTATCCATATGATGACTTAAGAATATATGAAGTAGGCTCAGGCAATGGCACGTTAATGTTCAACATTCTAGATTATCTCCGTAATATAGATCCTGATGTATATGCCCGAACAAAATACTGCGCCATTGAAATAAGTCATTCACTAGCAACACAGCAAATAAAGACACTCAAAAATGCTAAAAACTATTATGAACATCAAGAAAAAATTGAAATTATTAATAAAAACATATTTGATTGGAACACACTAGATCCGAATCCTTGTTTTTTTATATTATTTGAAGTATTAGTGAGTATTGTCCATCCTTTATATCATTTAATAAACCTAAAAGGATAATTTTTCACATGACTTGATACGATACAATCCGATAACACAACAACCTTATCAAGCAATTGTAGTAATTGATGAAATTGGTGATATTCATGAATTTTATTCGCCTAATTTAGATCCGTTAATTATAAAGTATCTTTCAATAAAAAGAAAAATCACTGAAGAATATAATCATAAATATAAAACCTTCTTTTATTTTTTAAAACGATTAAAAACATTTCTTCCCTTTTCAGAAAACTTAATTAATCCAGAATTTATACCTACAAAACAACTTATTCTTTTTGATGTTCTTCGAAAATATTTTCCACAGCATAATTTAATCATATCTGACTTTTCTTCTCTACCGGAGGCTATTCAAGGTCTTAATGCTCCATTAGTTCAAACACGATTATCTGGTATGACAATTCCATGTTCAACATATTTAGTAAAACAAGGGTAATTTTTGTATATTCATTAAAATACATTTAATTGTTTAGGTATTTTGATATCATGTTTCCAACAGATTTTCAAAATTTAAAAGATTTATACAGAAAAGTCTGTTTACAATCAGGAGAAACTAAACTTATAAAAATTTATGCTCATAGAAAGTTTCTTGAACAATGGGGTGATACAAAAGCAACTAAAACAATTAGCGGCGAAAATCCAATGTTAGACTGGTTCGAGAATGTAAAGTTCCTAATCACACAATAATGCTTTTTTTGACTACTCTACCTTGTATTGATATTACTTATAATATTTTTAACAAATAATATCAATACCTGTGTCACATATATGAACCAGCAAACACATGTAAACCATAAAATCTTTCATAAATTTACTCTTTAAACACCCTAATATAATGTTATGAAAACTTCCATCGATTGCCACCTTAAATATATTAGGAAATATATATTTGTTCACAAACATCCTTACAAACTTGACATTCGCAAAATGTAGTCATCTACAAGTTTAATTAAAAAAATATATAATATAAATATATATTATACTGGTTCATCTGCACTTCGAGTTTGCATCTGTAAAATATGTAGCGTATATCCCAATCAGAATTTTTAGTAAATACCTGATAATAAGAAACTTTTCGTTGTTTACACTAAATAGCTATAAGATTTTATAAAAATAGTAAATAATGTACTTTTCCACACTGAAATAAATCTGTTATAGCCTTAATTGGTTTAGCGCCTTGAGCATTAAAAAGATTCATTTCTTCAATCTTTTTGTCTTCCTCTCTTCGCTCTTTTGATGCCATTTCTTGAGGCGTCATGGTACAAAATCGTGGTATACTAAGCTCACCACTAACAACATTTTGACGTAGAGTAGGATTATTCTTATCCTTTAAATTTAAAAACAAAGACCTCATTTTCTGTCTATAAGAACCATCTGTTTTACACAAACATGAATTAAAAACATATTCATCAATAGCTTTTGCTTTCGAAAGAATAGTTGCACTTGATTCTTCAGAACCATATACTAATGCATTGTAAATAAGATGAACACAATTATCCCTAACTTTATCCCCCGTAATATTCTTTTCAATACAATCTGTTGTTGAATCCCTTGTTTTTTCAAAAGTATTTGGTGTTGATAATTCAGATGTTGTTATTGGTGTATCTGTTTTATTTTCTGCCAAAGACACTTTCTTCCCACTCTTCATGGCACTCATATCTTCTTTCCACTTCTTAACAATCTCTTTAGCTAGATCTGCTACATATTTCTCTGAATAATTTCTTAATTTTCCAACTGTAATTCCTAACTTAGTATCCTGAAAAAAACTTAAAAAACAAGCAAAAAAAGATACTTAAGACAATATTACAATAAGAAGAGACTCTGAAACAATAACTTCCTTCTTTAAAAGATTCAATATATCTACAATAACCTGTTAATTACGTCAATTCCTCATTAAATTAAAAAAAGTCAAAAAACCATTTGATTTCGATCTTGAAAGGCTTTTTGAAGGTCTTTATGAACTTTACGGACTTCTACAATATCCATTTTATGCTTTCTGCTGTGCTTCAGCAGATCCTTTAGAATTTTAAAGAAGTCTTAAAATATCATGAATCGTATACCGTCTGAAACAGACATAAAATTAACAGTGGATTAATGAGATGGGAAAAAATAAAAATAAATAAAATACATAAACTACTTCCTACTTGACAATTTCTCAACAACCTCTTTTTGAAGCCGAGTGCCTTCTTTCTGTTGAGATAATTTGGAAATTGAACGCAGTTCATTACAAATATCTTTTGTTTTACCAAAATAAACTTCCTGTAATATATTTCTCATCTTAATTTCCATATCCTCAACAAGACGACCAACATGAGCAATATGAGAACTTGAATCGTCAACAGGAAGCTCTTGTTCAATCTAATTTTTTAAAGTATAAATATATATATATACATATACTACCTGTCGTGTAATATTACCACTTAAACTCATTTGACCCAATATATCATTTTGTGTCATCATATGAAGTATAATAGTGCTCGTAAGTCTGTAACGTACTGTTCGAGAAGTATCAGGAACTTCAAAAACATGTATAGAATCCCAGTAACCAGTATTTTTCGAAGACTCTGACCACAAAATGGTAAATACGTAACAAAAATAAAAAGAAAAGCTCAGTATATGAAAAATGTACCTTTTTTAATCAATACTACACCCGCAAAACCATTATCGAGATCCCATAAATATACACTTGAAATTCCCCCTTCATAATATCTTTTATTGATTAAATTGTATTCTTATCACTTTTTTTAAAAACATACAGTGTTCTGTATATATCAAATGCTTCGTTAAATGCAATTTCTAATTTACGTGTTTTTTCATTTGGTATAATCCCATCTACTAATACTGGAGTATATTCATTGCTCCAAGGTGAACGGTAAGAATCTCCATCTCTATTATAATCACATGCTAAATAAAGTTTTGATGTCTTTGGGCATTTTTTTATCTGCAAAGGCTGGTCAACTGATGCCAAAAGGTCTTCTGTTAAATCTGGTGCTATTTCAAGAACTGCTGCTATATTTTTTGTTATATCTTGAGATGGAAGACGTCTAAACAAATCTAATGCTGCATCCAATTGCTGGGCCTTTAAATATTAAAAATAAGCTTTAAATATTTATTTCTTTAAGTTTACCATATTTAAATGTTTTATTAAAGGTTCAATATTTCGATGGAGTTGAAAAAATCATGAAAACAAGTTATATTTTAAGGTGACATTATACAACAATTTAAAATGAGTTGCAGTGAACAGAATACATTGAAAATGAGAGATTATAAATGAGTTTTGCATATATTATATAAGAATAAAAACATTTTGATTTTTATAAATAAGCAAGTGAACGATCAATTTTCAAAAGATCATAAATAATTGTTTCAACGGGCATCCCTGATTTACGAGCCATATCCTTCTGTTTATTTCTTTCAAGATTATTATATTGATAAAGCAGTTTTCCATCTAATATTCCACGAGCAGGATTTGATGTTTTACTAACATAGGTAGAGGTTCTAAAATGACAATAAATAAGGTTTCCAAATATATACAGCAAAAATACCTATATGAAATAGGGTTTAAACCGGCTACTTTATCCTCTGTATTAATAAGCTGACCTTGAATAAAATAAAGTCGTCTATATGTTTTTTCAGGAAGCGAAATTAATACACCCATAGATCCATCTTGAGAAGCACACAAACATAAAGAATCTTGATTTTTAGAAGCCCTAGTTTCTTCTTTATCATTTACGTTCTGAGGAAATGCTTCTTTAGGAAGCATCAATATAGATTTTATATGAGAACCTACGTGGAAATCTCCACGTTTAAGCAATTTCTGACCAGAAAACGATTGAGGATCTAATACTATTAGAATTAACAGAAAAACATGGAAACAAAATACTCTCAGGGTCATAATTAAAAACATGAATATTCCCATCATCGTCACCAATGACAAAATATAAATGTTCATCATCTACCAGAAAATCTGCAGATGAAACAGATAAAGAACTATGATCTTTCCCAAAAAGAACCATTTTATAAGGTTCTTCCTAATTTACTATTTAGTACAATTATCAAAAATATCCTATATACTGACAGAAAACCCTACAAAACATATACTTTTCATAATATCTCCGAACAAAAGCATGTTTCGTATATTTTTGGCTACAGAAACATACATATTCAAGTCAATAAATGCAGTTCCAACTAATCTATCATCATTTTCCAAACTTCGAACAATAATCTAATTATGTTAAAAATATGTATTGTATAATAAATATATTTAATATTAAACCTTTTGTCGTTGAGCACTTAAAAGATAACCATTTATATCACACAATGTAGAAACAACACCTTTAACTTCTTCACGACAAACCAATTTCAATTTTTTGTTTGTTTCAGGCCTATTTGGCTCGGGTATCACATCAACTATTTCAAAAAGATATGTTGCACCACGCATAGCTAAATCTTCTCCACGAAATATACCAGTACCAACAGCAATAAATTCTTTACGGGCTTTAGTATATTCAGAAACCTCAAGGTTAACTGATTTAACAGTAATGGCAGCTTCATTTTTAGCAAACGAATATCTTCATGAAAAGTAAATACTAAATTAAATATTATATAGAAATACCTATCAATTATTTCCCATGTTCTAGGGGATAATAATTCCAAAAAACCATGAGGAAGTTTAGAAGAAACACTAGAATCATCTACAAAAATGAGTTATCAACATTGTATTTTTAAATGACTAACTTTCATGATCAAACATAGGCATATTATCTTCGTCTAAAACTTCATAATCTTCTAGCTCAGAAGTAGAAATAGCATAAACATGTTTCGAGACATGGTATGCAATAGAACTAACTGTTCTTCCAATCGCTACATTTTTTATAGCCATAGACCCATCATAAATAAAATCATCATTTAATTTCCCAATATTTATAACATCCTAAACAATTAAAAAAAATATTACGAACAAAATAATACCTCAGAATCACTATAAATAAACCCATTTTCATAATTCAAAGCATTAAAAGAAGAAAATTTCATTATTTTATTTTTTGTATTTACACAAAATATGCGTGGTAATGAATGTGGTGTTTTAATAATAAAATATGAAAGCTCACCAGCAACGAAGACGCATTTAATACCATTCTTACCAGAAAAAGGTATCATAGATTTCCCAGATAGCGAATAAACATTATTTTTAACATTATCCGACCCATTAGATTGCATATCATGATTTTGATAATTACAAAATGCAGATATGCTTGTTGTAAGTTTAAGTGTTTCAATTTTTAAAAAACGTAAAGGAAAAGAAGTCGACTCATCCTCAGTATACAGAAAACCTTTATAAATAATTACATCTTCCCATTCAGTACGAGCCTATAAAAGTAAGATAAAAATAAATTTAGCATAAAATAGAAAACAACCAATATATAAGGTTCATCCATTTTACTATCCAAATTCGTAACCAATATTTCCTGAACTTTATTTTCATAAACTTCATATATATTTTCATCATCAAAATTATTTTGAATAATTCTAGGTAATAAAGAAAAATTGGATTTAAAAACACAATCCATAGACGGAAGACGACAAATCTATAGTAATTAGTTCATTGTTATAATTGTTAATTAATGAATACCTTAAATTCATTATTTTCAAACAAAATAAAACAAAAAAAGATAGATAAAAAATCTAAAGATTTTGATATAAATGCATCATCAAAAATATTAATGGAAATCTCCTGAAATTTCGAATTGGTATTTCCGCTAGATTCCTTTTTTTTAGGGAATGCATATTTAATATGATTAGATAAATCATCTACAAAATAATTTGAAAAATTCTGATTTATAATTCCTTGAGGAGAAAAAAAACACGCCGAAACTATTTTTTCATTCTAAATAAAATTAAATAACATAGATACATTCAAATATATTACTTTTAAGATTGCAGGAAGAAAAAGCTGAACAAGTTCTTTAGATTCTGGCTCAGCAAACAATATAAAAAACTTATTACTTTTAAGCTTTAAAAAAACATAAGGATCCATTATACACGCATAAACAATTGTTTCATTCAAAGAATCATCCTTATCACATAATGAAATATATTGTGTTAAAAATATGTCTAAATAAAAATAAATATGTCTTTTTTTAATTCAGATTATACCAGTATTATAAACTCTAATACTATCGCATGATACTTGTAGAATTTTTGTATGATTAAAAATAGTACCTACTTCTATAGTATTCCCACATGTATCAAATTCTGTATTTTGTATTTCATCAAAACTTTCACCAACGGTAAATATCTATAGTAAAATTAATATTCTACTTTCGCTTTATTTCGGAGACATACCATACTTTCTTTTGACTTTGAAACAAAAAAATAATTATCTAAATTATTTCTTGAAGTAGACGATTCATCTACAAAACCTTGTATATCAAAATTTCTAAGAAAAATAGTCCACAGCCCACAACAGCCGGGAAGTCCAAAACCACCAATAACATCAGGTTGTATACTTTTCTATTTAAAGTCAAATATATTTACTATTATATTATCAACTTTAACCTTAAAAATGCTAACAGAACCAGTTCTATTTTTCCCAGTAGCTACTACTAAGTCAAGAACATATTGATCCTTTTAAAATTAGTACTTTTGATAATATACATTTTAAATAAACCGTACTTACCATATAGGACAAAAAAGATCTCCCAATGGTCATATCAACAATAGGTCCACAACTATATAAAGTATCAAATAAACGAAACTGTATATCTCCAAAAACTCCATTTCTTTGTAAAATACTACTGGTATCAACAATATCAAAATCTTCTCCATACAAATCATTTAAAACTTCTCTATCTTCATCAAATATTACTCGAGGTTCTGATAATAATTTCTCTGCAATTTCGCTTTGTCTTTTCCATTCCAATAATACACTATTAGAGACTTTGCTTCCAATAAACAATTGTTCATTGTTTAATAAAACTATACAGCTTGCTTCTGATTTCAAAAAATCATTTTTAACACTTTGATCCAATATTTTTACTGAAAGAGAACTGACAACTCTTCCATCTAACTTAAACCCAACCTGAACGAACCGTCCATCCTCGATAACCAATAAAACAGCACCAGGTTGATCATCTAATAGTTCCAAATATACCCCTACAGCTCCATTAAGTCTTAAATTAAGATCGTAATCTTCAATAAAATCCAAATGTGTGCATTTCCTCGCAAAAGAATTTACTGAAACAGCTTTAACTCGTGCTGCTTGGTCAACGTAGACCAACTCGTTATTTCCAATAAGAAGAGTACCTCCAATAGGATTTGGGAGAGGTAATACGCTAAACAAATCATAGGGAAGCTTATCAACAGTATAAATAGCAGTTGATGCTTTTTGTTGAAGATCTAATGTAATTGCCGTAAAACTCATCGTATCTTGACGATATGGAAGAAGTCCTGTTGACGTTTGAAATGCGGAATAAAGAATAGCAAGAGTAGGTTCTCGATAATCGTAAAGATAACCACAATCAACAATATGTGAAATCCCTTCATGCATTTGTTTCGAAGAAATAACAGAGGATGAATAATATGGTGATTGAGAAGACTCTATATCTTGGGTATTTGTCGTCATTATATCATCATCTAAAGAAAGAATATCTTTCTGGCGAAAAGGAATGATTGCAAACATATCCCGATAAAATCTAAGCGTTACACACCTATAAGACGGATCCATAACCAATTGTGTACTAAATTCAAGTGACAAAGACGACCGATATTCTTCTTTTTCATAGAAATGGATACTTACTGTTGAAATGCAAAAATTCGCCTTATCCCATTCCAAAAGAGACACTTTTGCTTCTCTAAAAGATACCAAAATACATTCTCTCTTTGTTATTTCATAATCTTTCGTACGAACCTTGCTCATAGACGTAATCTCCCCATACAACTCTGTTTCATATATAAGGACCAATGATGTCACCATCTCCAGCCGAGACGGCTCTAACTTCACATTTGAATCAAGAAAATTCTATAAAATATCAGAATAACTTTTTCCCTATATTTCCTCCTCTCTTTCTCTAATCTTCACACCTCATGGCGTCCCCCAAGATATGTCTCTGTCCCCTCTTCTTCTAATTTATCACAATACACCATTGATTCCTTTTGTTCTTTCAAAAGACAATAGATCTGCAGTCTATTTGACCTCCCAACAATCAGATTTTCTTCACTTGATGTAAACTGTGCCGCTAAAGCATATTCTACAGCAGTTGTCTCCGTGAGAGGCGTAAAAACCATCGACATCTTCAATGTCAACTGAAATAAAACTTATTTATGTCGATTATCCGTGAAATCTCTACAAGACCTCGTTAAACCCTTATTTTTTTGTTAAGTTTGCGATAAACACTGTTTACACCCTAAAAAATATCGAAATATAGGAAACACCATATTAAAGACCAGAAAATACCAAAAAATCTCTTCAAAACCCTCTACCTTATTCAACCCCCATACAAAACAAATATTATACCAATACACTCAAAATAAAAAATCATACTCCCAACAACATTTCCATGTATATACCACTATCTATTCATTGTTTATTTATGGTTTTCCCATTTCTACGTTATACTGATCCTCAACACTGCGGCTGCGGTGAAGAAGACCCATAAGATAGTCAGAAACGCCAAGAACACGAAGCCCTTTCTTTGGACTATCTAGAACCAAGGCTGGTGCCATTACTGGTGCTTCTATCTCTGCTGTTGCTGCAAGAGCTGCCCAAAAACGCGGTCCATCTCTAAAACACAGATTATACTGCAAATATGCCATTTACAGCAACAAACCTCCCCGGAACACGAATATACGCATGGCTGTCTGGTGTTATATGCAAAATCTCGGCTGAAATAGCCATTCCTGAGATACCCAATGCTTGTTGGAGTGCATATGTAATACGTTGCTGCCATGCTCGTGCATCAGGCACTGCTAAGTGAGATTTCTGCCTGTAAACACGTTATAATAAGTATATTACACGTAAATATACCATTCAAGGTGAAAATAAGTAAATTCAGGCGTATTTATAGCTTCTCGTAGTACTTGAGGGCTCATCTACAGAATTTATGACACGCTTAATAACACGCTTTCGACAATACGTGAAGCGTATACGCGACGCGTTTGTACGCGTTAAATATCGACGTGTAGTGAAATATATAGCAACGATAGCGACGACATCGATCAAATAAAAGAAAATGGAACTAGTTATGGAGGGGCCAGAGCTGGGTATTTGGGCAACAATATGTGTGGTAAGAAGGGGCAGAAGATGTTTTTTATGTTTTTGAAGTTGAAGCGGGATTTTAGGGTTTTTTTTTGTTTTCATTTTGGTTTATTTATAGTCATCAACGTAAATATGGGAAAAACCTTCTTGTGACAGTAGTAACGGGACTATCTATGATGCATACACTTGTTACAATATGTCTATATCCATTGGATCTTGCACTTGTTTCTTCTCGGGCGTTTTTTCCACGGTTTTTCTGGGTAATAGTGCCATTGATAGATGTTACAGTAAGCCGATTAAAACTGTGTAAGACATAAGTGGTGTATTGTGTATCTTATGTTTTTGTAGTTTATTACTGTACGTTTTTGAATCCTTGGGTTTTTAGTGTTTTTGACAGATCTAGTCTTTTATGGGTTGCATTTGCTTGATTTATTTTTCGTTCTTCCGTTTACATATTATTTTTACAGCGAATGGAATGAAAATTCAACAACAAAGACAAGAATTTTTGGAGCCTTTAAGCGTTCTCTTTCTTTCATGTTTTTATTTTTAGCATTATTTTTCATCGGATTTTTTATTACAACTAGGCAAATAACAAGCCTTAGTTCAGAAATAGATCGATTTCGAGAAATATTGACTACAGAGTGTAGATATTTTTCTACGATGTACATTTCTAATTGCTTTTAGATATAAAAAAAATCATGTTTTTTATTGTAGGTGTTCTTTTATTGTTCGGTATGGTCTTTTTTTGTACATATACAGCATTTGGTTTCTCGTTACTGCCTTTATGGATTATAAAAACAAGTCCGAAAAATATCCCAACATCAGCATCGGACATGAAACATGCTCTTATTCTTAATCGTGAAAAGCAGAGAACAATTGAAGTTCGTTGTATGGGATTTCATACTCAAATGAGTGCGAAAGATCGTAGAACTCTTCAATCTCTCCAAAGAGAGGAAAGAACTCTTGTACGTCGTGTTAGACTCGCAGAAGAAAGCAAAAAAAAATGGATGCAATCTATTTACTCTATTTTGCATATACTTCAATTACTCATTGGTAATTTACTTTTTCTTGTGTCTTTAATAATTGTTCTTTCTATGATAATAGCATTGTTAGTCTTTCTTGTATATAATGTTATTACTTATTTTTATAGGGCTGATAAATTAAGAAATACATACAGTAAAATTTCTTACAATTATATCGATAAAACACGGATTCTTATTTGGATAGATTTATTATCTGGCCTTTTTTCTAAGGAAAATACTCAACATTTTGCTTCCTTTTTACTAACTGGTTTAAGATATTTCCTATTAATCTTATTATAGCTACTTTTCTTATATTTTATCTTTATGCAACCTCTGTGATGGGAATTTTTAATATGAGAAAAACTATAAACATTGAGTATATTTTATTTGACTACATTTTTAAGTTTAATAAAATTTTAGTTTTTTTAGGTTTAATTCATATAAAAAAAAAAACACTTTATCTCATCCACTCTTAATTTCTACAGCTATTTTAATACTTGTTACGTTTTCATTTAATTATACTCTTAGCGAAGTATTTGAAAAAATGGTGTATAATTTTATTTATCTTTTTAGATAATTATTCCAAGATATAGTCATTTTGGCAAGCAAACTTATTGTAATTATACTGTACGTCTTGGAATATATTCGGTAATTGTATAATGATAAATTTAGATTCCTGATTCTCAAAATGTTTATGATTGTATTAATCATCCGGAATATATTTTCCGATGTTCTGAAACAAAAGATCACATTGCTACTAAATTTTGTACATTATCTATTTTAAGCACAATTATCAAAGACATAACGAGCAATTACAAGTTTTTCGAATCATGGTACTATTATTCTCACTTTTTGTTTTTGGTTATTTTCTTTCTTTCTTTTATATTTCTAAGTTTTTGTAAAAAATCAGGAAATATCTTTAGAGAAATTGAACCAGAAAGAGAATGTCTTTTATCCGTATTTTATCACTATTAAAAACTTTACAGCTGATTGTTTCTAGTAACGAATAATATAATTGAGAATTTTTTATATATTTCAGAATAGTGTATTATCAATTCTTAAATTTCCTTTTTTCATTTATATTTCTCCATATAATATCAATTTTCATGTAAATATTTTTATTAAAGCGTTTTGATTTATAGCTATTAGCTTTCAAAATATCTAACGTAATCGTATTAGGTTTTATAAAACTTATATTTTATAAAAAACTAATGAAATAACTTCAATGTCCTTTTTATTGAGTAGACGGTCTATGTTTCATACATAAAGTTTTTTAAATACTAATATTATATAGGAGTGCTTGTTACTATTCATTTTTTAATAAATATAATTATATAAATCAAAAATTACTTTCTTCTAAATCAAAATCAAAAAAGAATATAAACACAACAGAATCTACTGAAAATATCATAGACATTGAGAAGTTAAATAATAGTATTAATAATGTAATTTTTTATTTAAAAAAAGAATCAGAATCTCTTAAATTGGGCCGTTCTAACCTATCTTTGCTTCACAATGTAGAAGTCTCTATTTCCAAAGGAAAAAAGGCTTTTCTTAAGGATTTAGCACATATATCTATTAGAGATAATAGATCAATGATAATGACTATTTATGATAACGATGTTTTTAATAATTTTTTTATTTTTTAAATTAATATTAAATAGAATATCAAATATTTGATTTCAGCAATTCGTTCTTTATCATATGGATTGAATCCTGTAGTCCATCCATCTAATCCTCTTCAATATATTATACCATTACCTCTACCAACAAAGGAAAGTCAGAAGAAAGTATTACAACAAATATCAGAGTTGGGGGAAAATACAGGAATAGCTATACGAAATATAAGGACAATAAATATGAAACGTCTTAAAAAAGCCAAACAATATGGAAATTTAACAGAAGATGAAGTTAACTCTAAAGAAAAAGATATTGCAAAAATTATCAATCAGGCAAATCAAGAAGTAGAAAAAATAATTGAGAATACAAAAAAAAGTATTTTAGAAAATAAGGTATCTATTAATGCTTATTGATAATCAATATTATTATTACAAAAACTACCAATATACAAAAACAATAACTCTAAGTCTGTTAATTCATGTATACTATTTTAAATTATATATGTGCATGTTTTTTATATTCAATTATTTCACTTATAGTTTTGAGCATTTTCTCCTTTTGATCTAATTTTATTGATGAATTCTTATATATGTACTGACTAGTATAAAAAGTTGAGTTATTCATATTAAGCGTATTCTGATAATCGAGATTATTTTTTAATTCTTCGTTTGTTTTCTGTTTATTACTTAATATCTGTTTTTCTAATTCTGAGCTATGGGTTATATTATTTGAAGATTCAAGCCAAATAGGTATATATAACTTCAAATCATTCATAGAAACAGAAGAAGGCCTCCACGGAATTAGTGTTTGCTGAATATATTTCTTAACAACAACTTCCATAGACGTTTTTTCCTGATTCTTTGCTTCATAAACATAAGCACTTTTACTAAGTTTATTTTTATATGTTGTTTTTGCACTTTTACTTTCTGGTTGCTTTCTCTGTGTTTTTTGTATCGTATCTTCTTGTTTTATATCATTTTTATTATAATTTATATATTTTTCAGACACATCTAGTGCTTGCTCTTTACTCTTTTGAATTTCTAAATCCGAACATACATTTTTTATATTTTCTTTTATAAAAGACTTAATAGAATCTGTTCTTAATGATGATTTTTTCTCTTTATGATACAATTTTGGTTCTTTATATGACAAAACATTTGGTTCTGGCACTTTTATTTGTGTGCTTGCTGTTTTTTTCTTTAATCTCTGTAATAAACGACTTTTTCCAACTAGATCTGAATCACAAATTTTAGAATCTTTCTTTTCTGCTTTGTCTAAATGCATTGCTTCTATATTTCGAGTAAGTTTTGCAATAGACATGATCTCAACTGTTCGTGTTGAAGCATTCCGTATTCCCTTCAAGCTGCCAGATAGAACTAAGTAATTAAATATCATATGTCTTTTATATTTAAATTTTGTCTATTTTTTTAACTTTTTTTTCCAAAATTTCTTAACTTTATAATTTTCTTAATTTTTTTGATTAACATTTTCTAATTTTAAAAATTACATCGTTTAACATAAATTATTATTTCTAACATTTTTAAATATTTAGCATCAAGAAAAGGAAAAAAAGCAGAAGAAATATACTATATAGATCTTGAAACAGTTTTTCAATATAATAAAGTTTTTTTTAAATTTTTTTTTGGTAAATATTTGTCTATTTTTCAAATACAAAAGTAGATATTGTTACTCGGCAGTGATTCTGTTAAAAACAACTGAATTGTCTTAAAAATGAATAATTTGAGGTTTGTGTATACTTTATTGATTATATTTGTTTTTTTCTGGCTTTAAATTGCTAATATTGATGGATTAGTGTGTTATCAGAGAATCCAATTAAAGATGAGACAGATCCTATAATGTTAATAAGATTCTGAATTTATTAATACTTCTAATTGAATTTAGAGAGTCAAAGAAGTCCTCAAATTTGCTAGATGTGTTTCCAAAGTTTGATATGGATGTTATGACAGCAGCGTATATGTCAACGATGGAAATTATTAATGAGGAAGAAGATGTACTGTTTACAGAATACAAAGAACTTTGCCAAGAACTTCAGTCATGGATACGTAGTAGAATTGTATATGATCATCTTATAACACGAAAACGGTGATTTATAGTGTCTTTTGAAGAAAAAAGTTAATATGGAACATTTAGTATACGCTTAAGTGTTGACTGGATAGTTGCAAAGGAGGATGAGCTTGAGAGAACGCGTAGAGAGATACTAGGTTGCATGGAAGCGGTTAAAAAAGCGCTTGGACTCTTATTTTCTTCATAAACTAAACTGAAAATATATATCAGACTTGCTTACAACAATTTTCATTTCTAACACCACTCATCAGATTATTACAATGTTTAATCTTTGTTTTTTGTGCTGTTTTGTAGACAAAAATGGATTAGTCCTTATGAGTAAAGGATTTTAAATATTTCATGTTTATGGCTAACTAGGCTTACATAGAAATTCACTAAGAACATTTAATATCTAATATTCATTTATATACATACGACTGCTGGTATACATTAGGAAATAACATATATATTTAATTATCATTTATGTTTATTCATTCTTTCACTTGTTTATTTACACTTTAGATTCATTCTCAGTATTTAAAAGCATATTTTTTCATTTTTTTATATTTATTTTTACGCTTTAACTTTTTATATTTTAAACTTTATTAAATAAACAATTTTTATAAGAATACCAAAATACTATAAATATCATCTTAATTTACTCATATATATACTTATTATGTATTATTCATCTGTTTATATTTTAATTTTGTCTTCCGTTTTATATTACAAACATCTATCGACATTTAAAAAGCATTTGTTTAATCTTAAAGAAATGGTTTTGTTTTTTATTATTAAATTATTAAACTTATGTATGTTAACTTAAGAAAAAGACAATATTTAACATATTTAATATAGGAATTTGTGTTTGTTTTTTATAAGAAATTGATAAAATTATTAAAAAATGGGAAATAATATTTCTAATTTAAATAAAAACAATTTTAAGCAAAAGAAAGAGGTATTTTTTTTAAAGTTGTCTTTTATTATTTGAAAGTTAATTTTAGCCTTTAGAAGTCATTTTCACCAGTTTCTTCACCTAAAAACAATCAACGACCAGTCCGTGAATGTTATACAGACAAATCATCTATTCAGACGGTTGTCCGTTATTTATATAGTAACCAGGACGAATTTAGTATGTTATTATTATTGTTTTATAAGTATTATTGTATTCATTTTTAAAGATTACAATCTCTATACATCAGCAAATATCGATGAAGAGCTACTGGGACTTTCTATTTTAATTACAGATCAAGTGGATAAATTTTCAAATCTTGAAATACATCCTTTATTTAAAGATGCGTTAAATGATTTTTCGATGTATATTTCTTCAAAAAAAGATATTCCTAAAATTCCTGTTTTTTTTGAAATAACACCAAAAATCATTAAATCACAACCAAAGGTTTTATATGTTAAACATCAATAATTTAGTTAATCTGTGTTCAGGATAAGCAGGTTGTATCTATAGACCCTTTGCCAGATAATCTCTTTCATTTGAATCACAAACGTTTTGATAGACAAGAAAAACATATTCGGAATATTGAACGTGAAAGATTTGCACACGATCAGTTTTATTTGGAACAAAAGATTGATCAGCTTCATAGCTCAGATTGGAAGAAGATTGTCATGGCTATTTCTAAAATTACAGGTTCTAAAGACCCTTTGGAAACACAAAGACAGTTTATCATTCAAAAATTAGAACATGTTTTAAAAAAATTTAACTCATGGAAAGAATTTGAATTAAAGAATAAAAGAAAGTCTAAGGAAGTGACTAATTCAAATCAAGATTGTGTCTCAAAAACTAGTAGGTCTAGTTTTTTAAAAAATCATTTGAAAAAACAAAAATTGAATACAGAAATTCCAGAAATTTTTATACCAGAAAAAAACGATTCTAATAAATCCAACATTAACAAACCTATTCAAAAAAAACGTAAGATATCTTCAAATTTAACAGATTCAGCAAATAGTCATACAGAATTTCCATTATTTAATACAATGCATGAAGAGACTAAAAAAAATAAAGATATATCTATCGAAAATGATGATGAATTGATTAGAACTAAAGATTCTTTTATTAAGAATGAAAATAAATGTAATAAAAATCAAAATAAACCCACAAAAAATGAAAATAAGTCCATTAAAATTCAAAATATATCAAATAAAAATGAGAGTATATCTATTCAGAATGAGTATATCCACATCGAAAATAAAAAAGAAACAAATACAACTGTACATTCTTTAATTGAAAATAAAAAAAAATCATTCATAAAATCACCCCATGTAAGACAAGCTATTACAAATAATTGGCGTAGAAGTAACAGAATGATATTAGCGTTTGGGCAGCCGCTTCCTAAAATAACCACAAAAGTTCAAGAATTTTCATTACCATTTGAGATTTTAAAAGACGTACAAAAGTGAATATTCTATATTAATGACTAATGACGTATTTTTGTACGATTTTAAATAATTATTTTAATGCTAATAAATATTTTAGCATGAGGCTATTATTTATCAACATATTTAAACCAATAGCACAAAACTATTCATAATAAATATAACTTAACAATTTCACAAAAAATAACCCCATATACTTTTCCTATTTTTAATATGCATATATATGATCTTAAACACTTTTAACCAGGACTCGAAAATAAATATAAGCGCATCTTTGATGTTATTGTATTCAACATTAAATGATTTTATAAAATTCTCAACATTAAAAGCTGATTTGTACGAAATAATATTTTTAACAATGTTTTGAAAAAAATGAGATATATAACCAAAAAAAATAGATTTATCAGCACTTTTTTTTTTATTAGAGTAAACTTCTGAATGAAACTCTTGTATAAAATGAATAGAAGATGATACACGGTTGAATGTATTAATAAGTGCAACAAGTTCAGTTCTTCTTAATAAAAAATTATCTTGATGTAAAGAATCATTAAACTCAAAAAGAATTTTTAATGCAGTGCCAAACCCAGCAACTTGAATTTTTCCCCATAAACGACATTTATCACAACTTACACAATCCATAAGTTTGCTAACATTTCTAAAACGCATTCGAAATTCGTCCTTTAAATGCATTGCATGATTATTATGTGACGTATCGAACATAAGCTTTTCATCAAATAAATTAGGAAAATAAGTTATCTTTCGAATCAATTCATTAACTTTATGCTATAATATATTAGATAAATTTTAAAAAATATAAATAATAACTTTAGTTATTGCATTACTTTTGACATCACCTTCACAAAATGTATAATTTTTTAAATAGTTATGCAACTTTGCTAATGCTCGTAAAATTAATACATAATTAAAATATATATTTTCAATCCGATCAGAATGATTTCCAACACGTTCCATAAAACATTGCAAGTTCGGCTCCTATCCCACATAAGGCAAAATGATCCTAAAATAAGGCTATACGGACCCATAAACCAGTCATTTTGTTTAAATATTCTTTACACAAATGAGTCGATATACTTGCATGCATACCTGATATAATCCGATAAAATACTCTTTTTTCAAGACAAACAGACTCTTGCATCATAGCATTGTACTTCTTATCGTTATTCTGGGATCCCCGATTGTTTTTATGCAACATTATTGCTTCCAGTTTATTTGCAGAAGAAAATTCTTTTAATGGAACTACAAAATCGTAAGGGAGAACAAAACAGTTTTCTCTATATATAGCTCTCCAAACTTGATGCGCACTAGGACCAGAATAACCAGTATATCTTTCAGGATTGTCTACTAAAGATACATAGACAATATTTTCTTCAGTTGACTCGTCTTCGGGAATACAATAATCTCGTTTTGAATGATCTGATTCTTCATAAACACATAATTCAGAAGTCCCACTTCCTAATGCACCACCTAAAGGCGACCCAGTTGAACTTGCATGATGATGTGGCTGCTCTGCAGTAAGACCTCGAATTTTCCCTAGTGAAGAAAGTTTCCATGCTTCAGGAAGCGCTGATTCCTCCAAAGTATCAACCATACAAGCATAATTGCCACACAGCCCATCCTCAACACCCCAGAAAGAACACTGAGTACCAAAAAGATTTAACCGATAATATTTAAAGTAATCCGTCCCTGTTGTTAAGCTTTTTAAGAAAGGATCTAATTCTAAAGCAATTTTCTCAATCAAACTAAAAGGTATTGGATAAGATGCTACATCTGACAACTAGAAAACAAAAAAAAAAATTAGCCATAAACAAAGATATATAAAAATCAGCTACCCAATGAGTTTCTTTCTTAGATGGATTCGAAATAATATCAACCAAAATCCATGCACATACAAGACTTAGAAGAGAGAAAAAAACCTTCCATCTAAACATAACAACAGTTATATTCGACACAAAACCTTGGCAAAAAGGTTATTGAGAACTGTAATAAAATTCTCCAGAATATCGTTAAAAAAACCCGAAAAAAAAACAAAACTAAAAAATAATGAAATCCAGTGCTCCTTTTTATATTTATTTATCTTCCTGAGTGCTTTTTTATTTCAAAATAATTGAATTTCAATTGTTTTCTTTTTCAAAGAATCTATCGTCTTGCGCCGACGAGAAATTTGCATTAGAATATATTTTTTAAATACCGAATATCTTAATATTATAAAAATGATTTATATGCAAGACTTATTTTATTTATCCTGTTTAACTAAATAAATCTATATTTTCACATCTTAAATATAACCTATGTCAATTAACGTGTGTATTTAAGCCGTGAATATAATTTTTTATGATATATTTTCTAAATAAATACTATTTTTTTAAAAAAAGCACTTTTTAATGAAATTCACATGTTTTTTATATTAATAGTTCCTTTTTATTCTTTACTCGTGTATTTAGCAAACAATTGAGACTTCTGATATTGATGTTTTAAAAACAAAAACCGTCTATAAAAGCAAAAACTGCTTAAAAAAATAATTATTCTAAGAAAGATATTTTTATAATATTCTTGTACCATTAAGTCTAAGTCTAATCTGAATCCACTAACATTTATCAATAGCCCTGCTAAAATTTAAAAAAAAAAAAACAAAATACACTTTTGACACCGCTCAAAAAAAAACATTCATTTAAAAACAGTTTATAACATTTTCCTATCAAAATATACTATTTTCTCCCGTTTTTCCACTATTTATTCATATTTTTAAAATTTTCTTTTTTTTTGACGTTAACATGAGTTAACAATTAGAAACGATTAAAACAATCTTTAAAATTTAAGATGTCTAAAATCTCTACACCAGAGTTAAAGAAGGTAAAATTAATATAATAAATGATAAATTTCTTGTTAATAATAAGAAGTATATGGATAAGAAAGTTTTTTTGATGTTAAATGGTTCACGCAAAGTAATCGGTGTTCTTAGAGGATATGATGTAAGAAAGAAGCTTAAATTGAGAATATAAAGATTTACTATGAAAGGTTTTCTTAAATATTGTCTTAGATGAAGCATTTGAAGAGAAAGAAGGAGGGGAAAAGTGTGCGATTGGAACAGTTGTGCGTTTCAATATGTTTTTTTTGATTAAATAGTGGATTTCCTAATTATGTATTTTATAGGTTATTCGAGGGAACTCAGTAGTAATGGTTGAAGCATTAGAGAGAATCTAAGTTTAACTGCATAAAAATCTAGTATTTGTGATATTGATGGGATAATTTTGTGTTAATATTTATATATTTTGGAAATGATCATTCTATATAAATAAATATTTTAAAAAAATCAATAACTGACTCTAATATTTTTATCGAGATGTATATGTTACAATGATTTTGTTTCCATTCTAACTACCTGTTGATGTTTCATGTTTTGAATGTCCATTAAATTGTGAATAAAGATAAATTTTAATATGTATGTAGAGAGTATATGGACACGCTTTATATGAAATTAAACAAGAAATAAGACATATTTTCTTTTGTAAAAATAGCCCGTAAGATAAATAGGTAAATATTATTTTCCTGAAAGTTTTGTTATTTTAAATTTAATATTAGATATCTATAAATTCAAAAATGAAAAATATTGATTTTTTAAATAAGGAAGTTATCTTTCAATATATCAGTTTGTGCTAATATCATCATCATTTCTTCATCACTATTTAAAATTAAAAAATAAATTAATATATAAAAAACAAAAACATACAGATATTTAGAGATAACGACATCTTCTACCAGACCTTTTCTTCTTCTTGTTTTAAGCATAAAATCGCGAGCTAAGCTTTGTCCAGAAGCAGGTTCAAATAATTGAAGCACTGCGTTTTTATCAAGAGGATCACCAGGAACAACCTATATAATTTAGTAATGCAAAGATATATTATTAAATCATTTATTACCTGCCAGTGATCAAAGATTTGCTGACAAAATGCTTGTCCTTGAGTGTGAGTACGAAGATCTGTTTCAAATCCTGAAGCATCGATAACAGGTAATAGTGCTTTTATTGTATATAAAGGAGAACCAGCTTTTGGTATATCTTGAGTAACATGTCCTCTTCTTCTACCTAAAACAGTATAAACAGAAGATATACAATCTGCAGGCGCTTGTATTTCAACATAATAAACGGGTTCCATAAGTCGTGGAGTAGCCATTAAAAATGATGAATAACAAATTCTTCTAATAGTAGGAATGATTTGTCCGCCACCTCTATAAATAGATTCTGGTGCAAGAACAGCATCAAGTATTTTAAATTTCACGTTCCTTATAGCTATATTATATTTAATATAAACAATATCATAAAAAATATAACTCACGTTCTTCACAAAGAGGACCTTCACGGGTACCTAAAAAGTGCCATTAATATATTAATTATTTTTTGATTAAAATATACCCCATTGAAAACCTATATTTTTTAATTTTACCTTTTTAGATGAGAAAACTTACCTTGACGAACAGAATCTCTTACTGTATTCAATAATTTTTTATCAACCTAACATAAGACAATGAATAAGATTTAAAAATCGTATTAATAATACCTCTGAAGGCAAAGTATCATCTAACAAAATATTTGGTCCTTGATCACCTGGTCCAAATGCCCATATTGAACGAGATGCCAATATATCCCATTGGTATTTTTCAAAAAATTCTCCTACTTTCCGTATAGGCCATTTTATGTTAACTTTTCCCGTTTCTATATCATTAGCAATACCATCATCCAATGGTTCTGCAATCATTGTAATTTTATTTCTAAAATTAATGTTAATTGTATAAAAAAAAATAAAAAGTATATTTTACTTTTTATTAGGAGAATTTGCATAACATTTAACAGCAGATGTTTCTACAACAGTCTCACAAAATCTTACTATAGGATCAGAAACTTTTATTTCAATTTCTGAATAAAGTTTTCTAAGATCATGTAAAACACAATCCATATAAAGTTCTCCTGTTCCAAAAATAATATGTTCACCCGATTCCTCAACTTTAATTACAGAAAGGGGGTAACTTTTATTAATCATACGTAGTCCAGAAAGCATTTTTGGTAATTCTGAAGGATTAACTGGTTCTACTGCAACTTTAAATACTGATTCTGTAAAATGTTTAACAGGTCTAAAAATAAAAATATCGTCAGAAAGATCTTTAGAAACAATAGTAGATGTTTTTGAAATAGAACTATCTACACCTGCAAGAAGAACAATAGAACCAACTGGCGCACTGTCAATAGGTATACTATATCGTGCTTCTCCAATCCAAATTCCAGAAACTAAGCTATAAACCATATCTTCTTCGTCATCAATCGAATAGTTTTCTCCAAGAACCTTTACATGATCCCCAGAATGAATAGTTCCACTCATAACTCTTCCAAGTGTATAAAATTCACTAGCATCTATAGTATTTAATAACTTTGTTGCATGTATTATTAAAGGTCCGTTAGGATCGCATTTTTGCATAGCCTGTGCTATCTCAGAATCTAGAGGTCCTGTATATGTATGTTGAATCTATAAAATATCAAAAGCTTTTTTAAAATGAGATAGAAATAACCTTAGTCATTGCACCATCAATTGGAGAAGGGATATGGTTAACAACCATATCTACAAATCCAGTAGAAGTTCCAAAAAATTCTGCACATATAAGTTTCAAAAGTGTTTTTACATCTAATTTAAAATGAGAAGGTTTTAAAAAAATTCCTAAACTTTTTAGGGTCTTATCAAGAATTTCTGGAGTTTCTCCAAGTGTTTGACTATAAAGCTTATATAAAGGTTCAAGAATAAAGTGTACAAATGTTCGTTTTGCATCCTGTTCCAAAGGGCTTTTTGAAAATTTGCGACTTTGGGAATTGTAATAAATATCTCCCCATAATCTTTTTGAAAATTCACTAATATTTACACCGTCTTATAAAAAATAAATATTAAATATTAAAAATAAAAATTATTACCATATGTGTCTGCATACATTTTTGCGAAAGAACGTAATGAAAAACACCAATTCATATCCGTGGAAGCAAAACACACATTTTCTTTTTCAGGAGAAAGACGATAATGATTTGCACCACATGATCTTGTTATTATTAATTAAGCTTAATTATATAGAAATAAAAATACCTTATGATACTATTAATTTCTTCAATGGTATGCCTAAGTTTGAAATAAGCATCTACAGGGGGTAATTTAAGTTCTAGTATAAGTCTATCCATCTTATTTATTACCAAAACGAGAGGAACATTTTCTGATATAGCGTGTCTTATAATCTTTTCTGTATTGACAAGTACCTAGACATATATATCATAATTTTTAGGAATAATACAAATCTTACCCCTTCAATAGCATCAACAATAAGAATTACACCATCAACTAAACGAATAGCAGATGCAACTTCATCCACGAAATTAACATGGCCCGGTGTATCAATTATATTAAAAAAAAAAGACTTCCCTTTTATATTTTGAAGTACAAGAGACATTGGTGTCACTTTGATTGACATCCCGCGATCTCGCTCAAGCATATGAATATCACTATATTTTAACTATGTAAAAGGAATTCAATTTATAAATCATAATTAATTTAAAGTATTAACCTTTTTTTTTGATTCCATTTTTATATCATGAGTTTCTTGAACTAACATATCTAAAAATGATGTCTTTCCATGATGAAGATGGCCAACTAGGGCAACATTTCGCACAAATTCTAATAACGACATTAAATCAATCATAAATCTCAAATTCTATTAGCATATTAAAAATACACAAAGAAATACACACTCTTTAGAGTAATGAGTTGTTGGAAGCTCTGTTTCTTCAATAGAAAACTTTTTAACCTTAATTGGCTGAACAATGGGCTCGCTTAATGGTTGTGTATCTTCTTCATGGACTAAAATTTCAACATCTGGCCCATAAACCTTTTCCACATCAGAAAACTCCACACGAATACTTTCCTATTCAATTCCTTTACCTCTACTGCTGATGGATAATATTGCTTGTCTTCGTGTAAAACAACAGCTTGTTGTGTTTGTGCTATAGCAATTAAAAGTGAAAGTAAAAAACAAAAATACTACAAATATCATCTGATTCATCATCTGATAAATATTCTTCAACTAGCCCAATATCTTCATCATTTAAATATGGTCCATTTGTATTTTCTACTTTCACTACTTCTTCATCTGAATCAGTTTTTCCAATAAAATTACCAAACCTATAGATATTAGAGATCTTAAATAATAAAATTTATGTATTTGAACTCATCATATAACGTTTCATCCATTGATTTTTAAAATTTTACTTTTTTTTGGTTGTTAAAAGCTGATATCGTTATCCGCTTAAAAACGTTAATTAACGTCCCAAAAACATAAGAATTTTCTGTGCAAATAATGGGGATTAATATAAAAGAAACGTTTGATAAAACATAATAAAAATGTTATTTTTGATTATCTAACTTATTTATAGTGATGTTTTTATTGTAAGTACAAGTAGAACACCGCTTGGTAGTTTTCAAGGTACTTTATCAAAATTAACTGCAGTTGATTTAGGAGTTCATGCAATAAAATGTAATATTTTATGTTTAAAATTGGTATTTTGTTTATTTGTTTATAGCCGTTGTTGAAAGATCATGTATAAGTGCAAAAGAAATAGAAGAAGTCATAATGGGAAATGTGATTTCTGCAAATCTTGGGCAAAATCCAGCACGACAGTGTGCAATTAGAGCAAATCTTCCTTTAGAAACTGTTTGTACGACAGTTAATAAAGTATGTGCGTCTGGGATGAAGGCCGTTATTCTTGGAGCTCAGTCTATTTTTCTTAAAACAGCAGATGTAATGACTGTTTGTGAAATAAAAGAGAATATTGATGTTTTTATTTAGGTTGTTGTGTCGGGAGGCATGGAATCTATGTCCAATGTCCCTTTTTATAATTCAAATATGAGATCAGGCTGTAAATATGGTAATACACAGCTTATCGATGGCCTTGTTCGAGATGGTCTTTCAGATGCGTATAGTAACGAGTCTATGGGAATAGCTGCAGAATACTGTGCATCTGAATATAGTATAAGCAGAGAAGAACAGGATAACTATGCCATTTCTAGCTATAAAAGAGCACAAAAAGCAGTTGAATTAAATCTTTTTAAAGAAATTTCTGCAATTCAAATCCCCACAGGGAATAAATCAACTATATTGATTGAAAAAGATGAGGGGATATCAAAAGTAATTATAAATTGTTTTTTAATTATTGCTAACTTTTTCTAGTTAAATGAAGACAAACTCAAAATTATTAGACCTGCTTTTAAATCTGACGGAACGGTTACTGCTGCAAATGCATCTTCTATAAGTGATGGGGCAGCTGCATTATTATTAGTATCAGGAAAAAAACTTAAAGAGTTAGGATTATATTCTTCAACAAAGATTCTTGGATGGGGAGAGGCTTCTCAGGTATATTATTTTTTAAACTTGAAATAATATTAATAATAGAAAAAAAGGACCCTAAAAAATTTACTACATCGCCTCATTTAGCTATTTGTAAAGCTTTGAAATCATGTGGACTCTCACATTCTGATGTTGATTATTATGAAATTAATGAAGCATTCAGTGTTGTAGCAATTGCAAATTCAAAACTTCTTGGTTTAAATCCTGACAAAGTAAATGTTTTTGGAGGATCTGTATCTATGGGACATCCTTTAGGTTGCTCAGGTGCACGTATTATTACAACACTTATATCTGTTCTTCAACATCATAAAGCTAAAATAGGTGTTGCAGCAATTTGTAATGGAGGTGGAGGAGCATCAGCAGTTGTTATAGAACGAATTGATTAATTTTCTTGTTATTAAAAAGTGTTTTTAAAAATTATACATCTTAGAATATTTTTTTTAAAAAAATAACATTCCATTAATGCAAAATAAATTTGTTAATACTGATATTTTCTATTTTTATTTTGATAATTTTTTTTTGTAATTTTTAATTTGCTATTAATATAAATTTTAAGGGTTAAATTTCCAGTGATTTAAAACGTAATATTTTTGTTTTAAAAAATATATTGTTTATTTTTTTCTTATCCATTGTAGAAAGTATTTATTAAAAATCTGAATTTGAAATATTTATATGTAAAAATTATACAAATGATAAACAAATTTAAAAAATACAAAAACACATACGTTTCTTTAATATTTTTAAAATTCAAAAAGACAATCATTATTTAATTTAATATATACAAAATATAAATGAAAAATAAATGTATTTTTATAAATAATTTACATAATTTTTATTAAAATTTCTAATAAAACTTTTTTTTTTTAATTATAAAATCAAAAATTTATTTATAATGCTAATTTATAATGCTATTTAAAATGGTTAAAAAAATATTAAACCAAATTCTTATTATCAATTTAAAAAAATAGAATTTTCTAAAATTAAAAATTATATAAAATAATTATCATTCTAAAAAAAACTAAACATTATAAATTGGAATTTAAACCAAAAGTAATCTTTAAAAATACATTTTTTATTAAAGCTATATTTTTTTAAACTACATTATCCTAAAAATTTATATTAACTTAAAATAATGAAAACTTTCCATCTATTTTTTAATTCATTTATATACTAACAATTCTAAAGTTATTTTAAATATGTTTAAAATTGTTTAATTTTTAAATAATTTTTTTTTAAAAAAACACTTTTATTAATAAAAAAAATTTTATACAACAAAAATTATGATAATTAAACATATCGTATTTAGATATATTATAATTATACTGTTCTATAATTTAACATCTAAAAAAATGTTAACACAATCTATTATAAATTTTTATTTTGATTTTTATTTTAAAATTTAGACAAAAAAACAAAATATTTCTAAAGAAATATTATCAAATAAGATAAAAAATATTCATAAATTCAACGTTCAAAGATAAATATTTCTATAGATTAAATTATAAATATAAATTAAAACTTTATATAAATCCTTAAATAATATTTGTTTGATAAGTTAAAGAATTATAAATGACAGTACATTTACAATTAACTTATTCCATAGCCTTTGAATACCATTCTTTAAAATTGTCAAATGTCCAACTTGAAGATATAGAATCATTTATAACACCGTTGAAAAAAACAGTTGGCGAGACATGAACTGATTTACCTCTCGAATACTAAAAACATTAAAAAACAAATATTTGTATGTGAAATTCATACTCTGATTAATAACTTAAGATCAGTTGTAACCTCAACAGATTTAATAATCATTTAAACATAATAAGACAGAATATACCTTATTCCCTACATTACATCCTTTTTCTCCTATTTTTGTACCTTCTATGTACAATAAATCCATAAATTTATCTGGATCTATACCAGTTGTATTTTTAGCTAAAACAGAAAGACGTTTATATGTTTCTAAACGACTTTCTTGAACTAATGCTGTATCAAAATATTCCTCTTGATGTTCAAACAATTGTGCAGTAAAATTAATTGTTTGACTTTCTGATAATTTAGAAACAGCAAGAACTGCTTCATGAAGCAGTGTACTCGATGGATGCCATGGCTGGACCTGAGAACGAAATAAAAACTTAATGTCATTCTTATTTTGCTGAACCCAAGGAAAAAATTGCTAATTAATTGATGAATTCTAAATTCAAAACACTTTTTTAAAATAACCTCATAAACCGTTTTAAACAATTTCTTGGAAAAAGGACACTGAAGCCAATATTAAAAATATCCAGTAATAAATAAATAATTTTATTACAGTAAAGTCTAGAAAAAGCTCCAAACAATGAGGAGAGGCACTATTACCAAAACAAAAGCCTAAATAACTTATAAATAAACATTCAAAATATAAAAAATGTTAAAATCAATTTAGAATATCCTTACAGTCAAAAGCAGATGGCAATATCATATTATACTCGTATATTATAGATATTATAGTTAAATACCCGCTTTAATGAAAAATTGTATTTTTTAGAAGTTCATTTAATTTACGAATCATTAATTAAGCAAAACTTAACAAGTTTATAACAAAATCAAATATTTGAATAAATAAAATATCTGTTTAGATAAGTAAAATCAATACTTTAAATGAATAAAACATGTTTTTTGACCATTTTTATTATACTAAAAAATATTTTTAAACAATTTAAATATAAATAGAAACTTAAATATCAATAAAAGATTATCCTCTATTCAAAACCATTTTTCAAAACTATTTACATCATTTATTTATCAAAAAAAACAATTTATAATATTATCTAAAAATATTTTTATCATATTATCTCAAACATCTCAAAAAAAATAAATATAAAAATTAATTTTTTAATAAAAAAACTATAAATATAAATAAATGGAAGTTTTTAATGGAGCCATAGGGTTTGTAAAATCATATTTATAATATTTCTGACATAGAATCATACAGGATTGATCTTGGGTAAAAAAAATTGTTTTACAGTTTTTTATGTAATAAAAAGAATATAGCACGACATATTCATGCTGTGGAGTCTGGACAGGCATATTTTAGTTGCTTAAATTACACAAGTATTAATTTTTTTTGCAGATGATAGTCCTAGTGTAGAAATAATTGCAAATGATCAAGGAAATCGAACGACACCTTCATATGTAGCCTTTGTTGGAAATGAACGCCTTATAGGAGACTCAGCTAAGAATCAAGCAGCAATAGTGTGTTTATTTTATATTTTTTTCTTTTCCTAATACTTTGTTAGAATCCCCAAAATACTATCTTTGATGTCAAGTAATTTATTTTGTAAATAAAAAATATACTAAAAATACAAGACGGTTAATTGGAAGGCGTTATGATGATCCAGATGTTAAAAAAGTAAGTAATAGAGATAAAAATTAATCTTTTTAAACACTAAAGGACATGAAAATGTTGCCATTTAAAGTTGTTGATGTAAATGGTTCTCCTCAAATAGAAGTAGAATATATGGGCGAAAGAAAAACGTTTTCACCTCAAGAGATTTCTGCTATGGTATTAGGAAAGGTTATATTTTTTTTAAACAATAAATAAAATTCACAAAAATAGATGAAAGAAATAGCAGAAACTAAACTAAATAAAAAAGTTGAAAAAGCAGTTATTACAGTACCAGCATATTTTTCTGATAGTCAGCGTCTTTCAACAAAGGATGCAGGCACTATTGCCGGTTTAAACGTTCTCCGTATTATCAATGAGCCTACTGCGGCAGCAATTGCATATGGTCTTGATTCAAAATCTGATAAAGAAAAAAATGTTCTTATTTTTGATTTGGGGGGCGGTACATTTGATGTATCATTATTAACAATACAAGGAGGAGTCTTTTCAGTTAAAGTAGAAAACAAAATAACTAAACAAAAAGCATTTTCTAACTATTGAAGGCCACTGCTGGTGATACACATTTAGGAGGAGAAGATTTCGACAATAATCTTTTAGGTAATTTTGAAAACTTTTAAAATTACCTATATATATAATTACTTTTAGAATATTTTAAAATAGAATTTAAACGTAAAACAAAATTAGACCTTGACGATGATCCTCGTGCTTTACGGCGTTTAAGAACTGCATGCGAACGTGCTAAGAGAACATTATCCAGTGTTACACAAACTACAGTTGAAATTGAGTCATTAAAAGATGGTCAAGATCTTAGTATTAATATTAATCGTGCACGTTTTGAAGAGATTAATTCAAAAGTCTTTCAATCAACTCTTGAGCCTGTTGAAAAAGTTCTTAAAGATTCAAAAATAGATAAATCTAAAATTGATGATATTGTTTTGGTTGGTGGATCAACTCGTATTCCACGTATTCAAAAACTCGTTTCTGATTTTTTTGACGGAAAATCTCTTAATAAATCCATCAATCCTGACGAATGTGTTGCATATGGTGCAGCAGTTCAAGCAGCAGGTAATAGTTTCGTTTTTCCAAATAGTTTTTTTTTTTAATTTCTATTTAGTTTTAACTAACAAAGCAAATTCAGAGAAAACATCCGATCTTCTTTTGCTTGATGTTTGTCCTCTTTCTTTTGGCGTTTCTATGTAAACACTATGCATTGTTTTTTCATCTAAATTATTATTAGGGAAGGTAATGTTTTTGGTGTAGTTGTTCCAAGAAATACACCTATTCCAACACTTAAAAAAAGAACATTTACGACCGTTGAAGATAACCAAACGTGTGTTGTATTTCCCGTCTATCAGGGCGAACGTACGAATTGCCTCGAAAATGAGTTCCTTGGGGAATTTGAGCTTCAGGATATTCCACCCCTTCAAAAGTATCAATTATATTTTATGTCATTTATCAATCTAATCATAAAAAGAGGTCAAGCAGAACTTGAAACTATTTTTGAATTAGATGTAAATGGGATTCTAAAAGTTACTGCAAGAGAGAAATCTACTGGAAAATCTGCTCATATTGAAATTTCTAATAGCGTTGGACGGTTATCTTCTCAACAAATCCAAGAAATGATCAATAATGCTAAAAAATTTTCAGAAAAAGATAAAGAATTCTCTAAAAGAGTAGAACTCAAACAAACACTTGAAGCCTATATTTCTTCTATCGAATCAACTATCAACGATCCTGGTGTTTCTATGAAACTTAAAAAAGGACAAAAAAAGAGTATTGAAGATGCTCTTGCAAATGCAATGGATGCATTAGAAATCGAAGATTATGAAACACTTAAGCGTGCTGAATTGGATCTTAAACGTATCACTACTAGAACCTTTTCTCTTTTAAGATAATACACTTGTACTTTATTTTCGTTCAAAAAATAAAACATATTTTTGTTTTTTTTGTACTTATTTAAAATAAACAAAACATATATTTTTGTATATATATTTATTCTTATCCATTTATCTTTTATTCATCACAAATCTTTAATATCGCTACTTTCGAATATCAGAAAATCATCTTTTGGTCTCTATTCTGCATATTTTAAAATTAAACAATGGGAAAAAAGCAGATAGACTCCAGAATCCCCACCCTTATTAAGAATGGAGTCCAAGTTCGTTTTTTAAGCATTTTTTACCACCTTTTTATAATAATTTTATATAGGAAAAAAAACGTAGTCTTTTTATTATTGTAGGAGATAGAGGACGGGATCAAATTGTAAATTTACATTGGATTCTTTCTCAATCAAGAATTGCAACTCGTCCATCTGTATTTTATCTTGAATAAATTAATAATTTTGTTTAATTATATAAATAGGTTTTGTGGATGTATAAAAAAGATCTTTTAGGATTTACAAGGTACACAGTATTTATTTGAAACATCTTAAAAGAAGAATACAAATTAGATTCTAATGTACTTTAAAGCCATCGAAAAAAAAGAGAAGCAAAGATAAAAAAAGAAATCAAACGAGGTATACGAGATCCCAATGATGCAACAACACCATTTGAATTGTTTATTGCTGTAACAAATATCCGGTATACATATTACAAAGGTATTCTAAAACAATGTTTCATTTTTTCTAAATTAAATAAGAATCCGAAAAAATATTGGGACAAACATTTGGAATGCTTGTTTTACAAGATTTTGAAGCTATTACACCTAATTTATTAGCAAGAACAATAGAAACAGTTGAAGGAGGAGGAATAATTGCAATTCTTTTCAAAACAATGACAAATTTAAAACAACTATATACAATGACCATGGTAATTATAATTATTATTTTCATTATTCTTTGTTAAGCTTTTTAGGATATCCATTCACGCTATAGAACTGAAGCACATAATGATATTGTTTCAAGATTTAATGAAAGATTTATTCTTTCCCTTGGAAGCTGTAGTTCTTGTCTTTTCGTTGATGATGAATTAAACGTTTTACCAATTTCTGAGGCAAAGAAAATAAAACCATTGCCTCCACCTCAGCCAGAAGAACCAAAAAAAGAACTTGAAGAATTTAAAAAAAAATATGAAGACAAACAACCTTTAGGTTCTCTTGTTAATACAGCAAGAACTCTCGATCAAGCTAACGCAGTTATAACATTTGTCGATGCAATTTCAGAAAAAACCTTAAGAAGTACAGTTACTTTAACAGCAGCTAGAGGCAGAGGAAAATCCGCTGCTCTTGGACTTGCAATTTCTGCAGCTGTAGCATATGGATATTCTAACATTTTTATAACATCACCAAGTCCTGAAAACTTAAAAACATTATTTGAGTTTATTTTTAAAGGATTTGATTCACTTAAATATGAAGAACATCTTGATTATGATATAATTCAGTCTATTAATCCTAGTTTTAACAAATCTATAGTAAGAGTTAATATATTTCGTAATCACCGTCAAACGATTCAATACATTCACCCATCAGATGCACATGTTCTTGGACAGGCAGAATTACTTGTTATAGATGAAGCAGCAGCTATACCGTTGCCATTAGTTAGAAAACTTTTAGGTCCTTATTTAACCTTTATGGCATCAACAATTAATGGCTATGAGGGAACAGGAAGATCTCTTTCATTAAAATTAATACAGCAATTAAGAGAACAATCTAGGGGATTCGTGAACAAAGGTTCTAAGCTGGAAAATTCACAAGATAATATAAATAAATCAGAAAAATTTAATAAATCTGAAATAAATAACATAGGTGGTCGAAAACTTAGAGAAATTACTTTAGAAGAACCTATTAGATATTCCTCTGGGGATCCTATAGAAAAATGGCTTAATAAATTGTTGTGTTTAGATATAAATATTCCAGTAAATCAGTTTTCTACACAAAGCTATCCTCATCCCTCACATTGTGAACTATATTATGTGAATCGTGATACACTTTTTTCTTATCATCCTGTTTCAGAAACATTTCTTCAAACAATGATGAGTCTTTATGTTGCAAGTCATTATAAAAATTCACCAAACGATCTTCAACTTATGTCAGATGCTCCAGCTCATCAATTATTTGTTCTCTTGCCTCCAATAAAAGAAGATGATCAAAGGCTTCCAGAACCTTTATGTGTAATTCAAATAGCACTAGAAGGAGAAATTTCTAGAGAATCTGTTATAAATAATCTTAGAAGAGGCCAAAGAATTGCAGGTGATCTTATTCCATGGGTTATATCTGAACAAGTATAATAAATTTTTTACAATATCTATCTAACAAATATATAGTATCAGGATGATAAATTTGCTAGTTTATCTGGTGCAAGAATAGTAAGAATAGCAACCAATCCAGAATATATTAAGGTAATCTTAAAATATGAATGAGCATAATTTAATTCTTTGTGAAGATGGGATATGGAAGCCGTGCATTACAACTTCTTGAAGACTTCTATAAAGGAAAATATTTTAACCTTTTTGAAGAGAATATAGAATTTGAAGAAAATATTAAAATTGTAAATGATGAAATAGAAGAGTCATCATTCTTAACAGATGAAATTAAAGTCAGAGATCCAAAAACAATGCCACCTTTACTTTTAAAACTTTCACAAAAAAAACCAGGGATTATTCATTATCTTGGCGTATCATATGGACTAACACCTCAACTTTATAGATTTTGGAAAAGGGCATGCTTTGTTCCTGTTTACCTTAGACAAACACCAAACGATCTTACTGGAGAACATACTTGTGTTATGTTAAAACTTTTGCAAGATGACAACGAGAATTGGCTTAATGCATTTTCTGATGGTTTGTATATATATATATATATATAATTATTTATATTTTCAGATTTTCATAAGCGATTCTTATCTCTTTTATCATTTGATTTTAGAAATTTTCCTACTATTCTTTGTCTTAATATCATAGAATCTATAAATAACGATTTTACACAAACAAATAATAATAGTAAGTATAAATACAAATACCCTAGGATCAATATTTACATTATAGTTATTACAAAGTCAGAATTGGACACACATTTATCGCCTTTTGATTTAAAACGACTTGAATCATATGCAAATAATATGTTGGATTATCATACTATTATAGACATGTTGCCATATATCGCGGATTTGTATTTTAGAGGGAGATTTAGGAATGCTATAAAAATGTCAGGAGTACAGAATGCTATTCTTTTAGCTATAGGTTTACAAAGAAGAAGCCTTGAAGACATAGAGAAAGAACTTAATCTTCCTTCAAATCAAGTATTAGCTATGCTTGTTAAGATTCTTAGAAAAATATCTGCATTCTTCAGAGAATTATGCTCTAAAGAAATTGAAAATATGTTACCTGTAGAGCAAAAAATTTTAAAGAATCAAGTACAAATTGATACCGATAATGAAGAGGACGATTCTAAAGGATTTATTCCTCTTAAAGAAACTTTAAAAGAAGAATTGGCTCAAATTTCTGACAAAATGGAAGAAAGTTTCAAAGAAAAACAAAGAGAATTAATCAATTCATTAGATTTACAAAAGTACGTATAATTTAAAAAATACAAAAAAACTAAACTTTACAGATATGCTATTAAAGGACAAGAAAAAGATTGGGATGAAGCAGAAACACAGTTTAAAAACGGAATCCATCAAGGTAAAAGTTCAGTTGTCAGTATTCAAAGTCATTCTGTTAAAAGAAAACAATTATCTATTACAAACATCCAATCCACCAAAAAAAATACAAAGAAAAAACATAAAAAAACATAATAAAGTCCAAATGTTTTAAACTTTCTATTTGTATATTTTTTTTCCTTTGATTTTTATAACCATTACCTGCTTATCGATTTAAAAAACCATTTGTAAATGTCGAGCTTGAATGAATATTTGAAATAAACGGTTGAAAATAAAGCCATGTCTGAAACTGATACCCATGAAACTTGGGTTGGTAGAGGTTTTAACATGTAAGTTTTTTTTTTAAAAAAACTTATTAACTTAATACAGAGCACATCAAAAAGTAGTAATTGATATAAATTTTATGAATTATGAATTAAGGGTAGCTTTTGAAGAATAATTACTAAAATGCTAAAAATATGTAAGGGATATACGGAAATAACGATTCTTCCAACAGATCCTTTACTTCGAAAAATTAGAATCAATGCATTTGATTGTGGTTGATTGATTTTATAAATATGGTGAAAAAAGCCGATTTTTTTAGATATAGAAAGTGTATTTGTTAATGAAGTGACCGCTACTTTTGAATATATATTATCAAAAAACGAATTAAAACTATATAAACGATCTAATGTCCATCATCATCATTTGTTAAAAAAAAAATTTGAAGCGTTTCAAAAAGCGCTTGAGCATGGGAATCTAACTATAAATATTCCAAAATCTGTAAAGATAGAAGCACAAGCATGTTCCTAAAAGTGTTTTTTCTGAAATAACTAAGAATTTAGGAGCCTAAAAAAGCAAATGAAAATACGATACAAACGGAAATAAAGGGTATTTTTAAAATTTAAATAAAGATTTGTCTTATTTCTTTTTACAAAAAGATATCGATGATTCAAATACTCCAACTACACAAAAAGATGCATTTTTTTCCCTTTTTTCTCCAATTATTATAAAGATTAATTATTCAGTAAAAAATCCATCAGCAGGACTAAATTTTGTAGGATGTGAAATAAATGATGATGTTAGTATGATCGTTATGTTTTGCAAAGAAATTTAATTTTGGAAAGAAATATCCTCATGTCTATACAACACATGTACCAATATCAGGTGCCACATCTAATTGGTTACCTTGCATTGAAGGAATTTGGGATAGATGCACCTGGGATTTTGAGATAACTGTTCCAAAAACATTACGCGATATGTGGATTCTTTCTGATTCATCTAATTTATCGAATGGTAATAATTTATGTTCAAATAATAGCAATACAGATAAAGATGACATATTGAGTCAGCCATATAATCAATTAGAGTTCAAGGTTATATGTAGTGGTGATCAACTTGATGAAGTCAAGCAATTTAGGAAAAAAAACTAACTAATCCTTTTTTAGTTTACTACTCCTGAAAATATTCATAAAAAAACAGTTTGTTTTAGCCTTGGATCCCTCGTTAGTTCGCAATATATTGCATTTGTTGTAGGTCCTTTTGAAGAAATAAATCTTACAAATTTTCGTGATACCGATAAAGACGATACAATGGGCTCTAGTGCAGTAGAAGTATTAGGGTATTGCTTACCTGGAAGGGTTACAGAGCTGAAGAATTCATGCATGTTTATATACAAAGTATATTTTCGAAAAATGAATTCTACAGTATTCAATATCTTTAGGCCATTGACTTTTTTGTTCAAGAATATGGCTCATATCCTTATAATATTTTTAAACTATGTTTTGTTGATGATCATCCTACATCAGCAGTATCATGTGCATCAATGGTTATTGCCAATAATAACCTTTTATTCCCTCCTGATATCGTTGATCCGATTTATTCCACAACCAGAACTCTTACATTTACACTAGCAAGTCAATGGATTGGTGTAAACATAGTGCCTAAACACTGGTATAAAAATATTTTTATACTTTATAAAATTTAACAAAATTCTAGGAACGATATTTGGTTAACAATTGGGCTTGCTTATTATATTACTGATTTGTTTCTTTGCAAGTTAATGGGTAATAACGATTATAGGTTTAGGCTAAAAAAGGTTAATTCTCTTATATAAACATTTTAATTTAATATTATAAAAGGCGGTTGAGAAAGTATGTGAAGAAGATATTGGAAGACCCGCATTATCTGATCCTCAGTTAACACTACCTATTGATCCTTTTTCTATTGAATTTATATCGCTTAAAGCACCTGTCGTGTTATATATTTTAGAAAAACGATTAACAAAATCAGGAGCATCATGGGGATTATCACGTATCATTCCCAAATTATTTCTTCAGGCTATGGGTGGAACCTTGGCAAATAATGCGTTAAGCACATCCCATTTTTTGAAAATTAGTGAAAAAGTTAGTCGAGTATCTTTGGATGTATTTGCACAACAATGGATTCATGGTAGAGGTTATCCAAGACTAAGAGTTATACAACGCTTTAATCGCAAAAAAATGTTAATTGAAATTGGTATTCGCCAAGTTCAAGATATTGAAACACCTCCTAAGTCTCTTACTGTTACCGATTTTTTCAACGATGCAAAATTTCATGCTAATAATATATCAAATTCAACTTTTCCTATCTTTACGGTTTTATATTTATAATTTATCAGATTATGTATTTAGAGTTTTTAGGGAACAATGACTATTCGAATTCATGAAGCTGATGGAACTCCATATGATCACGTTGTTGAATTAAAAGAGGCATTTACAAAACTAGATATACAATATAATATAAAAAATAAAAGATTTAGAAGAAATCAATCTAAAAAGCAAAAGAAAGATATGATGGATATTGATGGAGTAGGTGATATCGATAATGACAATGATTTTAGTGTTCAATGTTTTGGTGATATTCTTCAATCAGAACAAGAAATAAAAAATTGGAAACTTGAGGATTGGCTAAAAGAAGATGAAGAAATGATGTCAGAAGAAGCTTTTGAATGGATTCGTTTAGATGCAGATTTTGAATGGATTTGTATAATATGGGTAAATCAGCCAGATTATATGTATTTTTCACAACTTCGACAAGATCGAGATGTTATAGCACAATATGAAGTAAATTTTTATACCGGTCTTATAGAATTTCTTAATTATGTTAGGCTATACAATATTTTTCTAATTCTAAAGGAAATTGTATATATTCTAGTATACTTCTAAGAACATTAATGGATTCTCGATACTATTATGGAATTAGATGTGAAGCTGCATTAGCCTTAGTAAAGGTAATATTAAATTTTCTTTGTATATTTATGTATTTAATTATTAGTGTGCAACTGAAGATTTAGATTGGATTGGATGGTACCATCTTTTTAAAGCATTCCAAACAAATTACTGTTTTCCAAATTCTTCAATATCAAAAAGTAATAACTTTAGTAATCTATCAGAGTATTATGTACAATGCATCATCCCTATAGCTATGTCGAAAATTCGAGATAAAAAAGGAAATTCATTGATACAAATAAAGAAATTTCTTATTGATCTTTTACGATACAACGATAATTCTTCAAATGAAGTATTAGTTATTGCTAAACTATACTTTTTTAATATTATTAGTATTCTGATTGTTATTACATTTGTACACTTCTTAATTCTTTGGCATCAACATTGATTACTGAAAATAAAGAGTCTTTTGAATTCAATTTTGCTATGAATGATCCAGAAAATAAGAACATTATAGATACAGCATTGTCTGAAATTGAGCGTTTTCAACGAATAGACCAATTATTGCCTTCATTTCAGAATATAATATCAATTACTTCTTTAAAAGTAATTTTCTACATGAAAGAATTATCTAATTAGTTTAGATAAAATATCTTTTGTCAAAAGCAGGAATTATCCCTTTAAATTTTCAAGAAATTTTACCATATACTCATTCAGCAAATTATGATTTAGTTAGACTTACAGCATTTGATGTTCTTTTAAAATTAGGAGGTCTTCGACAAAGTCCTTTTACTTATTATGTTTTTTCTACTATATCTAGTGATAGATCACCTGCTATTCGACGTTATCTTTCATTTTCTATTTCTGAAGCTCTTGCTTTAATGGCATTAAATGATCAGCAGAGCCAGATACCTATTATAACAGCAGAACAAATGATTATAGAAGATGATGTTGACAAAGCGATTGAAGAAAAGAAAAGGGTCCTTGTTCGAGCAAATATTAGTGGAGCAATTACAGCACTCAAACAAGAGATTATGGAAGAAGAGACTTTAAAGGAACAATTATGGGCATCTTTAAAGTATATTTTATTTTTTCTAATTACATATATGCTAATTATTTTCTTAGTTCTGAAAAACTGGAATATATTATTCGACTTAATTTCTTAAATATCGTAAGTCTCTTATTTGATCCTAAAGAATCAAGACTTATTACATTGAAAATTCCAAACACTAAACCTAAATTGACTGCACAAATCATTGGAGAGGTATTTTCCTATATATTTCTAAATATTTTTACAAACATAACAAGGGAAAATTAATTATTCGTAAAGAAACATTAACGAACAAAAAACTTCCAGAAGGCAAACGATTACCAAAAATCAAAATCAAAATTGGCAATACAAAACAATCACTAGAATAAATCATGCATAATATCTATATTGTAACTGCAATACAAAAGAACAATACAGTCTAAGCATTTTTATGTAACCTATCGATGAAAACCTTTAGTATATACAATACAATTTTCAAATAACTTGATTTATATTACAGAAACACTACAGATGCATCACCTGGGTATCTTTTAGTTGTGAAAGATTCATCAGTCATGACCGCGCTTCTTGTATGTGTGACATGGTCAATCCTATCCGTTCATTTTTGGAGCTATCTTTTTTGCGGTCTTGCAGTACAAATCCTTCAGTCATAATATGCATGGTATCAACATCTTTATCTCTTAGAGCTGCAGACTTTCCTGCATGAGAAGCAGCTTTTTCTTGTGCTCGGATATCATCATATTCAAAAATATCTTCCTGAACAAGACGAATAGCAGTTGGTGGCCTACGCAACATTCCTGAACATTAAATACGCTCTATTATAGCAAACTAAGTATTTATGAATCCTTGATTGTGTTTAGAATATTCAATATTCGTTTTTTATAATTTTTTAAAAATTTTCACCACTTTTTTGATAACTTCAAAATCTTTTTCACAAATACCTAAAAAATATCTATAATATAATAGGTGTAAGTAATTGAAAGAATAAAGGTTAACTATTTAGTTATTATTTGACAGCGTTATTTATCAAATTATGATCCGTTGTCAGACAACGACTTATGCTATCGACACCGTAAAGAAAAACAGCTGGTTTTAAAATTTAGATTTAAAAAAAAAGAATGAATCAGGTTTTAAATGCAAGAAACGAGTGAGATTTTGTGTTTTCTATATTCTATGTTTTTTTTTCTAATTTTATTTAGTAAATTTCATGATTTAACACAGTCTGAGAAGCAAATACTTCTTGAGCTGCAATATATTTTAAAAACATGTGAACAAATGTATGAATAGTAAATATTATAGATTTTTTTGCATTTTTGTGTATATTTAATATTTTTTTAGACAAGAGAATCTTAAAAAGGCTATTTATTTAACAGATAAAAAAGGAGAACTTTATCATAAACAGGCACTTGCAATTGAAAGTATGAAAATGTGGGAAAAGATTGGTAAAGATGGTTCTTAATAAGATGAGTTTCTATAAAAAAAGCATATTTTGGGCAAATGTCAATTTATACCTATTTTTTCATTCAATTTAAAGAAATCAACTATTTTTTTTATTTTAAATAAAATATACCATTATAAATATAAAATATCAAATGTACATAATATAAAGAATACATGTTATTTAAATATTTTTCATTTCTTTTTTCAAATAGAAGTTTATCATGAATATTTTAAAGCGTTATACGGAATTATGGATTTTTACTAAAAAACATGGAGCAAACATTAGAACAAGTAGAAAAACATTGTTCATTAGAATTAATGAACTATCAGACATGTGTTTTCTTGCATTCTAAAGATTGGCTAAAAAGTTGTATTCAACAAAAAAATGCGTTAACAATCTGCTCAGAAAAAAAGTTGGCAATAAGAAATATTTTTTAATTTTTTAACTTTTTTTAACAGTGTTGCTTTTTTAAAAGATATGAAAGAAAAATGTTCAAATCAAATTGAAAATTATAATGTATGTTTATCACAAAATAAAAACAAACCAAGTTTATGTTTAAATGAATTAAAAAAAGTAATACAATCCATAATAACTAACAACATATTTAACTAATAAAATAATTAGCTTTACGATTGTACTAAAATATACAGCGATATAAAATTAAAATAAACACGATAAATTATTAAATCAAATTTTTAACGATTTTTTAAAAATATTTATATCTTAAATCTCTGAAAATCCGAAATAACTTTTTCAAGTGATGCTATCTCTGACATAAATACATTATATTTGTTCATATTTTCTAATTTAACAGTTTCAGGAACTTTAGTATTATAATCTTCTTTATTTATTTGTTTTTCTATTTCGAAAATCAAACATTTATTTTTTTCAATCTAAAAAATTATCAATATGAGCACTTTATACTAGGTTAAATGACCTTTTTTTTTGCTTTTTCTATTTCAATATCAAAATCAACTTGACCCTAATGAAAAAAGTAAATTTAGAAAGAAAAAAAATAATTTAAATACTTTTACTAAAAGTAATACATTACAATCCACATGTACAGTTGCTATTATACACCCTTCTGGTTGGGACACATCATTTCTAAGAATATTAATACTTTTGCATCCTTTAATTAATGATAAAATAATATTTATTTGGGACTCTAAAATATTAACCAAAGAATCATTTACTTGGAAATAAACTAAAAACTGTTAATCGAATTGTAATTTTTATTATAATCAAAATAGTACGCTGAGCATTTGTTCTAATATTATATTCAGCCATCAATGAACGACCTGTTTGTATAAGAGAAAAAACAAGATTGTAACTTGTATGTGCATATTCATCGTTAAATTCTGAATTATATACTGGAAATCTAGACTTAACTATTGAAATAGTAGTATCTCCAGGTCTTCTTGGAAGCCTTTGCCATAATTCTTCTGTAATAAAAGGCATAAAAGGATGGGTCATTCTAAGTGCACCATCTAAACAAGTATAAAGAGTATCTTGTGCAGATTTTTTTTCTTGAAAAGTCCCTTTATCAATAATAACTTTAGAATTTTCCTAAAATTGTTAACTTAAAATATTTTGAATAAAATAATTATACTATATAAATATCACAAAATTCATATAACCAAAAATTATAAATAACATTAGTAGCATTATAGAAATTCTTTTCTTCTAAAGCTGTATTTAATTCTTGGACTGCTTTTGTATATTTATGCAAAATCCATCGTTCCACAAGTGATTCGTTGCCAGATTTCTAGAATCATTAGTTATATAATTGAAATATAGAGAGATTTAACATAATCCTTAGGGTTCGGTATAAAATTAGTACCTAATTTTAACAAAGCATATTTTGTAGCATTATATATTTTATTACAAAATTTTCTATATCCTTCTACACGTAAAATATCAAGATTTATATCATGTCCTATTATTATCAAATTTAACTAAAAAAGTTAAAACAAAATACCTCCAGTAGTATATGCACAGAGAGCAAATCTTAATGCATCTGTTCCACACTGAGGAATACCATTCGGAAAATTCTTTTTTTGATTCTTTTTTGCAATTTCTTGCTCTTTTATATCAAGATTACTGTCAGATATTTTCTTATTCATGTCTTCAAGTGAAATTCCTTCAATAACATCTATTGGATCCACTATATTTCCCAAGCTTTTTGACATTTTTCTTCCCTGAGAATCTCTTACAAGAGAATGGCAAAATACTTCTCTAAATGGGACTTGACCAGTCAATTTTATTCCTACCATTATCATACGAGCAACCCAAAAAAATAAAATATCCCAGCCAGTTTCTAATAAAGACATAGGATAAAATTTTTTAAAATCATCTGTTTCTTTTGGCCAACCTAAAGTAGAAAATGGCCACAAACATGATGAAAACCATGTATCAAGAACATCTTCATCTTGTTCAAGAATAAAAGACTTTCCAGGAAATAGCTTTTTAGCTTTTTCTTGAGCAATTTCTTTACTTTGTCCAGAAACCCACCATTTGTTTTCTGCATAATCCTGAACTTCTCCTTCTATTTTAACAAAATAAGCAGGAATCCTATGTCCCCACCAAAGTTGACGTGAAATACACCAATCCTGAATATTCTCCATCCAACGATAAAAATCTCGTTCAGACGTTTTAGGAGCAATTTTTATTTCACCATTTTTAACAGCCTAAATTAGTCAAAATATTACATTTAACCATTTTTATAAAATACATTTAATGCATCTATGGACATTGCTTTTTGATTTACCCACCATTGAGGCTTTATTAACGGCTCTATAATATCCTTTGATTTACTGCAAATAGGAATAATCATAGGATTATCTTTAATATCAACAAATAGACCCCTCTTTTTAAGCTCTTCTGCAATTAATACACGAACATCAAATCTCTTTAATCCCTAATATATAAGTCAAACTATATACTGGTACTATTATTATTATACCTTCCAATCACCTGCATTTTCATTCATTGTCCCATCAGGATTTAAAATATTAATAAATAGTAAATTATGTCGTTTCCCAATTTCATAATCATTTATATCATGAGCGGGAGTAATTTTTACAGCACCTGTTCCAAAAGTCATATCAATAGAAATACTATCAGTAATTATAGGCAATAAGCGATCAACGAAAGGATGTTTGGCCATTTTTCCATGAAGATGTTTATAACGGTGATCATCCGGATGCACAGCAATAGCCGTATCACCCAACATTGTCTCCAAACGGGTTGTTGCTACAATAATTCTTTCATCTAATATATTAATATATATATTATAACATATAATATCTTACTGGATTCATATATTTCGTATGCAAAATAAACAAGAACTCCAAATTCTACAGGTTTATCATAACCAGGAACCTTCAACAATGTACGACCAGAAAGTTCAATTTGATCAACCTATAAATTAAAAAAATAATATATATAGATGTAATATACCTCTAAATTCGATAACGTTGTATTCAAAAAAGTACACCAATTAACAATTTTATTAGCTCTATAAATAACTCCATCTTCATGTAACCGCACAAAATGCTCAATAACCGCTTTTGACATGTTCTAAAATAAAATTAATTTAAAATAAACTAAAAATAGTATAAAAACATCGTCAATAGTATAAGCTTCACGAGACCAATCATATGATCCACCAAGACGCATTAATTGACTTTTGATTTTGGCAGAATAACTAAATTTATTAATTATAATTATATTATTGTATATAATCACCTTTCTTTCCATTTAACGACAATATCCACAAACTCTTCTCTTGAAAAATCATGTCTTGTTTTCTTTTCTTGCACCCATAATCTTTTTTCTACAACACTTTGTGTACTTAACCCTGCATGATCAAATCCTGGTAAAAAAAGGACCGTTTTATTTTTCATACGCTGCCTATATAGTTATAAATCAACATTAGTTTCTTTTTTTCTTAAAAATACCATCTAACAAGAGAATCTTGAATAGCAACAGTAAGTGCATGCCCAATATGAAGTATACCAGTAATATTTGGCGGTGGAACAGGTATGACAAAAGATCCTTCAGATTTACAGTTCCCATCAGGTCCCATTTCTGGCAAATGAAAACCCTCATGTTGCCACCATTCATACCATGCTGATTCCACTGCAGGAGGGTTATAGTTTTTTAATGCAGGTAAATCTAAATTTTGAAGAACTGGACAAAGTTATATATTAAAAAGACAGAAAAAACAGTACTTTTCTTTTGTCCTAATGGAGTAATCTCTATATATTCATCTTCAACAACAAATTCATGTTTTTTCGTTTTTTTTTCTTTCTTAGTCAAATTAACCTTAAATATATCAATAAAAACACTATATTAATATTATAAGTGACAACATACAGTGCTTTTCGCCTGAAGTTCTTTCTTTTCTATAAATTTTCTCTCTTTTTCTTTTTTTTTTCTCTCTTTCTCAACTAGACTATATTAAATTGTTTAAAAATATTAATAACATACTTTCTTTATCTGTTTTTTTAATTTCAGTCGAACTATATGATTCATTTGTATATTCTTCTTGTTTATAATCCATACTTTATATATTTTTAATATTAAAATGACTAAAAAAGATTCAATTTATAATGAAAAAGTTGATTCAAAAAAAACAAAAATACAAATTTAATATTTTTAAAAAGCAAAGAAATAATTGATAACTAAAATAATACAAAATATAATAATACAAAAATAAACGTTTAAAACTCTATTATTTAAACTAACTCTAAAACCTACTAATAAATCGAATCAAAAATTATGTTTTAAAAGAAAAAATCAATTTCATAAATAAAAAATACAGGTTGAATCTAAACTTTTATTTCTTCAAACAAAGTTATAGATAAAAAAGATAAAGTTTTGTATTATTTAAAATAATACTATAATTAAAGATATATTTTTAAATAAATATTTATTTATTTAAAAATAACAATAAAATTGAAATCATAAAGCAAAGGTTCAGCTCTTTTTATTCTTTCCTTCGAACCGGTTCAAAATATGGATGATTCATTGCTTCTTGAGGAGTTAAACGCTCCTATAAAAATGTTAAGTAATAAATGATTGTCTAAAACAATATTTACTTGATGGTCATAACGTAAAAGATTATCTAAAAAGTCAATCGCTTCTGGTGAAATATATTTTTGATTTTCAGATGTTATAAATTTTTGCCATGGTTTTCGTGGATACCTTTTTATATAAATATCAAAAGTAATCCTTAAAAACATACTTTCCAAGAATATCGTCATACTGAGAATCCAATTGAATATCATATTTATCTAGATATGCATAAAGTTTATCTGTTCCCAAAACTTTTGCGATTTTAACCAATTGATCATAATTATCAGACCTATAAAAATTAGACATCTTTTTTTTTAAAAAATTTTTAAACCCATGAAAAAATGGCTCTTTCCTAAATATCATAGACGCAAACATAGCACCTAAGCTCCACATATCAAGACTATAATCATATTCTTGAAAATCAACTAAAAGCTCTGGACCTTTGAAATATCTTGAAGCAACACGAACATTGTACTCAGTTCCAGGATGATAAAATTCAGCAAGACCCCAGTCAATCAAACGCAACTATATATATTAATTACATAAAATTTAAAAAAATTGTTTATAACTTGTCTTTTTTCATGATCAATCATCACATTATGAGGTTTTACATCTCGATGCATGATGCCTTTAGAATGACAAAAGTCAAGAGCCTAAATATAAATATATATATATTGTCTATTTCATATACTTTAATTACCTTTAATAATTCAAATATATAATACCGAATATCATAATCTTGAAAACGAGGATAAAGATTTCGAAAATCAGTATTATTTACATATTCAAATATCAATGAAGGCGTCTTACTCTAAACACAATTAAAAGACATAAAAATTATACAAAATTTGCATACTTGAGGATCACGAACAACATCTAACAGTGCAATGACATTAGATCCTCCTGCTAAATTTTGAAGAATTTTTATTTCCCGTTTGATTTTCTTTTTCTTAACAGGCTTAAGAACTTTAATAATACACTTTTCATCAGTGGCAACATTATATCCCTCAAATACTTCTGAATATTTTCCTCTTCCAACTTTTTTTACAACCTAATTATATAATATAAGGAAAAAAGGAGTAAAAAGCCTTATCCTAACCTCATAATTATCTTGTACACTATAAAATCGATTAAAAACACTAACTAAATAATTCTAGATAATTACCCCCATTGAATTTGCAAATTGTCATAGTCCCAATATGATCTAAAAAGTATTACTCAACCTTAACATTATTTCTTTCTACCTTTGCATATTTTCATTAACATTAGCGTATTGTCTTGCAATAGACATTTTCTGAATAATAATGTTAAGAAATTTTTAATAACTTTATAGATATAATTTTATAGATAGTTAATTATTCCTTCAATATAATTTGTTAATAAATTTAACCATTCATACGTTATTTGTTAATTTTTTTTTGTTGTTCAAAGTAGAAAAAACAATATATGTATTTCTTCTTTGATATTCTTCTTAATAATTCATAAAAATACACGATTGAGTTCTAATAACGTGTCTATTGTATTTATATTCTTCTTAAAGAGTTTTTTTTGCAGTTAAAATTTCGATCAACGTCCAAAAAAATATAGAGCACTAAGTTTAATAAAAAAATTAATTTGTTTTAAAAACATTTAATAATTTTTTATTATTGAAATGTATGATTTAAATGTTCTTTGGCATGGTTCAGGAGTTTCAGAAAACGAAATGAAAAAAATGATTATCTTTTTAAACGAACGTTTCTACCTTTTAAGTTTTTGAGAGGAAAATTGATTTAAATATAGTTGGTTATAGTACAATTGCTTTAAACTATATGGTTTACGGAAAAATTGGCAAAAAAATTGTATAAAATATGTAAATTAGAGTAAAAAAATTAAAAAACAAATAGACAAACCCAATTCGTCCAGATATTGTACAATGTCGAAAACCTATGCGTATTTTGTCAAGGGTGACTATTGTTCTTGACGAAGGATCCCAAAATTATAATTTGGCATGTTTTTATTTTCCAATTGTAACATTATTAACCAAATATTTAGTATTCAGCAACAGATGCATTTGATATTTTAGCAGTACGACCAACAACTGAAAAAATGTTTCAACACGTATGTACGTCTATGGACGTGGATATTATATCTCTTGATATGTCACAACGACTTCCATTTTATATTAAACATTCAACGGTTGGAATAGCTATTACAAGAGGTATACGGCTCGAAATTTGTTATGCTTCTGGTATATCCGATACTAATTGTAGAAAACACTTAATTTGCAATGCATCTGCATTAGTACGTGCAACTCGTGGGAAAGGCATTATTATATCTAGTGAAGCATCAAACCTAATCTATTGTCGGAGTGGATATGACGTAATTAATCTTTCTACTTTTTGGGGACTAAGTCAAGAAAAAGGGCGTAATGCGTTAGGTAAAGAAGCTAGATCTGTCATTATACATGGTGAAGCTAGAAAAAATGCAACTAAAGGTATTATTAAACTTGTCGAAAATGAAATATTACAAAAAAATAATAAATCTTAAATAAGTATATAATATAAATAAAAAAAAGGGTTTCTTTATTTACTACTTTCTTTTAAAAAATAATATTATTTACGATCATAAAAGGATTAATAAGAATAATTTTTAAGCAGTTCTAATTAAAATTACTAATATTGATTTCAAGCAATTTGATAACGTTATTAGTATATACAACAAATTAAATATTCATCAGATTTAAGCAATCTAAAGATGATTGCAACATTTTAAAATAACTTATAAAACTATTTTTATAAACTTTCAAATGTAAAAATAACAAAATATCATTCAAATATGTTATTTTGATGCTTCAAGAAAACACAATTTATGCAGATTACTAGTTTAAAGTTATCTCAGTCTTTACACAAAGTATTGGAGAATTTAGGATATAAATTAAAATTTTATACAACTCAAATATTTCCATCTATAGATTCGATTTATAATATATTAATAAACAGTTGTTATACATTAACAGAAATAAAATACATATTTAAAGAGTAGCTGGTATTGAGTGAATTACATTTCCTATTTTGACCTTTATTTCATTAACATGCAATTTATGCGTAGACAATAATCTAGAATATTCATTATTTAATCTGTTTAAAATAGTTTGATCCATTATAAATCGCCCTAAACACCATGCAATAGATGCATGGAACTGCGGGTTCTAAAATATTGTTAGATTCATTATTTAACTAATATAGTTTATTTTCCTCATAAAACGGTTGACAGTTATATCTTTTTAATATAGAATCTACAGTCTTTAAAATTGTTTGTAACTTTTCTAAAATTAACAAAAGCATTTATTTAGATGTGTTCATACACTTTCCTTTCCTGAATTAATTATGACAACAAGAAATGTTCTGCTTAAATCTTCATTTGTAAAAATAGCTATCTTTGAAAAATCAATATCAAAGCTATTATAAAAATATAAAATCACTTTAAGAAATTCAAAGAAAAAAATCTTTCTACCTTCTAAATACAACGTTTGTTTTTATTGTATTCTTAAAACTATCAATCATATCGGTTGTTAACATAAATGGTTTTGAAAGACTGATATGTAGTGGCAAAAATATCCCTAAATCGTCCTCTAATAATGAAGTAAACACAATTCCTTCTAATATACATAATTCATATATTTTTTTTAAAAGACCTCGTAAACTTTCTACCAGTACCACTTTTTTATTAGATATAAATTATTTTTAAAAAAATATTACAAGAAATATAAACATGACTTGGCCAATTCCCTGGAACACTCAAATATGTCCGTTTCCGACCTTCATGAAATACTGGATCATCTCCCATCATTGGTTTGACTGACTAATTATATATCCTTCTTTCATTTTAAAAAAAATACCTTGATATAAATCAAAAAATAAATAAGGCAACTCAGACTTTTTTCTGCTTGAACATTCTTCATTTTCTTCATCTGTTGATTCATAAGTAACAAGTCTTGTATTTTCATTACTTTTCATTTTATATAAAAACCTCTAACCTTTGGCAACGGTTGTCATAGTTGCTACGACAATGTTTTAATACCTTTAATCTGCAAAAAATAAATCTAATGGCTTTTCAAATCCGAAGATTTAAAGCAAAATCTACAAAAATCTTAACAGAAGATGAATATGAAGACTCTTCTGAACACTCATTTTCGTCTCCCAGAGATATATCATTTACTCAAAAAACACCGTTTCAAACAGATCAATCAGACTCAAATTCTAAACTAACAAATGAAAAAAAGAAATATAAAGGATTAAGACTAAGTTTTGGACATGAAGTAAGGAAAAGAATTAATATTTGCTTGAAAATTAGGTTAATTTTATATAGGAAAGTGATCAAGAGCATGAAATTTTTGTACCAAAAAAATCGCTTCTGAGTCAACAGTCTCAGAAAGAAAAGCCGCAAATAGGGTCTCAACTTCAGTATGAAGCTGTATATATCTATATAATTTCATTTTCTCAAAAACGGATAGGATTAACATACCTAAATCGGTTGAAAAGATGTCTTCAGAGACGCCTAAGTATAATTCAGAATATCTCTCTGAACTTCGCTCATCTACTCCATCAACACCAAAAGAATTCTGTACTATATACAAAGAAACTATTAATATGGATGATTTATCTATAACGGAAAATATTTCTTACTCTAAGGCCCCTAAGATTTTGGACGAGGGAATTGTTAAAGCTTTAAAAGAAAGGCGCACAGAAAAAATTAAACAAAGTAAATTAAATAGTTGTTATATTCCTTTAGAAGATGACAACCAAATGGTTTTGTTTTCAAAAACAAATGAGTCACGATTGCAGCGTGAAGATGATTTACTTGATGATGGTATTGAAGGTTATTTATAGATTATCCTATAATCTAAGCTAAATATTTCATAAAGGGTTTCGAGAATATGTAGATGATGGAATTGTACTTAATAAAGATTTAGAAAAGAGACAAGCTAAGCAAAAGCGTATTGAGATGGAAGATGCTATTGAAGAAGCGTAAGTTGTATATTTATACATTTTTGATGATACTGATTACTTGAAAAGAGAAAATATAGACATTGAAGAAGAGTTTTCTTCAGAAGAAGAATCACGTATATGGGAACAAACCCAAATACGTAAAGGTGTATATGGTCCAAATTTTGTAAATACAAATTTAACCTCACAAAAAAAATATCAACCAATTATAACTCAGATACCAAAATTCGAAAATTCTATAAATCGACTAAAAAATAAACTATTTTCTATGAAATCAGATAGAGATATTATGTTGTCAGAAATTGAAACATTAATGTTAGAAAAAGAAGAAATTTCCAAAAGAGAAAACGACGTAAAAGAGTCTCTTGAAAAAGCTTCTCGCGATTATTCTAATCTTCAAATAAAAACACCTCAAGTAGATTCACCTATCCGTGGTCTTGATTCAATTGCTTCTTATACTGTTAAACGAACGCCTATTTCTCAAAGTATTTCTTGATCATTAAAATGTTTTCAATTCTATGTAATTATATAAGAATAATTGCCACTTTTCCCTGTATTTTCGTGTTATCTTTAATAAACTTAATTTTGCTATCTCAATTTTTCTTATCGTTTTATTCGTTACTAACACAGAATAAAGATTGCCAAAGGAATGAAAATAAAATGGCATGTTTTCGCATTTTCGAGTATATTATTCTCATTTATATTAAGTAACTAACATATATACTTTTTTTTTCTAAAAATTTACTAATTTTAACCTATAGATGTTATAGCAAATAGAGTTGGTATGGTTTACCACATTTTACCATATAACCACTTAGAAAAATATTATCTACAATATTCATACTCTTTAAAGCCAGAGGAGGTACGTTTCTTTTACAAAAATCTTAAAATTAAAATTTCAGGCACGGCAAGTATTAGCACATATGATGGGAGTTTCAAAATTTCATAAACTTGGATTTCAAGGACAGGCAACAAAAGTTATAGATAGTATTGAAATGAGAAGTTTATGGGGATTATGGGAAGAAAAAAAAAACCATATGTTAATTACATTAGCAGGAGTTATAGATATTAAAGCATTTTTTACAGAACAACCACTTTTTATTATTAAAAATTCACCTTCTTCTGAAGCGTATAATCATTTAATGAAGCGTATTTTGAATCAGTTTCATGAATTAACAGGTTCACCTATTGAGCGTTTATATGCAAATATATATGGTGGAGGTTTATTTTTAGTACCTCCTATAATGGTAAATAGAACAGTTATTTTTATTTTTTTGTATTTTTTATACTGTTAGGAAATACATGATCATATCCAGCATGCTCCATCATTAAAGTTGTTTGAAGATAAATTTGGAAAAGAATTTACTGGTATTTTTGATTTTCAGGATAAAGAAAATCGTTGTTTTTTATCCGAAATTCTTTCTCTAAGTAGCTTTATCAATGCATTATCAGAAAATTTTCAAGCATCTTCAGTCAAATTAATGGCTGCACATCTAACTAGTTTAGAAATTTTATACCATCATTATGGCGCTGATTCACAACAATACATCTATGCTGTAAAAGCATTTAGCTTAGTTCTTAACCAAATTTCCAAAGAATTGCCGAATACTACATTTACTATTATATTACTATCGCCTACAATGATTCTTAAAGATCCATTATTGCGTCGTGCCGAAATCGAAGATACATTTGGGAATGATAGTTCTGCACCTGCTTTGAAAGAACTTAGATCTGTACTTCCACACTGTTATGATACCAAAGCAAGTTGCGAAAATGCAACAAACTATTGTTCAAATCATGGATCATGTGAAAAATATTTAGGACAAGAAAAGTGTTATGCTTGCCGATGTTTTGCTACAGTTACAAATGTTGCAGAAAATGGAAAAAAAGTTTCTTACTGGTCTGGAGACTCATGCCAAAAAAAAGATATTAGTTCTGAATTCCAAATGTTTTTTTGGGTATATTTTTTTTAAAAATCAAATCACATTTAATATTAATACTTAGGTAATTTTTTTCTTTTTAATTACAGTTATATGGGCAATTAAACTTTTGTAAGTAAAAAATTATTTTTTTAAAAGCAATTAAAAATATTTAGATATAATGTTGGTAACGAAAAACTTAGTGCTGTATTAATGAATATGGATGTTATTAAAAAAACCTAAATTTACAATGTCTTTTGAAATGCATTTTAAAATTCAACTTTTACGTTTTTCATTAAACTAATATATATAATCTTATGTATATTTTTAGATTACATTTCACCACATTCTAAACATTATCAATTATAACTATTTAATAAGAAAGTATTTTTATATCACCTGTAATAACAATAGGAATTTTAGGTGTATTACTTGTACCTGTTGTTGTTACATTTTCCATTTTTTTTAAGACTGAAAATCCATAAATAACTCGTCCAAAAACACAATGCTTTCCATCCAACCACGGTGCTGCTTTTGTCAAAATAAAAAACTGACATCCATTTGTATTTGGCCCAGAGTTTGCCATGGACAGTAATCCCGGAGCATCATGTTTATGAACTAAAGAGTAAATTCTGATCAAAAAAAGTAACATCCAAAAATAAATACAAACCAAATGACTCATCTGCAAACGTTTGAGATCCATAAATACATGTGCTTCCTGTTCCATTTCCCTAAAATCAAAAATTTATTTCTAAAATCATTTTGCACAAAATAAATATACATGAATAAAATCTCCACCTTGGACCATAAAATCCTTAATCACTCTACATATACTTATCAATAATATCCTTTTTGCTAAAAACACATATTTTACCGATGAAACGTTGATCCTTTATATCCCTGTGGACGTCCATTTGAGCCCTTTGTTTCACCAGTGCAAAACTGTCTAATGCCACAATTGACAAAAATACATTTAAATATATCTTAATACCTGAAATTTTCTGCTGTTCTGTTTTTTTTTGTAAAAATTTAATTTCTTCAGCCAAAAAATAGAAAAAAACATACTTTGGATGCGTATTTGCAAATAGTTCAATTTTTATACGTCCCTGAGGCTGATTTCCAATGGAAATATCAAAAAATACCACTGGATTCGTTGGATTTGGCTCTATTGTAGAGTTCATTTTTATATTGTAAAATGATGAAGTTAAGACATGACGCGACGCGAGGTTACTGTAGCAACTAAATTTTTGAAATCAGCAACATCTGTTATTTTTTTGGGATTTGTTTCAATAGGGCCTAAGGGCGAGCCATTCGTCAATATACGCGAGTATTATTGATAGAATTGTATCTTCTTGAAGCATTGAGGTTTTTTTCGTGTTTTTTTTAGGGCAATTTTTGACTTTTATAAGAGGAAAAACGGTTAATCTGATCATTGTACATTAAAAACATATCTGAAAAACAAATTTCAGTGAAAAAACATAAAAAGAACTAAAATACTATTTTCAAAAACATTTATAGACTTTTTTACAGGCAAAATGTTTTTTAAAAAAAATAAAAAGTCAAAGACTACACCATTCAGATCAGAACCACCTTTACCTGAATTGGGCTCTTATTCTGATACAAAGGAGTTTTGGAAGCAATCATATAAGAACTATGAGAACAGTATGAAGATGTTAATGTTTGCATCTGAAGAAGAGCCCTGGGAACTTTCTCAAAGGTATTTTTCCTCGACATATGTTCCAAGAGATACAAAAGGATACTTGATTGCGGACCCAGATAGAAGTAATCCAACAAGAAGCAGAACAGAACGCCCTTTACAGACAATTATGGGGTTTGAAGAAGCTATTTATAGAAGCACATTTGGTAATTTTTTTTCTTTGATTATATTTTTTTAATATTAAAAAAGGTAACTCTCCAAGTAACAATTCCTATACACGGAACAGTTATGAAAACAATAAGTAAGTGCTTTCATATTATATTTATTCAATTCATTGCTGTTTAGAATAATGCGTAATTGTTCTATGTCCAGCACTAATACATCTACATATAACTCTATGTTTCATGATAATATCTATGCTCCGGAAATGGACTATAGACAATCTATATCTACAGATACAGACAGTATATACAAAGGATTTAATAGTAGTGACGGGTTTGTGATTTTTTTCCAACTTATATCATTTTATTAACATTCATAGATATTCTCGATATCAGGATAATTATGATAAATTTCATTCAAGTACGTCAAGCTCAAACTATACAAATACGTGTGATAGTAGCTTTGAAAATAATTATCATTCAAATAGTAAATATTATCCATCCCCTATCATACATAACCTTACATACTCATTAAATGATAAATACAAAAATTCTTATGATGAATATAATCAATATGGAGATATTCATTCAGTTACTTCAGATGATTTAGTGGATATAAAAACTTTTAGATCTCCTAAAAATGAAATTCAAAGATTCTTTTCAACAAAAATTGGTCCTAAACATAAAAATAAATAATATTTTAAAATAATCTTTACACTAACAAGATATAACGCAATATTTTTACTATATTTTTTATCATTTAGAATTTATATGATTCTGATATATTAATTATTTCTTTGTATATTTTTCTTCTATAGCTGAGTTAAATTTTATTAATATAAATATTAATATCTTTGCTGTTGCAATATAAGCGCTTCACAAAGAACACATACAGGGTTTTTTTCTTTTCTCATTTCAATACTATATAAACAATCTTTATGATAATTATGCCCGCACATAAATATAATAACTTGAGGAAAAACATTATTTTTAACAGATAAGTCTTCACTTTTTTTTAAATAACTTAAATCGTGTTTTATATGTAATCTTTTTTCTTGTATTTCTTTTTCAGGAAATAATATATCTTCGTTCTCAATTAAATCATGTAATTCTTTTTTATTTAATATTTCATTTTGTTTTTTTTTTTTTTGAGAATATAAAAAATCTATAGTATTTTTATGTTCCCACAGATCTTGTTTGCATACTTCACAGTTAGAAAATTCTACTTTACACCCTTTGTTTCTTATTTGCTGATTATATTTAATGAGTTTAAATAAATCTTTATTTAAAAGTTTATTAGTAATAATAAGTAATTCTTGATCATATTTATAACTTTGAAAAATATTAATTAATAATTCTTTAATTTCAAATATTGGTGGAAATAAAATTGCCATTTCAAGAAATTGGTGCAAAATATTAAAGAATATAACTAATTGAGAGCTTGATAAAGATGTTAGGTTATATAAAGAAGTAAATATATTTTGTACTGAATCCCGTATAAATGTTTTGACTTTTTCTAAAATATCAGATATTTTGATTATTAATTCATTTTTATTTGAATTATAATATGATAAACTTTCAGAAGTAATTTTCAATAATTGATCAGAAAGCTCTGATAACATAATTTGCGATACTTTAATTATAACTTCTAAAAGCCTAATCCACTGAAATTTGTGAACAGAAATTGACGAATCAAAAGGATTTTCTAAAATCGAAGAATCTTGATGCTTTCTAGAAATTAATTGAAGAAAATATTCTTCGCAAAGAGATATTCCAGTAATAATGTTTTTTTCTATATTTTCAAATTGCTTTTTAATATTATCAAAATTTAATTTATTTGGATTTTTTATGCATTTTTTAAGCTCAAGCTTTAAAGATATATCTATTTCTAACATAAACTCTGAAATATATTCCAAATTTTTTTCAAACGCTATAGAAACTTTTCCATTTAAACGTAATAGGTGAATTATAGCATCGATCATCCGATAATTCTCTAATATTGATAAAATATTATCGACATCTATATCATTAACATTTAAACTTTTTATATAATTTGTTAGATTTTCTGGTTCAAAATTACAAAGAAGAATAATAAACAATTCTTGAATTTCCTTAGTTATCCATGATTTGTTACTAATACAATTATTTGGAATACTAATCCCATTTTTTAAAACTGTAGTTTCTATATTAGTAAAAAATTGTGGATTTAATAAAAATTTTAAATAATTATACTGCATAACTGACTTTTCAAGCTTTTCAATAATTTTTATGTGCAATTCCGGAAAATACTTATTTATAATTTGAGAAAATCTTATAATATCTATAGAACATATTTCTTCGCTATATTCAATAATAACTTTGTGTAAATTAGATATTTTTTTATCATTTAGTTGATTTTTCAATTCAAAAAGCTCAACAATACATTCAAATAATTCAAATGAATTATCTTTGTCTTTTATATGTACTTTTAGTAACTTTGAGAACTTTTTCTCTTGTTTGTAGATAAATTTAAGTACTTTATAAAATTTATTCTTTTCATATAAGTTAATTAAATAATTAGTATCATCAGGTTTATAAAATGACAAAAGATGAATAATTGATACTTGACACTTATAAGAAAGATCTTCATTAGAATTTTTACCAAGCTCAATAAGAATTTTTTCAAGAATAGAATCTGAAAGAAAGATAAATTGTGAATATTTTGAAATATTATAAGCAATAAAGATATAAAAATAAATAAGATTTTGTGAATAAACTTCTTCTTCCATTATTTCTAAAAGAATGTTAATAATTAACTGTCGAGTAATCTTTATATTTGATAATTTTGAAAGCTCAAAAGTATTGTCGATTTCATTTAAAAAATCATCTTCAAATGCTTCATTTAAAACAGATAAAAAAGCAGGTACATCATAACTTAAGATAAGCCGTAAATAAGGGAAAGTAGATTCTTTAGAATCATCTATAATTGATTTGATTAAAATTCCGTTATTTTTTGGCCATATAATATTTATTCCAGAAAAAATGAACCAATAAATAGATGATTTAGCAAGAATTGACATATCTTTATTCATATCTATTTTAGTAGGATAAATACGTCCAAGTAATGAATTTGATAAATATAAGAACAACTTATTAATATCAGAACGCAAAATATCCATATATTGAGGAAATATGTTATTTTCCTGTTTTCGATTTATTTCATTATTTTGTTGATTTTTGAAAAAACAATTAATTAAATTTAAAAAATGTATAATAGGTGTTATAAAGTCACTAAAAGCTTGTGTCCAAATATATATTAAAATATCATATAACTTTTCTTTACGAAAAATTTTTAAACTCTCATCAATATCAAGAGATATAAGATCGATTTTAAATATAATATTTTCAAGATTCGAGTATAATTTTTTCTTTAAAAATATTGTTATTATATCTTTCATAACATCAGGACGTATAATTTTAAGCTTTGAAGCTAAAACAAATGTTTCTATAGATTCTAAAAATATTTCTTCTTCTCCTGTTTTTCGAAATTGATTATATACATCATCAAATAAAAAATCAACCATTTTCATATTTATGCATGCTTCGATACAAACAAGTGCTAAATTTTTTTTGACCTGTTTATCAGGAATCATATTTTCTAAATTTGAGGAATTTTCATGTAATATAAATTTTAAAGACATAACAATTATTTTTAACAATTTTTCTTCAAGTAATGTATGACGTAATTTATCATCTAATGGAAGTCCAAGAATTGCTTTCTCACAGTTTCCTTCATAGTATAAATTCATTAAAGAAATAGCTTTTGTAAATTTTTTCGCATTAAGAATTAGAGACAATTTATAATCCCATGTTGTAAAAATACCTACATATATACAATCTTTACACTATTAAATGTATTGGTTAAAACTTTATAAATTTAAATTAATCAAACCAATAAAAAAATTTTTTTTTTAAATATAAAAAAACTTTGACAAAATGTACTAATTTGTATATTTTCTTGATAAGTCTTATCAATGATATTATTTTCACTGAACTTTTCATCATAATAATTTAACATTAATATTTCTTCTGTTGGAGTATCACACGAAAAAAAAGACTCCATGGTTTCTATATTTATTATACGAATCTTTTGAGATCTCAATAAAAGTACTATAATCTGTCTTACAATAAAAATGTATTCATAAAAATGTTGCTTAACTTACAGTCATATTAAACCATTGTGCAGCAAGAATTAGTTCTTTCTCTTCCCATTGAGATATTTTCTTGAATAATAATGAAGGAATATTTCTATCGCTAGATATAAAAGTAGGCTCTTTATGTATTTCAAGAACAGACAAATAATTTTCCCATGAATATAACAATCTAATTTTATTAATATTTTCTATATTTTTTTTTTTTAATTTTTCTGATGAAAACCAACTTAAAACACCTAACAAATGTCTATCTGCTTTTAAAAACATAGGCCTTGTTGTTTTAAATTGAGATCTAATTGGTGAAGTAGTAATGATAGATAACTAAGAAATTAAAGATTTATAAAAAGAGAAATAAAAATAATACCTTATGTGACATAAGTATTGCTATTAAGGTAACTGAGTTCTCTGTATTTTTGGAGTCATTTATAGATAGTGAAGTAAGTGCTAATACAATATTTGATTCTTTATAATTAGAAGATGAATTTATTAAACGATGTCCAGTAAGGCGAATAGAATGTACCGAATTTGAAATGATATTCCTATTGAAAATATGGTAAAATGTCATTCCATGGTTATCTGAAGATACAATAGAACGACAAGAATTTACAAATGCAACATGACATATTTTTGAATTATTTAAATGACCTGAATTAAAAACATTTTGAGGACCATTAATTGTTATAGGAGATATGGTTAAAATTAGATTAGCAGGAGTTCTAAGTTCCCATACAAAAATATATCCTCGAGAATGTCCTGAACAAAGGAACATAGAGTCATTAGATATAGACATAGATGTTACTGATCCAAAGTCCATAGCTATAATATAGTTTATAAAATTGTAAAAATAATTAATCTCTTTTACCTTCCGTTTTCTGCCTGATAATATCTTTAAGAGTTTGACGATAATCGAATATTAATATGAGTCCTTTAGAAGTTCCTACTGCAATAATATCTGATATCTAAATATATTAAAATTAAATTTCTATATTTTTATGTGAAAAATATATACACATATACACATAGCTGATCCGTATTCCTTTATTGTTAATTTTGTGAAGATTTCAGAGCTAATTTTTTTTAATTTACACCAACGTATAGTATCTTTAAAAGTATCAAAATCTTTCTCTTCCTCAGAACTCTTTATATCAACTGAGATAGATGAATTTGGAGAATAATTAAAACAAGAAGAACTAAATAATAATGATGTCAAGGAATAGGACTTGGAATGTTTTGCGACTTTTTCGCTAACTATTAATAAACATAAGTTATGTAAAAATAATCACAACTAAAGTGTACCTCGATCTTCTATAGAACTAGAAGGTAAAGAAAAAGATGTCTTTTCTGTGCTCTGGATTATATTATTTTTATTTTTCAAAAAAAATATAGATACCAAAAAATAATGATTTTCAGCTCTTTTATAATCATTAAAAAATGACCTATTCTCCATTCCACAATAATCTCCGAAAGATTTTTCCTGAAATATTGATACTGCATTATTTGAAACATAATTTTTTTTAATTTGATCAAAATTTTCTGTAGAAACAGACAATTTTTTTAATTTTTCCTCAACAAAACCATTTTCATCATATATCTTCTCTGGCTCATTTTTTACAATGTTTTTCACCATATTTTGTTTGATTTTTTTCAATTCTAATTCGTTCTTTTCTATCAAACTTATGAAAAAACATCAATATTTTTGATAATTTTATATAAATCTATTTTTATTACTTTTTATTAAAATAGTATGTTAAAATATTTCATTCTATATATTATTTAAGTAGATTTCTTATTAATAGAAAAAAATTATTAAACTTTGCCATTTTAAACAACTTGATCTTTAAATTTTAACGAACCATAAATGAATGATAAGCAACGTTAAAAAATATATTAAAATATGATAGGACCAGCATCTCCCCCCAAAACATATAAAAAACATAAAAATAGCACTATAGATAGTAGTTTGTTTACAAATGATAAACTTGTATGTTTTTTTTAAAAAAATGAGAAAAAATTATTCAAAAATAAGTCTTATTGTGTTACAGGACCTTCATTTTCAGAATTTTCAGAAGAAAAAAAAGAAAATAACATTCAAAATAGAGAAATCGAGAACTCTAATGAAATGCCCAATAAAAGCAAACGTTTAATAGGACCAGTATTGGATTTTAAGGAAACAGAAAACGATGATAATGAAATTGGACCACATCTTTCTGATTTTACAGATTCAGTAGTAAGTTGTGGAATGTTTTATCTTCCTAATAACTTTTCTTAAGAGTTATGAGGAAAAAAAACAAAAAAAAGCAGCAGAGTTTGAAGAAATTGAAAAAAAACGTTTAAATCAAATTTCAGAAATTCCAATAATAAGTCAAGAAAAAAAAAGAGATGATTGGATGATTATCCCTCCTAGTCGCTCTGATTTGAATTCTAGAATAGGCATTAGTCTTAAATCACGGACATTCAATACTGAAAAAAGTGCACGGTTAAATGATTTTGGTGTTCAAGATATAAATTTATGGACGGAATCTTATGAGGATAAACAAAAACGTTTAAAACAAGAAGCAATGGGTATAAAAAAGCCTATGCATCAGGATGCCAAATCAAAAAAAGATCTTAATACTATATTTAATACTGAAAAACAAAAATTAAATGTAAGTTATAATTATTGGATTTTTTTATTATAGAACTTATATACTTTAGCACGGAGCTAAACGTCCTTCTTTATACGATATGCATCTTAAAGTAAGTAAAGAATCTACAGATGACCCTTCAAAGAGAATGTTTGATTATGAAAAAGATATTGGTGAAAATTCTCTAACTTTTTCAAAAAAACTAAAAATAATAAATCTTTCAAAAGACATGTCCCGATTTTCCTCTGGATCATATCTTTAATTAGTATTTTATATTAATACTGTTATAATAAAAAATAGAGCTAGAAACTTTTCAGATTCCATCATTATAGAAGTTTAATTACCTCATGCATGTGTTTTATTGGTATATAAGTATTATAAAAAATATAAAATGTTTTCCATATTTAAAAACATTATCTTTAAAAGAGAAGTCGGAGAATAATATATATAAGTAGCTACTTTTATATATATTTTAAAGAAACTAGAGCATAATATAATTGATGCGTATTTTTCAGAATGCTTTTAGTTACTTAAAAAATGTATTATTTAAATTTTCTAATTGGATTTTATCTTTAATCTTGTCCTAATGTTGTACTATTTTGACTTCAAAAAAAATAATATAATTCAAATAGTGATTTGTATATCAACAAAAATATAAATTAATACGTTATATCCATGTGCATAGGTATATCTTGATCATTAATCTTTTCAATATGTATTGAAGTAGTTTCTGGCATATTCTTTTTTTTTTGATATTCGGACGCTTCTTTTTGCGTATTATGTTCATGAACGGTGTATTTTGGTGATTTATAAAGAATAAGATCCATCACTGGCTCTTCAGGTTGCAATATATAATTTGGAATATTTACAAATTTTTCTTTTATACCCTGAAGAAAAGAAATTGGTGATTCTATTTTTCCTTCTTCTTCATTATTATCTGTAAAATTCTCAATATTTTCAATCACAGTTGTATGAGCATCCTTCTCATAAAAAGATAGATATTTCATATCTAAATCTTTATACACTTCTAATGTTAAAAAATGTTAGAATGCATTTAATGATCTAATATTTCATGAAATTATACCTAATTTGTGTATTCCTTCATTTAAAGTTAATTCAGAAAAGGTTTCTAATAATCGTTTTTTGCGGTTTTCGATTAGTCCGCTAATAGAAACGTCATTTTGTTTACGTTTATAAAGAGTTTGTGGTTTAAATTCCATTAATTTTTGTATACTTTAGGTTATTTTTAAAACAACATTCTGTTAATTTTTTAAGAATATTGTATTTTATCTAAATTTACGTTTTTTTTGTTAAAATTTTGCTTATATCGTCGAAAATTTTAAAAGTAGAGGGTTTAAAACAAGGCAAAAAAAGATGAAGAATGCTTTGAAATGGCCTAGTCATAAAGTAGTTTATGTCTATTTATTAAAAGTTATATTTTTTTCTGAAAAAATAGGTTAGAGAAACATTTATATCGTATTTTAAAGAACGAGATCATACATTTGTTCCAAGTGCTTCTGTAGTGCCATATAATGATCCTACGCTTCTTTTTACGAATGCTGGCATGAATCAGTACAAGTCTATTTTTCTTGGGACGGTGGATCCATATAGTCCTCTTGGAAAATTAAAAAGAGCAGTTAATTCTCAAAAAGTACTTATTTTTTTAAATATTTTAGACATTTCATATCTAACTACTTTGTAAGGTTATTAGAGCTGGTGGGAAACATAATGGTATATTTTTTATTTTTACACTTTTTTTTTAAAACTTATAAATAGATCTTGATGATGTAGGGAAAGATGTAAGTTGATTATTATATATATCGAAAGTTTTTCTTTTTAATATTTTCTGAGAGTTATCATCATACGTTTTTTGAAATGTTGGGTATGGTGGTATAAAATGGTTTTACAAATGCTAATATTTAAGGAAATTGGTCTTTTGGAGATTATTTTAAAAAAGAAGCCATTGCTTATTCATGGGATTTATTAACAAGAATTTACGAATTACCTAAAAATTGTTTGTATGTTACGTATTTTCAAGGTGATGAAGAGAATGAAATACTTCCTGATTTGGAAACAAGAGACCTTTGGATAGCCATAGGTGTTGATCAAAATCATATTTTACCTGGTTCAAAAAAGGATAATTTTTGGGGTATGTAAAAAATAAATAAATGACTTAGTTCTTATATAAATATAAAGAGATGGGAGATATAGGGCCTTGTGGACCCTGTACAGAAATTCATTATGATAGAATTGGTGGAAGAAATGCCACTAATCTTGTTAACAAAGATGATCCTGATGTAATAGAAATATGGAATAATGTCTTTATTCAATATAATCGTGAAAAAAATGGAAAATTAGTACCATTGCCTAGTAAACATGTAGATACAGGGATGGGTTTTGAACGTCTTGTATCAATTCTTCAAAATAAATCATCGAATTATGATACTGATATATTTTATCCTCTGCTTAAAAAAGTGCACGAAATTACTGGAATAAGACCTTATCAAGGAAAATTTGGAGATGAAGATATTGACGGTATTGATACCGCATATCGCGTAGTTGTAGATCATGTAAGAACTTTAATGTTTTCAATATGTGATGGATGTATACCAAATAATGATGGGAGGGGTTATGTTTTAAGAAGGATTTTAAGGCGTGGTGCTAGATATGCTCGGAAAAAATTTAATTATCCTATTGGGAACTTTTTTTCTTCACTTGCACCTACATTAATTAATCAAATGGTAATATTAGTATTTAATTAGATTTTAAAATTTAATAAATATTTAGGTGCATGCATTTCCTGAATTGGAAAAGGGTTATAGTATATTAGATATTTTAGATATGGAAGAGGCATCTTTTGCAAAAACTCTTGATCGAGGTGAAAAAATGTTTGATAAATATCTTCAAAATGCTATAGTGAAAAATACAAAAGTTTTGCCTGGAAAAGATGTTTGGAGTTTATATGAAACATATGGCTTTCCTATAGATTTAATAGATCTAATAGCTAAAGAAAAAGGCATGGAGATTGATCAAAAAGGTTTTAAAGATACTGAAATTAGATCGAAAGAAATAAGTCGAAAATCCCGTGGTAATAATTTAGAAAGTTTAAAAACTATGGAGATAAATGCTCATGATTTTGTTAAGCTTCAAACAATGAATGTTTCCCACACTGATGACTCTTTTAAATATAGTTTGTATACATTCTATATTTGAATTGTTGTTAATAATGTTTAGATTCTGGAACTATTAATTCAAAGGTTAAAGCTATTTTTTATAATAAATTATTTATAAATTCTACTGAAAATATTAAACAAGGAGAACAAATAATAATTATTTTAGATAAAACTAATTTTTATGGTGAAGAGGGGGGTCAAGAAGGTGATGTTGGTAAATTAGTTCTTGAAGGAAAAGCAGAATTTTTTGTTGAAGATACTCAAATAAATGCTGGTTATGTTTTGCATATAGGATATATGAAATATGGTTATTTTGAATTAAACGATGAAATAATTTGTGAATATGAAGATATTGGGAGGAGAAAACCTATAAAGAATAATCATACAGCAACTCATTTACTTAACTTTTCTTTAAGAAAAATTCTTGGTGACGATGTTCATCAAAAAGGATCTTTAGTTTCATCTGAAAAATTAAGATTTGATTTTTCGTATAATTTTCGAATTTCTATATCTGATTTAGCTAAAATTGAAGATATGTGCAATGATTATATATCAAAGGATTTTACAGTTTATTCTAAAGAAATTAATCTTGATTTAGCCTATAAAATATTTGGAGTTCGTGCTATGTTTGGAGAAACTTATCCTGATCCTGTTCGTGTTTTGTCTGTTGGTGTTGATTTAAATGAAGTTATAAAATCACCTACTTTATCAAAATGGAAAGATTATAGTATTGAATTTTGTGGTGGAACTCATGTATCTAAAACATCAGATATTAAAAATTTCATAATTGTTGAAGAAGGCTCTATTTCAAAAGGAATTAGAAGAATTGTTGCTTTGACAGGTCATGAAGCTAACTCTGTAAGATTTAGTTCTAATATTACTTATAAACTAATTATAATAAGGCATTGAGATCTACACATGATTTTTCAGAAAGGTTAGCTTGTTTAAAATCAATGCCAGCTGGTCCTGAAAAAATACAGCGTTCTAAATTAATGACAGCAGAGTTAGATTGTATTGCAATATCTATTATAGAAAAGTTTAAATTTCGTGAAACATTATCTCAAATTCAAAAAGAAATTTTAGAATTAGAAAAGAATAAAAGAAAAGAAGAGGAAAGGAGAGTAGTTGATTTTATAAAAACATATTTTTCTGAAAATCCAAATGAGACATATTTAGTAGTTAATATTCCTAATATATCTCCGAATATGAAAGTTTTATCAAATGCTATTAGTTATGTTAAAACAAATGAAAAAGATAAAAGTGTTTATCTATTTGCAACTGATCAAAATCAGAGTAAGAATATTGCTCATATATGTTATGTTTCGAAGGTATAATTACATATTTTTTAGAAAATATTTTTAAGATCATAGTCTGCTCTTGTGAAAGTTAATGGTCAAGAATGGGCTAATACAGTTACTACGATACTTGGTGGTAAGAGTGGTGGAAAGATAGATAGCGCTCAAGGTGAAATAGTTAGTAATCAATTCATAATTATTGATTTGTGAAGGAATAGGAACAAATATTGAAAAAATAGACGAGGCTGTAACGGCTGCTATTGCATATATTAAAAAAAGACTAAATATTTGAGAGACGGTTTTTAGTAATATAATTATATATATTCATCAATAAACTTTAAAATGATCTTATTTTAACTAAATTAAGGCTAAATTATGTTTTAAACTACAAACACAAGTTTTATAGATTAATGTTACAGTATATGCTATATAGAATCCAAAAAGTATGCTAATTGTTTAAACCAGAAATAACATAAACTATAGCCTGCTTATGAAAAATAACTAAATATTTAAATGGAAAAAGGAGTATTATCTGCGAGAGCTAAATAATTTTAATGGTTGTTATAGTGTAGAATATTTTAGACTAGACTTTAAGTGAGAGCCTAAGAAGAATTGAGATTTAAAAATATAAAAGAACTGATTTTTGAATTTAATAAAGTAAATAAGTTATATTGTATATTTCAATATTTAGTTAGATAAAAGAATGATTCCTTCTAAATAATGAGCTTCTATAAGTTCCTCTAGATAAAGAGTTTCTTGTGTTTGTTTCTCTATATAGACTGTTCCCATAGTTACTGTTAGAAATTCTATATTGTTCGTAATGTTGAGGCTCGAAAGTAGAAAAGTATACCACAGGTGGACGATGTCGATGATGATTATAAATTTGGGCATCACGAAAAGGTTCTATACTTCTGCTTGTATTTTCTGTGTCTGCATTTGTAGGTGTTTTAGGAATATAAAAATCGTATTTACAAAGAGGGCACATAGCACGTCTTGTAGTAAACCATGGTACTAGAATTCATAATTAGAAATTATATAGCTTGAAAAAAAGAACTATATACCAATGCATGAAGAATGATATATATGGCCACATGTAAGCACTCTTACTTCATCTTCACCTTCAAAAACATCGAGACATATAGCACATGTATCATCATAGGACGAATTACTGGATGAATTGATTGATGAAACCTCTTCATGTTTATTCTCATTTACATACTTATCTTCATGTTTACTTTGTTCATCTGGAATATATATACTAACATCGTTATTTTCAATATTAGAAGATTCTCTAAGAGTATTTGAAAGGGGATCCATATAAGAATCTGGAACACAAGTATTTATATTTTTTTCTGCAGGATCATTATTACAGAGAGCATCAGAATCAAGTAACTCTTGTTGAAGCTTGTGCTCATCGAATATATCAGGAGCATTAGCTGAATTGTTAACAGCTACAGTATCGACTAATTCCTGCTCTTTCGATTCTTCCTTTGTTTTTGTTTTATGAAAACGCTGTTTTTCGTGTTTATGTTGTGATTGCCATACTTTATAAAGAATTGATGGAAATTGTTGGTCTGCTTCCCCTTGTGTCATCAATTTTTTTTGACAATTTTGACTCTGAGGTGCAACTCTTTCTATTTCAATTGTTTCTGGTCGATTAACATTAGAATATCTATAACAATACTTGATGCCAATGATAACCCTAAATTTATTAGAACATCTAATGATTATTTTATGCGTATATCAAGCATGCCATAAATTGCAAAATAAAATCCCAAAGCCCAAAGCTACAAAAAATAGCAATATATTGCCATTCCATCCCGTGTTTGTAAATGCCGGTAAATTTGATGTATTTGGCAAAGTAGGGCCGTGAGGCATTAAACCTTCTGTATGAGTTGTTGAATCACTCATATCTATCCCCTTTTTATGTATTTTACTATTTCTTTTTTTATTTAAATACTTTTTAAAAGTTTAATTATGAATATCCTTAAAAACCTCTTAACTCCTATTTTTTCTAAAAAACATATTGATTAGTATACTATTATGAAACCACTATTATGCAAATTACTTCTTTATGACACGTTTTATATTACTTTCTAGACATAAATTTTAAAAAAACTACACTGAGAGCTTTTTGCAGCTCTTTACCAGCCGCCACAGCGTTCAAAAGCTTGCACGATAGACAAAGAATATATAGATACATCAACATCATGATGTAAATTTAAAATAATATATAAATACATGAAAAAAGCATGAATAAGATTGATAGATGTCTATGGAATGATCAGCACGGCTTTTTAGTATAAACATTGAAAACTATGAATGGATTTTAGGAGGGCCTTGAGTAATGTAAGCAAGCAAATATTTGGTGTTAGTAAGAAGATATTTAAGTGCACGTGTCCATTTTTCATCTTGGTTAAAAGATATGCAGATACTAGAGTCACCAATCTTATCTTTATGGATTCTGGTAATGATAAGAAAAAAGAGATATATCAATCCATTTTACCTATATGGAAGAATAAATTGTGGATCAAGAGCTTCAAGATAGTCCCCTAATTGTTTTAAGCATTTCAGAAAACAGATCATAGCAGTATCAAATTTTCGGTGAGTGAAAAACTTTGTGATAGGTAAATCGTCTGAACTATGTAATTCAAATTCGGTGATTTTTGGTAAAGAATTCGCTTGAAATTCAAGTCTTTCAATTTTCGAAGTAGATCCTAAAGGATGTAATTTATATCTTATTAAGAAACTTTTAGGATAAAAAAATAAATGTATAAATGTAATTACCCGGTAAATTCGAAATTTAGTTTAATTGCAATTGAGTGAAGTAACTGTAAGACTAATCCCCATGCTGCATTAATTTCATCCCATTCTACTGTATAAGAAGGTAGGCGACCAAATCTTAAATCATTAATTGTACCTATTTAATATTAATTTTTTGAATTGATGTGTTTATGTACCAAATTGTCCATTATGACTAATACAAAATACATCATTATAAACATTCGTTTTTCTCAATTCTTCAAATAGCTTTACATTATAATCATACTGCAAATTAATTGCATCTCTTTCATTTTGAAATTCTTCAAGTTTACGTAGAAACTTATTTCTTTCTTTCCAGAACATCTCTTCTTCATTATTTAAAGCTAATGATTCTTTTTCAAGTCTTTTTATCTCTTCTTCAATATTTTTCCGCTCTTTTTTAAGTTGATCAATAGTTTTAACTGCAGTGGCCTCTTTTTTTAAATTCTGAAAAAGTTATTTTTTTATTGTAAAATATAAAATAATTACATTTTGTATTTCTAGTTCTATTTTCTCTATTTCACTATCATCAAGAATTTCATCGTCAATATGTTTTAAAAGTTCAATATATGCATCTCTTTCTTTTTTTGAATAATGAAGGTGCCTGGACATAGTGTCAATTAATGTTTCTGCACATTCTATACACATAGGATGGTTAACATCCGAAATAGATGATATAGTATTAAAAAGATGTTCGAGCATTTGCTGTTTATCTGATAACGTTTCTTGACTTTCTGACTGATCATTTGAAGAAGTAATTGTTGGTGAATGTGAGCCTACTGTATCAAAGAAAATTTCAGACTCGACTTTTGAAGTATTACTATTGCTTTTTTTATGAGATAGTGAATGTAAAAATGAACAATTTTTCTCTGTATTTTTCGTTAATGTCTCCATTGACTGAATAACTGCTTGATAATAAATTTTTCTAGATTTCGGGAAAAGTAATGGAATTGATTCTAACTCTTCACTATCATCTCTGGAGCCCTCCAAAGATGCTTTTAATTGTCAATTATTTAATTAAAATTTCCATTTCTAATATTTTACTTAGAAGTAAATTATATGTAGCTGTGTTTATATCTTTTAAATGATGAAAATGAAGAGGACTTCTGCACTGTTGGCAAACAGATACCATAGAACATGTCATTTTTTGTTAATATATTAGGTAGAAAGCTTTTCTTTTCTTAATAATAAAGCGTTGTTGAACTATTATTTTTTGATAAACTATCTGTATTCTCAGGCCTTCAACGTTGAACGTTTAAAATTAATGATTTTTATGGAAAAATAAACTAATAAGATGGATTTTAAGAATGAATTACGTAGTATAAAAAAGTGCTATTGGGAAGTTGTAGATTTAATCCAAAAACTTGGAAGAATTTCAGAGTTTTCAGGAGAAAATCTAGAGAAATTAGGATTAGAAATTCGAGTAAAGTTAAAACAGACGGAGGCTATGCTTGAGGTTAGTTTTAGTAGTTTTTCATTATTAAAAAGTGATTGTTTTGATTTAGAAACTTTTTGTTATGTTAGAGGATCTTGAAGATGAAGAAATAAAAGCAGAATATTTGGAAATATGTAATAAATTAAAAGATGATTTAAAAATGTAAGAATATTTTTTGTAATTTTTTTCTCATATTTCTTTAGATCTAGGCAAGATTTCCGAAAAGCTTTATTAAAGTTGAATCAGAACATGCATTTAAAAAATCAAAAGGATCGGGAGCAATTATTAGGAGATGCAAAAGAACGAGCAACTATATTACAAAAAAGGACAAAAGATATGAAAGAATCTTCGTAAATTATTTTTCTTTTTTTACTTCTTTTAAATGTTTTTAGATATGGAGATAGAGCAGTAAATGCTTCATCAAATGTTTTATCTGCACTCATAGAGCTTCACCAATTGATGGAATCTGAAATGTCACGATCAGCAGTAACTTTAGAAGAGCTTGAATCATCATCTAATACTCTTCAATCTTTACAAGAAAATTATTTAACATTTGGTACATTACTTACAAAATCACGAAAACTTCTTTCAGAACTTGAATATGCAAATAAATTTGATAGATTTTTAATTATTTTCTCTCTAATATTCTTTCTTCTTGTAGTTGGATGGATCATATATAAAAGGCTTTTACGTCATTTAATTCATACCATATTTTGGATATTTTTTGTCAAATTAAGAGATTTCAGTAAAAAAGTAATTATAAAAATATATTGTAGGATATATTTACATAATATATTAATATTAATTATAATAGACGGATCCTTAGAAAATTATAATGTTGATTCTTTAAAATTCAGTACATCTAATCAAAAGAATCTTGTAAATAGTATGAATAATCTTATTTTATTTTTAAATTATTGAGAACAATAGGTACGTTTTTGCATGATGAAATTTAATATTTATATTTACACTGTATTCATTTTTTTGTATATTATATAATTTTATAATATTGTTTTTTTAGATAATTATTTTAATCTTTTTAATTATATATTTGTAATTCTTATTTTACTTTTTTGACTTTTGAATGATGTTTTTAATGTTATATTTTTTAAATTTTAATATTAATATAAAATATATATATTAAATTTTAAAATTATCTAAAATATTAATTCTCTTAAAAATGACTTCAAATATATATAAATTTTAGATTTGCAATACTAATACATATTTATACAAAATTTACAATAGATAAATAAATTTAAATAAATTTAAAATATACATTTTTTTATTAAATAAAGATATTTTTGTCTTATATATTTAATTCGAGAATCTTTGACATTTCAGAAAATGATTTTGCATTTCGAAAAGCTTGATATATAGTTTTTCGAGGAATTGATTTGTCATCAAGGATATGTGAAATACAAAATTTAGTATTCGAAAATGAATTATCAAATTCTATCGCCTATTTATATTAAAAATAAATAATAGCAAAATTAAAAACACACTATACGCAGCCATTCTTGCGCTACCTCTAAAGGAGGAAGAAGACCTTCACTCCTAAAACAACTAAGATTCTTTTGTGCAGCGCGAGCTATCATAGCACCATCAGTATTCCATTCTTTTATAACATGTAATCCGTCTTTTTTATTTATAATATCACCATTTGCAATACAAGCAACTCCTTTTTCTCTGCAAACTTTTGATATCATTTTTAACTGATCTCTTATAGCTTTTTCTTTATTTCTCATAGAAACTGTCCGACAGTGAACTGTTAATCCTATAATTCCTGTTTTACATAATCTTCTAACCATAGTTTCCGTTTCTTCTATATTTTCGAGTATTCTAATCTTAGCACTAATTCCAATATTGAAAGGAATACCAATATTTTGAACCAAAGCAACTAATATACCTTCTAAGCGATCAACATTTTTCAATAAAGCAGCGCCCATCCCACTATGAACAGAAAAATGCTTAAAAATAAGTAAAATATTAAAAATCAGACTAAGAAAAACCTTTGGACATCCACAGTTAAGGTCTATTGCTGCAACATCACCTGCTATTACTCGTGCTGCTCTAACTGCAAGCTCTGGATCTGATGATCCAAGTTGAAAAACTAATCGAGATTTCTCTATAGGATGAATTCTATATAAAACTGTATTACTTTTTGGTTTCACGAAATCAATACAATTGATCTTGTCTGTTTTTGTTCCCTTTAAATCATTTTTTGTATTGTATATATCTAATCTTACCATTTATCACACGTTTACATATTTCTCCATGAATAAGAGCTTTATCAACCACTTCTGGTCCCCAAACAAGATCCGCTCCATATTTTAATGCTAATAATCGTGTAGGAAGCTCCCCAATCCTTACCTTTCATGTGTTACTTATTATCCGTCAAGATATATAATTTACCATAGGCGCAAGTACTATTTTCCCATGATAATCAACAATCTTTGAACACATTACATAGGATATTACAAAAAATCATAATAATTCTCTTAAAAATGTTTTAATGTCTTTTTTAATAAATATTAATAATTCTTTTAACTTTTAAATTTTGATTTAAATAATATATTTAAAAAAACAAAAAAAAGATTCTCTAAAGTAAAAGAATTTACTTTCTTAATTAAAAATACTCTTTTCTTCTTTAAAAATTACAAAAAATACTCTTTTATAGATTTTTTTCTTACTCATTTTTTGATTGTCGTTAATTTAATGTTTTCTTAGTAATACGTTATTTATAACATTCAAGATTTTTCTTAAGCAAATTAATAACTTTTATCAATAAAAAATTGCTTTATTTAAGAATTATTTATAGAAAAATCAACAGTAAATGTTATTTTTTCTCTAAAATGAGTAGTCCTTCAGCTCAATATACTGTACGTCATGTGGGTATACCTAATACATTAGGTAAAATTTTTATGAAAAAAAAGAAACAAATTTAAGGAGATTAAAAAAACTAATTAACATATAGATTATAGAGCATTCATTGAAAAGAACGGAGAAATAGTCTCTCCGTTTCATGATATTCCTTTGTACGCTAATGCAGAAAAAACTGTATTAAATATGATCGTAGAAGTACCTCGTTGGACTAATGCAAAAATGGAGATATCTAAAGAAGAGTTAATGAATCCTATTAAGCAGGACTCTAAAAAGGACAGATTACGTTACGGTAAATTTATTAGTTAGTGAAAAAGCTATTTAGATAGATAGTGAGAAACTGTTTTCCTCATCATGGATATGTAAGTTCTAATATGTTTTCTATTTTTCTAAATTATTTTAGATATGGAATTATGGGTAATTTTAAAAGTGATGCTATTTGTATGGTTTTGTTGACTGTTAATTTGTTAAATAGGGCGTTCCCTCAGGTTTGACTTTTTTATTATTAAATGAACGTATTTTTATATCAACATCAGACGTGGGAGGATCCAAGTGTTATAAATTCTGAAACAAAAGCGAAGGGAGATAACGATCCTCTTGATGTTTGTGAAATAGGAGAAACAGTAGGCTATATTGGTCAAGTAAAACAAGTCAAGGTTCTCGGTGCTATGGCACTTATAGATGAAGGAGAAACAGATTGGAAAATTATTGTTATTGATGTAAATGACCCATTAGCTCCAAGGCTCAATGGTATTAGATTTTATAGTAAAAAAACACTTATTTATTTTTAGATGTGGAAGATATTGAACGTCATCTTCCAGGTCTTATTCGTGCTACGAATGAATGGTTTCGTGTATGTTTAATTTATTTCTAGGGAATAAAATTTATGATTCATAATACAGATTTATAAAATCCCGGATGGAAAACCTGAAAATAATTTTGCTTTTTCCGGGGAATGTAAAAATAAAAAATATGCTTCTGAAATTATTCGTGAATGTCTAGAATCATGGGATCGCCTTATATCTGGGAAATCTGATTCAGGATCTATCAATTGGTAAATATATATAGAATTTTAATAATTTTTAATTATATTAGTACGAATACTACAATTTCGTATTCTCCTTTTTATTCAAATGAATTGATAAATATTCCTTTTGGGGAGAATCATCAGCCTGCACCTAGAGATCCTTCTATTGATAAAGTATATTTTTAATAAATATTAAATTATAATTTTTCTGATGTTATAATTAGTGGTTTTTTATTTCAGGAGGAATATAGTTTTTAGAAAATTGAATAGTAAATGTTTTTTTTATATATATTTTATATTTACTTTTATTATTATTGAAAATTTTTTGTTTGAATTTCAATAATTTTTTATATTAAATATTTTTATTTTTAAGAATAATTAAAAATATTTTAGATTATAAATTATATGAAAATTCTCTTTTTTTATTTTTATTGAAATTTAATTTTATCAACAAAACTTTAAAAGATTAAAGTTTATTTTATAATTAAAATACTTAAATAAAAAATAACATAAAATTTAATCAAACTATAGCCCAATATTATAAACATGTAAACGGAATATGTCTAATTAAATATTTAATTAAATATTTAATTTAATATTAATAATAAATATCAGATGAATTTTGTATTATAAAAACACTTTTATAAAAAAATACATAATTAATACAATATCAAAATTAGATAAATATCTTTTTTATACGTTAATATAATTATAAATACACTTTTTACATAATAATATAATTATTAAAATTATTTCAAAATATTCTTAAAAATCAAATTAAAACAGATTCACAAAGAAGACATTTCATCTCATATTCTTTTAAAGTACTTCTGCTCTTTGCTAACAAAGGCTGGTTTTCTTTATTAATAAGTTCAATATCATTGGGTGCTCCACTTTTAATTAAATTTTTACGAAGACATTCATCATGTAGCCAATTTTTGCAATTATAACAAGCATATAATATTTTATCAGGATTATGGTATTTTTTACACTTGCAAAGAGCAGTTAAACGCTAATGAAATTAGTAGTATTTCGAATAATCTCATAAATTTACTGTAAGCTTAGGATTTGTTGAATCTCCCCCAAATCGTTGTCTCCAATAAAATTCAGGTATATCATCAAGTGTATCTAATGATAATTTATTTTCCGTATTTTCACTTTTTTCATTTTCGTCATTAAACTCAAATTCTTTTTCTTCATCCCAATACTTGACAATAACTTTGCTTGAAATCGTATTTGCTGCTATAATTTCATGATAATCAGATTCTATCAATTCCATTTCTCCATGATAATACCTAAAACCCAAATCAATAAAGTTTTTTTAATCTAAATAAAAACCTAAACTTACTTTCGTCCTTCAGGAAGTTCTTCAGGTTTATAATACCATTGACACATAACCCATACATTTTGACCATTTTCTGCACGAATTTCAAGTAATTTAGCAATCCAAAACCGACTGAAATCAAAATTATCGGATAATTTTTCCTCAGAATTATTTATAAATACATAGTCTCCAACATAAAACTTCTCATCTTGTACTGTAAAAAATATTAATATATATATATATATATACAGAATAAAAACATTTTAAGCTCTTATACTTATTCATTTTAAACCATCCTGCAGGTCTCCAATTAGGCCCTATAGCAAAACTTGTTTGATTTTCTTTTGTAATTAAACTCTGCTTTTCCTCCTCCTGAGAAGCTGCTTTCTTTTGATCTTTTGAATATTTTAAATATTTTGTATTAGACTTAAATACATCTCCTTTATCAATGTCTTGCTCTACTGTATTCTCATATGTAGGATTCATTAAATCAAACTTTCTTTTTTTATTTTGAATATCTATAGAAATATCTTCTATTTTATCTGTAAACTTTTCATCCGGATTCAAAAAAAGTCCTAGGGATTCAGATATCATTTTTTTAAAGAAACAATTAAAAACTATTACAAATTGTATATTTCTTACTTTTTGTATTTATTAATTTACTAGAAATTTAACAAAAGTCGAGAAGAGTAATGTGCTTATAAATTATATGTATATATTTAAAATAAAATATTTATAAAAAAAACATAGTAATAATAACTATTAATTAATAAAAGGGCATTGGCATGTTTTTAGGTTTGTTCTATTTTTTGCTCAAGTTCTTTAACCATATTTTCAATTTCTTTCATGTTAGATTGAATAGTATCTTTTGATTCTTTAATAACAAATTCAATTCGTTCAAGAGCTTCTTTTAATTCAACAAGCTCCTTTTGAATAATATATTGACGTTCAGTACAATCTTTAAGACCAGTTGTTACAGTAGCAGCATCAGCATGAATCGTACGTAATGCTTTTAATCGATCCAATAAGTTTGGGAGAATTGGAGAAATGCTTTCAATAGTTTCCAAACTGGAATATAAAGCGTCTATTTTCTGTTCCTGAAGTATTGAGGTTGATTCATTTGTTTCAGGATCCATTTTTGATTTTTTTTCAGATAATATTTCCATTTCTGTTACCAAATCTTTTACTTTTTTTGTAATTGAATCAATATAATTTTGACTTGACGTCAACAATGTTATCTTTTTACTTAAATGAGAAAGGGTTGGCAAAATAGGTGCTTTTAACATATATGAATACATATTATTAATGCCTAATGACTTTTCTAATGATGTTAACCGACTCTCTAAATCTGATATATCGGATTCCTTATGCTTCCCTTTAGACATAGGATTGTAGTTAAATGTATACTTCAATGACTAAGCGATTAAAAATTAGAAATTATTTTTCCTTTTTCCTCAAAAAACCTGATTTGCCAAAGAATCATCCGTTTTTGCCGCAACATTTTTCTCCTCATCGGTTAAAGGCCCAAGGGAATTAAATTCTTCAAGCCTTTTTGCAAGAATTGCAATTGCACTCTTATTTGTCTTATTCTGAAGCTCTGAAGTTTGAAAATCCAACTCATTTAAATCAGCAAAACTCTTATTCAATGACGGATCCTTCATAGAACCATCTTTTAATTTTTTAGAATTCAACTCCTCTCTAACCTCTTCTAATTCCCGCTTCAAACGTGCTAACTTTTCCTCCACTGTCTCTTCAATCACCCCATAATTATGAAAATTCTTTGTTACATATGATTTTCCACTTTTTTGTCCAATTCTTCCAGAAAAATCTTTTAAAGACATATACTTGTCAATAAAAAGTACATTCAAAATAAAATATCCATACCAACTTCTTCTGCATTGACTTGTTCCTTTAAAAACCTATTTTTCGCCATATCCAAGTTCAATTTATCACTGCTAATATCTTCATTCACCATCTCTTCTTCAGCTGATAATGAATACTACATAATAAAAATTAGAATATCCTATTCATATCTTTCTTTTTCCTACTGATTGTGCCAATGGTTCCTCCGTAAAATCAGGTGTTTCATAAACATCTTTCCCAGTATCCTGAACTTATTTAAACACCAGGAAAAAACAAAATATCTACTTACAAGGCCAGGCAATGTTGAATATTTCGTTTTTAGGGCCATTTCTTCAGCCAAATGCTTGCTTTTGCTCACTTTCGTCCGTTAAACTTTTTGCGTTGTATAAATGCTCGATTGACTTTAACGAACAGTAGACTTTTTGAAATTCTAAAACCCGTATGTTTGGTCTCGGTAAATTATTTTATAGTGATTTTTAAATATATAAGCAAATTTTTATGTGTCTAAAGAGTTATAGTATCACTTCTTTTGGTAAATGCAATTGCAGTTCTTTCAGAAGACCGATTTCTTGCAAAAAGTAAAAATCTGTTAATATGAATTTATACTGAAAATTAAAACAGTTGGCTTTCACGGAAAAATAGATTATGGATTTGAAAATAACTCTATGTCGTCAGTTAAATTTAAAATAATCAATTTAATGAATGCAGTACGAACACTTATGAGGAGTAAGTTTAGTATGATTATGTAGAATACAAAGCAGTTAACAAACATAGTACCATTAATTGTCATTAATACATTGGTAATGATATATCTCTTGACATTAGGATAAACTATTGAAAAATGTATGAATAATGCAGAAATATAATACTAAATAATACTGTTAAGAAATATACAAAGTTCTTAAAACGATACTTTTCAATATCTTTATACAACATAGATTTTGTAAAAACTTCTCCTTATTATGTATATCTTTGCTAAAAAACTTTTTTTTTAAAAAAATCAATTTATCGCGTAAATACATTTTCCTTTTTTTCCATATTTCCTAGTTTGACAGAACTTTCCTTAAAGCCATTATTCTTCAAACACATGCTAATATCAGGCAAAAAAGGCTGATAAAGAGGATCATATACATTTCCTAATAATGATCTTTTGTTTGAATTAAGAGGTTGCTCTGTAGAAAACACTGGTTCGAGTGGCTGAAGTAGTTGAAGAGGAGCTTGAACTTCAGGCTTAGTAAGTAATGATGCTAAACCAGTATTTATTTTATCTGGTAAAACTGAATTCATAATTGCAGGTCCAAAAGTTTGTTCATGAAAATTTGGAAAACTAAATGCAAGTTCAGCAGCATGTTGTTGTTTTAAAGTTCCGGAAAGTGTCTTCACATCAAAAGAATTAGATCCATCTTGTGAATCCACATTAACTGTTTGATAAAAAAGAACATAAGCAGTTGCTTCTCCAGGGAAATCACCAAAAAATCGTCGAACAAACAAATCGTTAACGGGCTAACAATGTTAAAAAAGTTTGAAATGGAATAAAAAAATCTTACTTCTACACGTTCATCATCAAATAAAGTCCAACCTGATTCTGTTTTAATCACAGAAACATAATGTCCATGACATGGTCCACTGCCAAGATGGACTACAACAGCATAAAGTTCATAAAGGCGATCAGAATCATTTACATCATTTGCAATATTTGATAACCTCAAGTGGTAAGGGTATACAACTGTATGAAAAAGCTTAAAAAATTTATAATCTCCATTTTCTTCAGCACATTTAAATCGTTTCAAATGTAAAGTTAATATTTCTGGAAGACGTTTTATTTTCACACATTTTTCAGCTTCCTGTAGATTTCCACAAAAGTCACAATGAAATTTATTTTTCTCACAAAGCATCTCTGGGGCAAAGAAAGCATTAAGACATGACGTAACGGACGTATTTTTGCTAACGTCAATAGAAAGATCAAGAAAAGATTCGTCACGAGAAGTAATCTTCCAATAATAAGTATTTATGTATAAATATTATATAAAACGTACATTTCCACAAGTAAGACACTGAGTCTTACTAGTGAGTAAACCTTCAAAAATTGAATGGACCCATTTTGCAGAAACATATTGAGCACTTTTATCATTAGATATAAAGTTACTATTTGTATTGATATTTGATTTATCATATTCTTCTATAGATTCAAGTATAGAGTTTAATAAATAATTAAAAAACTCATGAGCATCCTGATGTAAGTTACTACGAAAATGTTCATTTTCACGACGCAAAACTTCAATAAATCTAGTTGGGGAACATATTCCATCCTTAACATGAGATTGAATAATAGTGGCAAAAATGTCTCTAACACAAGTAAATAGAGATTCTTTCATTCCATATCTGGAACAATAAGATGAATCAACATTCACATTAAATTTTTCTGTAAGAAGCCTTTTTTTATATGTTTCAATATTATTAGAAGATAAAGTTTCATCTATTGAGGAACCATTATTTTTATGAAATGGCATACCAAAGAGTGTTGAGGAAAAGCGTGTCCTATTTACACAAATGAATATAATTGAGTAGTCTCCATAAAATAGAAACATACGAAGTAATAAAAGGTAAATTTAAAGATGTAAAAGATTTCTCTGAACGTACAGCAGAATAATCTGAAGTTTTCGCACTTGATGGAACAGGAAACAGACTAATAGGTTCAGGATACCGGACCACAGCATAACGAAAGGGTTTTGAATAGTATAGGATTTGAAGTATCGAATTTACATAACTATTTAACTAAACCTCAAAATCATATAACTAATAAGGAGAAAATACCATGTATTTCCAAACTAATAAAAACATCATTAGCATTAATATATTAAAAAATAGAATACCTCACGTTTTCAAAGCCAAAAAGTTTATCATTACCATCAGAAGAAATAAGACATGTTTCAAAAGAACATTTTTGAGAAGATACTGTCCCTGATTGTGACCCTCGAGTATTCTCAATCCACTTAAACAACATCATTTGAAATGATGCTTGTATTTTATTAGTATCTAAAAAAAAATTTCTAGTCCTTAGTATGTCAATATTCCATTAATTATATAAATAAGCCGCTTAAAATTAGAGAAAAGATGTGTTAGAAGATAGAAAACAAAACGTATTTATCAAAAAAAATATCAAAAAAAAATAATTTACACTTTAATCAAGAAATAATTAAAAATCAACATTGAATCGGTTAAAAGTTTGAAATACCATAAAATCTCGATTGTCTAAAAATATTAAAAAAATAAAAAAAATAGAAAAGACAAAACTTTATTAAGATAAAAAAGATACAATGTATAAGATTGAATTTGTGTTTATCGACTGTTTATCTAAATTTAATTTTGCGTTAATAGTTGAAAAAATGCTAACGTATTATGTTCAACTAGCTTCTAATTAAATATAAAATGAACGATAAACAATAGCTAAGATAGCAATAATCAATGTAAGAAATAATAAAAATATTGCGGTTATAGATTCTTTTTTTTTACAAATATCTATCACTTGAAGTCGTGAATCCGCACTTGCTGTTAAAATCAACGTTTTTTTTGGATTAATAGCTAATGCTGTAATTGGAAGTCCATGTATCCTAGACCTTTTCTGTAGTATCTGTAGAATAAAGATTAAAATTAGAAAATAATATTTTTTTTTTACTCTTAAAGTATATATATCAATAATAATGATAGAGAGATCAGCACATGCAATTACTGCAGAAGAATTCGTAGGTATTACTTCCATACATGTGACTGCTGATGATGTTTTATGTAAAGGGCGTGAGTTTACCTGAGTCCAAATTTTCTTTTCAAAATAGATATCGTTTTCAGTAACAAAATTAGCCTTCCAAAGTTGTATAAGAGGAGCTTGTCCCTGTATATGAATCGCAGTAATTAATGAATTCTCATCAATCCATCTCACAGTTCGGAATGTCCCTTCTTTTAAAACTTGACTATTAGTATGTCGTTTTGTTGATAACGTTAATGTATATAATTTTGATGATGAAATATAAACTAACTATTACATAATTAGTAATAAATCACTCATTAACATCTATTTACTTTGCTATCATTTGGAGAAAAATCCAAATCTATAACCATTGGCTCAACAGACATAACAGAAATTATAGGTTTTAACGAGGGATATTTTAATATAGTAAAATAACCATTAGCAGAAGCAATAGCTAAAAGGGTCTTAGAGTGATTTAATCGTGTAATTCTCTGATAACTATCCCAGTTATCGTTTGATAATTGTGGAAATATAGAAACACTTTTTGAAATAGTCATTCTAAACAATTTTAATCTTTTCTCATAAAATCTAAAAAGAAAATACGTCTTTTTCTCTTGATTATATTGAAGAAAATGAAGATGACGATTTTTCCCATTCAATAACTTTTTATTTAATTCATTAATACCCGCTATGATAGTTTTCTTTATCGAAACATTAATAACTTTCAAAATCACTTATCTATTAAATTAAAACCTACATTTGATGGATCAATTGCAAAAGACATTGGAACATCCTCTAATTGTAACATATAAATTGCTTCTAGCTCAAAAATGCCCTTTGTTAAAGAATAAACTCGCTTATTTTATGTCAATATAACTTTTTAAAAAATATTTTCAATACAAATTGATTAGAAACACCAGAGCTAGCACTTCCTCCACCACCAGAAACAACTACCTGCGTTTCTGAAAGAAATCCAAGAGCATATGCTGGAATTTCAACAATAATTGTTTGAACTAATTTCATTTTTATTTCAAAATTGTATTTTGTCAGAAATGGACTTATAATTAAATCAAACTGTCTTAAAGAAATGCTTATTCTAAATATACGTACTAAAAAAGTAAATTTATTACGTTTTTCTGTATTTTATTCAGTCTTTGTACAATCATCGTTTTTCCGTATGTCTCGTACTTGACGTGTAAGACAAATTTTAAAATAAAAAAACATGTTTTACATAAAAAAGCAACAATCTGTATTACTTTTTAATTAAAAACAACAACTACATTATCCCTTATACCTTGTTTTTTTATAGAACAAAAGGGAAAAATTTGTGAAAAGTAAAAAATAATTTATAAAATTTTATTAAAAGAATGATAAAAATAGTATATGCAAGAGATAATAAACGAAAAAAATAAAAGAAACACAAAAATATCTAAACCGTTAGAGAAATATCTAATTCTTAATCGTAAATTTTAATTGTAAAAAAACAGATAACTTCTATGCAGTTACTTGTTTTTGTGTAACCTGCTGAGCAGATTTCGCTTGATGATCACACTCTCTCCTAAAAGAAGTCAATTTCTAACATATTACGTGCATACTCATACTTGAATAAGAGAATATGTGGCTCAGGAACATGAATTTCATAATGTTGCCATCCGAGACTCTAAAAACGCGTTAGAAAAGATAAACACTATTTAAAATGTATTGCTTCAACACAAAAATATCAAAGCACATAACCATACATACCTGTGTAATTCCCAATCCACGCCATTCTTCTTCATGCAAGATTTTCAATGTGCCCGTTTCCTGATTAAAATAGTCTTTTGGAATAACTTTAAGCATAGATTTTGGCAAAATAACGTGTCTATCAATAAAATGCATATCAATACACAAAAATCCTTCAAAAATAACTCTATCTTACCTATATTCATGTGTATCATCAGAATATCTATGTTCGTTAATTATTTCTCAAAAATTATTAATTTACCTTGTTGAATAATGAATATTCTCAATAAATTCTTCAAGACGGCTTCGTTCTGCCTCTGTAAGGTAGCGAATTGGTCTCTTCTTCAGTGATTCGTGCATTATCTCTTTTCTATTATTTGATATTTCGTTTGGTTTTTTAAGGCAACTGGAGTATTCGCAACACCATATACGCGTTTTTATAGGTGAAAAGAAATACAACAAGAATAATATTTTTTAAATAAAATGAATAGAATTAAACTAATTTAAATGAAAAAACATTTTTTTATGTAATTTCTATCTATGAAAAATTACTTTTCTAAAATATATAAAAGCTTTTTTTAATAAGTAACATCGTTAAGACGTTGGTTTAAGACGTTAATAACTTGAATAGCTTCGCGTTATAAGAGGTTAAATAAAGACTTTATATGCATTAATTTGTGAGAAAATCGTTTTAAAAATAGAAAAAATAAGTTTTAATGCTTTGAAAGATTTTTTGTGGCTTTTTCAGTGCTTTTTTGCGGTGTTTAAGTATTTTATAAGTATAGACAAACGAATAAAATAAATGGAAGAAAAACGTAAATCAGAAGGGTTTTTAGGAGAGAATGTACATGATTTAAGGTTTCGGAAACGTTCAAGGATGGTTTACTTTTTTTCTTTCAAAAAAAGACATTAGTGATTAATTTTTTATACAGAATACACGTAGCACAGAAGATGTGCTTGAGGATGGTCAAAGACTTGTAAAAGCAGTATTGGAAGCAAAGGATGAAACGTACGTGTTTTTTATTTTACTTAGTTTGAGAAATTAAAATATTATTTTTAGAGGTAGACTTATATCAGAAAATTTTATACGACTACCCAGCAAGGTAACTATATATTGATGCTAATAATGTATCTCAATAGCTGATTGTAAATGTTTTTAGAAACTTTACCCTGATTATTATGAATTAATCAAAAAGCCAATTGCGTTAGATATGATTAAAGTAAGAAATCTATAAAAAAACTAAATATAGCTTATTTTTTTTAAAAAAGGAAAAACTTAAAAAAGGAGATTATGTATCTACAGATGATATACGTGAAGACTTTTTGCAAATGTGTAATAATGCAAAACGATACAATGTTACAGAAAGCCAAATTTATCAAGATGCGCAACAAATTGGAAAAATAATTAAATTATGGGGAGATGAAATGCCCTCTTCTAATAAAATAGAGGAAACGAAAAGACTCAAAATAGTTCATAAAAGTTCTCAAAAGAATGTGACAGAACTAGCACAAGAAATATTATTAGAGTTAAAAACTATGAAAGATTCATCGTTGTGCCTTTCTATTTCAAAAAAAAAAAGACTAATATTTTTAGTGGAAGAGCATATTCTGATATTTTTCTTGAAATTCCTAATAAAAAAGAATACCCTGAATATTATCAAATTATACAAAAACCCATGTCTTTTAATATCGTGGAGGTTCTATTCATACATGGAATTAGTGTTAATAACTAATAAATACTAATTTTTTATAGAAAAAGATAAAAAAAGATCAGTATTCAAGGTTACTTGATTTTGAAAATGACATAAAGCTTATTTTTATGAATGCAATGGTTTTTAATGAAGATGGGAGTCAAATTTCAAACGATGCAAAAACATTGCTTAAATTTTTTCAGAAAAAAATGTCTAAAAAGAAGGAGTCATTAGACCAATCTGAAGATTCGGAACATTCTCCTGTATGTTTTTTTTATATAAAAAACAATGTTAATTAATTTTAAATACAGTTAAAGCTAAAACTTAATATTTCTCAGTCTTCTGCACCTAAAATACGTCTTTCAATTGGATCTAAATCTTCAACACCAACTGATACATCAGAGACACCTAAGTCTATTATTCGATTACCGATATCTCCGCAAGCAAAAAATTCACTTAAAACTGAAGAAATTGAGTCTGCTACACCTAAAACAAAACCAATTGCTCCTCCTCAACCTGTACGTTCAGTTCCTTTAGCACCGATTCCAAAATTAGCTGCAGCACCTATTTCTTCAATACCTCAATCTCCTGTTCATCTTTCAAAATATGCACAACAAGAAGTTATATCGGTAACATCTCCATCTTCACGTCCTCCCCGATCAGCAACTGATCCATGTTGGAAATGGAGTGATGCAAAAAGTATTAATCAATCTTACTGTTTAAATAATTATACTAATTGATAAGATGTTTCAGATCCATTAATTTCACTTATTACACTTTATACGCCGCCATTTCTTGAAATTTCTTCACCTTACCAGATCCAACTTCCATCCTTATCTTTCCCTTTTAGGGTCTCGACAATTATCCTTCCAACAGCTTATCATACACTTTTGGTTACACCTACTTTATCTTCATCGCTTTTATCAAAACAATACCATTTTGCATTGGCGATTAATGGCTTGAAAATTGCACCAAATATTTCATCAAATATGCTATTATCTCGCAGATCGGATTCATTTTTTCCAAAAAATACTTATGAAGTTAAACTTGGAAAAGGTGTCAATGCAATCGAATGTGTTCTAACTATCCCTAGTAAATCAGGTCCTCGGAATTCTTCTTCAGTTGAATTGTCTGAGAAGGAACGTGTCGTCATTTTTGTCTTTTTATACAATTAATTTTGATTTATCCATATCTTTAATTGATAATTACTTTAAGTCTCCTTGGTGTAACGATAAAATTTTATCTCGAAGTTTAAAAGAAAAAAAAACGAAAAAAGTTTTAATATACTGAAAATTTTAATACTTTTTTTAAATTTTCGTTTTTTATAGGTTTTTTCTTCAGCATTGATTGTTTTTGCATGTTTTATATGATTTTTTTTTATGGTTTCAGTGATCGCACCACCTTTTGCATCAACGCAACAAATACTCTCTTCTTCAGAAACAGCATCTTTAGAGAAACGTGAAGTATATGAACAATGTATATCGTCTACAGGTGGGCGTTTTAGAGAAATGTCTTTTTCTCAGGACTCAGAATCCACACAAAACACAGTTCATACATATATTGTTAATGCATTGGAAACCCGAGGAAAAGGTCATGGGACGCCGTATGAAGACCTTCGGAGACAGTTTTCCTGTGATCCAATGTCAGAAGGAGCACCGTCTTCTGTACAATTAAAGCTACTATTGCTTTCTTTGATCCATGTTGCATCTAAGTTAGATTCAAAACACCATGATCTTATCAAAGATGTATTGAAAACATATTGGGTTAAGAGGGATGACGAGTTTGTTTCTGTTTATATACAATTTTTGGGTACTATTGCAAGTGCACATTCAGGTTATATTCCATTGATTATTCAAATGTTGGTTCAGTCAATAACATTAGGTAAGTCTCTTTCAATTTTCAGCGTATACTTTTCATTTTTTTATATCCTTTCTTCCCTTTTTCTTAATTTTTTTCTTTAAACTCTTTAACTCAAGTTTTAGATCTGGACTCTGAAGAATCTTTCAGTGAAATACTCATCACAACTAATCTTATTTATGACCGTATACATCTTGCTTTGAAATATATATTAGATTTAGTTCCAGTATCTTATACATTTCTCTTTTCCATATTGGTAACCGAGTTTCCACACAAAAGCTACAAAACATCCCATCAAGTTACTTATCTTAAAAATTTATTGAGAATTCTTGAATATGCGCCAGTTGTATCTGGTCAGGTTCTTGCACTTATCATAGACAAGATTATACAAATAGATGTAAGTGTCAATTTTAATGTGTATGTTTTTGTCTTTTAATATATCTTAAGGTTGAAATACAAATAGAGCTTGATGACTTAGACGAAGAAGTAGATGAAGTAGTAGGGATTATGACAAATGAAACCGGCAGTAATCATCAAGATAAATTCTCGTCTTTCTGTGAAGATGACAATATCAATACAGAAAACGATGATAACGACGAACCAAAAGATTTGTCCGAAAATCAGTTTTATTATCAAGCAATAGAGCACATCAGAGATATGGTTAATAAATTAGATTGCATGTTAACAGCTTTATTTGATTATCTAGCAACTATATTTACACAATCGAAAGAATCCGATTGTAAATCGGAATCTTTAATGGACATTACATTTGAACATCTTCTTCACGCATTCGATTCAGTTATTCTCCATACGTTTCGCTCACGCTACACGCAATTCGTATTGTTTTGGGCCTCTCAAACAAATGAAAAATATATCAACATGTTTTTGGGATTAGTTTTGGAAAGAACTTTGGATATTTCTAGGTCTCCTGTTTCTCGGTCTATATCCTGTGCATATGTAGCGAGCTTTGTTGCCCGTGCCACTCATCTCAGTAGAGATATGGCAAGAAATACAGTCAACACGCTTTGCAGATGGATGAACCTCTTTCTCGATGACTGGGAAAACACCGACGACTCCTCCAACATCTTTCTCAAGAAATTTGGCACCTTTTACTCCGTCGTCCAGTCCATTCTTTACATCTTTTGTTTTCGTTGGCGAGACCTCGCCAACGACGATCCACAGGAACATAGCTCCCCCTGGCTTAAGAGTCTTTTTGTTCTCCAAAGGGCTATTGCATCCAGGCTCAATCCTCTTATGGTATTGTCCCTGTATTTTTCTCTCATTTTTTCGCTTATCTTTCCAGTACTGTTCTTCCAATATCGTTTCCCAGTTCACCGCAATCGCGCACCAGCTTGGTTTCGTCTATTGCTACCCAATGGTTGAGCAAAACAAGCGTCTTGCAAACATCTACTCGGCATTCCATCTCTCTTTCGACGGCACCGATTCTCTCCCTCTACGTATCGAAGACTATTTTCCCTTCGATCCGTACCATCTTAAGCTCAGCCGCCACTTCATCGACCCCATCTACAACGAGTGGGTCCCTCCCGCGCCCCCCGACGGCCTTTCCGACAATGCCTCGTCCGACTCTGGTACAGACCTTCCATAGCAAACAGCGTCTTTGTTCCTTGTGTTTCCGCGTGTTCCCCTGTATATTTCCTGTCCTTTGTCCTCACCTCCCATCGCTGCTCAGCAGCTCCCCAGTGCGCAGCCTAACCTAGCGGCACTTCCCTAAGGCATCCATCTGCGTTGTCATGGCAATCTCCTTTCCCAATAAGGTACCCCTAACCCTAACCCTAATTCACAAATGCATACAGACATAGGGTTAGGGATACCTTATTTGAAAAATTAGGGTTAGGGGTACTCGATCAGGAATATAAGGGTTAGGGTTAGGGGTACTACAATAGGAAATCTAGGGTTAGGGTTAGGGGTACCTTATTGGGAAGGCGTCCTGGGAAGCGGCGGGCCGTTAGGGTTGGCAACTAAGCGCGCGGCAGCTGAAGAGTGCACATGAAAGACATCTACAAGCAGGTCGAGCTCGCTCTGCCGCCACAAGTAAGCGTCGGTGTCAAGGCGCGGATAGTCCGCGTAACAGGCCCGCGGGGAGAGCTTACGAAGAGCTTCCGCCACGTGAACATTGACATCAGACATACACAGCAGCGACGACTGGTGCTTGGGATCTGGCACGGCGGAAAGAAGCATGTTGCGTGTCTGCGGACAGTAAGGAGTCTTATCAAGAACATGGTTGTCGGGGTAACGCAAGGGTACCGGTACAAGGTGAGGGAGAAAGAAGGGTGGAATGGCGCTGAGGAATCAGATGCGGTTTGTATACGCACACTTTCCGATCAATGTGAGTATATCGGAAGATGGGAAGCAAGTAGAAATCCGGAATTTTTTGGGGGAAAAAGTAGTGCGACGGGTGGCACTGCTGGAGGGAGTGACGGCAGAGATCTCGAAAACACAGAAGGACGAGATTGTGTTGGAGGGTATTTCGCTGGACAATGTGTCTCAGTCAGCGGCATCGATCCAGCAGGCATGCAGTGTGAGGAACAAGGAGTATGTATGGATAAAGGGGGGAAGTGACTGACGGAGGCAGTATCCGCAAGTTTCTGGACGGAATCTATGTTTCTGCACGGGAAACGATTGAATGACGTGGAAGTATGTAGTGGCAGCAACTTTGCAGTTGGCTGTGCAGAGGGCTATACGGGGTGGCTGTATATTGGTCGCTATGGCTGTAGCAGTGTATGGCGATGACTATGTATGATTATGACTGTATAATTGTATACAAGGACACTATAACATAGCTTGTAATTGCCGCTGTGTAACCATGACAACGTTGCCATGACAACGTCACCATGACGACATGCTATGACAATAGGCTTTGCAGCAGTACTTCTGTAGCCGTGCAGTCGTATATGGGCGTATGTGGCTGTAGAGGCGTGCGGCGGCAGCTGCAGTGTGTACTTGTGCGCTGCTCGTATTTAGTGCGGGGGGAGCGGACACCCATCTAGAAGTCACGTGAAACGCCTGCTGAGTGTAGAAGCAAGTGATAACATGGTGAAAACAAATACAAAATACATGCAAACCATGCACACGAGCAGATACGAGTGTATGAGTACATACAAGTACATAGTACATATAAGTACATAGTACATACAAGTATAAAGTGTATACGAGTATGTATAAGTGTGTATTTAAGCAGTACAAGATGGAGTGCATTCGAGAAGCTAGTGGATCTCGCCCTCCTCCTCGCTGGATTCGACTAGTGTCTTGTCTTCCTGGTCGTCTTGGCCGTTGTCTTTGTCGTGGGTATGTTCGTTGGAAGTGTGGTCCCTGTTGCTTTTCATACGCTTCTCAATAAGCAATGGACGTACAAGCTAGCAAAGAACAATACCTTTCGATAGCGTGTATCGCTTTCGTTGTCACTGTCTCTGTCGTGAGTTCTGTAATCAGGGTCTCGTGGGTCTCGATATGGATAGTAATCGTGTCTTGGGTGACGCAGATCAGAAGGCTCTCTGTTCCTGGGGGAGGGCCTAGTGTACCTGGAGCGAGAAGACTTGTGATAGACTCTAGAGGTGTCGTCCTTGGCTTCAAGTTTCTCTCTAAGGCGACGCATCTGTTTTTTAAAAGCAAGTTCACGGTTTTCCTCTGAATCAACTGCCAAGAACTCCTCGGTATGTTCAATTCTTTTGCGGACATCGGCCCAGGTGTCATCAGGATGGAGGGGAGGTTTAAGATGTTTGATGAGGTATCGTAGTTCGTTAATACGGCGCTTCTGGCGTCTCTCATCGCTACGTTTTTCATCTTCAAGCCTCCGAAGAACTTTTTCGCGAAGCTGGGTGCTTAGATTTAAGACAATTGCTAGTAAAAGATTCTTACCATGTCATATACGGAAGAAAGTGTGTGATCAGAAAGTTCAGCGCCTTTTTTGTCTTTGCGTATAAGATCGGAAAACTGAGATAGAGTAGTTTTTTCATTAAAGTCAAATCGTTGTTCCTTAAAAGAATTAGGAAAAAACAAGCAGAATCGTATGTACTAACGTCCAAAATATCACAAGCGAGATTTTTTTTATGTCTTATATCCCGTTCAGCTTCTTCTACAATGTCCCAAAAAAGTTCCAAAGGCGTTGAGCCTGGCTGTCCTAACATATTTTTATATCTTGGATCATTTTTGATGATTGGATAAATAGTCATCCATTTTGTACCAGGACCTATTTTTTTTTCATGATGCAGATCTTGCAATAATTTCTAGAGAAAACATGAGTGTATGTATACCTAAAATAAGACAAATACGGTAAATGCTTCTCGATTTTTCCTTTCTATTCGCTGCTTTTTAGCTCTGTTTGCTTGTCGCTGATCAACGTAGAGTCGTTCAAGGCTTTTAATATGGCTTTCATAAACAATCAAAATATCCAAATTGCTTAATACTTGGAATTTTGGATTCGACTTGAATTCAGGATGTTCTCGAAATTTTGCTTGAGCACTGGACCAACGAGAATATGGCTTTAGTTTTAAAGATTCAAGTAATGCTGAAAATGCATCCATTGCTTCATTCTTTATTTTGTGCTCACTTTCGTTTTCGATACGCTTTAATTCTGCAATATATTCTTCAAAAAGTAACCGTTTTTCTTCTTCATTATCTGTTGCTTTGAAAGCGGTCTCTCCATCTAATATCTCACGTGCAACTCTATTTTAGTAAGTCTCTGGTTTTACACTTGAAATAGTATATGCATAAATATCCTTCCTTACCTCCATCTCGTATAATATTTGATTTCAGGATGTGACTTAAGCATACGATTAAAATCTGCCTTCAATTTTATCAGCCGGTCATGTTCTTTTTCTGATTCTTGCTTTTGAATTTCTTCAACATATTTTTCGAATGCCAATTTTCTCTGTATTGGATCTTTAATTGCACGGTATTGAGGTTGCTTGATCACAGTACGCATTGTCTGCTCCCATGTCCAATTTGCACCAACACCACATCGTTTTAACATTTTCATAAACACTGTTTCTGCTTCTTCTAATGATGTATAATTTTGCATTTCTTTTTCTTCAGTCCATCCTGATGCCAATACCAATGGTAATGTTTTTCCATCTGGTCCAGTAACTAGTGCATCATCTCTAAGCATCATTTGTCGCTCATCGTCTTGATTTGTTGTCCTTGTAGTGTCATTTTCCTGACCTAATGCTATCCTAAAACAAATATCAATTAATATCCTTTGATAAAAAACAAAAATACTGGTTTTTTGCTGCATGTAAGGCTTCTATTGCTTTTTTACATGCTTCCGGCATATTCCATACAGATTCACCTGAAAAAATACGTTAGATTCAAAAAAACACTAATAACAGTGCAGAAAATGCCGCTAACACAATGAATTATACCTGATTTTGTATTATACCAGTATTTTCGGCCTCCTGGTGCTGTATATTCTTTCCAATTCAATTTTCCTATCTCAATCTATAATATATTTAATACTGTTAAAATAATAGAAAAAACGCCAAAAAAAGAATACTTATATTAATTATTACAACTTACCTCTTCCTCTGTCTTAAGTTCATCTGGTTTCTCCCAAACTGATGTTTTTCCGTTACTCCAATATATACGACCATCAGGTGCTTTATATTCTCCCCATTTAGATGATTCTAATGAAGATCCAGATGTTAATATAGACACTGAAGGAGCTGCTTCTATTTTATTTTCATCTGTTTCTACTCCTTGCTGCTGCCATGGTGGTGCAGATATGGTGAAACTCATTTAGCTGTATTGCGTAGATAGAAAATCTCGAGATCGTCATTAGCAGTCGAGATTACAGAAATCAAAAATGCTAAGTAGCATAAAAATAAGAAATAAAACACAGAAAGTAGTGACAATAAATAGAAATACAGCTAATATATACCATATGTAAATAGATTTAGTTTTAAGAAACATATAATTAATTTTAGATATTTTATAGATACATAGAGTAATTAAACAGATATGTTCATGTGAAATGTAAGTTAGGGGACATATTTTGTTTGTAAAAATAATATTCATGTATAGTTGTCTAAGTGTTTAGAGTTTAAATTAGATTTAAAAATTCTTTGTAAGAATAAAAAATAATCTGTTTGTTTATAGCAATTTATCCATATTAGCCTTATTACCAGTAATATGGTATTAATTATGACTTTTTTTCCTTTTCCTCAGAACCAGCTATCTTTAAAACAGGTGGCGTTTTAGGTAGAGCTGGGCTTTTTTCTTTTTTTTGTGGTGTATTTTGATTCAATTTATTAATAACCGTCAGTGCTTGGGCAACCATGCTATTAATATCACTATCTAAGTGTTAAATATTGAAAAAAGTGAAATAGTGTTTTTACTTTAAATTTGCCGGAACTACAATACTTGTACTTTCTTTTGCTATATTTCCGAATGCATTTACGTATTTTTCAGCAATTCTGAGATTAACTGCATCCAATCCCATAGGATTTTCAGAAAGGACTGATGCAATTGCAGAAATTCCTTTAGCAGTTGCAGTTGCTTTTAAAAGAATAGCTTCTGCTTCACCTAAAAGTATATTACAAAATTTTAGTGTAAAATATTTGATTATGTATTACCTGTTGCTTTATTGATACTTTCTTGTTTAATGGCTTCGCTATTTAATATTTGGCTTTGTTTCTGTCCTTCTGCAATATTGATGCAAGATTGTCTTTGACCTTCTGATTCTAAGATCTCTGCTCTTTTAGAACGCTCAGCAGATACTACAAGATATTTATATTGATCTAAATGTTAAAATAAATACTACCTTGTCTATGCATTGCTAATAATACATTTTGAGGGGGATGAATATCTCGAATTTCATATCTTAGGCATTTTATCCCCCAATCAGCAGCTGCTTCATTAATAGCTTCTGTAATATTCACATTTAGCATTTGACGCTCTTTCAACACGTGATCAAGTGCTAATTGACCAATTTCTGATCGCATTGTTGTTTGTGCTAACTGAGCAACTGCATATTCTGCATCTTCTACACCATAACTTTGAATAATTAATCTTTAGAAGAAAGTAAATAAATTTTATACCATGCTTTGTATGGATCCAAAATTCTAACATATAATACACCGTCTAGTTCTAATGTTACATTATCTAAAGTTATTGCTGATTGTGAAGGAATCTCCATAGCAATTTCTGATTATATTAAGTATTTTTATAAAAAAAAAAGAAGAAGAACCTTTTAGAGACTTAACATATTTGATTCTATCCAAAAATGGGACCAGAATAGCCAATCCTGGTTCAAGGACTCGTGAAAATTTCCCCATTCTTTCTACAATCCAAGCTTCTTGTTGAGGTACAAATCTAGGGAAAAAAATCAAAAAAATAGTATAAACAAGAGATGATCTACTTAAATATTGTATTCTTTGGAAGCTTTTGTCTTTTAAAAAAGTTCAAAGGTGTTTGATTAAATTTCCTTCTAGGTATATCTGTATAATGTCTAATATTAATAAAACCATAATTAAAAGATAGAAGTAATCTTTTTTGAAGATTATCTCGAATTAAATAGTGACTTTTATGCATATTTTCAATGAAGCTTCTTTCAAATAAATAATTTAGCATTTAAATTTTTAAAAATTCGAAGTTTTATTTTTAAGGCCATGTAATCTAAAAAATTAGCAAATCATTCTGAAATATTTTTATCAATTCGTTTGATATAAAATAATTTTAATTAAAAAACTTGGAATCTTTATTCTTTAAATTTCCAGAATAAAAAAAGTATAGTTATAATAAAAAATATATATTATTTGCATTTAATTTGAGAAAATTAAAATATATATGAATAGAAACTTATAGTAAAATACTTTATATATGACAAACGTTTTTTAGAAATCTTTTAAAATATTTAAGTATTTTTGTATAAATATTTTGTCTTTTTTTATAAGTTATTCAAAAATATTTTACATTTGACAATTAACATATTATTGTTTTTTGGCTATATTATCTGAATCTGAGAACTTTCTCTCAATACATTTAATGAATATGGATTTATAGATATCTATTTAAAATTAAAATAGTCATATTCATTTTTTAAAACATCCAGAAGTTTCAAAAATTATAATACTAAACTAAAATATATCATAGAATTGACTTTTATATATTTTAAGCTAATAATATATTATATTTAAGTAATCCTAAGGGCCCTAAGGAATTCATAAAGATAAATCTTTATCAAAGTTTTTAAAATGCTGAATAAAATTACTTATGTAATAAGAAAAACTAAAAAGAAATTAAATTCTGGATATTAAGTATGAAACAGGAATACCTAAGAATTAAAATGTTATTTTTACAAAAATTATTGGAATTGTAACATAGATCAAATGCTTTTTTTATTTTTTTTAATTTTAGTTAAGTATAAACAAAAAATTATACTTTATCAAAATAAGAATTTAAACAATTAACAAAAAGTTTAAGAATTTTTGCTATTTTTTCTTATTTTTACATTTAAAAATAAATAAAAAGTTATTTGAAAAAATACAAACTTCTAGAAAACTATATTATCTTTTTAATATCATTAATAGTTCTAATTGTCTAATTTTTTAATTTTTAAAAAAATATATTTTTTATTGAATTTTCATATAAACAATTAAAAATTAAAAGTAATATAATAAATTCATATTTTAAATTAATATGTATATGATTCTATTAATTTTTAAAAAAAATTCTTTAATTTTATTAAATGTTATACTTAAGACATCTCAACCGTAAACGTTTTTTGATACTTAATAACCAGTTTAATAAGTAAAAAATATTAAAAATATTAAAAAACTTAATTAAAATTTTTTAATTATACAAAAAATCTTTTTTATTATATCTTATCAAGGATTTTGTATTTTTTTTTTTAAGAAATTTTGATTTCATTTTATAATTAAAATGCAGGCTATTTGCTCTTTTTTTCAAAAAAATAATTTCTTGACAATTAAAAAAAGAACATTTTCTTTTTTAAAGCCATCAACTTCTTCAATTCACCCTACTTTTATTAATAAAAAACAAAAAGTAGCCTATCAACAGATTTCTATTAAGCAAAGTAAGTATATTTCAAAAGGAAAACAATAACTTATGATTTGAAAGTACATCCTGGGTTTGGATTAATACATTTTTACTCTAAAAAGTCTTTAATTACTCCTAAAGAGAAGAAAAATTTTATATATTCTACATATCTTAGAATTATTCAATCACATTTAACATTTCTTCTTGTAAAACAAAATAACATTAACAGCAAAAGCTGGAGACGTCTACGGAAACAATTACATACAGTTAACGCTAAAATCAAAGTTATACGAAATCATCTCTTCATACGTGCATTACAAACCATTCGCACTGATACAAATGAATATCGAGATAAAAGTATTCCACTGGAACTAAAAATAAATGCACTAGAAGTCTTAGAAACGCTATTTTCTGGCCCTACTGCAATAATCACATTGGCTGATCGTGCAGAGCCATCCTCTTTAAAATATATTATAGATTTGATTAATAAAAGTAATAATCAGCTTCAACTTCTAGGGGGGCTATTTGAGAACGAACTAGCAGATACGGAAATGCTTTTAAGTATTAAAGCATTACCAGATCGCTCAATTCTACATACACAACTAATTTGTTCACTGATAGCAGGATCAAATAAACTTTTACAAATACTTCAATATCCGAGTAAGACATTAGCATTAACGCTTGATACAAGAGTACATACTCAAATACCAGAGGATATATCTACGGCATCTAAAACTACAATTTGACATTTGTTTTGCAATCAACAAAGATAATATCATTTCAATTAATAATATATCCAACAACTTACTTTTACAATCATTTCAAACCTATATTTTGTCCTAAATAATTTATATTTGCTTTTTGGATACTATTAAAATAATTTTTATTTAAAAATTGCCATATTTTAAAAAAATAAAAAAACTATAGTTATCTTGCCTCAAACTGAATCATTCTTTTTGTCCTAAATGGCTAAGTTGTTATAAAATTGATTTATTCAGCACACCTTTGTTTATACATTACACGGTGACCACATTCACGACATCGAATTACTTCTCGTGCTTGGATTTGGTTTACAGCACCACAATCTTAAAGAATGTTAGAAAAACATATTGAAATATATAAGAAAAACTATATCAGGTGTTTATGTATAACTTTTGTGTCATATTTATAACGATTCACTAATTTTAAACATACCTGCACAAAGATACGACATCTGCACAGGGCGTGCAGTAAATTGAGCTGTTTCAGTAGATTGATCTGTTAATATAGAAGGTTTATAGGCTTCACGCTGCATTTTTTAACTTTAAATCTTTTTTTCTTAAAATTATTTTTTTTCAATAATTTTAATAACGGATTTTTTGAACGTTTACCAACCTTACCAACTACACTTTTTTTAAAAAAAGACAAATTAAACAAATTGCAGATATGACTGACGTCTGGAGATCTGTAGGAAAGTTAGTTTTTTCTTTGAAAATAGGCTTTTTTTTTAACTAAATTTATATAGTTATTGGTGTAAATATTGTAAAACGGTATTTCCAAGTAATGAATTAGATATAATTAAGAACCACTCACAAAATGAATAGTTTGTCCGTAATGATGCATTTTCACGGAAGAAACATGAAGCATCAGATCGTCATCAAGGCTCTTTAAAGCGTTTTTTACGTGATTTAGACAAAAAAAATGAAAAAGAAGAAAGAGAAAAAAGAGCAACACAAAGAGAGCTTGATAGGATTGCTGGAGTAACAGGCTTGTCTACACGGTCTATTTCTGTTGTTTCTCCAAAAAAAGTGGCGAAAACTCCACTTCAGAAGACTAAACCTGTAGCTCGTAAGACAGAAGCACCTTTTGTAGATATCAAAGCAACAGTTGGCATACCAGGTCCCTGGGAAGTTGTTTCTCCGTCAGAGACAGAGAAGAAGATGAATAGCACATTGGAAGTGTCAGAAAATAGAGTAGAGGATTCACTTACATCCATAAATATAGTAGAAAAACCTATGTTAACACAACCTCGGTTAAAAGAAGATTATGAAGATTTAAGGTCATTTAAAATCGAAGAAAAAATATTCCCTTCAGAAACAGAATGCGAGCTAGAAGAAACATCTACAACTGACTTTTTCAAGAAACGGAAATTTAAAATAGGAAAAAACATCAGGAAAAAATAAAGTATAACTTAAGTGTCTATTAAATATTAGAACATATAGTTTTATCCAAGAATATATAAAAGATAATATTTTCAAAAATTTCTACAAAATAGATGAGATTTGATATAATAATACAAGTTATGTTTAATGCAAATTTCACCATTGAAATAAACAATACGATATATATTTAAATATGAAGAGAATATATGCAAATGCAATTTAATATGTAATAAAATATGGACTATGTATTATAATATATCTCTTATTCTGGTGCTAAAAATAACATAAATAGATAAAAATAAAAAATATTGAAACATACCTAACAAAATCAATAATTTTCCATCCTTTGGTCTCAGAATTAGAGATTTCATCTAGGATTTTCGTAAAAGCTGCGACATATGTGACTTCTTGAATGAAATCTTCATTCCCAGCAATAAGTTTTTTAGACTTTGCGTTTCTGTATAGATGAATTTCTTGTGTTCGAAAAGAAATAATAAGACATGGAATATTATTAGGTGGGAGAATGCGGTATGAAACAACATCAACACCCCGAATATCCAAAACTTTCCCATCAGAAATCAATCCTTGTAAAATATATTCTTTGGCTGTAGTAAACCATATTTGATAAGACTATGTATATTTAAAAATAAAAAATAACATAATATATACATACTGACTCGTTCAACCATAGCTTTAATATTTCCATATCGCCTTTAACATATGCTTCTATTACTTCTGGAAGTATATATTCTCTAAGCTCTTGTAAAAACGATTCCACTCTGAAACTTGAATCTATATTTTTAAAAAGCCGGACTACTTTTGCAGCTTCATTTTCAGCAAAAAGTCTATGTGAAAAAGCCTCTATGTTTGTTATGGCGCCTTTTATTATCCTAATTATCGGATTTTCTGAATGGTTATATAAATGTTTCCAATAATAAATACGATTAAATAGCTTGCTATTGTTTCTAAATTTCCTATAAAATTCTTTCCAAGTCGATTCTTTATATAAAATTATTTTAACATCTGCACTGTATTCCGATTAATAAAGAAACTAAATGGAAAAGAACAAATACTTTGGATTCTCTTTAACTATGGTTTTTTTAGAATATTCAAGATCTGTTTCATTTTGTGTTTTCCTTGTTTGACGTCTCGTATTTTTATCAACATATCCACCATAATGGGAACTATTACTTTCATGAATAACTTTTTTGACTGATCCTGCAATTGATTTGTAAATCTTGTTTTCTCTAATAGGATGTGTTGCAATAGAAATAGTATCTACAGCAATTACTGTTCCTTTTCTTGCTAATCTAACTGGCACACTTTCCCATACAGTGACAACACCACCTTCAATTATTTGACTTATTTTCTTCAAAGTTCGATTAGAAAAATTACTAGCAACGCCTGCGCTTTCTTTTGCAACTTTATATGCTTCTTTTGCCTTCTTATAGGCTTCAGATTCACCTAACTTTCCTGATTTGTCTTGAAGTGCTTTTACAGATTCTTGAAACTTTTTTGATTTTTCAAGTTCCGATTTAAAAGTATCTATAAATACACGAATAGGATCCTTATAGCCTTTAATATTCTGATGAGAATTCAATGTAGATGTATGAAAAGAATGCCTTAAAGTCAACAGAAAATAAGAATTTTTAGATTTAAAAAAAGGCCATATATCTATAGAATGAATATATAGAATTGGTTCAAAAAAATAAAAATGCCTAGTATACGTTAAAAAAACATATTTACTTTTTTTCATTATATTTTTAGTGTTCTTGATCTTAAAATTTTCAAAAAAAAGTTTCACTTTTTTTTGGACGGTAAAATATTCGATATTGTACGACAGATAATTTATAAAATATCAACCATAACAGAATGACTAAGACATGAAGTATATATTTTGAACAGAATCTACAGAATATAAATACATATAAAAGTTAAAGAATCTATATTTTAAAGATTCATAAAACCTTAATTCCACACTTGTCTTTTTTCAGACTTTCTAAAAAAAAAGTATGCTTTTTGATATTAATCTTGAAAAAACATTTTATAAAATCAATAAAAGGTTTTTGGATTTTTATTTGTTTATAAATTAAAGATTTTACCTTTTTTAAGATATTTTGTTGATGAAATTCATTAAATAAAAAATATTTTAGAGATATAATTATGTTGTTTTTATATAATGAAAAGAAAATGTAAAAACAAATCAGCACAATTCAAAAAGATATTATAATGACTATTATGTCGAAATGTTTGATAAACAGAATTTAATGTTTTTTGCTTTCTTTTTGAAATAAAAATACCCTTTATACAACCTAATAGCTGCACATTTCTTACTAGATATTCATAAGCATTCTTAGATAAAGCAAAACTTATATTCATTCTTTCGAATATTAGAAGATTCATAAAATATATTCAGAAAAAACATTAGAACATTTAAATATATTATCATTGCATAGACAAGAACACTTTAAAAAAAGTTATCCCGCCTTTTCATCACTGTCACTTGTATAAGCGATAAGTTTTTGATCAGAATTATTAGTAGATAGTTCAGAAAAAGATGGTGGTGATGATGTAGAAAGTACAGAAGTCTCAGAAACAACTATATTCTTTTCAATGAGAGAAGCACTTCCTCTAGCAACATCTATATGTTTATTATCTTCATTTTCCTTAAAATCCAAATTTTTAGGTTTAGAAGACCTTCCTTCTGAACGTGTATCTTTATTTTTCTTAAGAATAACACCTTTTAACATTGACTCTTTTGTTTTCTTCACAGGTCTTTCAGTAGACTCTACAGGCTTCGAAATAGGAGGCAAATCTCGTGTCAAATGTATAGATTGCTGCATAGAATGATCAAGCTGTTCTCTTGCCCTATTATTTGATCAACTAGAAATAAAAAACATCTAATTGACAAAAAACCGTTTAAAAACTTTTAATCCTTCTTCAACAGATTTCTTTGTTTCTTCCTCAACTTTTATTTTTTCTTTCCTTAATTTATCTAAAAAGTCTATTTCTTCATCATTTAATGTACGAATCAAATTCGCTAAAAACATCAACATCTTTCCATCTTAGTATAGACAAACATACATAATTTCCATGATTCTTGATATTCTTCTTCTTTTATAATCTTATTTGCTTGCAATTTTTCATAAAGAGATCGGTGATCTACAGGTGGCCCATTTTCAACCGGATTTTTTGCAGCCTGAATTCTACGCTCAGCTTCTTCCCATTCTTTGCTTCTCTCACACGTAAAACGCGGTGCAATCCTTTCTAATCCACCCATTTTTTTATTTTAAAAAGCGATGTCGTTAAAGCGGGCCACGTTCTCAAAATAACTATACCACCGTTAACATCAAAAATCATGAGCCGTGATGAATGACGAGAAATATAAAGAAAAAGTGCCTGATTTTTGGGATCACTGGGAAAATGAGGTATGTTTAACACTTAAGAATTGACTGTATTTTTTTTTTAATTTTTAAGCGAAATTTTGATGGAAAAAGCGATGAAGTCCCATCCACAAAAAAAGTGACCCATCAGGACAATATGCGTCTTTGGGAAGAAGCGTAAACACTTCAACCTGACTTTTTCTCTATATCTTTGTTGAAATAATCTAGAAACCAACGAGCACCAGACGTAGAAGTTGTAAACTCGTCACGAACAGCATATAAACCATCGCTCAAGATTCTTCGACGTTCAGCTGGCCAATCTAGTGATTCGTCTGTTTCTAATGCATTGCCTGAGAAGTTTGCGTCTACAGAACCTGAGCAAGGCCATCGTGAAAAGGAACAACGATATAAAGAAGTTCGACAGAAAATTTTCGGTACACCTACATTAGAAAACAAACCTTGTATACCTATTCGTTCTCCTATTGGGCCTTGCTCAGAAGGAGGGTTTTCTGGAGGCAAAAATTAATCATGAAATTTTTCTCTTCACTTTATACATTTTGAAAAATTTGTTGGCCATAAATATCAATTTTGTGTTGAGTATTTAAAGTTTTTGGATTTGTGTAAACGTCCCTCCCTTAAACCAATCATTTGAACCAGTTGCTTCTGGTTTTGATAGTAATTCAGGGTTGATAAGCTGCATACCAACATTACTACCAAAAACAACACTGCTTGCTAATCCACTCGTTGCAGTTCCACTGTTGTGGCTAAGTGGCATTAGATGCTTTATTGCTTTGCCTACTTTGGCTTTAGAACGACTATCTACAACAGGCGCTCTAATTCTATATTGTCCCTCTTGTCCAATCATGCCTAAACCTTCCATTTCATCATTGATTCCTACTTCTAACTCTTGTTTTCCAAAAGCAAGTCTATTTTGCTGTTTACGAAGTTCTGTCATTTGGTAACGTTCCTTCATTGCGCGTATGCGTCTTCCACCACGTCTTTTCTTTACTGTATCATTTGGTGCAGGCAAAGCTTTCACAGTTTTCGATGGATTTGGTTGAGATAATTTGTCTAACCGTTTTTCGATTTGCTCTTTTAAAGAAAAGCCAATAGATCCGTCAGGACTATGATGTAATCTATCTACACGTGCAGCTAGTGCAATCTTTGCACTGATAATACGTAAAGCTTGTTTTCTCAAATCAGAAGGAATTTTTTGTAATATTTCAGAATGAAAAAGAAATCCTTGATGTCGAATGCCAATCCCAGTTGAAAATCCTGTTTGACTTTGACGTTTTGCACCAAGGCTTGAAATATTGCAGCCCGGCATACGAACTAGACCTGCTAATCCACCAGCTATACTCATAAGCTTCGCTGCAGTTGTAGACCCTACAATTGCCGATAAATTAGGAGCAACTAAGTTCATTCTAGATTGAACATATTCAAGAATCTTTTTTTTATTAAAAATATACTTTCAATATTCACAACTTTACCTTTTTTTTTGCTCCTTCTAATTCTAACGTTAAATCACATGCTTCAAAAACAGCATCGAGCTCCTCAGGTGGCAAAGGCACTCCCTCTGATGTAGCATTTGTCACTGTAATAACCATAACTGTTGCAGATGGGAGCAAGTGTGACAAATTGACTTGTGTAATATCCTACACTTATTAATCAGTCTTTATAATATAATGTAAAAACCATTTGATTGCCAATAATTCGAACAGTTTTTGCATAGTCTAAAGGATTTATAACAAGAGATTCAAGCTCAGGAAATCGTAAAGCATAATGATCTCGGATAAACTATTCCATAATATTATTTACCATGTATAATTTATCAACAGTATATACTTTATTAATTGCAATAATTTCATTATCAACTTCAACTGCTAAATTGTTTGCATCAACAATTAACTGATATTCAGGATTGTCTTCAATATGTCCTTGAAATGAACTTATCTGACTCTTACTATATGTATCAATTTTCTATCATTCATTAACACTATTATATAAGAAAAAAAACATACCTTAAGAATATCCTGCATCCAATCTGACTTTAAAAGTGTTGCAATCTCAAATATGCTTTGAATACGACCTAATGATGACTTTTTTGCCAAATCATCTTTTTTTCGAGAACTTTTGGTAATATTTGTAGAACTTAAATTTTCATGAGTCTTTAACGTCATTTCTCCATTTGAAAAGGAAAGTCCTTGTTCATTTTGTTTTTTATCACAATTATCCACTTCATCTACATCACTTTGATCAAAATCTTCATGTAAAAGTTCATCTGCAAGATCCATTTTGAATATTAATTTTTGGAGGTCGTAACCTGATTTAGTGAAATAAAAAACTATTCAAAAATAGAATAAATCAGACAAAGAATAAAGTATATAAATTTAATAAACTAGAGTATTTTTGAAAAAGATCCACTATTCTTAAAAAATCGTTTATTTTATAATACTTAAAATTGAAGATAGGGAATATACTTACACAATAAGTTGAATAAATAAAGTATTTCATTTTTATAAATAAAAACATACATCTTTTACTATTTGAAAAAAGTATTTCGTCTATTTTTAAGGTTAAAAAAATGCAAATGAACGAAAAAAACTTAAATACTAAATCAGAAAAAAGCAAAGAAGATGAATGGATTTTAAAAACAGAGGATGGAGAAAATAAACATGATTTTAGTTTTTTTGTGAAAAATTGCAAAAACGAATCAAAATCTTTTTTAAAAACTTCATTAAACACATACGTATTTACTTTTTTTCAACAAAAGTCATTTTATAAATTTTATAGTCTAAGTTGACACCAAAAGACTCGGATATGAAACAGTTTTCAGAAAAAACACATGAAAAATGTGAGAAGTAATTTTTATTTATAAATTTACCATTTTTTTAATTAAAAAAACAGCAAAATCTTATATTATTGGTGATGCAGGATCTTCATGGAGAATGATGAAGCTTGGAAAAATATATGAAATTGCATCTCAAACAGGTAGGAGTGTTCATGATGTAGCTTTAGAAAGATATGGGACTCTTGAAGCATTTTATGAAGCTCTTGAAGAGAAAGAAGAATTAGATCGACGCAAAATACATGGACCCTCTAAAAAAAGAGTGACTGGGTCACTATACAAACAGTATCAACAATTGAATCCACAGAAGTTTAGTGAATCTTCTGAATCATTGTCTCATTCTTCAACTGCTTCTGATGTAATTACTGTGTCTACACTAAATAAATTACAAGCAGAAATTATGAAAGCGCAAATGCGCGGTGTTACTGATGTTTCTAAGCTTCAAAAAAAATATCAAGAAATGGTATCAATTTTTGAATCCCAAAAAACTCGGAAAGATATAATTATTCCAAATAATATTGATATTATGAGAAAAAAACCTTCTTCTGTAGTAGATCCAGATAATATAACTATAGAAGAAATGGTGAAAGAGGAGAAAATGACAAAAAACTATCTTTATAAGCGTCAGTATAGGCAGATGGCCGAGCAAATCGTGCGTGATCCTCATTTCAAAGTATAAAAAGTAATACAATATAATTATTTGTTTAATATTTAAGGATGATCTTGATTATTATGATGAAAATGCAGAAAAGCTTTCTAAACGGATTCAAAGAAGAGAAATTGATTTCAGGAATATGGAAATTTCTGGTATATAAACAATTTTAAAAGCACTAATCTTTCTATTTATAGATTTTCAAAGAATACAAAAAATTCTCGATACGTGTCCTTTATGTCATCAAGATTCTTCTCCACCAATAGCACCTGTAATATCTATGGGTACCCGCATTTATTTGTCTCTTCCTTCTCCCCCAGAACTTGCAAAATATCATGCTTTAATCGTTCCTATTCACCATAGAGTCAATACACTCGAGTGTGATGATGATGAATGGGATGAAATCAGAGTAAGAGTTTTTCCTTATTTTGAGAAAAATGATTTATTATATATAAATAGAATTTTATGAAATGTTTAATTAAAATGGCAGACGAACGAAATCATGATGTAATTTTTTACGAAAATGCTTCTACACCTCACCGACGTATGCATACTGCAATTGAAGCAGTACCTGTTCCACGCGATGTTGCTATACAAGCGCCAGCATTTTTTCGAGAAGCTATTCTTTCATCAGATGAAGAGTGGAGCCAGCATCAAAAAATCATTGATACCCTTGCAAGAGCTAAAAAAGGTCTTGGAAAAATGGCTTTTAGACATAGCATAACAAAAGAAGCACCATATTTTCATGTATGGTTTGAAATTGATGGTGGAATTGGTCATATTGTAGAAAATTTAGATAAATGGGGAAAAGGTGATCTTTTTACACGTCAGGTATTTGCAACAATGCTTGACCTCGATCCTACTATATATCGAAGACGCGGGAAATGGACTGGTATGAGTGATCCAAGAGAAAAGGCTTTTCTTAGTGTCTGGACAAAATATGATTGGACACAATCCATTAAAACCGATAACTCTTAAATAAGAAACTCTAATGGACAATAGACTATGTCTGTGTACAAATGCATATACAGAAATGTATGTAAATGTTTATATATAATTATTTTTATAAAAATATATTCAAGAATTTATGTAGAAATATGTAAACTTAGAAACATATAAATATATATAGAATGTGTAAAAAACTATCAATAAAAAAATATCAATGAGGTTTATAGCAATATTAATTTATAAATTTTTTCTTGTATTATGATTTTTATATTAAATTTGCGTTTACTAATGTTCAAATGTATCGAATTTTGATAGTTGTAAAATATTATAAAAAGATTTTAATAAAAACAGTTTATTTTTTTATTTGTTTCCTATTCTAATATTCTAATTTATTCTAATTTATTAATTATCGTTGTATATCTATTAATACTGTATTTTTTATAATCATAAATGTAATCTAATCATAAATATAATCAACATATGTATAATCAAATTGTATTTTTACATTTATAAATTATTTATAAAATCGCAGGTTAGCTACGGCCATACCTCAGAGAATATACCGTATCCCGTCCGATCTGCGAAGTCAAGCTCTGAAGGGCGTCGTCAGTACTATAGTGGGTGACCATATGGGAATACGACGTGCTGTAGTTTTTTTTAAAATTATCTTATTGTAAGATATATTTATACAAGTTATGTTAATATTTAAACATACTATAAAATAAAAACTTAAAAATACTTTTCTATTGTTTTTTTATAAACTTAATATATAAATAAAATTTATGTAAAATTCGAAACGTATTCTACAGCACGCTGTTTTACATTTTCAATGCTCTCATATGTACCATATTTTTTCTCATATACAATCCATTTTTTAAAAAAAAAGTTTGCTTTTTTACTCGACATTTTTATAGAAATAATTCTTTCAAATAAATTTCTAACATTATCTTGTTCTCCATATTGGATTTCATAATCCAAAAAAACAGACCATAAATCAGTAGATTTTGGATAGTTACTTAAAAGATTCTCAAAAAGAGTTCTTCCTCTTTCCGGATCTCCATATTTAAATTCAAGTTGTGCAAATTTACTCTTAGCTTTAAGAACTAAATAGATTTAAAAAATATTATATAAATAATTTAAATACATACAATCAGATTCTGGTAAATTTTTAAGACTAAGAGAAAACAGTTTTCTCGATGTGTCATAATTATTATTTTCCATTAAAAAAGATGCATAATTTACCCATACATCTAGAGATTTATTATATTTTTTAATCATAAGTTGGAACAATTCATCTGCTTTCTAAAAATTTAAATTATTTTTTATATGATTAAATATAGTGACTACCTCATTCTTTTTTGACCGTATCAATATACTACAGAGATTTTCCATTACAGATTTTGGATCATTAAATTGGCATGCTTTTTTAAAAATATTATTAAGAGACTCTTCTGTACCAAAAGTATTTTCTAAATTCATAAGAGCAATCCAAATATTAAATTTTTCTTTTTCATTTCTATAATTTATAGATCTAAGAGCGCGTTCAGCTATTTCTCTTGCTTTATCGAATTCAGAAAGTTGTACATAAAACGCCATAAATTTAATCCAAATATATGAAGAATCAGGAGAACTTAATAAAAGACGCTCAAAATCCACAGGGGTGTTAGGCTCTAATTCATTAAGGATAGCTGTTTTGTCTTCTGAAAGATTAATATCTTTTTTCTTTTTCTTAGGAATATAATTATTTGTAATTTCTATAGTAGTAATCAATTTATTATCATCAAAACCTGAATTCCCAGTCCAGTCAAACTTCCCTAGAGACAGACCGTTAGCAAACTTGTCTGTTTCAGTATGAATAAGAGTATCTCCATTTTTATTTTCAATTTCACTAGTATCTGTTAAATTAGAAGAAACGTCAATATTTTCTAGAGATTCCTATATTTTATTAAAACTATGGATTTTTTTTAAAAAAATACAAACACTATTATTTGTAGGATGATTTTGTATAACTTGATCATTAGTATTATTATTAAGTAAGCAATTTGCTTCTGTTTCATTAGAAACTTGTTCCATTTGAAAATATGAATGCTTAAGACTCAATGAAATTCGGCGTTTTTCATAATCAATATCCAATATATAAGTTTTTAATGTATCCCCTTCTGTATATACTTTATGAATATCTTTTATTCTACAATCTGCAATCTTTAAAAGTTATAAAACGAAATTAATAATTTCTCAAAACTTACTTCAGATATATGACACAATCCACTAACATTATTATAACCTATAAGATTTATATACATCCCAAAATTCGTAATTTTTCTAACTATACCATCAATTATTTCTCCTTTTGTAACATCTAAAAACTCTAATAAAGGTTTTAGTGATTTTAATTTACTTTTTTTCAAAGTCATTTCTATTTTTTTATTTTCATCTATTGAAATAATCTTTCCTTCAACAAGATCATATAAATTAAAATTAGATTTCCAATCCTGAATAAATTGATCCGATATTTCATCAATTCTAACTCTAGCAACAATATTTCTACTTAGACTAATAAATAGTCCCTTTTCAGCAATATTTTTAATAAAACCTCGAAAAGATGCACCAACTTTAAGTTGTTCTATTGAAGTAATCTCTGGATCACGTTGTTTAAGTATAGATGATAGAACACGAGAATCCCTTGATGACAATGCAATACTCTTATTATGAACATCAACATCTAAAACAAACACTTTGATTATTTGATTTCTCTGATAGTTTTTAGTTAAATTCGTATTATATTCATCATTAATGTCAGTTAAGTAAATTTTCCCAGCAATACTTTCATTAATTTGGACTATAAATCCTGTTTCCACTATTTTTACAACTCTACCTGGAAGTATAGAACCAACTATTACAGAATTATAGTCAGATATATAATTCGAATTTAAAGCACGAACCGAAAGACTTAATTGATTTGTCTCGGTGTTAATTTTAACAATTTTACATTGAATAGCTGAACTAATATGTATATACTTTGAAACATTTTGAAGAATCTCAATATTATCACTAAGATCTAATATATTAATTTTTCCTCTAATATTAGGTGATATATTGACCCATATACAATCTTGAAATATGTTATTTACAAATGCCATCTGTACTGAATTAATATTAATATCATTTAGTGATAATAAAGGTGTTGTTTTTCCTTCTAAGTCTTTTGATCTTGCTGTAAGTTCAAATATTTTATTAATGTTAGAAGAACGATGAGTAATAGCTAAAAAACGATGATTTCGTGAATCATGATACCCAATCACTTTTGCATTAATTTCCTGATTAACTTTAAAAGCTTGAAGAGGATTTTTAGGATTTTCAATTTCTTCAATAGAATTATATATTTGAGTCATGTCAATTCTCCCATGATATTTTCCTAATATTTCAACATTAAGTTGAGTTTTCTTCACTGAAATTATTCTTGTTTGTACTATTTTCCCAATAATGTCATCCATATTAATATTTGGATTCAATTCAAAATCTTGTATAGTTAATTTTTGAGGAATGTTTTTGGAAATATCAGTATGTTTCATTGAAAGTTGAATTCTTTTTTTCTCTATATCGATATCTATGACTGAACATAGTATAGTTTGGTTTAAAAAAAAGGCAGAATCTAAATTATCTAAATACTTATTTTCCATATTCTATAAATAAGTTATATTATTACAACAGACATTATTTAGTAAATACTTGTTTTAACACAAGACCCACTAAATCACCAATAAACCCTACAAAAATTCCATAATTTTGGATACTTTTTATATAACCAGAGAGACAAGAACCTATTCTTACTTGAGATAACATTGATGGAAGATTTCCTTCTTTTAATAGTTTAATAAAGCTTGGTTTAATACTGAGAACTACAACTTTTTGGTTTTCTTTTTTATTTAAAATAATCATATCATTTAAATAACTTCCACGTCTTATTTTTGACATCATAACTTTACATTTATCAAAATCTTCATCTGAAATATGTCCAAGTTCAATAATTCCAGTCAAAAGACTTGAATCTAAAGAAACAACAATGACGTCATTAGAATTGCTTACAACTGTACCAGATACAAATGAACCAAGTTCTAGTTTATTGAATTTCTCAAATTTATCTTCATTCCATAATGTAGGATCTCTACAGCTTACTCTTATTTTTTGTGATTCAGCATCTATAAAAATAATGTATACATTAACTGTTTGTCCAACTCTAAAATATTCTTTTGGGTTGCTAACATACGCCTCGCTCATCTCTGAAACAGGAAGAAATGCTTTGATTCCATTATAAAACTCCACAACGGCTCCGTTATCTAGTATATTTTGTAAAACTCCTAATGATTTCATATTAATTTTTATATTATTATAATCAGTTATTTCTGGATATTTGGAATTAATTAATGATTTCTTTAATGTTAATATAAGTTTTCGTTTTATTGTATCTATTTTAAGCACCTGTGTTGAATAAACAAAATTGATTTAAAATTTTTGAAATTAAACTTACTTTACATGAAACTTTATCCCCTTCTTTAAATTTTTTTTCCGGATGAATTAAAAAGACATCAGACATATGCAAAATAGGAACAATACCTGTAATCCCTTCTGTAATATGTATCAAAATTCCTTGAGGTATAATTTTTCCAATAATTCCAGTGACTAATTCAGCAATACTAAAATCTTCAAGTCTCAAATGAGATTGATTATAAATACTAGTTAACATAGATAAAATATAAATACCATCAATATTTGAAAATCCTATTACCCTAGCTTGATGAGAGGAATTAACTTTATAATGACCAGTTGTTGGTGATATAGATTCTACTTTGCTATCTGATAAATGAGATATCTTGAAACTTTTAGTCATTCTTTTCAAAAAAAAAGACATACATGAACAAATCCAAATATATTTTCAAGTCCAATATCGCAAAATACACCTATTCCAGGTTCTGTTCTTTTAATTATTGCGTTTTCTATTTTAAACCCCACAGGAATAGATTCTAAAGGATCATTTTGTAATCCTTTAGAATCAGTAATAGTTGAAAAATTTATTATATGACAAAGAAATGATACAGCTACTTTTTTAGGTTCAGATTCAACAAAATTAAAAATAATTCTTGCATTTTCCTAGAATGTCAATAAATTTCTACAATCCTCTGTAAAAAAAAATAATATACCGTTTTTCCAACTTGAAATTTGCTAGATATATTAGATAAACTATCTCCACAATGAAATATATCAGCAGTTGCATTCAAAACACCCATAATTTTTCCACAAATACCACCTGAATAAATTTTTGTAATCATAACTTCTACAAGATTTCCAGGCAGAAGTACTTCAATATCAGGTATATTTATTAACGGTTTTTTTTTTGTTTTAGAAAGATTGGTAGATAATTGAACAATACGCTCTTTTGAATAACCTTTTATAACAGTACAAAGAATAACCTGTCCTTCGTACAATTCAGAATATTGTGTATTTTGTTTTTTAATAAACCCAGAAATCCCCTCGATTCCGATATCAGCTATATATCCATAGTCTTCAACACTAATAATAGATGCTTGTAAAATTAAATTTTCACTAATTGAACTTGGATTTAAGTTTCTATTAGTATATCCAGGATCAAGGCTTAGTTCTATTCTTTTTTTTTGTTTATCTTTTGATAGTATCGATAAATTGGTTTCTGATAATTCCGCAACAGATGTAGAAATAACGTAGACTCTAATCCATTGCTTTTTATGAAACATTGTTTCTAAAGATAACATATTATTCAAATTATCTTCAATTGATTTTTTAAAACGAGATGAAAAGGTTTTTGAAATATTTTCTATAGAAACGTATCCAAATAAATTATTAGGTAAAGATACAACTATTTCAAACTCATTTATCTGTTGCACTTGTCCTAATATAATTGTATCTTTAGTAATTGTCTAAAAATCTTTTAGATGTTTATTAGAAAATACCACAATTACTTTAAATGTAAGACTTTCAATTTTTAAATTTTCATAAAAAAGATAATTCTTGCTTTCATACAGCTTTGATTTCTTTGTTTTACTTGATTTTATTCTTTTTGCTGAAATATTTTCCTATATAAATTAATTTTTTAAATCTTACTGAAGAATAAAATTAACATCAAAATGAATATTTCGTTTAAGTCTTTCAAAAGAAGAATTTATTTCTGATTCTTCTAAATCATTTCCTCCTCTAGGAAAATCTGCATCTTCTTTTAATAACAATTTGCATTGTTCAGATATATTATCAGTTTTTTTATGGATAGTATTGTGATCTTCTTTACATAAGAAAAAGTTATTCATTTATTATTAGTTACCCTCTAAAGGCTTCTTTTCGCCCTTTTCTTTATTTAAGATTTTTTCTAATCTTTTTTTTTTAGATTTCTGCATCTTAAGTTTATACGAAAGGCTTTATAATTGATTTCGAATTGTCAAACAATCGGTAAATATTTATAAGTTGGAATTTTTTTATACTTGATTAAAAGTAAAAGATATATTAAAAAACAATTTTAAAACTTTTTTATAAATTTTTATTTCTAAAAATACTCTTTTAAATATATTCAATATAATTAATAATATAATTTACTTTTAAAAATTTAAGGATCTAAATTATTTTTTGATGAAATTGCTTTTATAAAATCATTTTCCCATTCTTCATTTTCAAATTTTGACCAATCTATAGTATTTTCATTTAATTTATATTTTCCTTGACGGTATCGAATAAGCTCTACTATATGTGCAGCAGAACCTAAAAACACTCCAAGATCATGAATAAGAGACCGAATATATGTACCAGATGAGACAACTACACGAAATGTTGCCACTGGTGCTTTTTGCTCTAAAGATGTAAAAGCGTTATCTGATAATTCTTGTTTTTTGTTAGTATCAGATAAATTATCTGCAATTTTAATTTGATCATCTTTAAATGAACTAAATTTACTATCTTTTTGGTTTACAGTATTTTGTTCCTTTAAATTACTTTCTAAATCTTCTTCTGCATTATTGTTATCTTTTGGCTCTTTCCATTCGTGATTATGTGTCCATTTTATAATATCAAATGATTCAACAACAACTGGTCGAGGTTTAATCTCTTCCGGAAGCTCAAGTCCTTCTCTTACATATTCATATAAACGCTTTCCTTTCATATGCAAAGCAGAATAACTTATAAAAATATTAAGAAGTTTCAACAACTAAACTACTCTTACATTGGAGGTTTTTGTAATATATTACCTTTAAAATTATCAAGTGCTTTCTCAACAATATCTTTAGTTAAATGAGACCATGGCATTCGTTTTAACACTTTTCCATTAGAGTCGTATGTATCTGTTGAGCATCCAAAAAGTGCAGTTACTTGATATTCCTTTAAGTTATTAAATTATATTTTAAAAAAAAGGTAAATTACTTTAGTACATTGCAAAAACTGTTCAAGATTTTTTGTACCCTTTCCAATACCTATTACTAAAAGAATTAGTGAATACAACAAAATTTAACAGAAAAATGCACCAAGTACCCCACTAGCTAGAGGATCTAAAGTTCCACCATGACCAAGCTAAATTGTATTTTTATTAATAATTATAAGAAAATATTAGAAAAAGAATAACCTTGATTCTTCTACAATCTAATTTCCTTGATTTTCGTTGGCGTTTATGGTGTTGATTTTGTGAAATATTAACAAATTCATGATAAAAGTGAGATTTTCTTAAAATTTTTTCCAATTCTACCAAAATGAATATTATTTTCTTTTTTATTTTAAAATACCTTTCAAAATATGTGTGCAAATCCATCCAGATGGCTTATTAATTGCTATAATACCTTCTTTATTCATACTTATTCATAAAACTTATTTTTAAAATTATTTTTGTAGTTTTTAGGAAAAAAATAAGAATCTAAATATTTGTTTTTTAAATGAAAATTAAAAACAGTTTTAAATAAATATATTATTCATAAAAAATTTTAAATTTTAATGACTTTAAAAATGAACACTAAATCGTTTTATGAACAGTTAATATAACACTAATTTATATAAAAATATAAATTATGAATAAATTACTAATAAAAATAAAACTCTTGTTTTAGTAAAAAACTTAATATAATTTTTTTATATAATTATTTTTATTTCTTTAATATTAGCTTAATTATTTTGCTTATAAAAAGTTTTATTTATTTAAAAACTATTTTTTTATTCCTTTAATTTTTCATAATTCTTGCTTTTCTTCTAAATTTAATTATTTTACAAAATAAAATCCAAGGTTATGTATTTCTTAAAATATTATTACCTATACGTTTTTATTTCTACTCTTTTTTTATAAACAGTAAACGTAAATTTAAAATCTATAAATTATTTTTAACTTGTAATAAAAGATAAAGAATATATAAATATTATAACAATAAATATATTTAATATAATTAAAGTAAATAATAACGTTTGGTTTCTATTCTAACATTTTTAAATTAATAAATTTATTACAATATAAATTATTTTAAAAAAATATAGAAGAGTTAACTACTTGAATTTTAAAATTCGACATTTATATTTATCTTATTTGGATTTTTTAGCAAATATTGTTTTTATATAGTCGACATAAAATACGCATTTTCAAAAACCTCAAAAATAAGGTTGTTAAAATAAAGTTTACATTTAAAACTTTTTAATATTCAAAGGTAACAAAGGAGTATTATCAACATTAATGAACAATTACCAAAGTCAAATATTAAAAATGAATATATTAGTGCAATTATATGCAAAAAAGAAAATATAAAGAATAATTTACATGCTACTGATTATTACATTGTGAAGAATACGACTGCTTTTCGCTAATATCGTTTATTTTTAATTCATTATATTGCGATTCAGCCATTTTAATCTATTTTCAATTAAATTAAAATTTAAATATTAAACAAATTTACATCCTCAATACTTCCGATTTCATATTCTACAGTATCAACATTCCTTAAATCATTATTTTCAATTGGGTTTGGTGGCAATAAAGCTGAAAGACTTTTTAACTGTGTTTTATGAAGAAAACCATCAGGTGGAAACTTAACAACAACTTCAAGATATAAATCACCATGTTCATAATTTTTTAAACGCTTAGGCATCCCTTCTCTTTGTATAATCAATACTTGCCCTGGATACAACACTTTTCCGGGCAAATGAGTTATATAAAGACCTCTACCATCTAAAGTTTCAACAACCACTCTAGAAAATCCACAAAGGGCTTCAGAAAGTGTAATATGCAAATCAGATTTTAAATTACATCCTAACCGTTTAAATCTATCGTGTTTTTTTTGTTTAATAGTAAATACTAAATCACCTGTTTCTACGCCAGGCTACTTTATTAATTCCTCATATATAAACTAGTGAAAAGATGTCATACCTCTTCATCTGCTTCACCATGAAAAATGATTTTCTCTCCATCTTCCATACCTTTAGTTATATTAATTTCATAAATATTTTTTTGTTTAATGGTTTTAATCCCTTTACATTTTTTACATTTATCTTTCTCTTGAATCATATCGCCCACTCCACTGCATTTTTGACATTCTATTTCTTGCTGTATAATCATTCCAGGCTTTATTTGTTTTAATATAATTGTTACACCTTTTCCATCACAGAACACACATTTTTTAAAAAATGAATATGCCTTTTTTCCTGAACTAGTAATAAAAACATATTAATACAAATCAAAAAACATATATATATACCCTTTGCAAGTGGGACATATAATATTACGTGTACCTGCCATTTTAACGTCTTTTCCTTGATAAAGATCCTCTAATGTCACTTCATAATCATAATAAACATCTTTTTTTGTATTTTTGAATGAATTTTCGTGGATAGATTCTTCTGCAAATCCACCATTTATATCCATATTTTCAAACATTTGAGCATAAAGATCATCCATTATAATATTATTACAGTCTTGAACACCATCTAAACCATATGTATCATAAATTTCTCTTGTTTCTGGATCTCTCAAAACATCATATGCATCTTGTACTTCACGAAAACGTATAGACGCATTTTCTCGTTCAGATTCTGACACTTTATCCGGATGATTATGTAATGCAAGCTTCCTAGAATTAAGACATAAAATCTACTACAAATTACAATCATATACCTTATGAAATGCTTTTTTAATATCTGTTTGACTTGCTTCTGGATTTACTCCAAGTATATCATAAAGACTTGTATTTACAACCACTATTTTTTAAAATTAATGACCAATTTAACCAATTCTAATTAACTTACTTTCAATACTTATAATAAAATGTGAAAATTTTATACATTCTGATAAGGTCTTAATAAAAAAACTATTTAAAATTTGTTAATTATTTTTTGTTATCTTGTATTTCGACAATGATAAATATATCTTAAAAATTTCTAAAAAAAGAAATAAAATCTTAAAATAAAGCTTTTATAATAAAAAATTATAAAAAATATCATGATTAAGAGTAAAGAATTAAATATAATTATTAAAAAAATGGACCGAAATTACTCAATCTTGCCAAAAATTAGAACAAGATTTGCACCGTCACCTACTGGACAAATGCACCTAGGATCTTTGAGGACTGCACTATATAATTATCTTTTTGCACAGAAAATGAATGGAGATTTTATTTTACGTATTGAAGATACTGATAAAGTTGTTTATTTTCTTTAAAATATGGTATAGATTCTTACTTTTTAGGAAGACACGAATTGTAAATAAATCTGAAGAAAACATATATAAAATACTTATTTGGGCTGGGCTTAATTGGGATGAAGGACCAATTGTATTATTTATTAATCTCTTTTTATTTTTTTCCATATTAATATAAATCTATAGGTTGGAGGCAAACATTCTCCTTATAATCAAGTAAAAACCATTTATATATATCTTTTTTGCTAATTTTAAGTCACAAAGACTCCATATATATTCAAAATATGCAAACCTTCTTTTAGAGGTACACTTTTATGTATAAATATAGCAATTCTGTAAAACAAATAGTCATGTTACGCATATAGATGTTTTTGTCCTATAAATAGACTTGAAAAGTTAAAAGAAGAATCCAGAACAGAAGGGTTATCAGGAACATATGATAGGAATTGTTTGACTATTAATATATATGAATCGAATGAAAGAGCTATAAGAGGAGACAAATTTGTAGTTCGTTTTAAAGTATGATATAAAGTTATTAATTACCCTATTGATTATATTAGGTCCCTGAAAAATATCCTGTAGTCCATGACCTTGTTTACGGAGATGTTGATTTCTCTGTTTCAACTAATACACAAAAAAAATTTTATGATGATCCAATAATTATAAAATCAGATTCTTTTCCTACATATCATTTTGCAAATGTTATTGACGATCATCTTATGAATATAACACATGTAATTAGAGGAGAGGTAAATATTGCCTTGTAATCATTTTTAAACTTAGTTGTTTATTCAGGAATGGTTACCATCAACCTCAAAACATCTTGCTATTTATCAAGCTTTTGGATGGACACCACCTGTATTTGCCCATGTTTCGTTATTAGTGAACTCCGATGGTTCAAAGTTAAGTAAAAGAAATAATGATACCCACATTCAAAATTATATTAATAAAGGATATTCTTCAAATGCTTTACTAAATTATGTGGCTCTTATTGGATGGTCACCAAGAACGTCTAATGAAGTATTTACTTTACAGGAATTAGTTAACAAAGTATATAAGTATATGGTTAAGATAATAAATTTATTATTATATAGTTTTCACTTAGTAATCTTACTAAAGGAACTAACATAATTATGCCAGAAAAACTAGATTTTCTCAACAAGCAGCATTTACTTCGAAGTACTAAAGATGAAATTGGTGTTGAAAAAATTTTAAAAGAAATTAAGCCTAAAATTATATCTTTATATGAAAAAAAGTATTATTATATTGTTTATATTTTTTTTTATATTTTTAGAGTTTCAAGCAGTAATAATGTAGAATGTTTTTCAGATCAATATATTCATAAAGTCATTATAGCGCTTAGAGAAAAAGTTCAAAATATAAACCAGTTAGTTGAATCAAGTGAATATTTTTTTGTTGAGCCAAACTATTGTGAATATATTTTTAATGAATTTAAATTAATACCAAGTGACTTGGGTGGGTTGTTTTTTAATTATTAGTATAATTATTTTCTAAATTAATAGAACTGAATTCAGAAATAATCAAAAAATTTGAAGAGATTAATATTTGGATTCCTAATGAAATTTCATCTGTTCTTAAAGAAATTACAGTTAATGAAAATATCAAAATAAAAAAATTAATGTTAATATTGCGATTTTGTTGCACAGCATCACTCGTAGGTGCAAATATTATTCAAATTTTACATATTCTAGGTAAAGAAATTGTAATATTAAGAATTAAAAAAGCAATGGAATGGACTAAAAGTATAGATCAAAAATAAATATTATTATCTTTTCAAAATTTTTAATAATAATATCTATTCTAAACTAAACATATATATAATTACAAATCCATAATATATGTTAAATGTCTAAATTTTGTCTTAATATTCCACAAATCTTATTATTACTAACATTAATTTTTATCATTTTGTAAGTATTTTTTCTAAAATAAGGATTTATTATATACATATCATTGATTGTATTGCCCAAAACATTATATTTTTCATAAATATTATATTTTCAATGTAAATGTATAATAATAAAGGTTTAGTGGTTTTTTTTTCTTTTCTAATAATTCTAAAAATTCATTATTTACATCAAATCTAAAAATTTACAAAATACGTATTCTTTATTCTAAGTAAATATCTTAATAATTAAGCTATAAGCAAAAAAATAATAATTATAATAATACAGTATTTGAATAATTATCCAACAAAGTTTATAAAAGCTGAGAATCTAATAATAATTTAAAATAAATACCATTAAAAATAATATAATAGCATTTATAATATTAGAAATTAATTCTTAAAATATATAAATAAAATACATTTATCAAATTCAAGCTACTAAAATCCATACCCATATAAAAATTATATAAACTAATAATATTTTTTGAGTAATTTACTTATTTTATAATATTTTAATAAATTACTATATATTCTAAGCTTCTAAATAAGCATTCAGATAGTTTTTGTGTCTTTAATATAAAGAATAAATAAATCTATTAAAATAATCATAATTTTATTAATTTTTCTTGAAATAAGACTTTTCATCAGAGAATATTAAAAATAAACATATAAGATTCTTCATTTATCCATCGCCTTAATTGGATCCTTTGAATGAGCATAAGTTATAATCTTCAAAAAGTAACAATAAGGATATAAAATATATTAAAATAATGAGTGTTAATCATTTTAACTTAAAAAAAATCAACTTTATTCTTTTATTTACAATTTTTTATTCAAATGATTTTTTTATCGTCTTATATATAAAACTACTCAATAAATTAACATTTAATAAATTATTTTAACAGAAAACTAAAGAAATTATTTATTCATATCTTTAAATTTGTCTCTTAACATTGTGTTTTAGCACATTGATTTTAATATTGTCTTAAAAACAAACATAAATTGTAATTTAGGGCAAAATGAATTTTAAAAAGAGAAAAGAAGAACGTAATCCTTTATCTGAGCAAACAAATACAGAAAAGAGAGCTAAACAGTCATCTATGACATCTTTTTTTCGCTTAAAAAACACCAATCAAACAGCAATTACAACTAAATTTAATAAACAAAGATGGATTGAAGGATTAACAGAAGATCAGAAAGAATTACTTAAGTTTATAAAGATTTAAATCTTTTTATAATTAAATCTTACAATTATAGGCTTGAAATTGAATTTCTGCATGAAAGCTGGTTTAACGTTTTAAAAGATGAATTTACAAAACCATATTTTTTGCAGGAAAGAGATATTATTAAAATAGTATTAATCTTATCTTTAATTAGCTTAAGAATTTTTTAAAACAAGAAAAAAAAACACATACAATTTTTCCTCCAGGTAGTTTAATATTATCTTAAATTATGTACTTAATGTATTAAGAAAAGGATATTTACTCGTGGTCACATTATACACCGTTAAACACAGTTAAAGTTGTAATTCTTGGGCAGGACCCATATCACAATTATAATCAGGCTCATGGGCTCTGTTTCTCAGTACGCCCACCTACACCGCCTCCTCCATCTCTTAAAAATATATTTATTGCTCTTCAAAACGACTATCCATCTTTTAATACTCCAAAAAATGGATTGCTCACGCCATGGGCTAAAAGAGGTGTTCTTCTTTTGAATTCTTCTCTAACTGTACGTGCACATCAAGCAGGGAGTCATGCACAAAAAGGGTGGGAAGAATTCACCAACAAAGTAATTCAAGCTGTACAAAAGAATAGAGTAAATGGAGTAGTATTTCTCGCATGGGGATCGCCTGCTGCCAAAAGAGTTGAAAACGTCGACGTATAATTTTTTTTATATTGAAATATATCTTAAATTTTTATAGAAAAATATTCATCTTGTTTTAAAAAGCGTTCATCCTAGTCCATTATCTGCAAGTAGAGGCTTTTTCAATTGTGGACACTTTAAAAAAACTAACGAATGGCTTTCCAAAAGATATGGTGATGAAGGCGTAATTAATTGGGATTGTCTTAGTACTGATCAAACAGGCTTTTCCGAAATACCTGTATCTCTATTAAATAATCATGCTGATTCAGTAATTACTACGCCTAAAATTCATTCTGATTCTCAAAGTGAAAAAATAAATCAGGAAGAAAAAATAAACCAGGAAGAAAAAAAAACAATATTAGTCTTTCTCAAGAAGAATTAACAGCAATGGAGTCTAGTATTACACTAGAGGAATTAGATGATAACTTATCATCAGATCACTCTAAATCAGATAAAGAGTAGTTTCTTTTATAATCTTATATTCTGTATAAAGAAAATTTCATAAATTGTTTTGAAATTATAAAATTAAATATACACTTTCTTTACAAAACGGGTACTTTATATTTCCATAACATAAAAAATTAAATTAGTGCTTATTTCCTTCGTTTAGCTATACGTTTTGCTGCTCTAAGATCTTTTTTCATTCGAGAGTCAACTATAATAATTAAAAAATATTATTTAAATTATAAATCTTACCAATTTTATACCTTCCTTTAACGCCTTTTGGTCTTCCTTTAATTCCTTTATTTGCACCTTTTGCAAATACTATTTTTGTTTTATCTTTATATTGGGATTTTACAGCTTTTTTTAAAAGTTTGCGAATACTTTCTGATTTCTCTTTTTCACTCATGTCACTAGTTTTAATTATTGAAGTTGTTTTTGCTTGTATTTTCTTTATTCTTTTTACAGCTTTCATCTTTTTACGTATTTTTGCTTCTAATACCTTTTTAATAGGACGTGAATTAATCATTTTCATCTTTTCTCGAATAGCCATAACAGCTTCTTTAGAAACCGGATTATTTCTTTTATTGTGTTTTTTTTCATCATCTAAAAACCATTCCGGAAGATTATCATTATCTTGAAAAGACCATTTATTATAAGCATCGTCAATAATGTCTCTTTTGGATTTTTTTCCAGAAGCTATATTTTGAGCTAATTCCATTGCTTCTGCTGTTATAATATCTATTTCTAATATATGATGTTATTTTTTTAAAAAAAAAAAACATAAAAAAAACCTGATTTTCTCTTATTTTTGTTTTCTTGTACCGAAACAACCTGATTATCTTTTATAATTGTTTCATGTAATAGTTTAGCATTATCATCAGGTATTTTATTTCTCTGTACTTCCGAAGGCAACTTAATTTGATTCTTAACTGTTTTTAATGAGTTATTTTCCGTGCTTTTTTTAACATCAGAATCTTCAAAATTATAGTTATGAATTTTAAAAACATCTTTATCATAAAATAGCTCTGCTTTCCGGCTTAACTCTTGTTTTTCTTTAAGATCTGAATATTCTAAACTTTTCGAAATATTTTCACTATTTTGATCGAACTTATCATTTTCTTCAAAACTAAGACTAGATTCTTCTTCTGACATACAAGCTTCTATATTATTTAATTTAATATCATCATTATCGTTAAGATCAGTATCAGCTTTTGGCTTAAGTTTCTTTTCTTTTTTAGATAGATAATATTCATACCTAAAGTATATTAGAATTATTAAAAATAACGTATATATACATTTGATCAAGCTCTTCTTCTAATTCATCTAACTCATGTTCGCTATCTTCAAATTCTGTACTTATAGATTCTACTGTACTAATGTCATCATTAGAAATCAAATCTATTTTTTCATCTTCAATTTCTAATTTATCTAATCCTTTTGAAGATATTTCAAAAAAAGATTTTTCTCCAAGTATATCAGTCTGTTCTAATCCAATATCCATAGCTTCAATCATCCCTAATTGCATACGTCGAATGCTTTTTTGTTTTAATTCCAACATCCGTCTTTTTTCTCTTTTTTTTCGCATAATTTCTTCATTATTCAACCTCTTTATCTATAATATTTTATTAATAATACTTTTAATATTATAAAAACAAAAACCTCTTCTTCAATTTCTTCTTCTTCATTTAATGGTTCTATTTCAATTTTTTCTAATGAATTATTTTCCTTTTTTTCAACCAAACCTAGTTTTTCCCTAACGAGTATTCTCCACTTAAGCAAACCACGAAAATCCTTCTTTCCAAGAACTCGAAGATCTTGACAACATGCAATAATTTCTTTAGTAGTAATATCAAAATCTTTTATTCCTTTATAATTTTTTAAATCTCTATCATCAAGGCTAATAGCATTTGCAATGCTTAAAACCTCAATTGGATTATTTGATGTTAAAAACTCCTCTGCACTTATAGTTTTATGTTGAATATAATTTCCATCTTCATATCCGTCTCTCTGACGTCTTTTTTTCTTAACAAATTAATATTTAAAAACAAAATTATAGTTCAAATATATACCGATGGATTAAATACTCTCGATTGATGATCTTGTGATGGATTAGGTAGATCCTCAAAGACAAATTTTGGATCAAAAAATTTCGGATCAATTTTATCAGGTGCTTTGTATTCTTGACAAATAACAAAAATTTCAGCAGAGACATCTCTCTCTCATATTATTCTTATGTTAATTTGTTATTTCAATACAATACCTTGAAGCAAGTGGTTTAGTCGCTTCTACTTTTCCAAATAATTGATTTAAAACCCATAATAAATTGTTATAATCTTTTGAGCGAAATAATTTAGTAATAAAAGTGCCTAAAATATTAAATTTTAAACAAAAAATTATTATATAAGACCATTATAAGTCAAAAATTCAGCAACTATCTTTAAAGACATTAAAACAAGTTCTGTTTGAGAATATGCATCATGAAGCCATGATACTCCTACATTGGGTGCACCATCATGAAGAATGCTATCTAAAAGTCGATAAAAATACAATACAAAATTTATAAACATACGTATCTGCCTTCCATGTTTTCAAATAGTGTCGAAGTTTTCCACGACACTTTTCTGTAGTAATATCTTCAACAAATGTTATAACATTTGGAATTGGTTTAATCGGAACCAAATCAACTCCACATATTAAGGATCCAGAAATACAATATTTAGATGCTACTTGAAGCCACCCTCCAGGTGCTGCACATAAATCAATTAAAACTTTTGTTTTTTCCAAAAAATGATACTTTTTATTCAGTTGAATAAGTTTAAATGATGAGCGTGATCTATATCCTTGTTCTTTTGCAAGGTAATACCATTTATCTCCCTGTTTTCTTTGTTTTGCTCTTGATTTACCCATTTAATTTTTTTTAAATTTTAAAGGTCGTTACCTCATAATACTTTGATATCTTAGAAATTAGATAAATTTGTAAAAACAATTTTTTTCAAAAAAAAGAATATATATTCTTATTATTTAATCTAGTTTTGAATAGATAGCCAAAGATATATTCTTAAAATCTTAATAAAATACAAAACATCTAAAAGCCAATATATATTGCTAATAAAGTCATTAGATATTTATTTCTAGTTTCATAAATTTTATTTTGAAACTTCTTTAAAGTTCTTTTGCATTCTAAAAATTGTTATGAATACCATTAAATTATAAGATGCAAAATGATAATGGTTTTTAATATAAATTAAAATAAAATAATATTTATCTACATTAGTAGACTTTTGATTCTAATTTTAAATTTTTTATAAAGTATATAAAGTATTTAAAATAAATAACTAAAAGTTGTATAGAATTCTAACATGTAGTTTTTAAAATTATGTTTTTTCATCTAGAATAGCGAATCCATATATATTTTATTCTCAAAATTTATAAAAAAATATCTTTTGCTACTAAAATAAGACTGAAAATATTTGTCAACTATTTAAAATAATCTTGCCAAAATAAGACCCAAAGAATGATTAGGTTATTAGTTGAATAAAAACAGTATACTATTAAAAATGACACAAAAACCAATTCTAGCTTTTATTAAAACATATGTTTATAATACTACTCTATTTATCATACAGTTTTCATTTAAAACATCAATATATTTTTATAATGATATTTTTTTCTTATCGAAGGATTTCTTAATCCTTTCATATTTATGTCAGCAAGAATAATTTTTTTCATTACTAGTTTCGTCCTGGTATCTTGTATGTTGCTTTTTTCCCTGATTTATGTCATTATCACCCTAGACCACATAATACTCCTATTTTCTTTAAAATTCATTCTCATTTTGCACAAACATTCCTTCAGTCTCCTTTAACCCATAGACTATACACAAACACTAAAAAAGATATTTATAAATATGCATAGGAAATAAAATATAGCTATTTGTTGTCCTTTACTCTGAAAACTATTTTTCACTTCGTTGTTTGAAAAATATATTCAATCCACTATTATTATATAGATACAAACATCTTTCCACATTATGAGGTTTATAAATACGCTTAAACATTGAAATATAGCCCTTCATTATTTTTCATTTAGAAAATCCTTTTTTTCAAAAATACCCTCAACCCCATTATCCTTATATACAATAATATACCTCAAATTTCATAAACATGCCAAACACTGAAACATAATTATTTATCATCTTTATTCTGAAAGTTCATATTTTAAAAATACACATAATTCTGCCTTATTTTTCTTTACTCAAAAATTCAACTTTCAAAAAATACACTCAGTATTCTGTTTCATTCTATTTTTCGAAAAATATACCCAACTACACTACCGCTACACTGCTTTAAATACCCATACACCCACCTTTTGCTGCTTTCTTCTACACTCCGTTTAATTTGACACTCTAACACTCAAAACACTTGCTTCTCAAAACCTTAACTCTCCCCTGTTTCTGATCCCATACACTTCTCCTTATTCTATCGATACAAATCTCGTCCCTGTTGCTACCTTTTTGTGTATTTTTTCCTCCCACATTTACCCTTTCACAGCCATTCTTTTGCAAACCTCAAAATACACACTCTTCACCCTTATTCACTTCCTAACATTTTTCATAGTTATATTTTTGCTAAAATGTCGACTCATAGACTTTCCCTCTTTTTCTTCCCCTTCTTCCGCTAAAAACCTCTCATCAACCTCCCATCCTAAATCTCTCGACATCTCCGATTTAACCCTCATCAACCCCCAACAAAAATACAAAAATACAAAAAAACACAAACTCCTTTTCCCTTCCTTTTTATTACCATTTTTTCTCCTATTTCACTCCATTGTCTCTCTGTATGTTTTTTATATATCTTTTAAAACTTTTTTCTTTCTTTTACACTTCGACCCTCTAACGTTTTTCGATCAACCACCATATTATTTATTCTATATATCTCTATATAAATATTTACATAAATCTTGCACAATATACACCCATTTTGTCTAAATTATACTGTAAATCACATATCTTTTGTCATACAATTCTTCCTCTTGCTGTTCTACTTCCCCTGCAACCCTAGCCCTGGGAATATGAGCGTGGTGCTGCACGGACAAACTCATGTGGAGATATCTTTCTAAGTATTGTATTCCAAATAATATTATAAGAATAAAATGCAAGAACGTGCAGAGCCTCCAAACGTGGGCACAGTGCCAACGGTATGCTTGTGCAATGTCGGTTGGCTGCATCCCTCGCCAGAAGACCGAGGCGGTGCAAACAGTATATGAAGGGGAGGAGCGTTGGGAGGAAGTGGTGGAAGGCAGTGAGGTAGAAAAGCAAAAAAATACGAAAAAACGGGGCAAAAAAGGGTTAATTAGGAAATAGGATGCATTTTTTGTATCAAGGAAGTGGGCAGGAGTAGGAGTAGGGGTTTTTGACGGGGTTGGTGGGTGGGGAGAATCGGGCGTTGATTCGGGGGAGTTTTCGTGGAATATGAGCAGAAAAACAAAAGAGGCGTTTGAAAGGAGAGGAGGAGGAATGACGCCAACAAAGGCTTTGGAAGAGGCATATGAGGGTGTCCAAAGGGATAGAGGTGTTGCAGGAGGCACAACGGCATGTGTGGGACAGATTTGCAGTGGAACAGGGCGTCTTTTGGTTACAAAGTAGGGAAAAGTGTGCAGAGGAAAATAACGGAGAAGACTAATAAAGAGGCAGCTTAGGAGACTCTGGATGTTCAGTTTACCGGGACGGAAGACTTTTTTTTGCATCTAAAACGCAGACACATTTTTTTAACGCACCTTTTCAGCTTTCGAAAGTGCCTGATAGCTTACGAAAAAAGGAAAAATCGTATCTACAGAATAAAGTGAGAGATGCAGATGAATACAACATGTATATGAAGCATGGAGACCTTGTTGTTTTTGCTACAGACGGAGTCTTGGATAATCTGTTTTTTAAAAAAATTGAAAACATTGTAACAGAGACACTTGTTGAAGCAAAAATATGGGTAAAGCAGGGGAAGGAAATTGTTCCGACGAAAGAGAAGATTACAAAAGAGCAACTTTTATCAGGAATGGATATTTCTCGACAACTTGTTACATCGGCTAAAAAGGTGGCATCCGATACAGAGATCGATACGCCGTTTGCTCAGGAGGCGAAAAAACACAATTATTACTATAAAGGAGGGTAAGTTCCACTTCTAAAAATTAGTTGATATGCTTTGTGTATTAGTTGTTGTATAATTTTCTTTTTTTATCTATCCATTTTTCACTTTGCTAACAAATCAATAGAAAACCAGACGATGCAGTAGCCTTAATTTTGCTTGTACTTGAGATGGCACATGTAGCAATACTTCCACCACCTATTCTTTTTTACGTACGTGAATCTAATTGATATTGGAAATATATTTCGAACCAAAGCGACACATTTTTTAAACCGCTATTTTTTAGTCACTTACATTGACCGGTTTCCAGCTTGCCTTTTCCATTTAATATTCATTCAAGTTAGCCTTTCATGGTCGTTTTTATATATATTCAGTTCATCATTTTATTTCCGACTTCATTTGATATCACTTTATCAAACAATATTCTCTCATCTATTCTACTTTTTGTCCGCATCAACTATTACTATACAATAACATCTTGAGCACGATTATGCTGAGTTTTTCTTTGGATCAATAGAAACGTTTTTACTTTTTATTATTTATTTTTTTGTTAAATTGATTTGTTTGTATTGAGAATTTGAAATTTGTATATTCTTTAAACTTTTTTTCAATAAATTCCTTGTTTATTATTACTTTTTACAATCTTTACAAGAATATATTTACAAAATATACTCATTCATTACTATTGAATCGTTCATTAACTAGTGTGCGCCGCTGCAGACGTCATAAGATATTGAAAGCTCACTTTAAAAACTAATCGAAAAGATGGAGCAACGCAGAGCCGAGATTGAGGCAAAACGCAATAAACTTGCAGAATTCCGGCGTCATATTGAAGAACGTCGAGAACAATTTTCACTTTCAAAAACATCAGATGAAACATTGTCATCAACAGTAACAAAGCCATTTAATTATATTGTTTAAACAAACAACTAATTTTTTAAAGAAAAAAACAAGCAATCTTAATAGTCGGAAAGAGATTGATGATTTTGTAACACGCCTTATGGCAAATATGAAAGATATAAGCAAAGAAACAGTTTTGGAAAAAAAAGAGCCAGTAACCATAGAAAAACCATCGAATAAAGTGTATATTATGGATGAATTGATACATTGATGTGGGCTGATCTATTTTTTACCAGAAAATCCGATACCCAAAGTCTTTCAGATACGTTATCTATAGCACCTCTTCTTCACCTTTTTCATATAACACCTTTACAAGCACCATCAAAACCAATCAGCTACGATAAAGAGGTTCAGACATCGTCTGACTGGAGATCTCAAGAAGATAATGAAAATGAGCTTCAAGCTCAACTTGAAGCTCGAGTGAAACAAGCTTTAGAAGAAGTACGTCAAAAAGAAAATTGTGAGAAAGAAGAAAAACAAGAGCCAAAGAAAAAGATTCAAATAATGTCAGATGAACAGAGAAATACAGTGTTAAATTCTCAAGTGTTTCATGATTTTATAGAAAAATCTTCAAAAATAATTGAACGAGCTTTGGACGAAGAATATCATCCAGCTATAGACTATTCTGCAAATTGTGCATTAAATAAAGACAAGAATTCAGAAAAAAAGATTAAAGAGGTTATGCAATTTCAAAATGAGAAATGGACTTCTAAAAAAGTTATTACAGATTTGGATTGGAGTAATCACTTTAGAGAATTGTCTTTAGCTAGTTATTCAAAAAACAAAGGTATTTTTTCTGATTCAGAAGGGCATGTCATGGTTTGGAATTTATATCTTCATGATCGCCCTGAATATATTTTTAATTCTCAGGTTTAATTTTATATCTTTAATCCTAATACATAATCTAATGCCGATCAAGAGTAGTATTTTATCTGCGAGATTTTCACCTTTTCATTCTAACTTAATTGTTGGTGGCTCATATAATGGACAAATTTTTTTATGGGACACAAGAACAACATCTCGTCCGGTTCTTGTAACGCCTTTAACAGGAACAGGCCATTTTCATCCTATTTTTGGTGTTAGAATGGTTGGTACATCTAACGCAAATAATATTATTAGTATGAGTACAGATGGAATTATATGTGCTTGGACGATTGATATGTTAACACAGCCTCAAGAAGTACTTGAACTAACAATGCCTACATCTAAATATGACGATATTTGTTCAACTTGTATAGAAATTCCAGAGTCAGATCCAACCTCTTTTCTTGTAGGTACTGAAGAAGGAACTATCTATTCCGTCAATAGATATGATCATGCAGGTGCTAAAGCAGGCATTGATTCTAGATTGATATATAAGCATCATGTAGCTCCAGTAACATCTATTTCATTCCATTCTCCTAAGGGTCCATTGGATTTAGGTGATCTCGTTTTAAGCTCAAGCTTGGATTGGACTATTAAATTATGGAAAATAAAACCATCATCATCTCTTAGTGTAAATTATTTAAATGATACATCCAATTCAAATTTTGATATACCTGTTATGGAGTTTCATTGTGATGAAATAGTTTGCGATGTTGAGTGGAGTCCAGTTAGACCTGGTATATGGGCATCTGTAAATGGTAGCGGTTCTCTTGAAATTTGGAATTTAGATGCGGATGTGGAGGTAAAAATATTAAGTTTTTTTATTTTCTAAAAAGAGTTAGAAACCAGTTGCTCAAATATTTCCATCAACTACATCTCCTAATAACAGAGCACTAAATAAGTTATCTTGGGAAAGCCATGAAGGAAAAAAAATTGCTGTAGGTGGCTTAGATGGTATTGTTTCTATCATTGATATTGGTGATTTTGGAGGAACAGAAGTTAAGCAAGAAGAATGGATAAATATTAAAAGACTAGTAAATAAAAACAATAATGATAATGATGGAGTCGAATTAGCAAATAATTAATGAAAAATTGATACTATATTTTTTGAATTAAAATGCATATATTTATTCCATTTTGAAGCTAGATTATAAAATGCAATATAAAATTGATATATTTGGGCCATTTATTAAAAATATATATACATTATTTTTATTAATAGAACAAGTCATTGAGAAATAAAATATTTATTCATAACTATCTTCTAAATAAGCATAATCCTATAAATTTGTTAAAAGATATTTGTATGTTAAAATATAAAATACCCAATTAGGAGACCATTTTCTTTCATATAACTGATTCGACGTTAATCCCGGTTTACCATATGTAAGTGGAGAAAAAAATATAAAAGAACCTAAAAGACTACTTATCAAAAGTATAAACATAATTTTGGCTTTTCTTGGTGAATTGAAGTTTTTTAAATTCATATTTGTTTTGTTTTCATTTTTTTTAAAAAAATAAAGAAAAATTATTGATCTATTATTCTTTTCAAACAATAATTGAAATGTAGATCCTGTTAAAAGAGAAGAAGCAATATGTGCTGGAAGATAATGATGTAAAAAGAGCTTTCGACCCATTAAATAAAATGGAAAATAATGAGCTATCCAAAAAAGAAAGAAAAATATAGTATGAGTATAAAACAATTTACGTGCTATTAAACAATTAATATTATACTTGTATAACAATTCCAAAATTTTTACATTCTCTAATCAAAAAAAGGCCTCTTCGTAATAAAATTTGATCTGAAATCACAACTGTCACAAAAATAATTACAAAAGAAATTTCGAACCACCATCCAATTGGATTTCCCAATAAATATATTTGCTGAGCTTGAGAATGATTAGTCCAAAAACTTATACCCCTATTTAATAGTGGCCATTCTATAGGATACGAAGAATAAGGATGTGATGCTTTTAATCTACTATTATGATGAAGCATAGAAAATTGTAGTTCTATGTATTTTTGAAAAAAAGAAAGACTTTTAAGAGTAGAATTCTTAATCACACGACCTACAATAATTAAAATATATTTATTATAATTAAAGCATACTAGTATCATTAAAGTCAACAATTTCGTCAACAATCCATATATTACTCTGTCCTTTTAATTTTTTATTACCATTAACCTCTTGTTGCTTAAAACCCCAATCAGGCAAAGGATCAATATCTGACCACATTGCAACACGTGTCAAATTGTGTATTAACATGAATCTTCCTCCCTTTGTTTTAAGAATAGAGTTATTTGTATGATGCTCAAATTTGATTTGAAATATAGTTTCATTATAACGACTTTTTAAATTCTCAGATATTGTAGTAAATTCTTGATTAGTTGGATATTTGGGTGAAGCCACATCATGTGTTAACAGATAAGTATTTGTTGAAACATGTTTTAGTCTAATATAATCATTATCTAATACAGGACTTCCTAATAATGTTTTATTAGAAGGATAGGCAGGCATAATAATCCAATGATTATTTGAATCATTATGCTTATACCCAGTCACTTGTTGACCTATATATCTTGTATAAGAATTAATATAAATACATATTTATTAAACCTTGAGACGAGATACGACCATCTTCATATCGCAAAGGATACGTGGCTTCATGAGAATGAAGATAAGCATTTGTTTCTTTATGTATTATAGTAATCTTGTCATAATAGTTAACTTGGAATGAACTAGTAGAAAGAACATTGCCTTCAAGAGTTTCCTGAAAGGATGAGGACATAAATTTATCACCTGGTCCTGTTTTTGAAAGAACATTAAAATGGATATAAAACCATAATAAATATAACATAAATGGGAAAAATATAAGACAAAGAGCTCTAGCAAGAAAGTGCATAGTAAAATAATGCTGAAAATTTCAAAATCTACATATTATAATTTTTATAAAACCTACCATAGTATATCCTTTACGAATATCCAAAATATCCCATAATTCTATAAGAACCATTACACCAATTGTAATGTATGTAAATAACCCGACATATTTTGTACTTAATATCTTTAAAAAAATTTAAATTAATTAGTGTAAAAATTACCTGATTGTACACGACAAAAATAAACCTGTTAAAAATAACCACTTCCACCAAGATGCAGAAAATTGACGGTTATTTAAGTTAGAAAAACGAATATAACAATATATCGATGATGTCATTAAAAAAATGAATACTGAATCTAACAAAATGAGTCTAGACTGAGCAACTTGAGCATTATCTATAACAAAAGAGCATTAGTTATATTGGTTTTTAAGAAGAAATGTACCAAAAAGTACAAGAGAAGCAGCAAGAGTTGATGAAAGAAGACTATGACCAGAATCTTTCATAATCAAAAACACCAATGGAACAACCATTGCTCCAGCAAATGCCGGAACACATCGCAAATATACATATGGGACATTGTTTTTAATATAAGAATCTCCAATTTTTTCAAAAAGAAAATGCCCATCATAACCTTTTAGAAAATTAATGTTTTTATCTTTATAAAGAAAATAATAACCAATAATCCATCCAAAAAACGCATATAAAAGTTTAGTGAACGGAGGATGTACATCAAAAAAATAAGATCCTCTCAGATACTACCTAACTATTAGATACAATATATAAAACAAAAAAAAACCAATGATAAAAATTTTCCAAAATGAACTTCATCAAATCTAAAATAAATAAATAATAATCTATATTTATTCAATAAATTCTCACACAACTTCTGAAGGATGCTGAATATAATAGAATCGAGTTAAAATACTTAAAATAAAAATAACTAACAATAAAATATTTTTTGAAGCATTTGATGATTTTTTTGGATATTTCTGATAAAAAATTAAAAAAAAATAACACATTAAACACAATTAAATATACTTCTTTTATTTCTTCAGAATCTTTCGTTATCTCTTGAACTGTTGCCTCTTTTTTTTCACGATTTCTAGAAATTAACTCCATAATAACAATTTATATTTAAAAAATCCTTAAACACAAAAATAGATGAAAATATACTAAAATTGTTTTTTTCTCTTCAGAATGGTTTTTAATTTTGTTTTTAAACTTTCTAAAAATTTTAGAAATTTCCTTCGATCTTCAACTACAAAAAAATATTTAAGAAATCAAAGTTCCTACTAATTGATATACAATTCTGCATATGCATTCAAAATATTCTTTTTTTTATTAAATATTTTGTTTATTTAATGAATTTAATAAAAGTTTTTAAAAGAACAAATAAAAATGGTAAACAATTATTTCAAAAATATTCTTTAATAATTTTTCGTAAAAGTTAATTAATGATGGAATTACAATTGAGAATTTAGGCAAAAGCATAAGATAATAAATTCAGAGCAGAAAATCTTATTTTTTTTAGATAATGATGCATTAAATCAATATAACCGATATTCAGAGAAAGAACAAATTATTTTAGCTGAATTTGAACGTAGACAGAAAATAAAAAATATCTACATACCAACAGATGATGGAAGAGTTCGTTCCAAGCTCCGGGAGCTTGGAAAACCTGTTACTCTTTTTGGGGAAGGTCCAGCAGACCGAAGAGATAGATTAAGACAAATATTAAGTAATTTTGATGGAAATATAAGCTTTTTAAATAAGGAAGCAGAGACGGAAGAAGAGGTATTTTGTGATTTATTCTCTTTTAAAAATGATTAATATGATAGATTGAAGAAGAATTTTATACAGAAGGTACCAAAGAACTTCTTGTTTGTCGAAGAAAAATAGCAGAATATTCTTTAAATAGGTACTTAGAAATATGAAGAATTAGTTTCATAAGCTTATATAGTCAAGAGCTCGTATAAGGATAGCACGGCAGAAACTTGAGTCTCGTATTCCTTTAATGAAGATTGTTAATCACAGAAAAACAATAAATAAAAGATTAAAAACTTACGTTTCTATGGGGTCTCAAATAGGTGCTGATAGACCAGTCGGAATTGCTAGATTTTCTCCAAATTCTCAATATATTGCATCTGGATCCTGGTCTGGAACATGTAAGCTTTATTCTGTTCCAGATTTAGAAGAAAAATATAAATTTCGTGGGCATATAGATAAAATTGGCGGCATAACATGGAATCCAGGGGCCACTATTGGAGGAGTATCTGAAGAAGCAGTAAATATAGTTACAGGAGGGAGCGAAGGTGATATTTGCTTATGGAATTTAAAAAGTGAAACACCAATATCAACACTAAAAGGCCATGAAAACAGAGTATGTAGGGTGGAATTCCACCCATCAGGGAATTACATTGGGAGTGCATCATTTGATGGTACATGGCGTTTATGGGATTTAACAACAACTATGGAGCTTTTGCGTCAAGAAGGCCATTCTAGGGAAGTTTACGCTATTTCTTTTCAAAACGATGGTGCATTAGTATCATCTGGAGGGCTTGATGCTGTTGGAAGAGTTTGGGATTTACGAACTGGTCGTACAATTATGAATTTAGATGGGCATATCAAGCCTATTCAGTCACTTGATTTTTCGCCAAATGGTTATCAAATTGCATCAGGATCAGCTGATGATACAATTAAAATATGGGATATCCGAAAAATAAAACCCGTATCTACTATCCCTGCACATAAAAGTCTGGTATCTGATGTCAGATTCTTTAAAACCGCACATGAAGAAGTATTGGTCCAGGGTAAAGAATTAATTCCTTCAACATCTGGAATTTATCTTGTTTCAAGTGGATATGATGGGAAAATAAATGTAAGCTATTAATTATTTGTATATTTATTAACATCGCCATAAGATATGGAGCTCAGACGATTGGATTCTGATCAAGTCCTTGGCTGGCCATTCAGAAAAAGCAATGAGCGTAGACGTTTCAAAGGGTATCGCTCCATATTTATAATACTAAAGCATTTTCTAATCCGTCCTTAGATAACCGTTGGATTATCTCTACAGGCTGGGATCGAACAATAAAACTATGGGGAAGTGAAGATTCATAGAAAAACATGGTTTTTTTTTCCGAAAAAAACATAATATATATCTTACATTTAGTTCTATCTTCACTTTTTCAGGCCTTTTTAGTAATTTATACTATTCATTGTGAATATTTTGATTCTAAACTGTTTAAATATGCTTCCAGATCAAATTTTGGGTCATCAGGGTCTAAAAATTAATTATAATGATTATTATTTAACTATTTATGTTATATATTCATTACCTGTTAAAATATTTGTTTTTGAAGGCATATAAAGTTTTGTATATTCCATTTGGGCTTCTCTAATAATATCTTCCTTGCGTTTATACAAAATTTCTTCTTCTTTTCTTTTTTTCTTTGCTGCCAAATTATTGCGATGTGTATATCCATATCCTATTCCCGCCACCAAAGCAGACCATCGAAAAATCTATTTTTATATGAATATTCTGCTTAAATATAATCAATTTTATATTAATTTAGTCTTACATTTAATGCAACATGCTCCATTTCAATTACTTTTTGACGTTTAGTTTTTATGGGCACCGCACGATGTTAAAATGTTAAAATATGAAAATGAATATATTATATATATAATATAGCAAAAAAAGTATAGAATTCAATAAAAATTAAAACAAATTTAAGAAAATATTATTCTAATTACTGAAATTGAAGATATTGAGACGTAGAACTAAATTTCTGATTACCCTTAATTACCTAAAAGACTATTTAGAAAAGCTATTTTTCAAAATACAATGAAATAATACTTTATTAACAGATTCAAGAAAATCTTTTTCTATAACTATTTTTCGACGAGCCCTGATAGCAAACATTCCTGCTTCAGTACAAACAGAACGTAATTCAGCGCCTATAAAAAACTCGATTAAATTATAATTAAAAAAATAGAAATACAACCTGTTGTGTTTGGACAGAGTCTGGAAATGAGTTCCCAGCGAATATCTCTACTTACAGACATGCTGTTTTTTTTTTTAGAAAAAAAATTTAAAAAAAAGTAACTTACGACCGTGTATGGATCTTTAAAATATTTGTGCGTCCTTCTAAATCTGGCAAATTAAACTCGACTTTTCTGTCAATTCGTCCTGGTCGTAAAAGGGCTGGATCTAATGTGTCTGGGCGATTTGTCGCAAACATTACCTTAATATTTCCACGTGGATCAAATCCATCCAATTGAGTGATTAATTCAAGCATTGTCCGTTGTACTTCATTATCTCCACCAGCACCATCATCAAAACGAGTACCACCAATAGCATCGACTTCATCAAAAAAAATAATACATGCTTTTTTTGCACGAGCCATTTCAAAAAGTTCTCGGACCATTCGTGCACCTTCGCCTACATATTTCTGAACCAATTCAGATCCAATTACTCGAATAAACGTTGCATCTGTTCTATTTGCCACTGCTCTGGCACACAAAGTTTTCCCTGTTCCTGGAGGACCGTAAAGCATGATCCCTTTAGGAGGATCAATTCCAAGGTTTACAAATCTTTCTGGCTAGTAACAATTAGAATTTTCCATACACAGATTCGTCATACAGAAAGAAGAGGAAGTTCGACTACTTCTCTCAACTTCTCTATCTGTTCTTTACAACCACCAATATCGTTATATGTAACATCTGGTTTATCTTCTACTTGCATCATAGTCACAGAGGGATCAATTTTTGGAGGTAACGGTAGCTGTATAGCGTATTTTTGGCGTTCAACACTATTCTACCCTAAACAAAAGATACATTTTTATTAATATAAAAACATACCCAACTCGCATTCCTTCTTCGATATCAGTAGGACTTACTCTATCCCCAAGTTTAACAACAAATTTTGCAATTTGCTTAACATTAATAACATATTTATTTGCCTCTAAATCATCTTTATTCTGAATAATTTTTGTGCAACGTGCAACTTGTAAAGGTTCTTCTTCAGACATACGTTGTCTATCCTTAGCAAGATCCCAAAAACGCCTATCTAAAACACCCATTTCTGCTTCTTTAACTCCTAATACTTCGTTCACTTTCTTCTGCAGTTCTTTGATGTCTGCATCAATTTTAGATAAAAGATCATGATATGGTCCTGTTCCCTAAAATTTGATCAATTAAATAATATGTTTTTGAAAAAAAAATAAATACATATGTTTTCAATAGAGAGATATCGTCTTCATCTAAAGGAATAATATTTTCTTCTGGCTTATCATCATTATTAATTCTAAATACATTATTAATTTTTAAATCTATTTTGGTGTTTTTTTTTTTGTTTTTTTTAGAAAAAAAAACACTTACTTCTTGTATTCTTCCCAATCTTCTCTAGGAGGCATTTAGTATTATTATTTATGTAATTTATTGAATTTTTTTCTCAATTTTAATATTTTCATCAAAAAAGCAGTTGACTAATTTAACGATCAAAAAGTAATTTGACTTTCAAAAACTAAAAATTTAAAATTTTAAAAAATAAAATAAAAATACTATAAAATTTTAGTAAAAAGTAAAGCTTATTTTTTATATAAATGTCTGAAACACAAGCTACACGACAGTTTTGTGATAAAGAAAAATCGAATTCAGTAAGATCATCAAATATAACAGCAGCTAAAGGTATGTATTTTGTAAAATTAAAGATACTTTTAAATATTACATAGCTGTAGCGGATACTATCCGTACATCATTGGGTCCAAAAGGCATGGATAAGATGATACAAACAGGTAAAGGCGAAGTAATACTCAGTAATGATGGTGCAACTATTTTAAAACACTTATCAGTCACACACCCTGCAGCAAAAATGGTATGAATTTAAAATTTTTAGATGTAGGACACTCAATGGTGTTATTTTAGTTGGTAGATGTTTCCTCTTCACAAGACATTGAAGCAGGAGATGGAACAACTACAGTTGTTGTTATTACTGGTAGTCTTTTAGCTGCAGCTGAAAAATTACTTGAAAAAGGTTTTTATAGAGACACAGTTTCGTTAAATTTTAATCTAATAAAAAGGAATTCATCCTACAATTATCGCAGAATCATTTCAAAAAGCAGCAGCACATGCTATTGAAGCACTTGAAGCATGCTCAAAAAAAATCGATCTTTGTGATAGAAACACACTTATTCGTGTTGCAAGCACATCTTTAAATTCAAAGGTTATTACTGATTTATATTAATTATTTTTTATATCTTACAAAAAAAGATTGTTTCTCAATATTCAGCATTGTTGGCACCTATTGCTGTAGATGCTGTTTTAAGAATAATTAATCCTTCTTCTCCAAACAATGTTGACCTTCATGATATTCGGATTGTTAAAAAAGTTGGGGGTACAATTGATGACACTGAACTTGTGGATGGCCTTGTTTTATCTCAATCTATAATCAAATCAGTCGGTGGACCAACACGAATAGAAAAAGCTAAAATAGCTCTAATACAATTTCAATTGTCTCCCCCAAAGCCTGATGTATAATTTTATTTTCTTTTTATTTGTTGCTAATTCTTTTAAAGTTAGAAAATCAAATTACTGTTAATGATTATCGTCAAATGGATAAAATTTTAAAAGAAGAGCGACAATATTTACTTAATATTTGTAAAAAAATTAAAAAAACAGGATGCAATGTGCTCCTAATACAAAAATCTATTTTAAGAGATGCAGTTAATGACCTTTCTCTTCATTTCCTATCCAAACTAAAAATTCTTGTTATTAAAGATATTGAACGGGATGAAATTGAATTTATTTCCAAAGTACTACTTATTTGTTTTTAAATACTTTTTTGATAGTAAATAGAGTATTGGTTGTAAACCTGTCGCTGATGTTGACTCTTTAACTGAAGATAAACTTGGAAACGCAGATCTTGTAGAAGAAGTTCAATCATCTGGAGCGTATATTTCAAAAATTATGGGAGTAAAAAGTACCGCAAAAACTGTTTCTATATTATGTCGTGGTGCAAATCAACTTGTTTTAGATGAAGCAGAACGTTCTCTCCATGATGCTCTTTGTGTTATTCGCTGCTTGGTTAAAAGAAGGTTAATAGCTTTTTTTTTAATATATAAATAACAATTTCAGAGCGCTTATTGCTGGAGGAGGTGCACCCGAAATTGAAGCATCGCAACATTTGATGAAGCTTTCTAGAACCTTGAGTGGAACTGAAGCCTTTTGTTTTCAGGCTTTTGCAGAGGCTTTAGAAGTTATTCCTGTTACACTTGCAGAAAATGCAGGATTAGATAGTATTAAAATAATCACGGAGTTAAGAAATAGACACGAGAAAGGTGAAACAACTGCTGGAATTAATGTTCGAAAGGTATTTTTTCATTTAAATAATTTTTTCACTCATTTATTTTAAGGGAATGGTTACAAACATTCTTGAAGAAAATATTTTTCAGCCTTTATTGGTAAATACGTGCGCTTTAGAATTGTCTGCCGAGACATGTAAAATGATATTAAAGGTGACTTTTATTTAATTTTTATATTCTTTATTTATAATTGTAGGTTGACGACATAGCTTTTAGTCGTTAAATGAATGTTTTTATATTTATCATTGTTATATATATTTATTTTTTAAAAATGTATCTGTACATTCAAAATTATAATAAAAAAATGAATTTTTAATAATTACTCTTTTTATAAATTAATAACTCATCTAAAACTTTTTTCATTTATATAACTCCATTAAAGCTGATAAAATAATTTAATAGATGTATTTAAAATACATAACGATTAAATTGTTTGATATATTTAATAGTTTTTTAAAATGTTTAAATATTTTTTAAAAAATTATAGTAAAATGGGAATTGATAAAATAAAGGTTTATAAAACTTTCCAAATTCTTTTTTATCCTAATTTACCTTATAAATTTCAATGTAAAATACAAGTATTTTCAACTTTTGCAGAAGTAAGCAAAAAATGCAAAAACTGTTCAGAAATTTGTGATTCTACTGCACTTATATGTTTGTCATGTTCATCTCTTTTTGAATTACCTTCTTCTATTCATTTTCATAGGATCTTTCCAAAATCTTTTAAAACATTACCTCCAGAAGGCGATTTTTTAATTAATACAAAGGCATTGCATAAAGAATATTTAGAAATTCAAAAGCAAATACATCCTGATATTCACGCAAAAAAGGGAAATGTAATGAATTTTTTTAATTATTAAAAATTTAATAATAAAAAGAAACAGAGGGCACTTGCGGAATCTTTAACATCAATACTTAACACAGCATATTCAACACTTGCAAATCCATTGTCTCGTACACATTACTTCCTCTCTCTTCACAATATTTCTGTTTCAAATGAAAATGAAGTTTATGAAGATCTTGCATTATTTTCAACAATCATGGAGTTAAATGAAAGAATAGAAGAAGCAGAAAAACAAGAAGATATACAACTTATACAGAAAACAGTAGATGAAAGAATACAAGAAGAAATAATAAAAATTAGATCTGGTTTTAAAATATTAGATTTTCAAACTATCAAACATGCTGCAATACGGTAGTTTAAACGTTCATCTTTCTATTTTTTGACTTTTTTATAGGCTTAAATACTGGATGAATATGAAACATACATTACATGAAAAGATCTAAAAGTATTTTTTGTCTTTGGTTTATTTATTTTATTTTAACAAGTATTTTTTATATAAAAATAAAGTATGAACAAGTGATATATTTTTATTGTTCTACTTAAATACTCTAAAAAACTTTTATAAATATTTTTTATATATGTATATATAACATAAACAAAATAAAATTAATTCATTGTTAATACATTTATCTTGCATATTAGAGAATTATCTATCGAAACTTCGTCTAATCTTTTCAGAATTAAATTGTACAGATATTTGATTAAAATATTGTTGAATGTCAAGATTTCTATGTTCTATTAATTTATTTTCTTCTAAGATATATCAATCCAGTATTAAAAATGTTTTATTGTTGGTTTTTGGATAAAATATAATACTAATCTATTAAAAGCAGAAACTTTTTGAAATTAAGCTAATAAGAAATATTTGTTCATCAAGACCACTATTTAAAGTGATATCTAACCAGGTTTTTTTGTTCTTTTACTTTTCTTTTGCTAAAGAAAGAAATGAATAGCCATTGCGTGCCAAAGAAGCACAAGGTCCTATTAATCCTAAATATACAGTTGTTGATCATGAATATGATGTTGTTGTTGTTGGTTCTGGAGGGGCAGGTTTAAGAGCAGCATTTGGTCTTGCAGAGGCAGGATATAATACTGCATGTATTACCAAACTTTTTCCAACACGATCACATACAGTTGCTGCTCAAGGTGGTATCAATGCAGCACTTGGGAATATGACAGAAGATGATTGGAGATGGCATATGGTTTATTAGTATTTACTTTATATTAAATAATTGATGTTCTTAGTATGACACAGTTAAAGGTTCAGATTGGCTTGGAGATCAAGACGCAATTCATTATATGTGCCGTGAAGCACCTCGTTCTGTAATTGAGCTTGAGCATTTTGGCGTACCTTTTTCAAGAACTAAAGATGGGAAAATTTACCAGCGTGCTTTTGGTGGTCAATCTTTAAATTTTGGAAAAGGTGGTCAAGCATACCGTTGTGCAGCTGTTGCAGATCGTACAGGACATGCTATTCTTCATACACTTTATGGACAAAGTTTAAAGCATAACACTAATTTTTTTATAGAGTAGTTTATAGATTTATTATTATTTTCTAATAAGAATTAGATATTTCGCTCTAGATTTGCTTATGGAAGGTGATACATGTGTAGGTGTTATTGCTTTAAGTATGGAAGATGGAACTATACACCGATTTCATTCTCACAAAACTATTTTGGCAACTGGCGGCTATGGAAGAGCATATTTTTCATGTACTTCTGCACATACATGTACAGGTGATGGGAATGCTATGGTGCAACGTGCAGGATTGCCTCTATCAGATCTTGAAATGGTTCAATTTCATCCTACTGGTATTTATGGTGTTGGATGTTTGATCACAGAAGGTTCTAGAGGAGAAGGAGGTTATCTTGTAAACTCAGAAGGTGAACGTTTTATGGAACGATATGCACCTACTGCAAAAGATCTTGCATCTAGGGATGTTGTTTCAAGATCTATAACTATAGAAATTCGTGAAGGAAGAGGGACGGGTCCTTTAAAGGATCATATACATTTGCAACTATCTCATTTACCAGCAGAGGTATTACGTGAACGACTTCCTGGAATAAGTGAAACAGTATCTATTTTCTGTGGTATTGATGTTACTAAAGAACCAATTCCTGTATTACCTACTGTGCATTATAATATGGGAGGAATAGTAAGTTTAAATTTTATTTTTTTATATTGATTATCTTTAGCCTACAAAATTTACAGGACAAGTAATCACATTAGATAATGAAGGGAATGACAAAATTGTTCCAGGACTTTATGCAGCAGGTGAAGCAGCATGCGTTTCTGTGCATGGTGCAAACCGTTTGGGTGCAAATTCATTATTAGATATTATTGTATTTGGTCGTGCATGTGCTAATCATATTAAAGAAACGCTTGAACCTAACACTCCATGTAAACCTCTTTCAAACGATGCAGGTCTTAATTCTATCAAGAATCTCGATAAACTAAGAAACGCTAATGGGTCTCTTCCTACTGCAAAAATTCGATTGAATATGCAAAGAGTTATGCAAACAGACGTTTCTGTTTTTCGAACTGAAGAATCTTTGCAAAAGGGTGTAGAAAATATAATCAAAGTTGACGAAAGCTTTAAAGACGTTAGAGTTACTGTATTTATATCGAATATTTTTTTCCTTTTTTAATCACATTGTTTTAGGATAGAGGTTTAATATGGAATACCGACTTAATAGAAACACTTGAATTACAAAATCTTTTAACTAATGCATGTCAAACAGCATATTCTGCATTAGCTAGAAAAGAGTCTCGAGGTGCACATGCACGTGAAGATTACAAAGAGTTTGTCTTTAAATATATTAAGTTCAATTTTTTAATATTTTAATAGGAGAGATGATGAAAATTGGATGAAACATACACTAAGTTGGCAAGATCCTATAACAAAAAAAGTTACATTAAGATATAGACCTGTTAAATCTCAAACATTGGATGAGAATGAATGTAAACCAGGTTTTTTATATTTATATTTTCTATCAAAAATTAATTCATATTCAGTTCCTCCTTTTAAAAGAGTATACTAAGTTAAAATTATGTTATATTTTAATTTAACATTATTTTTAAGTATTATATAAATAGATATTTTGAATCTTAATATTTATTTTAATTTCTAATTTAAAAAATGAATTAAAGAAATCTATACAAAGCCCATGTCTTCAACAGAGAAAATATTGTTAGATCTAAGGAAAATAGTACCTCCACTTCTTGGTCATTTCCACAAAGGCCAAGCAGGCAAAACTGTTGTCGTTGGTGGTTCTGAAAGGTTTTATATACACTTTTTAAAAAACAAATTAATATCAATAGCTACACAGGTGCTCCTTACTATTCTTGTATGTCATCCATGGTAGTTTTTTCTATATTTAATAGAATCATTTCTTTAATATGAATACAGCTTTTTGGTGCAGATATTGGTCATATTATCTGTGAATCTGGAGCTGGAATAGCAATTAAAACATATTCACCTGATCTAATTGTGCATCCTATAATGCAGCTCTCTAAAAATGCATCAGAGAACAGTATCAATGATATTATAATGAATATTTCACATTTACTGGAACGTTTGCATGTAGTTGTTGTTGGACCAGGGCTTGGAACGGATCCTATGATGTTAAAAATAGCATCTGGAGTTATTTGTGAAGCTAAGAAGCGTAAAATGCCTATTGTAATTGATGCTGTATGTTTTTACATTCTATGAAGTTTAATTTGATTAAAAAAAGGATGGTTTTTACTGTATACAAGATAAACCAGAAATTATTGCAGGGTTTTTATATGTATTATGTTTTTAAACCTTTTTAAGGATGAAAAGATATAGTAATGCTGTATTGACTCCTAATATTGCAGAATTTTCAAGATTATGTCGTGCATTTAATATAAATGAAGACAGTTCTTGTGAATATCTTGCAAATAAACTTGGTGGAGTGACAATTTTGAAAAAAGGAATCACTGATTACATATCAAATGGCAGGCAGACACTTCAAGTTAATATAAAAGGTGGTCCTAAACGGTGTGGAGGACAAGGTGATATTCTTACAGGTATACTTTCAACATTATTAGCATGGAGAAAAGCATATTTAGAGAATTTATGGGAGTATGGTGTTTTAAAAATAGTATATACATTAATAATAATAGCCATGATAAAACTTTAGATGAACACCAATCATTAATTTTATCTGTATTTGGTGCAGCATGTACAACACGTTATTGTTCATATCTTGCATTTAAAGATAAGAAAAGAGCAATGGGTGCGACAGATATGATGAACTTTATTGGAAATGCGTATCAATTGTTGTTTGAAAGGTAAAATTAATTAAAATATATAGTTTTTAATTTTTTAGCGATGTTTTAAATATTTAAATATGCATTTTATATTATTTATTTAAAATGCTAATTTTTGAAGATTAATTATATATTTATATGTAAAAAGATCTAAATGTTTAACCTTTTTATTTTAATTATATAATGAAATATATAATTGTGAAAAAATTTAATTTAATTATTAGAAATTATGGATTTAATATGCACTTATAAATAGGCATGTTTTTAGGTTATAATTTTTATTATTTTCGAAGTGTATAAATACATGTAAATTGACTTTTGCTTTTTTTGAAAAAATCATCAAAATTATAATAATTGTAAAGTTTGTATTCTTAGTCATAAAAATGATATGTTATTCAATATGAAATGAACTTAATAAATTTTTGAAAATATATACTTTTATATGCTTTGCAAATAAATTGTATATTTATAAATTGCCTTTGATATATTAACTTTCGTAATCTTCGTAAAAAAATTCTGGACTATTTGGTAAAAGTATTGAATAATTGTTTCTTGAAAAAGAATCCCTTGTACTGAATCTGCGAGAACCTGAAAATAAGGAGACTATTACTGTTTTAATGTAACTTATAGCTGCAGGAATCATCAAAAATGAATCTATTATTTTATTAACTAATATTATAGGATATTGTATCCATCCAGACGGTGTTTCATCTTCTCCAAGTCTGATTTGTCTACGAAAGTAAATTTAAATAATTAACTATAAAAACATTACCCTAAAAATCTGTCTCTATATAAAGCCCACATGCAATAACCACTCAAAATAATAATAATAAATGGGGAGATTATAATCAAAAACAATCCAAAACCACCCAAACTTTTTCTTAATTTTCTATATTCACTTTCCTTTCCAGGACAAGGAATAGGTAAACTATCTTTATCGAGTTCTTTACCTCCTTGACATGTAGTAAGAGGAATTCTTCGATATCCTGTTGGCTTATAGTATTCTATAAGATTATACTTTTTGCATTCATCCAAATGATTAGGAGGATTTACACCTTTTACTAATTGACAAGTTCCATTAGATACACGCTCATAATTATAATCACTAAAATTTTAGTTAAGAATTTATTATTATAATCATCATTACCATTCATAATCTTCTACTTCACATGTACAATTTTTTGAAATATAATACTTTATGGGACTGTTTCCTATAAAACAAAGTCTATTTGGTTTTTTTCTATAATAATTTTTTACATGTCCAAAAAGACATGAACTTTTTTTTGGATATTGAAAACTCCAAATATCAAAATCGCTCTTATCTTGAAATTCTTCATTTAATTCACCTAAAATTTATAAGACAAAGAAGACTAAAATTTATCAATAATCACATTTTTTATCAGTAAGCATAGTAAAATCAATATAAATAGTGGTCATTGTACTGCTGCTTTTATTTTTAATACAAAACAAGACAAATTTTCTACTTGTATCTGAATAAACTGTTGTTATATCATAGACTAAAAAAGATTCTTTACTAGGAAAATAAACTATTTGCCATGTATTTCCCATATCTAAAGAATAATAGAAGTGATCTGAAAAATATTTATCTTTGGTTAACAATAATATAGATCCTTGATCACCAAACTTCCACATATAAGGTCCTTTTTGGACTTCTTTCCATGTTATTCCTCCATCTTTCGTCATAAATGTGTTACTATTCAAGTAATTATCCAAGTATTCACCCACATTTCCAACAGCAAAATCTAAACCGGGAACTTTATCTGATGAAAATGTATTACGAAAATCTACACGTTCTGTATATCCATGAAGGTTTAATGAACATTTTTCAAGCTAAAAAATCAATTATAATCAATTATAATTTTTTTCAAAGATAATTACCTTTCCACTACAATATTTATCACCATTTGAATCTTTCTCAGGAGGAGTCAAATAAACCCATTCGCCTCCATCATTATATGTAATTAAAGTTTTAATATGTTTAGGTGCACCTTTAATAACATCATTACTATTTACTACAACATTAGTTAGTATAATCCCTTCTAGTCCTTTTAATCTTTCAAAATCTACAAATCCATCACTATCACGATTGACGAAATCTAATAATTTAACAAAATTAGTCCCATTAGAATTAGATTTTAATATAGATCCCCATTCTATACCCTTATAATTACTTGTAGTAATATGTAAAAATATAGTTCCTGTTGTAGAATCGAGAATTGTATATGCTTCACCTGAATAATGAGAAGGAAAATTAGCGTGAGTAAAATTTAAGCCATCTAATGATACAAATGGTTTAAGATTTTTTGATTTATAATCATACTATATAATTAGTATTTATTAAATTATTTTTATACTTTATACTTGTGCTAGAATTATAAATTTTTCGAATCTTGCATAACCTATAATAGAATCATATAGAACATAATAATTATTGAAAAAATCAAATGAGTATATCAATTTTACAGGTGCAGTTAAAGATTTTTCCAAATCAGAAGCAAATACTTCACAGTATATTAAGTTCTTATTTGTATCAAAAATGTCAGTTTTAACCCAAGAACATGAGCGAGTATCAGACATTAAAAGACTCCATGATTTTCCACCATCGATAGAATAATATGAAATTGCTTCACATTCCCTTAGTAATTCTTTTTCTTTACATCCAGTATATATAATCCAGTTTTTATTATCCGGATGAAATTCAAAATTAGTATACCCAATATGTGAATATGCAGGAAGAGTAATTTTTTCAATTTCTGTAAACCGATCTCTTGATACCCATGCGTTATTTTCAAATCCAAGAAGATATATTTCTTCATCTGCATAATTATTTTGAAATATAGAAATAATACTCTCTTTTTCAAGAATTTGAGTCCATTCGTTACCTTGATTATGAGAAATATAAATTTCCATTTCGCTAGTTAAAATAATAATTGTCTATTTTATTTATAAAAAGATAAAACATAATTATATAAAATTACCTCATTTACATCATTAGGATCATTGGGATCATTGAATTTACTTTTAATATAAAAGTAATTAATCAAATCACCTTTGAAATCTTCTGATTTCACTATAATTTTGTCTGAATAATTATCTACCATTATATTAAACATATAATATTTTTTATATGAATTTTTATCACCTTTACTGCAGGGAATTTTAATTTTTTTATCTTTCATAACTCCATATTTATCATCACATGTATTTCCTGGAATTTTTCTATATCCACTTAATCCTAGAAACATATCATTTGAATTTTTGCATTCATTTTGGGGAATTTCTTGTGGAACATATTCTAAACACCTATTGTTATGATGTATAAAATTATAATCGCTAAAGTTATATTTAAAATAACATATTTTAATTTATTATAATACCATTCATAATCATCATCTGAACAAGGACAATTTTCTTTATGTCGAAATTCAGTATGATTCTTTTCAATAAAACATTTCCTTTCGACTTTTTTTCTCCAAAAATATTGTTTGTGACCCATAAGACAACCTATTTTTCCTAGAAATATATGAATGTTATAATATATACATACAAATATAGATACCAGTTTCATCATGATAAACATACCATTTTTCTAAGTCACTTTTCTCTAAATTAGTTTTATTTAAAACACATTTTTGAGAATAAACATTGCTTAAATCAATAGAAACAACATTTACAGAATTATGGTCAGCACTGTCTTTACTTTGACTTGAAACAATAATAAATTTTCCTTTTTTGGAATTTGGAGCAGTTATTAATATTTGAGGGTAAATGCTAATACCTATATCAATTAACTCCCTTGAATAATCAGTTTAAACCCTTAGACTTTTTTATATTTACCAATTTTTTCCTCTATCAAGAGTATAATATAAATCACGAGTTTCCTTATCAGGTATAGCAATAATTATATTTCCACCGTTAGCCGATTCATATTTATGAACACCTTTTAACGATAAATTCCATGTTCTACCAGCATTTTCAGATATAAAAAGATCACATTCATTATATGGTCTTAAATTTGGACCAACTGAGCCTATTCCAATAAGTATCCCAGGAGAATAACTAGAAAATATCCGCCCATTTTTATGATTGTTTGTAACAGAATATAAATGAAGAGAGCATAATTTAGAATCTAAGGTATTACAATTGGAATCTTTAGGAGATTTAATTAATTCCCATGTATAACCATTATCGAACGATATTCTTGACTGGATTTTTTTCGTATAATTTATATTATTTCCTCCCTCTTTCCAGTTTTCTATAATATTTGCTAAAATAATACCATCAAGATATTGAACATCTTCAAAATCAACATAACCATCTTCATTCCTATTTGTATGTTCTATACTAGTAATAAAATATACACCACTATTGTCAGATTTAAAAGAAATACCACCATAATGGGGATATTCAGAAGAAACTAAAATATCTACCTGAAGGCTATATGGATATGATTTCATAATCGTATAAGAATCTTCTTTTAATTTTTCTTGATGGTAAGATGGAAATTTTGCTTTATTCCATGAGTTTCCATCTTTAGAGACATACATTTCGAGTTTGGAAGATTGCAAACTTTTAATAATAGCAATTATAAAAGTCTGAATTGTTCCAAATCCATTTATATTAACTAATGGGTTTCCTCCAAAACTTACATAAGAATATGAAGAAAACCAATCATCAGATTTAATCAAATGCAAGTTTTCATTTCCTGTTTTTGAATCTACATAAATACAAAAAACCAATTTATCGGAGCCTTCAGTAAATTCTTTCGAAGATTTAGAAAATACACATGTTTTTGTATTCTCTTTGAGAAGTTTGGGTTCAGTAGAAAATCCGTCTTCTGTATAATATGCCTAAAATAATTAAAATAACTTTTATTTGTACTAATTACCTTATATTACCTTATATATACAATTAGATTGTTTTGAATCTGGGCAATCTGCACCCAAATAAATAATATAATTAGAATTGGCAGAATTGAAATTTAAAGGAACTTTGTCTCTTTCAAAAGGCAATTCTGTTGTAAACTTTTTCCATGTAAGCCCTTGATTAGTAGTATAATAATGTTTTGTATGTTTTCCTAAAACAAAAGCCTAGGCAGGAATGATTATATTGGTAACTCCATCCCTTTTTTTTTTTACCATACTGTTATTGAACGGATGTCGTATTAATAATAGAGTTTTCTTGTGCGGTATATCTTTTACTTTAGTCCATGAAACACCCTCATTATCACTTCTCCAAATCGCTTGATCTATGGTATCATGATATAGAATAACCTTTTTGAAATATCAGAAAAATATATAAGAGAAGATTACATACTGTACTATCATCAAAATAAAAATAGGATGAAAAACTATGTTTAAATGGTGTAATGGAAATACGATAATCTTTTGCCCATAAAATGCTAAATAACGAAAAACTAAACAAAATGAATAACACATTGCTTACATCTCGTAAACAGGTATGCATTATTTATATTATCTAACCTTTATATGTTAGTTTAATTAACTTTTATACTAAATTTAAGTATAAAAGATAATTGTTTCGGTGTAAATTCAGAAATTATATAAAAAATTATACTCTGAAAAGTTTTATGTATATTTTTAACTATTATTAAAAATACTATTAATTATGTAGAATGGCTGCTGTTTTATAAATTTATGTTTTCACATGTAGAAAACGATGATAGGATAGGATAAAATAGAATAAAATAAAATAAAATAAGAAAATTTTAGTATAAATTTGATTTCTGTGGATTTTCTTAAGTAATATAATTATTTTTGAGACATTTTAGAACGTTTTTCTCGTCTTCGTAAACGCTCAATTCTTTTTTTATGCATCTTGAATATAATTATTAGAAAATAAAAACATGTATATAATGAATTACTTTTTCCTTCATTGCTTCAAAACGTTCTTTTTCTCTTTTAGCTTCTTGTCTTTTTTTTGTAATTTCTTTTCGTTTCTAATATATATATATAAATTATTCTTTTATTTTATTTATTATAAACCTCTATAATCTCCTGTCTTGCTTGTATGATTTCTTTTTCTTTCTTTTTCATTTCTTGCATGGCTTGACGCTCTTTAACACGCTAATTACCACTATGTTAAGAAATGTTTTTCTAAATAAAAACATTTTTACCTTTTCCCATGATTTATGTTGTCCTTTTTGATGGTACAAAGTATTATTAGTTATTTCAATATTCCCCTTGAAGAATCATTAGCCTTTCTAGAATTTATTTATGAGTTTTTATTCCTGAACTTCTATATTAAATCATAAGTACAAGTTTTTCTTTTTTTATCAAAAAACCTGATTTTCATTATTTCTTTTTTAAGTTTTATTTAAAAATTCAAAAAGAAACATCAATGTATTTTTATTACAAAAAAACAAAATATACTTCTTATAAAGTCTTATGTATTTTTTTACAAAACTGAAAATAAGGTTTTTTCGATGTTCTACTAAAATTAATAATTATATGAAATGTAATATATATATAATATAAATTTAAATTCCTCCTAAATACTATTTAGAATGTATTTATGTTCTATTTTTCTGTTTTTATTTTTTTTTGCTAATTTTTCTTATTAATTTTATTTTAATTTATAGATTTAAAACTATTATTAAAAATATTAGATATTTTCATTATTTTTATTTTATTCTGCTAAATGTATTATATGTAATTTATAAATTTATGTATTTTGAGATATATTTTTGATAAGATATTATAAAATAAATATATAAAATAAATATAAAAATATATATTAAGAATAATTATTATATTATGTATTAATGAATTAAGTTATCATATTATGCTATATTGATAATTTTGTCTTTAAGAACGATTTATATATTTTATTTAAACCAAGATAAAAAAATATTAATTATTTAATAATTGATTAACAATTAGACAATCTATTATTTATATAATAAATATTTTTCAAAAGTTCTAAATAAAGATCAAATAAACTTTAAACAAGTTTTAAACAAATACTTTAAATTAACTATTTTGCATCATCCAAATATATTTAATTAAATTGATTTCAGTAAATATATATTTATCTAATATTTTTTTGAAGTATAAACTTGTATTTAAATGTACCTTTTAAAATCTTTTGTAAAAATATTTTAAATAGTATTTTTAGATTTATTTATTTATAAATTAATTAAAATTGAATGTTTTAACATTTATAAAGAGTAAAATAAAAATAATTCACATTGAAAATTATATTTTATACTTTTACATAAATCTAAATTTAAAACAATTAAAAAATACTTTAGATATTATAAAAGTATTATTTTAATTTTTACAATTAAAATTATTTTATTATAATTGTATAAAAATGAGTTTGATAAAACAAAAATACATGATTTAGAATAAAAATTAAAACCTAAACATAAAAAAACAAAAAAACTACTCAAATTCATGTAAATTCATTACTTTTATAGATATCAGAATAACTATTTCTTATTTCCATTCGAATTTTATTATTAAAAATTCTACTAATTAATTCTTAAGAATTAAATCGAAAATTTGAGACAGTATTTGTATTTCCAGAATTTTTAATAGGATACAATAAACCATTCTTTAAAGATGAAGAATCATTCCAATATAAATGATTGTCTTTTTGCATTGGTTCAGAATAATATAAAGATTGATTTAATTGAGGACTAAGTTGAAAATGGCCAAATGATTTATTATTATTTATTAACTGCATACCTGTTGATGTCCGCTCATTTACGTCAAATATCCGGTTATATTGATCATGTGAAGATGTTTGATTTTGATCGCAATTAAAAAGAGAATATTTATCAAGAGAATGTTGCTTTGTAGAAGAATAATCAAATGAGTGTAAAACAGTAGGACAATTTGCATATTGATGACTTTGTGAAGACTTTTGATGAGATGATTGAGTAAGAACATTATTATAATATGGTTTTGAATGAAATTCTTGATTATGTGGTAAAACATTTTGAAATGTGGAATTAGATGAAGACAAATTATGTAAAGTATCTGACGAGACATGTTTAATTCTCATTTCTTCTAAATCTTGCATTATTTCATCCTTAGATGCATTTTTTATTTCTGGCGCAGCTGGAAATCCAATATAAGCTTTAAGACCTGCTAAAAATGTAACCTCTAATTCATGTGCTCTACGATGTTTTAGTTGTACTGAACGCTTATTAGGAATAGAAAATCCATATTCTATTATATATTATAAACAAAAAATGTAATATTTAAAAAGTATACATACCAGGTACTAACGACGTTTCCATAAGACGCCGTTCATGGTATATTTGAAAACATTTTTTACCTGTTCTTAAAAGTATTTTCTCTCTTAATTTTCGTTTAGATTCCTATAACAAATAAAATATGTTTAATATAAAAAGAGATTTTTTACCAAAAAATTACTCTGAATTTCATATTGATGAGCAATAAATTCATCTTTAATAGACTTTATTAACATATCTCTAAAAGCTACTGCAATATCATATTTTCTTTTTCTTCTTTCAGTGATTTTCTCCATTAAACTAGACAATTCAGGATGAATTCCTTTATTTACCAAGTCGACTTCTTTATCTAAATAGCTAATTTGATTTTCATATAATCTTAAACTATAAGAAAAAATAATTTATTTAAAATAATATACTTATCACGAAGTTTGGCAAATTGTATTTCAATCTGCGTTAAAGCGGCAATAGCATCTTTCTTTTTTTGATATCTTTCTTCATCTACTATTAAAGATTAATATTAATACATCTATAAAAAAATTCTTATACAATTATCGTCTTCTGCATTTATATTAGTATCGTCTTCTTCCATAATACTTTCTATTATTTCCTCTTCTGCCGTACTTTCATTATCAATACATGGATTAATTTTACTTTGAGCGCTGTCATCATCTATGTCAGATTTAGAATCTTTTTTAGAAGCTGTATATTCATTTGATGATGTAGATAACATTTCTGCTGCTTCTAATAAATCATGTTTATTTTCCTTATGTTTATTTAATACAGAAGATTGTGATGATGCTAATTCATTAATATCAAGACTCTTTTGTTCTACTGACTTTTTAGTTGTTTTTTGAGTATCTAATGCAGAATCAATATCTTCAATTCTATCGGTTTCAGCTTCTGATTCATTAAGCTCGCTAAGTGATGAAAGATCATCTGAATTGCTATTTTGCGATTTTTTAATATATGAAGAATCAACTACAGACACTGAGTTTGAAAGCTCTTCCAAAACAGATATTGCCTCTAATTCATTTAAATCATCTTGCTGTATTTGGTTTATGTTCAAAGACTCTTCAGTTTGTGTATTTTCTTCTGCATGCTTATAGCTTGATTTGCATGGAACACTGTTATTCTTGCTCCCATTAGAACCCCTTAAAGGATCAACTGAAACTTCATTTTTCTTAAAAACTTGAGAATTTGAAAATACTGGATTTGATAATGACTCTTGCTGATCTTTATTAAAAATATATATTTCAAAACTTAATAAAAAAACATACACTCTGTTTGTAGCTCCTTCCACGGCCTCTTCTCAGTCGTTTTCCATGCCATACTTTCTCACGATTCGAGTTTAAAGAGCTCCCTTTTTCTTCTATTGTTTCTCTCTCATGAACTCGTCCTCGGCCTCTTGCCATTCTGAAAAAAAACTCCTAATTTTAATTCTTAATATCCTTTTATTTCTTTTATTAAAATATAATGTTAATTTCTTCTTAATTGTCTTTTAATATTCTTAAATTTTATAATTATTGTCTGTAATCGTTAAGATTAAGATTGAACGTGGTTAAACATCGAACGTTAATTTTTAAATTTAGTAAAAACAGATAATAAAGAATAAAAGAGATAACATAAGAAAAAGTATTCATAGAAAAGTATTCTTAGAATAAATATAGAAAAAACATGCAAATATATATATTTTTTAATTTAATTTGAATTTCAAAGGAATCTTAACGATTAATATAATGATTCATTCTAAGGTAAATATAAGAGTTTAAATTTGTCTTAATAAGATTTAGTTTGTATCTTTTAAAAGAAGAAAATCAAAAGAAAAAGCACTTAATGGGGACAAAAAGATATTGAATGATATATTTATGGAAAATGATTATCTAAACTTTGATGATACCAAAAATATAAAAAAAAGACGCTATAAAGAGTCTTTGGAAGATTATAGCATTGAGGAAAAGTATTTTGAAAAATTATTAAAAGATGAAAATGAAGAAGAAACCAATAACATTAAAAAAAGAAAGTTAGAAAACAATATTTTTAAGTCTAACAGCAATGCTGAGAACAATGCATCAGAAAAACATGATTTAGATCCTAAAGATGATTTTGAAAAAGCTTTATGTACGATATTTGTTGGAAATTTACCCATTAGTGTAGTTTCATCCAAGGTATATAAATTTTACTTTAGAAAATACGAAACTTATATTCATGAAGAGTGTTTATAAAAATTTTAAAACAAAATTTCTTGAATTTGGGAAAATAAAGTCTATTCGGTTTCGTTCAATTGCATTTTCTACATTTTTACCTAAAAAAATTGCATATATTCAGAAAAAATTTCATACAAAACGAGATTTACTAAATGCGTATATAGTTTATGAAACACAAGAATCTTCAAAAAATGCTCTTGCATTAAATGGTGTAGTATTTTTGGATAGGCATTTAAGAGTTGATAGTGTTGCTTACCCTGCTCCACATGTTCCAAAAAGATCTATTTTTATAGGGAATTTATCATTCGATGCTCAAGAAGAACAATTATGGTCTTATTTTGCTCATTGTGGTGAAATAGAATTTGTACGTATTGTTCGAGATAATAAGACAAATCTAGGAAAAGGATTTGCATATGTTCAATTTAAAGACAGGGAATCTATAGATCAAGCTTTACTCTTACATGACAAAGAAGGGTTATGTGGTCGTAAATTACGTGTTATTAGAGCGAAAAATATTCCTAAAAACAGATCAAGATCAGAATATAAAGAGAAAAATAAAATTCTAAATACTGAAAACCTTAATAAAGACATATCTAAAAAATATATTCAGCATAATATACGTAAGAAACATTTTGATAAAAATAATTATACAAAACTAGTAGAGAAAAACATGGTTTTTGAAGGAAAACGTGCATCGAAGTTAGATAATGTTAAAATGCTAAATAAAAAAAAAAGAAAGAAATCACAAATAAAAAATAAAACTCAATGGAAAAAAACAACAAAAAATATGAAATGATTTTTGAAATTATAAATAAATATATATATAATATATTTTATTTTATATTGTGATATTCTACTAAATGCTTAATAGCCTGTAATATAATCATATTTTCTTGCAATTCTTCATTTTCAACTAGCTAGAAGAATGTTATTGATATCAAAAGAATATTTATTACCTTTGTATATAAAGATTTCCTAATACGCCAAATATTTCCCTTAGTAGGGTTTAATGAATGCTTTTTTTTTTTATTTAATATATTATCATCCTGTTTAAATACATGATTATTTTCTTGATTAGAATTTTCTTTTAAAAAATATTTAGATAAATAATTTGAATCACCTATTGGTAAACTTTTGTCTTCCAAAATTTCAGTTTTATTTGTATTTTCAGGCAAACTATCATTCGTTAATTTGGAACAATTATTATTTTCTAAAAGATCAAGTTTTATTTTTTTTTCAAAAGAATCCTTAACATCATTTAATTCTTTTAATTTTTCTTCTTCCTACTTATTAGTTAGGTCCTTTCTTACTTTTACTTTATCAAAAGTAATACTTTTTTTTGAATATTTTTATCTGTAGGCCATTTTTTTTTTCTTTCAGCTATCCATGATGCAATATCTTCTGATGCTTCTATCTGTGTATTTTCATCTCTAACAAAAATAAATATCTGAGTAATAATTGTTTAAAATACCATACCTAGGTATATTTTCAACTGATTTATCGTTATTTGTTGTATAAATATTTGCTGTACTACTCATTGCATAACCATCTTTATTATAAAATACAGTCTTGTAATCCAATGTCCCATCCTCAAGAAGTGTTGAATATGTATGTTTAAAATATTCCTCAGAACTATCTGATTTATTCTTTTTATTTATATTTTGTAGAAAAAAATCTTAGAAAAAATTAAAAAAAGTTATCCTATAAAAAGCCATTACTTGACTGAGATGAAGCAGATTTTGGTCGATTTATTTTAAATTTATAATTATTTTTCTGTATTCTTTCTGTTCGAAAAGACTTTCTTTTTAAAGGTAAAGATTGAAATGAATGACAAGATTTTAAAGACGACAAAAATGAAACAGCTTTAGGAGGAGGAGGAGGAGGAGGATCATAGATGTATGGCTGCACCATAAGAAAAAAATCAAAAAAGCAACAACAATTTCCTATTTTTTTTAAATAATTTTCTAAATAATTTTCTAAAAATTATCTACGATAATTAAAAAACAAAATACATTTCTTAAAATAGATTTGAAATAAGCAAATAGTGATATATTTTGCCCAGAATTAAGCCAAAGACCCCATCTTTAACCTATTAATTAAAAAGAAAAAAAAAGAAAACCTACAGGATCCCATGGAGGTAAAACAACGGGTGTTTGATGAATAACAGTTTGTAATTCATCAGGAAGATCACTAAGATGACAAACAATTTGATAAACAAATTCAGACATCCCTGTTAAATAAGTAATTAAATGTTATAAAAAATAATAACATACATTCATCAGTCATCATGAACCATCCCTTTTGGCCGGCATCTTCACCCCATGAATTTTGAACTCTCCATTTTACTGGTTTTTCATCTTCGATATGAACTGAAATCTTTAAATACCTTTAAAAAAGTATAATTTATTTTACCACCAGTAATGACCATAGCGTGTGTCATTACTAATCTTTCTGTTAGATATTTTGTTTATTAATAAAAGAAAAACGTACAGCTTTCTCCAGACTATATAGATTAGAAAAATAACTATATTTTTAAATAACATACCCTCAATCTATCTGCTTTTGAAAGATTTGATTTAACACCAAATGCAAGTTCATAGTCAAATAAGCTAGTATCAAATGCACCGGATTGACGGTCAATATATTTTCCAGAATCAGCACTGTTTTGTTTTAGTTAAAACTTAAGTCCTTTAAACATACCCAAAAAACACTGGCCTATTTTCTTTAACCATTTTGATTGCAACTCTCTTCAAAATGTTCATTTCAGCGTTAATATATCTTATACCCTTTTTTATTTAGAGCAAATAAACATAAAACAAAATATAGTCTTACAATCCCACCAGACATGTTGGACAACATATCTACTGTATACAATTTCCCATACTCATTTCTCGGATCATGAAGAAGAGAAACATATTCGCATGCCTACTTTAATTAATCATAATATAAAACTACTAAGAATATTTCTTTAAATCCAGAGAAATATTTATAAAACTGCATAGGAGTTGTTTTACATGAATGTGTTTTATTGTCCTTATCAACATATAACCAGGTGAATTTGTCATCTGGTTTAGGAGGACAGCCAAGAGAAATAACTAAGATAGTATATATTTGCTCCATCATTTTAGTTCTATAAAATGAAATAGTATCTGCACTAGAATTTCGTGCACATAATGATCTTAAAATTAATGCATATTCACGCAACATCGTTTTAATTACACGATTAAGCGAATGGCTATTTATTAACATCAATAAAAACATAACATAATAATGCACAAATACCTATCTTTTGCATTGTATGAATCCGGATATATATGTTGAGGAACAAGTCCGTATTTTTCAAGTCTAAACTATAAACAAAACAGTAATTTGAAAGTAACACTTACAAATTAATAATCATATCAAATTGTCCACCATCGCCGATAGGTTCTGCCATCAAAAAGCTTACAATACGTGAGTCAATAGCTTCATCGGCCGTTTTAAGAATGTTTTCTAAAAAGACTAATTTCTATAAGCCCAAGCAGACGTATTTATTTAATTTTACAATTTGCTTTCTCAAGTTTATCATAAAAAAATAAGTAACTCTGAGAGAACTCAAATTCTGAAAGATTATATCTTTTCACGTCAATTTCTACCAAAATATAACAGTGTGTGAGTTACTTTTTCATAAATTCGACCCTTATCACATTTGTTGCAGCAAAAAGCCAACATCGTCCTGATTTTCTTTGATATGTAACAGGCGATCCTTCTAGATTAATTTTATAAGAGTAAGTATGGTTATTATTAAAGACAGCCGCCTGTCGCTGCATAATCACATTCATCATATCTCCATTTGAAATAGCTGACAATGCAAGCCTGAACCCAAAATTTAAACAAAAAATAATCTAAAATCATCTCTACCTATTCTTAGAAGATGAAAAAAAGCCTTTTTCCCAGTTTAAAAAAATATTTGCTGGAATAGAAGTTTTAATTAAACAATCTGTTTTAAAATCCAATTTCTTCTCAAAATCTTCACATAATCCTGAAGAATCCTTATGGTTAATCAGTATATCATTTTCTGATACATCCATTGATCCTTTTGACTTTGAGTCTATATTATCAAAAAATATTTTAGTTTTTTTAAACAACTTTTCTAGTTTTTTTGAAGAACTTTTTTAAGAAAAATAAGTTCGTTAAAATAATAGTTTTTAAAATAGTTTTTAAAAATATATATTTATCGTATTAAACAATTAAAACATTAAATGAAAAATACAGAATTTTATATTTTGAATTGATTGTTTTGAATAAATAAATACCTTTAGATATTTAAACATAAGAAACATAAGAAAAACAGATAAATCTAGACAAACGAATAAATACTAGTACATATTCTTTCCATGTAATTTTTCTATTGCTTATAAAACGTTCTAATAACTTCTAAAAAGAGAATCATATAAGACACTATAAATATAAAAATCTTCAGTGACATTACAATGACATGTACAAAAATAAATTAACAATTTATTAAATATTTTTTATGTAACATAATACAAACACAAAACCTTATTTCAATGGAATAAACCGAGATGAGTGCGTAGCACCAATACCAGGACGGCCATGTTTTGTAGGTTTATAAGTAAGGGAAAATTCTCCAAGATAATGTCCCACCATTTCAGGCTTAATTTCGACCTGATTAAATACCTTGCCATTATATATTCCACTTTTCACATTAGTATTGGCATATTTTCAAAAACACATACATAATTGATCCAATCATCTCGGGAACTACAATCATATTTCTTAAATGGGTTTTAACAACCGCAGGTTTTTCTCCTGGAGCTGCCATCTTTTTTGCATTTCGAAGCTTCTTAACTAGTCCCATGGGCCGGCGTTTCAGCCCCCGCTGGAATCGTCTACGTGCCCTAGCATGGACCAACTGTATCTGCACTTTGCATCAGTTTTCGTCTGTAAAAAGCTTTTCTGTGGGAATTTTGCAAGTTTCTGCCTTTACTACCCATATTTGATTTATATTTTTATCATAAACCTCACTTGCTGCTTGCAAGCCACAGTGTGCCCCACTATACAGGCAAATCTTACCAATTGTTCTGATGACATATCCAGTAATGTTTCTAAATCCACTCCACGATATGTAAACCGGCGAAACTGGCGCCGTTTTTTCTCTGTTCCCTGATCATTGCTTTTTCCCTATTATACTTTAGAAAAACACTGCAAATACACTGTTCTGTCTTTACCACATCAGGATTCCCCATAATCTGATGATTTTACTTTCTTAAAAGCCTTTAAAACCCCTCTAAAAACCCGTACTCTGTCTCTTCTTATTTCTTAGAAGATATTTAGAAGATATAGCCCTTCCTGTGCTTTAATCCTATTAATTTAGCCCTTATTCTTATATTTTAACTCTTATCTTACTTGTAATTCAGGATTTATCTTAAGATTTCCGTTTAACCCTTATTTTTCACGTTTTTAAAACCCGTCACCTAGGGCTAGGTCTGAGCAAACGTCAGAAATATCGAGCCACAGATCAAAAGAAAAAAAGGCAGGTATTTGGGCAAACAATTGAAGAATTCAAGAGTAAATACGTATTATGAAGCATTTGGCAGCATATTTGCTTCTTGGACTTGGCGGAAATAGCTGCCCAACAGCTCAAGATATTAAAAAAGTTTTGGAATCAGTTGGGCTTGAAGCAGATGATGGACGGTTAACATCACTTTTTGACAAACTTAATGGTCATTCTATTGAGGATTTAATCGCTCAAGGCAAAGAGAAGCTGGCATCGGTACCATCAGGAGGTGCAGGAGCAGCAGCACCAGCATCTGCAGCGGGTAAGTGTTTAAAAGCGGTAAACAAAGTTTCTGATCAATACAAGCGCCAGTTTCTACAGAAGAAGCACCTGCCAAGGAAGAGGAAGAAGAAGAGTCAGATGAAGATGTAAATATGTTTTTCTGGATTTCAAAACTTATGTTTTTTAGATGGGATTTGGTCTTTTTGATTGAGATAGCAAATAACCCTACAATACAAAGCTTAATACACCGTTCTGTAATTTGTATTCCAAAAACAATCATATCTCTTTGATCTTATGTATTTTTGTTGTATATTTTCTATATTTCTTACTGCCCGTATATATCTTATCGTTACTTTGTACACGCACAAGCTTAGTGTGTTAAGCCCCACAACCGCAAGAATTACAAGTACAAAGTCTGTGCACAATATTATGAGATTTCTATGAAATTGGGGCGAGAAGTAAGTCTTTAAAGCAATAAATAGATGATCTTACATCTTTAGTATGATTCACTTTTGGCTATAGCCTCAACAAATGATTGGGAGCAGCAAATACGGCTAGAAAAGCTTAAAAAAGCAAAGGTTCAGCAAGAGGCAGAAAAGTCTCTTAAAGAGCAGCAGGAATGTGAAAAAGAGAGGCAGGAAAGGCATAGACAACAGGAAGAACGAAAAAAGGCGTTAGAACAAGCATCAGTACAAAACTTGGTGGTGAAACCGGTTATATCGGAAAAAAGTATATCACAGGAAAATAAGGGGTCTTTGCCACATAAAAAAACAGGTTATCGGTCTAAGGTATCTTGAATTTTCTTTTGATAATTTCATAATACAAGAGAGTCGATGTCGTTTAAAGAGCTGATGTCTCATACATCAAATATAAATCCGGAAATTTTGAAAATTAATCCAACAGCCAAAACTGATGTAGATTTGGGTTCAAAAAACATACTTGGATTAAAAACGTCTCAAGATCAAAGTATCAATCTTAAATATGAAGATGTTAAACAGCACCAAACCTATAAAAGCCCCTTATCTTTAGCAAAAACGCCATTAATAGCAAAAAAGGAGCATCCGTTGTTAAAAACTGTCAAGTCATTTTCATCAATTTCTAAGCCTTCAACAAGCAAATTGAAAAAAGATCGTCTTATAAATCGTACGTTATCTAAAAATCCTATAAAATCTAAAATTATATCGGGATTTCATCCAAATGACATGGTTGCTCTAAGACAAGGTCCTAAACGTGATTTTCGGACGATTGAGGAAATTCAAAATGATCTCTGGAGAAAGAAAGGCAAAAACTATCCATTTCTTCATAAAAATGCATCAAAAACAAATAATACATCATCGAATATTCCATCAAATAATATTTTATTAAAAAATCAAGAGTCAAAAAACCTTTCGCTTAGAAATTGTCCTTTTAATACTGGTTTTTTTCTAATTTGTTATTGATTTCTTAGTAATTATATTTTAGAATCGAAACAAAATATATCTTGTAAAAGAGCTAAAACAAATTTATTGGATAAAAGTGAAACATTAGACTATGATGTATCGTCAGAAATATGGAAAATATTCGGTCGCAAGAAAGAAGAGTATATCTTTAGTATCATATATCCTTGAACTAATCTTATGGATTAGTTATATTTTAAAAGATTATGATTCTGATTCTGATATGGAAGTAACAGGAGCTGAGCTACAAAAAGAAGAAGAATTTTCTGCAAGGATAGGAAAAATTGAAGATAGAAATGAAAAATATAAAGAAATTATGCGAAAAATGAATAAAAGAAAAAGATAAATTCGATACAGAAAATTATCTTTTTTTTTCTTATTTTACGACATATTTTCATTTATTGAGATGGGTTTTAGTATTCTAGCATGATCAAATCATGATTTTACATATAAAACTTTTTTTCTTTTGATGAAAATATTTCTAAGGACGGATATAATTTTATCGAAACATTGTTGCTAAAATTTTAATTAAAAAAATGATGAAGGATAATCGAATAGGTTTTGGTACTTTAGCTATTCATGCAGGATCTGAGCATGATCCTTATACGGGTGCAGTTATATCTCCAATCCATTTATCTACAACTTTTGCCCAAATTTCTCCGGGAAATCCTATTTCAAAATATGATTATTCTCGCTCAGATAATCCGTCTCGAGAATTTTTTGAAACAGCTGTTAAAACACTTGAAAATGCGAAATATGCTCTTTCATTTTCTTCAGGTAGTGCTGCTTTAGCTGTTATTTTGCATCTCTTAGATACAAATAGTCATGGTGAACTAATGAGTTTGATTTTAGATGGCTCTGATTCTTCCTAGTGATTTCGTCAATGGATGTTTATGGCGGTACACATCGCTATTTCACAAAAGTTGCATCAGCCTGTGGTATTGATACTACCTTTGTTGATTTAACAATAGCAGAATCACTTAAAGAACATATTAAGCCAGAAACAAAGGTTGATTTAAGAAATGTATCTATATGGTAATAGTTGTTAATATTTATAGTTAGTATGGATTGAAACACCGAGTAATCCTATGCTTACTGTAGTCGATATTTCTTCTATTTCAAAAATAGCACATGAACATAATATTACTGTTATTGTAGACAATACGTTTCTTTCTCCTTATTTATGTAATCCTTTAAATTATGGGGCGGATATTGTTGTTCATTCAGTAACTAAATATATAAATGGTCATAGTGATGTTGTTATGGGGGCTATAGCTTTAAATTCTGATGATTTATTTGCAAGACTTAAGTTTCTACAAAATGCTGTTGGAGCTATTCCAAGTCCTTTTGATTGCTGGCTTGCTCATAGAGGATTGAAAACGCTTCATCTTCGTTATAAACAATGCTGTAATAATGCTATGGCAATTGCTAAAGTTCTTGAAAATCATCAACAGGTTATGCATGTGTATTATCCTGGACTTACGTCTTATCCTCAAAGAGATATTGTTGAAAAACAGCATCGAGACAGTTTAGGTGGGGGAATGATAAGTTTCCGAATAAAAGGCGGTGTTATTGCAGCGCAAAAGTTTTGTCAATCTACAAAATTGTTTTGTCTTGCAGAAAGTTTAGGAGGCATTGAAAGTTTGTGTGAAATTCCTGCTTTAATGACGCATCTTGGGATACCTAAAGATCAAAAGGATAAAACAGGTATATATGATAATTTAATTCGTTTAAGTGTTGGATGTGAAGAAGAAGAGGATCTCGTTAATGACATTTTACAAGCACTAGGGAAATCGATTCTTGCATAGGTTTTTGGAAAATGAATTGTTTTATAAACTTTATTAAAAATTCACCTAGTACTAATTTATATACATATTTATTGTAAAAATTTTTAAGGTGTTTATTTTATACCTTTTTTGTGATTTCAATATAGTTTATTAAACCAATTTTTGCATTTTATTTATAAATTTTTTACTAAAATGCATTATCTAAATGTTTTACTAATATTAAATTATTTTTTATAAACTTTATAAAAAAAAGTTTAAAATATTATAAAAAAGCTATTTAATGCTAAGTATTACACGTATAATACCACTATTCATGTTTTCATAAACAACAGAATAGTTTAAATGATATTCTTTCAATTTTTGTACAAAATCTTCTATTGAAGTATCTAATCCAAAATATACTTTTTTTGCTGCGACAAGAGCCTCACTATCTTGACGATTTTTAATATTATAAACAAGCATATTTATAAAAGGGTCTAAATTTTGTTTTGAATAAATAGTTTCTGATCCTAATACAAGATCATGTGTATCTTGAATTAAGCAATTCATTTCATTGCACCAACCTCCAGAAAAACATTCTATAGTTATATTTTGTTGTGATAAATCTGAAAGAAATCTCTCTTTTAATGTATCCGTTATATTTATTTCTTTTAAAGATGAAAATTTTTGATTCTTTGTTATTGCCCAGGCTAAAAAGATGTTTGGAATAGCTGAAAATTTCAAAACAGAGATATTATAATCCTGCAATGTGAACTTTATAGATTGATTTTTTGAATAAAGTGTCTTTATGAATAATGTAACAGAAGGCAATGCAGATCCACAACCAAGCTGAATAAATAAATTAATATAAAAGCAACAATTTATTCAATGCATGCCTCAAGTATTTTGCTGTATTTTAATGGTGATTTAGAAACATACTGTGCTAAATCATAGCTGCATTCCCATGTTTTATACCCTCCCTTTATTCTTTAATAGAAAAAATAATAAATATATAGCATACTTCATAAATATATGGTAAAATATCTTTATTACTGTTTAAAAGCTGTAATTCATCTTGATATTCATCATAATCATGTTTCATCAGTTGTAATCGAATATCCCAGAGCTCACGCTTTGGTAAAAATGTAACACATGATGCTTCTTTCTCAAATTCAATTGGTATAGTATTAAATGAAATATTTTCTGGTAAAAACGTGAGCTGTATATTATTTTCTAGATTTTTTTATTCTCGTTTCTTTACCATTTCTTCAAGAGTATGCTTTTTAGGAGGCAAAAGCCGTGTATAATCAATCATGTTTGCATTTATAGATGTTCTAGCTTTTGTATTGACGTCATCTTTAGATATTTTATCATCTTTTTCAAAATTAAAACTGAAAGACATCTTGAGTTATATAAATGGATTCACAAAAAAATCAAGAATTTCCTGTAGAAATTAAGAATCATAAAACTTTAAAAGGATATGGACTTTATTCTAAAAAAAGATTTGCTGAAGGTGAAAGATTATATGTCTTTGGTAGATTTTATTTAAAAAAAAAGGCGAAGAAATTTTTATAGTCAAGCCGTTGGTTGCTGTTTTAGATGAAAAACATATTAAAAATACTTGCAGCAATTGTTTTATATCTGAAGAAGATAAAGACGATGATATTTTTCATTTGATACAATGTAAAGGCTGTAAAATACTTCAATACTGTTGTCAAGTATGAATAAATGAATGAAAATTAAAAATTTAATAAAAATACAAGAAATGTCAGAAAGAAGATTGGGAAATATTTCATCAATATGAGTGTACTTTTTTTTTGTCAAAATCGCCTAAAATTGTTCCTGGATCTATAAGAATATGTATGAGATTGATTTTTTACGGACGATGTTATCCATCTAGTTTAGAATGGAATACTATCATGGATCTAGAAAGTCATCGTTCAGAGATCATGTCTTCAGAAAAAGGAGATGTAATTTGGATGCTGTCAAAAGGTATACAGAATTTTACAAATGAAATGAATGAAACATTTGTGTTGGACTTATTTTGCAAGGTAAAATAAAAATACAAGTAAAAAAATCAGTTCTTATATTTAAGATCATGATTAATTCGTTTTCTCTTATGACATCTTCATATGATACAATTGGCACTGCAATAGATCCAATCATCTCACGAATTAACCACTCATGTTATCCTAATACTGCACTTGTTTTTGACAGAAATACTGTAGCTCTTAGATCACTTCAGAAAATTTTACCTAACCAAGAAGTATGTATTAGTAACTTTTTTATCAATCTTATATGTTTTTAGATCACTGTTTCATATATTGATATATATAATACACAAAAAAATCGTCATGATGAGCTTTTGTCACGTTATTATTTTTCATGTAAGTGTACTCGCTGTATAGTTTCTGATGGATTTGAAAGCTATATTGTTTTAAAGAAGGAAATGACTTCGAATACATTTTCATATCTTGAAACAATTATTAATCGAGCATTAAGTGAAAAAAATATTTATCTTTTTAAAGCTCTTTCTATGCTTCATCGCTTAAAAGGGTGGAATTCTACAATATATCCACTGAATGAATTACATAGATTTGCATTGAACTATTTTCTTGATGAAAATAATTTTCATAATGCTCTTTATCATGGACTATTTATTTATCTTGTTGGAAGTAGTGTTTACAATCAGTATATATCTAATTTTAATCCTCTATATGTTACTCAAATCTATCTTCTTGTTCGATTAATGATTTATCAAGCTTCTGAAAATGACCAAAAACAATTCAAATGGCTAGATACAGAAAAAATAATGAAATATGCATACAAATTATTATATGAACTTGTTGAGTTATCGTATAAATCTCATGGATTGTCTTCAAGATTTTCGAAAAGAATACAAAAAACATTTAAAGAAACTGATGAAGATATTTCTTTTTGCGATTGGGGAAAACGCTGGCAATTGATATTAAAAAATGATCCCAGAAATCCTCAAATAAAAGAAGAGTGCTCAAGGATCGAAGATGATCTTTTTTTAGAATTAAAGAAATATATTGGAGAGTTATGTAATAGAAATTATGAAAAGTAAAAACTAATATATACAAAATGAAAGTTATGATATCTATAATGTTAAGAATTAAATTATTTTTTGTTTTATATATTTGTTAAGCATTGGAATCTTTAAATAAATATTGAACGGAACTAAGAAGAGTTATATATGAGTTATTCTCACTATGTGTTGATGCAATTTCATGGTCTAGAAATTCTAAAAAACTATCGATAGGTTTACATAAATTTGAATGTTTTTTTCTTAAAGAACTAATAAATGTTAATTATAAAACAAATATATAGTTAAATATTACCTTAATGCAGATAATATTTTTTCCTTAGAATCTATATTTAAATAAATTTCAAGGAATTTTTTTTGAAGACTTTTACACCAATGTTTAACAGTAGAATCAACAGACATAGAAAAAGAAAGGGAACTGGCTTTGAATCTATCATGATCATAGTTTTCGATTTTGAGGTAGTTATCTGCAACAAAATTTGCACATTTTGATATTAAAGCTGGATTCTGTGTTTTTTCGAATACTTTATAAAGTATTTTATCACCTTGTGTTAAGTGAAATTCCTCCATTTCGTTTTGAGATCTAACAATAGAGGACAATGTATATAATATTTTTATCATCACACTGTCATCAGATTCATCATCTAATTTTTCAAGTAAAATTTTAACAAGTTTTAAATCAGAAATATGTAAAAGTGCTTGAGGATTATTTTGAAGAGATGATCCTAAAACAGTAATTGCTAATTTTTTAACATGGATTGATTTTGAACTTTTCAAAAGATGCATAAGATGCTCTACAATAATTCTAGATTTACATATTCTTATTCCAAATTCGAGTTCATGGGACAATTCTTCCAATAATAAAAGAATATTAGTTAAATCTTCTTCAGACTCTTGATATTTATCTGACTCTAAAAATGATAAAGCCATAGAAAACTGATCATGATCTTCTTGAGGAATTTTAAGATTTGGTTTTATTTCATCTAGATGAGAATGTGGAATTTCTTTGTCAACCGGCTCTGTTGATTGAATATGGCCATCTTGATAAACTAAAATAACACTGTTTTTATTTTCATCTCCTTCATCCATAATTTTGGCTTCTTTAATCCCTGTATTAAAGTTAATCCGAATATGAAGTCCTAATAATAAGAATATTAAAACCTAGATATAGGATCTACCTGGAGGAAGTATTTGGTCTTGATGAACCACTTGAAATACATCTGTTGCTTCAAAAACTTCAGGATAGCATCCTTTTCTATCATGACATATCATTTTTTTTGGTTTATCTGCCCGTATAAGTGCTACAATTAAACATAATAATATATAGCATTTTCTTATCATTTTTTTCTAAAATATGATATTTTAGTGCAAAAAAAACTTAAATATTAACTTTAAATGTAAAAACAAACAAACTTTATAATATAATATTACTTTTATTGCTAATAATACTTGATTTTTTTAGATTTCTCGACAAATATTAATAAAATATAGTGATGTTTTCTTTCAAAAAATAAAAGATATATTTTAATATTAAGAATTTTAAGTAAATTTTAAATAAAATGATATATACCTTTTCAAGAACATTTTATTCTATTTTAACTGGAAAATTTAAAAAAAATGGGTTCAAAAACTTGCATACGGGTACTTCAAAAGACATATCTAAGTCAATATCTGACAATGAAGGTTTTTTGGAAAAAAAAGATTAGAACTTATTTAATACTATATAGATTTCTCTTCACCTGTTTGGAGAAAGAGTGTTTTCCTTGGTTTCTGTGTTTTTATTGTGTATAAAATGGATCAATGGTACGCCTCGTTACATGAAGAAAAAGGGTTTTTTACAAGATTTTTTGAACATTTTATGATAAATGAGGAAGAATATACTCGTCTTCATATTAATAAGCTTAAAGAATCCTCAGAAGCTATCAAAAAATACATGCATCATCGAGATATTAAACGAGAATCAATTTATAAGTTAAAATATCCAGAGTAATTGTTAAAAAAACACCTATATTGTATTAATTTTATCTACAGGCTGCTTGATCCTGAAAATACATATGTGGAATCAAAATTAAAGACAGATGTTTCATAATACAAAACCAAAAATCATATTTTTATGTTAACTGATGAAAATAAATATTTTATTTGAGAATATATATTATTCTTAACAAATACATCTTGGATAGCTCATTTCATTTTATTTTTAGTTATCAGTCTTCCTTTTTATTATATTCGAAATATCAATGATGAAGCTTCCTTTTCCTTCTTCTATCTGTTTAATAGTATTTTTGAGCCATGCATTAAATTGAGCTTTTTCAAAATCCCCGTCTTCTGTAAACCATAGATTGAATGTCTCTTTTGCCAAAAACTTTTTTAAAATACGATCTTTTAGTATTTCAACTGTCAGTGTATACGTGGGGCCTTTTTTATTAATGGATGAGCGAATACTTAGCTATAATATTTTAACACACGATATATATATACAATTCATACACGAATCTTCTTCTTACTTCCTTGGTAGATAATGCTTCTTCCTGCTGTATAGTTCCACAAGTTATAACACCCATATAAAATAAAATACATAATCACTCCCCATAAAGTATAAATTCTAGATGCTTTAAAACCGAAAATATAGTTGCATGCTGCAACACTAGCACTTATTACTGCTGATGAATAACCAAGAATAAATCGTATATTCATTAAAAGATAAGTTTCCTGGTACCCCAATGTAGCCATAAACTAGTTATAAAATGAGATTAATTTAATCAATTTTTTAACTTACTGGGCTAATTGAGTCATCCATTGTATATTTAACTTCTTGAAGTGAATATACATTTATTTTTTTTAATTTATTCATAGTTTTTGAAGTTTTTTTTAAATTTTAAAATCTTGTACGTTGAGTTTTACGGGATAAAAGATATAAAAATGACTTCAGGAAAAAGGTTTTTATGATTTATGTTATATTTAAAAAGATAATTAACATTATATATAGCCAAGACTTGTATCTTGACAAATCTCTTAGGAATTGGGTGCTTTTTTCTATTTTTATTGTTATGATTTTGATTGGGATTTTAAAACATTATATTACTATTTTATTGGCAGAAACTCCAAGAAAAATGAAGTTGAAAGAGATAAGAGAATTGTATATTTCGGCTAAGATTTTTGTGGTTTTAATTCTTCTTTAGAAAAGCATTACAAAGATCTGAAATATTACGAGTTCATGCCAATCATATTCCTTTTTCTGCTTTTTATACTCGAAAGTTATTTTTACTTAAAGCTTTTTCTAATGGAGAATACTTAAAAGACCCTGGTCTTAGAGAAACACGTCTTATGAATCCAATTATGGACCCAGGAAACATGGATCAAATGATGAGAATGTTTAGAAGCAATATGGCCAATATAATTCCACAGACAATTATTATGGCATGGATTAATTTTTTCTTTAGTGGATTTATACTAAGTATGTTTGAAATTTGTTTTTTATATTTAATTACAAACAATGGCTTCAGTAAAACTTCCGTTTCCTCTTACATTAAGATTTAAATCAATGTTACAGTCGGGTGTTGCTACAAATGACCTTGATGTATCATGGGTTTCGTCTTTATCATGGTATTTTCTTCTCTTTTTTGGGTTAAAGCCTGTTTATAATCTTATATTGGGTGATGAAAATTGTTTGTATTTAATTTAAAAGAATTATTATTAATACTAGTTTTAGTTGGAGTGAACGAAATGACAGAAATGGATATGCTGATGCCAAATACGACTGAACTAAATACTCTTACACAAGATTTGCAACAATCATCTCCTATTGCCAGTGGAACAGATCTTAATAAATTATTTTCGCTAGAAGTTGAAAATTTAGAACTAATTACGCATGAATGGGTGTTAGAAAATATTGAAGATAGAATACTTAAGCTATATAAAAATGACTAAATATAGTTGTATCACTTTAAGATTGCATTAATTTAACATTAAGCATATTTTAATTATATATGCCACTAAGATAATGTTAAATTATTTTTTATCATTTATATTACCTTGTGTTTTGCTTTACTTGCTTCTATTCTAACGTCTCTAAGTAGTATTAAAATGATATGTAAATAAAACTGTGTTAACACCTTTTAGGATCATCTAATACTTCTACAAGTTTACGAATAACTGTGTTTTTAAAAGGCAGTATAAACTCTGTTTTTAGAATTGTTGGAAATAGACCTAAGCATTTAAGCGCTGCAATTTGGACATTCTAAAATATTTACTTTTTTAAAAAAAACATTAATTTTTACTCACTATATCATTATTATGTTTTTCAGTGGAAAATGTTAGAAGAAAAGGAATTAAAGATCCAAGATGTTCTATTATTAAATCTGAGGATTCTAGTGTTATAATATAAAGAATATTTATATTTGATACTTTTAATTTATAATCATCAAGAGAAAAACATTGAAGAAGTAAAGGTAAAACAGATGCTAATTCAGGTAAAATAATATGTTTTGGTGTATTCTGAATAACATATGACAAAGCAATTAAGTAGTTTGACTTAAGATCTGTCAGTTTATTAGCATAATAATTTAAATATTTAAGACTTTCCTGGAGTTGTAGAATTTAACATTTTTGCTAGTTTAGGTAATATAAAACAAAAAAAAAATTGTTTATATAAAAGTCGAATAGATGCAAAATTTTCTTTATTAATTAATTCATCTTCATTTACAATAATTTCAAAATTATGCGAAATAAATTCTCCAAGATATTTATCATTCATAAGATCTATAAGTTTATTTAATAATGTATATCCGTATTTATTTATTTTCAATATTAATGCTTTTATAACCTGGTGATATTAAAATCTAAAAATTATACTTAAATATTACCCAAAATGTGTATAGAATTATAATTTTTTTTTTTGAAAAATTGTTTTCTGAAATTTTATCCAAAAGAGTTTCACAATAATTAGATTCAATGTTATTATCAAATTTATTATAGATTAGAGATATGAACTTAAATAAGAAAATCTGTTGTTGATCTTCTAAATGATTTTCTAAAATTAAACTGGTTGTAATTTTTATGAAGTTTAATTTTGAATCTGAAGGCAAACACTGATAGAAATAAGTTATTTATTTAACAAATTAAAAAGTAAACCTCTTTTCGGATTCCTGCAAATGCACTAACAAAAATTGAAATTGTTCTTTTTTGATATAAATTAGAATTTTTTTTGAAAGGATTAAATTCTTTAAGCATTATATTTTTTGATAGAAATAATAAATTAGATTCTCCGTTCATAAATAAATTTATTAAATCATTGATAAATAGTTTTTGTTTTTCTAAATTTGAACAGCGTACTATCAAATTAGCTATTTGAGATATAATGTTGATTATTTTAGAATCCATAATTATATTTTCAGTAGAGTGAATACATGAATTTACTACACGAGTAAAGAGTTCAGGTAACAATTGATCAATATAAGATCCTATATCTAGTTTTTTTCTGTTAAAGTTTATCTTAATTGTCAATAAAAGTGTAAATATAAGTGTCCTTCCTTGCAATATATTTTCATTATTTACTATTAGTATTAAAACATATATAAAGATATGTATAATTACCAGAGATAATATCGAATGTATTAAGTATATGAGAAATAAAAATATTAAATAATTGTTTTTCAACACATAGATGAGATAAAACAGTTAAAATAATTTCATTTAAAGGCAAAGAACAATTATTTGATATTGTTGCAGAGTCTGTTTCTGATAATAATTTCAAAAAGCTGGAAAAAGTTGTTTCAAGAATAAGATTAGGTTTGGTTTCTGCAATTTTAACTAAAGCCTCTAAAGCCTCTGCCCTAGATAAATAAATAACTTAATAATAAACATATAATGATAATACTTTAAATTATTTTCTTCTTTGAGAACTATATCATTAAAATATTGTACAATTAATTTTACTTCATCATATTGTAAAAGACTATGAATTTCACTAAAAGTTAAAAGAGCATGAATGGCAGCAGCTCTTGTATATTTGTTTGAAAAAAAAGGTGTTGTTAGTGAATTAGATAAAATGGTAAATAGTCTATTCTTTTCTTTCATTAAAATAGAGTTAATTGGAATTCCTTCATTTATTTCTTTATTGTAAGAATTGTAAACATAAAGTGCAGAAAGAAGAAAAAATGATATAAACTCTAGAATAGCAGCTTTTGTATTTATTGAATCTTCTTTTTCAAATCTTGAGAGCAAACTAGGAATACAATGTTCAAAAAGTAATTCGAAAGCATATTTTGAAGCAGATGAAAGACTATAAAGAATTTTTATACTATTTTTTGCTGTTTTTGTACCAGGTTCTTCGAAGTGTTTATTAATTTCGTCTGATATAGGTGTAAGAAATTTTATTAATGATGTATTTTCAGAATTTTTTGATATTTCTTGAGAAAAAACTTTTGAAATTATAAAAAGACAATCTAATGATTTTTTTACTAAGTCGTCATCTGATTTTTCAAATATTTCATTTTTTAACATATTCCATATCTGTATAATATAAGTTTCAATAACATCAGGCGAATAAGTTTCCATGCAAAAAGATAACATATCTATTATATCTTTCTAACTAAGTATTAAAGAGAATTTTAAGTAATTTAAAAAAGTTTACTTTTGTATTAATAGGAGAAAAGTCATATTTATCAATTAAAGATGGTATAGAATAAGATGATAATTCGTCGTTAGCTGATACACATTTTCTAAATAATTAAAACATTTTAATTAAAAAAAAAGTATTTACTTTAACCATAATTTTAAATTTTCAGTTGTAACTTCAAAAACATCATTAGGGGATGGTTTAAATGTAATTGGAAAATAACAAAATAATAGATTAAAAATATCCTAGATCATAAATTATTATAATACCGATATACATATTATATATATTCACTTTTGCGTATAAAGTTATATTAAATTCAGAAATAACTATATTCATAATGGAAAATATTAAAATTAAATTTCTGGGGTCCTTTTCTCGACCTATAATTTTAATAAAACCTTCAATAAATTCAGATCCCATTTTTTTTAATACTATTAATATGTTTGAAAATATCATAAACACATAGAGTAATACTTTCTTTATGTTTTTTTATTAATTCATCCATGATTTGAAATACAATATATCTATTAGACTGTATATTATTTTCAGGATTAAATTTTTTAAATAATCTATTTAATTATTAAATTGTGTACAAAAAATAAAAAGTTATTTACTCTGTACATAAAAATATTGTCTCTTTATCTTCAAAAAAAACCATTTTTTGTAAAGAATACAAACCTATAAGAATTTCTTTTAAAAATGATTGATCATCAAGACATCCACAAAAGAAGCGTGTTATGACATATACTGATCAATTAAGTTAATAATTCAATGTTTTGTTTTAACTTACTCTGTTTTGAATGGAGTGCTTCTGGTGATATTGATTCAATAACTTTTGAAAGCATAGAAATAGCTAAGAGGAAAGGTTAGTAAATATATAATAGAAATATATTAACCTTTTTTCCTTTTTGGATTTTCATTTCCTGTTAAATACTCTCCAATAAATTCAATAAATTCAAGAATTTTCAGATTTTTATTATCAATGTCTAATTCAATATTACTTTTTGTTAAAAAATATTTAATAACAAATTTTTACCTTTTGAAATTATATTTATTAATTCTTCATAATTTTGTGAGTCTAAAGAAAAATAATTTTTTATTTTATGATCCATTAGAAATTATTATTTAATTTTTGATAAATTGATAGATTTTATATTTAATTAATTATTCTTGAGATGGAATTAATAAATAAGAAAAAGTATAGAAGTTTAAAAAAATAAATAGATAAAAGAATTTTTTTATATTTTCTAAAAATACAACTTCAATTTTTTATAGTTTGAAATAAGCATATTTCTGATACGTTTTATTTAAAATATAATAAAATTTTATTAAGGAGATCATAATTGGTTATATTCTAAATTATAATTTAAACATTTTTATTGTTTCAATTTCTAAATTAAAAAATATAAAATTTTAACTTATATAATTTCAAAATAATTTTAAAAAAATTAAAATATATTTAATATTGTTTTATAATTAATAATTTTAATTTAATAAAAATGTATTTAACATTTTAAATATTTCATAAATTTTATAATTTATCAAAATTATCAAAAAAATGATACAATTTGAAAAAGATAAAAAAGATAAAAACTTTAAAAAAAAAAATAGTATACTTTTAATATTTTATGTAAAGTTTTATACATATATTTACATATAATAATTAATTGTAAGATTCTTTTATCAAAACATTTTTTGATTTTCTCATTAATATTTGGTGGATGGTAATATCAACATATATTTATGTATCATTGAAACTTAATATTAAAAAGTTGCACTAATGTCTTTACATTAGAAGCTATTATTAAGTAAAAATTTTAAAATATAACTTAATAATTAATATTTATATAGAAAGGAACCAAATGCAGGTATTAAATATTATAAAAAATTAGCATCATTAAAAATTAAAGGATTATTAATAACTTTTTTTCAATTCTTATTTATTACTTTAGAAGGATTACTTTATCATTTTTTCACAACATCAACATTTTTAATAAAAAGAAATATTCCTCTTTACAATTGGTTTATTATTGTTTTTCTATTTTTTAGTTCATCTTTTTTAAATAATAAAGCATATGGTTACGGTATTTCTATTCCTATACATATTATTACTCAAAGTGGTGGAACATTAATTACAGTTATTTTAGAATGGTTATGTGCAAATAAAAAGTAAAAATCTATATTTATCTTTTGTTCAAACTCATTGATTAGGTTTAACATTCAAGAGATTTTAGCAGTTTTAATTTTAACACTTGGTGTAATCATTACTAATATTTCAAACGTATCAAATATATCAAATAAAGTTAAAAACTATTTTATTTACAAATAATCTAATTTAAGTAGCATTCCTCAAAATCATCTATATTAGAATATATTATAGGCATAATTATTCTTATAATTTCTCAAATTTTTAGATCTTTTATGAATATATATATGGAAAAGACAGTTAAATTATATTCTCCAAATTGGAGAGAAGTCAATTTTTACATGGTTAGTATATTAAGGAAAAAAGAAAAAATTTGATATTTTTATAAGCATTTTTTTTCTTTTTTAATTTACATACCAATACTACCAACAATATATTCACAAGTTAAATTATTAAGTTTTTATGAAACATCATATACTTCACAATTTGCAGATACATTTTCCTATAACCCTTTATATATTTTTACAAAATTCAAACATTCCAAAACATTTAATTATGCATTTTATTTCTTTATTAATGTAATCACACAATCATTATGTGTCCAAGGAATAAATAGATTAAGTATTACTATTTATATAATTTAATTAGCTTTAAATATATTTTAGATATTATATCTACAGCTTTGACTACAAATATAATACTTAGTTCACGGAAATTTCTTAGTTTGATTTTAAGTATTTATATATTTGGGAATGAAATATATTTAGAAACTATATTAGGAGTTATTTTAGTATTTGGTGGTGGAATTTGGTATAGTGTCGAATTACATAAAAAAGCAATACAAATTTAAAAATTTGCCTTTATTAATGCTAGTTTTATCTAATTTGTTTAAGAATAGATATATTATATTTTTAATTTTATTAACAAAAATATATTATATAACTTAATCATATCTTTCTAGATATCCAATATTCCAAATACCGAATTGTCTACTGCTTTTAGGAATTAAAGAATTACTTTCTTTTAGTGAATATAGCATACTTTTAATCATTTCTGGATGAAGTACAACATTATTATCATATGATTCTATACTAGTATTTTGAATTAACATATAAAATATTTTCATTACACGAGTCCCAAGAAACTTATTATATTTATTATTATTAATATTTATGTCAGGCCCATAAAATAAACCATTCGTTATTCTTAAATCAGAATTAAATACCCATATCTATTTACAATTAAACAACCATATATATATATATATATTATATACCTTTAATACGCAATTCTTTGTCTCTTCATTATAAATATCAAATTTATAATTTGCATGTACTTCAATCAAAGTCAATAATTGAGCAGAAATAAAAACGTTTATATGAAAAGAAATTGTTCTAAAAAAATTAGAATACTTTTTTCTAATATTGATAAGTACTTTTCCATATTTTTTTCAACTAATTTCCACTTATAAAGCTTTATTCCATCTTCAGCCACTGTACCTATATTCATTTTACAAGAACTACAAAATACATTGTTTTCTTCAATCTAATAAACTATTAGTATGTGGACCTTCGATTTAATCTTATCCGACGCTAGTCTTTGCATCGCATAATGAAATAACGTGTCTAAATATGAAAGAAATCCATCATTAATTGAGGATATCTTATCATACTTTGATATTTGGCTTTTGTATCAGTACATAGATATATAAAAAATCATAATACTTTCTTTAAGCCGAATATAATATCATTAATCTGTATGCATCTGACTATTATTTTTACCTTTGTATTTTGTATATTTTCATGAAAAACCAAAAAATAAGATAACCCTACAAAAACAATGCCTGGACGAGATACAAATTTACGATTTTTATATACTCCAAATTCCTGTAATATGCTTTGTTTTCTTCCATGACATACCCAGTAATCCATCATATCAGCCCAATTATCAGAAGGAAGATTTCTCCAATATTTTATTTCATTTTTATTCAACAAGATAGACAAACAAAAAATACAGCAAAAATTTGAATTCAAATCAATATATACTGCAGACCAAGGCGATATTTCTTCAGTAGCTTTAACCAAGGAGTTATTTAATGGAAGACGGATTGACAAAGCTTTATTAAGTTGATTTACTTGTATAAAAGTATCTTTTTTTGTTTCACCAGGAAGAAAAATAGTTATTAATACACCCTTAAGCTCTAAAGATATTGAATGTGTATTAAACAATTTTAATAAGTCTGGTTTATACGTATTTTCTGGATATTCTATAATAAGATTAATAACTCGAATATGTGAAAGAGCTTCTGCAATAAAAAATAAACTCTTTTCTTTAGGATTTTTAGCTTCCATTAGTGAACAGCTTACTTATTAATAGTTTACATTTTGCTGAATGGGATTCTAAATTATCTAAACTATAATAATTATTAATACCATTTATAAAAAAAATAATTTTACGTTAAATTAGATCTTTTTAAAAATAATTTAGAAATTACAATTTCATTTTTATAAAATATATTTATTGCACAACTTTAATACAAATAAAATCATTAAGTACGTATAAACCTAAAAAGATATTATTTTATAAAGCCCAAAAAACAAAATAAAAACTTTTAGAAAAAAATAACCATATGTTAAAAGCACAGAACTTAAAGCTATTTTATATAAGCAAGCTCTAATATGAGATGTATTTATAATCAAAACCATAGCACTAGCTTATAGATATATTTATTTAAATAATAAACAATATTAATCAAGTCTTAGCTTAGAATAGTAGTTTACATTATTTCACTAATATATTTTATAGCTTGCCTATACACACTTAATAGCTAAAATGTGTTAATTTTTCCTCAATAAAATAAATTTTACCTTTTGAAACTTTTCTCTCTCTAATGCCAATGATTCATTTTCATATAATAAATCATTAAATAATTCTTCTTTATATAATTCAGTAACAAGCTTGTTTTGAAGACTTTGTTTACAGTAATTCACAAGAAAATGCATAATAGCTTTCGGGACTTGATCTTGAACAGTTTCCCTTACTGTATTAAAATAAGATATTATTAAACTACGGATCAAATTGACTTCTAATTGTTGCCGTTCATTCATATTTTCATCATAATCATTCTTTTTCTTAAATTAATAAACAAATAAACATTTTGGAACCTACATTAATAATATCTAATGATTCTTTATTTATAGACATTATATCGTGAGAAATAGAATTTTCTGAATATTTAAGAATATTCAAATCTTTTTCCATAAATGGTATAGATAATGATGCTTTTGTATGTTCTTTTTTATCATTACCAAAAAAACCACTAAAAAAAGGATCTTTAATCTTAGACGAATTGATACATCCCGTTAAATTTGAAGATGACCTATTTGAAAAAGCTATATCACTATTTGATTCAGAATTAGATACGCCTATTTCACAAAAAATTCCATTATTTTGCATAATAGTATTATTTGATTCATTTGATGTTGATCTTGAAGGCTCTACTATTCCATTAGATAAAGTCATATTTTCAGATACCTAGACATCGTATTATTAAAAAATATATTTATTTTCATACTACTTTTCTTTTATTATCAATTTCTTTTTTATCTAGCTTGTTTTTTTTGTCTTTATTTGAATACTGAAAAATAGAAGAAATTAAACCCATTCTATCAACAAAATTTGGATGATCGATATTTATGTATGCCATTTGAATCAATATTAGACTTTCAACATAACTAGATGTAGGTTCTAATCTTTCTCTTAATAAATCCAACATAATTTCAAGTATTTTAGCCTGGAGTCGTGGGTATCTTTCAAGTTCCTAAAAATAATTAAGATTCTTAAATTAAATATATTTGCCTTACACCACTAGTACACGTATGGCATAATTTTGCAAGCTCTTCATAAACAAGTTCAACACATCTTCGACATGGTATTTCTAGTAACTTAATTTGAGGTTTCACAAGAATGTCGAACGCAAGACCAGGAACAAATAGTGACGATCGGGGACCAGAAGAGTTCCTAATAGCAGTTCTAATATTCTGCACAGTTAAATTTCCTGCAGGATCAATAATATTTAGAGCATTTTTAAAAACATTGCTAAATATGTAATAAATTCGAGCACCACCACAAAGCTCTTTTGTAGAAATTTCAGAAGATGATCCATCAATCGAAGAAATAAAAGAGTTAGAAAATTTATTTATTAAGTAAAGCAAAGCAGTATTCTGTATAAACGTTAATTAAAGATAAGTTCAATATATGAATACCTTATTTTTCCCCATAAAATGTTGATTATCATACAAAGAAATCTCCTGTTGCATTTGTCCCATGAGCATATTAAGTTTTGCTTTTATATCTGGAAGTTTTTCTCGTATATGTTGCATAAAAATCTATATCTAATTAATTTAATATATTTATAAAAACAAAGATTAAACAATATTCAAAGACTTTACAAGATATGGAGTTCCACATAAATGCGATATATTTTTGTATGTAGGATGATTATAGAAAAAATCTCTTTCAAAGCGTAATCCATCCTTTAAACTTTTATTTATTAAAATATCTTGTTGACTGCGATTAACAACACCGATAAACCCAAGTTTTAAAGGATAAACATGTCCTAACAAAATATCAAGAGCATTGGTACCATGATCCATTAAATCAAGTTTAGTAAGAATTCCAATGGTTCTTTTTCTTTGAGGATCAACCTGGCGTGCAAGTTTTAAAGATTCTGAATTAACTAAATCAACATTAGCTGGAGTTATTGCCAAGATAATACTATTTTATCAGTTTAATAAATGTCATATTACCAAGCAAAAAAATTACCTATTTGGTTTTGCAATATAATCTTGAATAAGAGAACGTACTTGACGCTCAATATCTAATGGCTGATCACCAATTGGAATTTTCGTTAATCCAGGAAGATCAACTAAAGTAAGGTTTATAATGTGAGGAGAAAATATTTTAAGTTGAATAGGCTGTCTATTAATTCCCTTGTTATCACCAGCAACTCTAGATGTTTCATTTTCAATTTCACGACGAACTTCTGTAAACTGAGTATAACGTTTCCCCGGATTATGAGAGAATTCTGCCCACTCTTGTTCTTTAGAATTATCTAAAACAGAACCTTTTATTTTGACATTTATTAAAGGTAATATATTAATAAGCTGTAATATTAAGGGACGCCTTGTTACAACTCCTGGACCACGAGGCAAAAAATCTTTACCAACAATGTTTTCTAAGACAGAACTTTTACCACTTGATTGACTTCCTACAACAACAACCTTTAATTATTAAATAAATCATTGCCCAAAAATAAATCCATACTTGAGGTAAATCAATATTATCTGTACCAATAGTATTAAATATAAGATCTTGAAGTTTATTTAAAAGTGGAACCATATCCTCCAAAGAACCCATTTTTATAATAAATTCTTATGGCTTATTTTTGTCAGATTTTAATAGGTTTGTTTTAAATTATTTTCCAAAAAAAATGCTAAAATGATTTTTCCATATAAATATTAAACTGATTTGTTGATTATTTCTTCTTTTAAAGCTTTTTTATATCCAAAATTTACTGTCAATCTACAAGTGTCAATAATCTCGAGAAAAGCTAATATATTTGATAAAATAATAATAAATTAAATTCATATTATATTGGTTAAAATCCATCAAGATTTATATTTCAGAAATGACCAATTTGTTTTAAATAAAAACTAAACACTTTATATAATTCTTACTATATTCACTTTAGGGTATTATTTATAATTACATAAAATAGTAATTATGAAAAAGTTTCATTATTGTAAATTAATACTAAAAGTTTGATGTGCATGATTATTATTTAATGAAATAATATAGTAGGATAAGTATAAATTATTTTGAAAAAATGCATATCATTTTTCTATGAGATTTATTATCTATTTAATCCACCAATGTTTACAAGGCGCATTTTATTATTCAAATTGTTCAATTCCTTTAAAACTTCATTTGCTTGCTCAATATTTTTCTCATTTTCTTTTTCAGAAGATTCAACGCGTTTCCTAAGCGCATCTAGTATTTCCTGGAAATTATTAGCATATTGTTCCTGAGACTCTTCAAACTGCTTTTGTATTTTCTGAATCATTTCCCTCTCTGCAACATTTTCCAACGACAATTGCTTGATTTCTTCCTCAAACCGCTGAATATGCTTCCCATCTTCTTCTCTCAGCTTCTGCAAAAAACTTACTTGACTCGATAAACATTCCAGTTCCACTCTGTATTTTTTTTCCAATGACAATATCTCCTTCCCCAACGTGTCATATTCCTTCTCTGCTTTGTAAAGCTGTGATACTTTGCAAATAATCTCATCATTCATCTCTCTAATCCGCTTACGATCCCCATTACACTCATCTTCCAGCTCTGAATTCCTCTTTTCCAGCTTCTCAACCCTCAGCTCAAGCTCCTTACGCTTCTCTATCCCCTCTTTAAATGTACGCTCCTTCCGTGCCAGAATACTGCTAAAGTTCTCATTTTCCACTTGCAGACGCTCAACAATCTCCTTAATCGCCATATACCTCTTCAAAAGCGCCTCCCTTGCCTTTCTTTCTGACTCACACGATGTAATTGCTGCATTCCGTGACACTTTCAGCAGATCAATCTCCTTTTGCAGGCTCTCAATTACCCGCGATGTACCCGTCCATATTTGCTGCCGAGGCGTTGATTTTTCATACCCTGCTTCCTCCTCCAGCAATGGCTCTTCTCTAACACTTTTTGTCAGTGTTTCCAGCCGCTGCAGCTCTGCATTTGTCCCTGCTTTTCCCATCTACATCAATACTTGTTTTTTTCTCGTTTTTGCTCGTACCTATTTCATGACGCAAAGAATGCAGCTGGCTCCGCCATAGTCCATCTTCTCCTGCCATAATACGTGTATAATATCTGTTTTTTCCTTGATTTATAGCGTGCTTCTTCTTATATATCTATACAATTTCATTTTCTTGATTTACGTTGTTAAATTCTGATGGTCGATACAACGCGTTGTGTAAGATAGATAAAGGCAGCGTCGACGAGAGACAGCAAAGAATAACGAAGAGTAAAATAAGAGCTAAGAAGAGGTAAGAAGAGACAAAAAAGAAAGAAAACTAAGGAGAAACAGAGAAGAAAAAGAGATTATAAGCAGAAATGAAGAAAACAGAGAGAAAACATGTGTGGTGAATGTGCAATTGACAGAAAACAAAGGATTATAAAGAAGTCTTGAGAGAATGAGTGATATCAGAAGTGGGAGGGGAAAGAGAAGTGTCAGAAGGAGCAGAAGACGGGATCTGAGGAGAATGAAGGATTTCAGGACGATATTTGCTAAGTATTCGTTGAACAGGAGTAGAAATGTCGGAATCTAGAGATATGAATCAGGAGAAAAAAGAGGGGTATATACGGTTTTCAGCCCACAGAGTCTGTACAAAGTCAAGACAGACAGCCCGGACGGGTGGACGGAGCATGATGAGGTATCTGGAGGGGGTCAATGAGAAAGAAGAAGGGGAAACATACTGCAAGGCGGCAAAGCCGAGTTTGCTTCGTTCGGGGTCCAGACAAAGAATACGGAGCCGATGGATACAGGTTACAGAAAGCTCGGGCAGATCGGACAGGAACCGTAGAAATGCTTTGTTAGTGCCCTCGACGAAGGGCAAAATTCCGTCCAAAACCATCAGTGTCCATTTTTCATATTGAGGGCCTTCCCAGGTCAAAAGTTCTTCTTTACTTTTACGTAGCATTAAATGATCATTGTACCATTCTTCGCTCAGCCATGTTACGGCGAACTGGATACGTTCTTTAAAGTATGACAGGACATATTCTAAAAGTTTATTTCTTACAAAATGAGAAAAAGAAATTTGATCATTATTATTTTTTTCGTTAGTTTCTTTTGAAGTAATAAGGCCTCTTGTACAAAGACGAGAAATCAATCTAATCCAACTCTGTTTGTTCCATTTATTTGTTTTTAAGTTTTCCAAATTAAGGATTCGTGTGTGTTTCGTATCATTTGATGTCGTGTCTTTGAAAACATTTAAAAATAATCTATCTATAACAGCATGGAATTGTTTTGTTAGTGAAGACGGTGTGAAAGGTTGCGGATCAGGGAGTTCAAAAGGGGCTGCTTTTATAGTCTTTTCGTAATAATTTTTTTCTTTGATTTGTAAATTGTGGATTTTCATAACATTTTCATCCAATGGGAAAGTAGATGCATCAGACGGCTCATAATCATCTTCTTCAGTATCAGTAATATTTTTTAAAGAGTCTTTGAGTAGTTTGTTTTCTTCGATATTCGTTGGTACTTTTAATTGTGTTTGTTCTAATAGTCTCGATCGCAATATCTATAGTTTGTTAATATTGCAAACTTAAAGCCTGGATACTACATTAATATTGCGTTCAAAAAGGTCATTTTTAATATATAAAAGACTTTCAATTGTAATTCTTGCTACAAGTTCATGAGGAAGCTGAGTAACATCAATAGAAAGCAATGGATTGTCTTTTTTCATCTGATTAAGCATAAATAATGAAATAATAGATGTATTAGGCACTATTTCAGAGTTTTTCTGTAAATTTGTGTTCTCCATTTTTATCCTTTTGGTAGAAAAATAATTAACGTCAGAGAAAAATCTTTTACGAGAGTTATCATCTTGCATATCAAATTTTTCCTGGGCAGATAGATATTGGTTAATTTTTGCGGCCAAAGGACCTACATTATTAGTTCTGAAACTCAATCAGTATATAGCTAAAACTTTTTTTTCCTAAGAAACCTTAAAAAATTTGTTAAAACAATTATAATGTTTTTGATTAATGATCGTGTTTGAATATGTAATTTCATGTCATTTTGTTCTTTGAAAGTGTCATCTATAGGGCTAAAACTTAAAATTCCATTAATAATTCGTGTATTTATATCTATCCTATGTTTTGCTAAAACAATCAAACAATTTAAAGTAGCAGTGATCGTAAGAGGGTCCCTAAACTAATTAATAATTTTTCTCTGATTTTTGTACTTCATTACAATGGTTTTTCAGACATATTTTCGATAAGTCTATCTAAAAAACCCTTGGCTTCTGCTTCAAGATCAAGACTATTTAAAAAAGGGTGTGTAGGCATAATTAAATTCAAGGAAATATCAGATTTATTAATAAGCTATTACAGTTAAACTAATTAAAATAAATTTCATAAAATTACTCTTGGATCTTTTGTACCCAACGTTTGAGTTTGTATTATAGTTTGAATAAATTTGATACATGCGACACGAATGCCTCTATTTTTTGACTTCCACAGCTGAAAAATACGGTTCTTAATCTGCATCACCTGATTCCAGACAGACAGATTTTGTTGTACAGACCTAATGTACAAAAGATTTAAAGAAAAATGTACATTGCACCATAAAAACTTACACATAGCGAAACATAATAGGATAAATTGCTGAACAGCACCGAATAATGCTTTTTAATAACACAATATCATCAAATTGTACATAATTAATCAATGTCTCAAGGCATTGCAATCCAAGCTTTTCCTTGTTATCTATAGATAAATTTGGTGTTGTAAATGTCAAAGCAAGAAAATCTGCAATCCACTGGCGTATTGAGAGCTCTGACCGCATTGCAATAGGCAAAACTCCTGGAACAATCTGTAAAAAAAAAGATGCATCTTGTTCTACAAGTTCCCATATCGTATTTAACTGAGAAAGCTGAGCTGCCGTGTCGTCGTTCATAAAGATCCTTTCGGATTTTAAAGATACTTTTCAATTATTAATAGATGAAAGCTTCTGCTGCTTTTTTTACACAAAAAATTGGCTGTATTGTGAGTATTTTGTGTAAATTTTTTTTCAAAACGTTGTATACGATAATTCTAAATTATATCGTTAATATTAACAAATTAAATCTTTTTTATGATCAAAAAGACGTATTTTCTTATGAAAAAACATAATATTATTTTGAAAATTCCTATATTTAACAGAATGAGGTTTTATTCTACTTTTCATGATTCTTACGTTTTACGCCATATTCGTAAACCATATACTTTAAGAAACAGTATTACAGGATCGGTTTTATTTGGTTTTGCAGTAGGCGTATGTAAGTTTTATGCCTTTTGTTATATTTTTGTTACTGATTGAGTCAGATTTCTATTCTATCTATGCAGTTAAGCAGGATGATTTGAGTGATGTTGTGTTGGAAGAGAAGTGATATGTATAAAAGAGAAAATAATACAGAAAAGGGCTTTGTTTTTGCTTTGTTACATTTCTTTGATGTTCTAGTTAAATTAGGAGTACATTCTATTTATTTTTTAAGGATTGGTGCCCTGGAGTTCATTGTTTTAAATTTCAATTGTGGTGGAAAAGAATTCTAGGGAGTTGGTGGAACATGTTATATGTTTTAAACTTGTATTCTTTTTTATTAAGCATTTTTCTCATTATTTTTTCAAAATTAATACTAGCGGTTTAAACGGTTTGAAAGTTTTTACTTTAAAGCATGAGGATTTTAGAAAGCTAAGCCACTCTGCGGTATCCGTATCATTTTAGCATTTTTTATTTAAATAATATCAATATCTTTTTATTTTATCACCAGTGTTCTCACATAAATTAGAATTTTGGCATTAAAAGATTAAGAAATTCAGAATCATCTGCTTGCATTTTTAATCAGCTTCAAAGCAGGATGCATTTCAGTATATTTTTCAATATAAGACTGAATAAATCGTTTTTTATATACCAAAGTCAATAATTGATGAAAGAAACATTAAGAAAAAATATTAAAAAAAGTATCTATTCAAATTTTAAACAAAAAAACATACATATAAATATTTGTCTGTAAATTCGATGTATCATTATCTTTTTTATCGCCTCAATCCTATTTAATCTTTTTGTATATATTTTTAAAAATCATAAACACAAGAATGTCTTTAATGTTTGACAAAGCCATGCATAAGAAAAATCCTGCTTGATTCACATAGTTCTTCTGTATTACTCTTTTATTTTACTTTTCTGTTCAGCGTTTAAAGTCGAAAATATTCCATCTTTAAGATATTATGGATAATCAAAGAAAAGGCATAAAAAGATATGAAATAGAAACAAATATAAAAAAAGAGTCTGAAGGGCCTGTAGAGCCCATTTACTGGATGCTGTATGTCGTTAAATGGAGTTCTTTTCGGTTTCTAATTCTTCCTGTCATTACACTTTTTATGATTATTGTAAGAGCACTGATAGCTCTTGGGACATTTTCTGGTGAAGAACTTACCTTTAGCTTTTTAATTTTAAGCAATCTTCAGGAAGCGGTGGTGACAAAAAATATGGTGATTTTGAAGCACAGAGACATTGGATGGAGATTACCCTACATCTACCGATTAAAGAATGGTATTTCCACAATGCAGAATGGTGGGGGCTGGATTACCCTCCCTTAAGTGCTTATTTGTCTTATATATATGGAAAAATGTTTATTTCTCCCATTCACCATAGTATCATTTACAAAACATAGTGGCCATTTTATAGAGCCTGCATGGTTTGCTTTAGATGTCTCTCACGGTTTGCATACTCAAGAATTGAAATTCTACATGCGTATGACGGTTATTATTTCCGACTTTATTATATATTTTCCTGCAGTTATTCGTTTTGTACGTTACTGGAAACGACTCAAAGGAGGCAATTCTTTAAACAGCGTAATCCTCTTTGGCTCTCTTCTACCACCCCTAATTATTTCAGTACTCTTCTGTCACTCTCATTCTTCTTCAGCCTGCTCTTATTCTTATTGATCATGGCCATTTCCAATACAACAACGTTATGCTGGGGCTTGCACTTCTTTCTCTGACCTATTTTATCAACGATCAGCTTGTTCTTGGTTGCATCTTTTTTGTCTTCTCCATTTCTTTCAAGCAAATGTCTCTCTACTATTCTCCTCTTGTTTTTTCTTATCTTCTTGGCCTCTGCATCTTTCCTCGCCTCAATGTTCCTCGTTTTTTCTTAATAACGGGTTCTACTCTCTTTGCATTTACACTTGTTTTTTTCCCTCTTCTTCTCTCTGGAGGATATCCGGTTCTTTTTCAATGTCTCTACAGAATATTTCCTTTTCAGCGCGGACTTTGGGAAGATAAGGTTGCAAATGCCTGGTGCGTCTTCAACACCCTCATCAAATTCAAACAGAAATATTCTCCTTCCTGTCTTGCAAAGCTCAGGTACTTTTTTCCCCTCTTTTTGCCTCTAATTTTGCCTTAGTTTTGCTGCTACTGCCTTCTCCATCCTCCCTTCTTGCTCTATTCTTTTCCTCCGACCAAGGAAAGACCTTCTTCCCTGGGGACTTCTTTCTTGTGCATTTGGTTTCTTTCTTTTCTCCTTTCAGGTCCATGAAAAGTCAATTCTCCTCCCTCTTATGCCTGCTACTATGCTCCTCGTTACTCCCAACAGAAATACAAAGGCTTGGATCGGCTGGATCAACACATTTGCTACTTTTAGGTTCTTTTTTCCCTTTTTTTCTGTATTTTTTTCTCTTTCTAACAACTCAGTATGTGGCCCCTCCTTAAGCGCGATGGACTTCTCCTCCAGTATGCTGCTCTACTTTTATATTGGCTTTGGCTCGGTGGATTCGTCTTCCACCCCCCTGGGTCTCTTGGTACCTTTGAAACACTTATCCACATGGTTTTCTCTTTTTTTCTGTTTTTTTTTTTTCATTTTTTATCTTCTTATAGGGCTCCTATACACTTCTTGCTTTGATCCACCTTCTGGAGGCCTTTTTTTCTCCGCCAAACCGTTACCCCCACTTGTGGGTGCTCTTGAACATGGTTTTAAGTTTCTTTTGTTTCGTTATCTTCTGGTTCTGGTCTCATTGGAAACTTTTTTCTCGTGCAGGCTTCTATCTCAAGCACAATCCTAATCCTACTCCTAATCCTATTCACAAAAGACCTAGTCCTAGAACCGGTATCATACAAAAACCTTAATTCTCTATAATTGGTTCATTGAAAAGCTATTAAATGATCATTAAGTGGCTATTGAGTCAACTGTCTTTGAGTGGCGTCTATGTGGTCACGTGACTTCTGGTGAATGCTAGTTTGGCCCTGCCAACTGGTCCAATGTATCTATAAGTGCTCTCTGATAGAAGTTCTTTATGAGTGTTACTTGTTCGATGTATTTATTAAACATGCCTATGAATCATATTTATTAAGCATCATTGCCGCCAATACTGATTGAATCTTAAGATACACTATAGCATTTACGGACACATCATGCAACTTCCCTAATAGGAATAAACCCTAGCCCCCCCCCCTGTTTCCATAGAAACGTGATACTTTGCTATTGGTTGATACTGCTTAGGCGATAAACGTGCTAAGATGCAGTGCTCAGCCGCAGTGCTCGTCTGTGCTGAGCTAGCTGAGACAGGAAAAAGCCAGATGTATCTATATAAAGCGTCTACATATATATACAAAATAGTGTTTAATACAGCGAAAACAGCAGCAGAAAACTGTCTGCACAGCCAATAAATACTGTTCAGTACAAGCGACATAGAAACCTGTCTTGCTTAGAGGTATCCATGGAAACCCTAACCCTAGTATATATTAGCAGTCTAGTGGCAGCTCTAAGTGGTGCTGAAATGTGAGCAGTAAATTGTTTTAATACTAAAATTGTAGCCTTTTAGCAAAACACAGACGCAACAAACGCACTGTTGCAGTGCCTGATATATTGAGAGCGAGAGTATATGTTTCCGTGACAATAGTTACTATGGAAACATATTATGGTGATATTAGTTTCGTGGTAAGGAATTACCATGGTTGCCATGGTTACTCTCACAGTCAAGTATAATACTGAGTATGAATGCAGAGTACGAATACTGGGAGCGAAAATGTTTACTGTAAATTGAGTATGAAGTGCTGCAAGCCTCTCCTTGTTCATAATCTATGTATAACTGGATGTTGTGTAGTAGCGTAACCTAGGCAACTGTTGCTAGGTTCCTGCCTCTGAATAAGCTTAGGATCTAAGGACATAGTGTATGGATACAAAATATATAAACAATGGCATCAGTCTGTAGTGAATATAGGCTATGTATTTATATATTACTCCACGTTTCTGGTCATTTATAACTATTTACAGTCCAACTATACTTTGGATTCTAATTTCAAAAAACCTATTTTTTCTATATAGACTGTTCTGATTTCTTAAGCTTAGAAAAGCAGTTCACTGCACTCTGATTATGTTTGGATTATATTTATATATACATTTATACTTATGCTTACATCTCACTTGTACTTATGTTTACACTTGTGTGGTTGTGGTTGCTGTGACAATCATTGAGACAAGCTTAACATCAGCAATAGTGTAAATACAAGTATAAACATAAATATAAATCTAAATGAGTATAAATATATATATGTAAATATAAATACAATGGTAGTTGTTGTATCAAACAGAATCCTAATGCCAGCCCTGATTAAACATGAATACCAATTATATTCGCGACAGTTGCAGCTACTATACATACTGCACACAATCCTACAGTACAGCAATATTCGGCAATAACTGAGTACAAGAGCAAATGCAATAGCAACAGCTGCCATAACAACAGATGCTACGGTAACAACGACAATCTAGCAACGCCAACAATAAGTGCTACAAAATATGTATTAATCTACAATTAAACTATAATTTTACACATAAATACTTTATTTTGTCCTATTCTGACTTATTTTAACCTATCTTTATCCATTTTTTAGTCGATATTTACAGAATCCAACCCTAATACTTGCTGCTCCATATGCAACCCTATAACTCTTTAACCCTATGGAAAACCCTATGAAAAACCCTATAGAAACCCTAATACTAGTGCCTCTGTGTCTCTAATGCAGTCTTTTGACCCCATACATTGCTACCTAATGCCCATGCTTATTATATATGGTACCCATATTGTGCCATACATCTTCCGTCAACACCGCCGTAGTGGGGTTGCTTACCTTTTGTGTGCCTCAATCAATTCCCGACACTCGCCTTGAGCGTCTCCACCCTGTGCAAGACACTCATCTCGTGCTTTCCGTGTCTCTGGGCATGCACAGCTGCCTGTTAGTCTTTGATGCTTTTTTTGCTTCCTTACCATGGCCGTGGCTTCTCTGGCTGCTCTCCAGCGGCCGGTTCAGGCATACAATATCGACAGATGGCCCGCTGCACTACCGATGCGTCGACGAGCAACCCACGCTGGCACCTGGTATCCCAGCTCAGCAGCCGCACTGAGGGCGGCACTCGAGACATTTCTTGGTGGAAAACGTGCAGAAGGAGCAGGAAAGGTCTTAATTACTCCGTCTGACTCTGGCTTTGCCCTGGCGCTGCTAACTAATTAGGCATGCGGGCTATGAGTACAGTGGGCCAACTGCTGGCCGCGGTTACGCTGCAATGAACTGGACTGGAGTGTAGACTACTTATTGGCATTGAAAATTCTTAAAAATACTAGGGATCGTGTATTTATTCTTGGTCCTGCACACCATGTCGACCTCCGGCGCTGTGCACTCCCATCGTGCACTGAGTACGACACTCCTCTCGGTATACTGTCATTGGATATAGAGGGTGAGACTATATACGATTATATACAAAAAAAGCCTGCTGTACTTTTCAGGCAGCTAAATAATACAGTAATTACATCGCTTGAAGCAACTGGTGCATTTGCACGGATGGATCTCCAGACAGATGAGGATGAACATAGCATCGAACAACAGCTGCCATTTATAAGGCATCAACTTGCTGAGTATGAACACTAACAAAGGTGCCACTGACAGGAACAGATGGTCACCAGCAGCAAAGATTGTACCAATTTTAGTGGGTGCAATTGGTACAGAACAAGAGGAGTGGTATGGACAGCTGTTGGCACCATATATCGGAGATACAAAAAACCGATTTATAGTCTCGTCGGATTTCTGCCATTGGTAAGAAAAAGAATAGATAAATAAATAAGAAAAATACAGAGAATGAAGGGGCCAACGGTTTTCGTATACATACTATGCAGAGGCAGGAGAGAAGGGACGGAGATTGTGGCGGGAAGAAGAGCCGTTGAGGGGGGAGCCGATCTATAAGTCGATTGAGCGATGTGACCGAGAAGGGATGCAAAAGATTGAAGAAGGAAGCCACAAGGGGTTTGTAGAGTATCTATCGAGGACAAGAAACACGATTTGCGGGAGGTTTGTGTATAAGTATGGAGGGGAAGTCTGACAGGCCAGGCATCCGATCAGTGTGATGCTGTGTGCACTGGAAAAGGCGAAAATACGTGAAAGATTCCGGTTCATCGACTATACACAGAGCAGTCGGTGCAGAACGGTGAGAGACAGTAGTGTGAGTTATGCGGCGGGGGTGGTGACGTACTAGGAAGAGAAAGAGGAGAAATGTGGAGGAGGAGTGAAGTACTGGAGTTGGAGAGGTGCTAGGAAGTGGTGTTGTGTTTGTTTGAAGGAATTGGTGTAGATGAGTAGCTCCTAAAAAGTGGATGTGTTTCGGTGCATTTGAAGGGTTTGGAGGGTTTTCTTATTGAAGATCAGATAGAATTGAGTGACAAAAACCGAGTGACAGAAAAGCTATAAGAGACTAAGGACTCAGTTAAAGTAGATTTCTAAACCTAGAAAATGATTACTTGAATAATGTTGTCGAACCGATATGAGTCCAAAAATTTGAACTCTAAAGTGACAGTCTTGGAGCTCTAAACAAATGATTTAGTAAGATAAAAGTAAAAAGCCAGGTTGTCTTTATCAATTTTCAAAAATAAGGTATTCCACTTTTGTTGGTGATTATATTTTTGATTAAAAATATTTTAAGAAAATAAAAGGCACTAGAACCAAGTTTTTTCTAGAAAGTATTTAAACTGGTATACGATTATTGTTTAGAATATCTGAATTGAAAGTTTGGTGGATATTTTTGGCTAAAGCTGTAGTTAAGGACTACACATGGTAGGCGACGAACTTGGAGGAAGCGTATCATTATCACTGAAAAATTCTTTTTTTTCCATATGAAAGATTTGTTTTTCGTCATTTATTTTTGTTTCTAGGATAGAGGCTGAACTTTTGTTTAATATGGGGGATTCTTCCCATGAAAATATGCTTTCTGGTGGAGAATCCAAATTGTCTCCGCTATAATTTGGAGAATAAGCCTATAAGTATAAGAAACCAAACAAATATGGTTACGTTAAAAAACCGTTTTTTGATGTGACTTTGACATAGGCGTGACTGTTTTGTCAGATGCAAAAGCTTCTTGCTGAAACGCATTGATCGGAGGATACCAAGCTAATCTGTTATGAAAAAAGAAAATTCTCAATATTAATGTACACTTACAGTCATCCCGTTTTAGTATTTTTTGTTGCTCATCACTAATAATACAATCCCTATATGTAATTTCAAAAAGTCCCTATCACAATGAGTCGAAACGAAGTGAATCAATTTAATAAAAACCCTCCAGCCAGGATGTAAGACTCTTTGTCGTTTTTTTGTTAGTTTGTGAGATTCATCTTTGTTTCTATGTGTTGACCAAAACCCACGTTTCTTGGTATCGTCTGTCGGTTCTGAGATCCTAGTCAATTCATTCTATCTCCCATCAGTACTGAATCGGCTCTATATTCAACATAATACATACCAGTGGTTCATCCTTGTCGTCCCAAACATTTTTTTTTGAAAGAACATTGGTTCCTAAATTATTTTATCAATTCCAATAATTTTCCGGATCATTATACCTTCGCTTGCTTGTTCTACTGATAACGGAGGCCAAAGAAATCTACAAAAAGCATTTTAAGAGAAAAAAACAAAGCTTTAGTATAGACAAAATACCCCTGAACTTGTGGAGATCGTAACAGCATACGTATCTCTTGATGCTCTGTAAAAAACACCGGGTGACCAACAATTGCTTCTCCTTCTCCACCTAAAAACTGGATTTTCGGAACAATCAATCGTGCTGAAACCGTAAAATTCTCTGCTTCATAAATTCGAAGCTCCATATTTTTTAGAGTCAAATACGCCCCTTTGATTTGTGTAAAGCGTTTTTTAAACTCCCTGGCCCTAGTTAAATTGTCCTGCACATGAATATTCCTACATCTGATATGCTTCTACACATTCTTGTGTAAACTCGCAACACATAAACGTCTCCATATCAGAAACCTCTGCAAGTACCGGTTTTTCATATGTAAGAAACTGCCATTTTAGCTTTTTGGCTCCTAAAATCCTCTCCTACCCTCATCACCTGCACCCTCTGGCTCTGCACGAGTCGTATTGGATTTTCTGCCACTGTTTTCAGCGATTGTCCTACTTTGCTGCGTATCCAGCTTTTCAAGATACCACTCATTGCTTGCACAGCGCCCACTCGCTCGTCATGCACGTGACCCAGAAATCACATGATTTCTTCATCGACCCCTATCGCTCTTTCTCTGTATCACGTGATCAATATAAATCACGTGACCTCTTTCGGTCACGTGATATAGTTGCCATTGGCAACGCTGCCTGTGCCGCATGGATGCCTCACTGCTGTGCACAACGGATATATGCACTGTATGCGTGCAACTGTGTATTATGTGCATTTGCAACTTATATTTTGCAAAAAGGCATTTTGCATGCTGTGTCATCGGCTTGCTGTTCCTCACAGTGCTTCACAATGCCTCGCCGTGTCTATGATGTGCATTCATCTGTTTTGCTGCACATTTGTCTGCTGCATTGGATATTGATGCGCAATAGCCAACCCACAATGCTTTTGAATGTATGTCACGTGACCCAATGAGTATCACGTGACTCATTTGAAGTCACGTGCATATATAAGGCGCAGCTACAGTGTTGATGTGCAGCGCGTACATGTTGCGCTGTTAAATGGGCTTTTTGTCCCGCTTTTTTGAGAGAAAAAGCGCTGAAAAACAGCGTAAAAATATAAATCAGACCCTTACAAGCTTCAGTACTCTTGATAAATTCACAGAAGATGGTATTTGTGACAAACCGGACGCTGGTGATTCGTATACAGTTCTTGATAATGTAGATTATTTAGAAACAGAAGAAACAGACAAGCAATGTGAGATGTATGCCCTTAGCACGGGAATGTATGCTCTTCCAAGCACTGTATATGCAGGGCCAAGCAATGTCTGCACAATAAACAGCAACACAAGCACAGGAGGCAGTTTATATGATGTTTCAAAGGGAACAAGGGGTGCATCAGGTGCAGCAAGCACGGTTTTTTCACAATCTCTGAGGAAACTTACAAAACTTTTTTTAAGAAATGCAAATACAGGCGTTGGGCCAGTAGTTGACCGAATTTCTGTGCTTCAAGACGGGATTTGTGTGGAACGAGGAGAAACAGAGACAGCAGGGAGTGTTTCGACGTATTTTATGCAAGATGATAAGTATTTTCCACCCTTTGGAGTATCTATTAGTCGATTGCCTGGCTACACTTTGCAACGGGAGATATCGAGTGATTCAGAGATGGTTCAGACGCAAAGTGGAGAGCCAGGAGCACGGGAGCGGTCGATTTCAGTAATACTTGAAAGGCTTCATACAGGGCGGCTTGGAAAGGATTTCTGGATGAAGGATGAGAACTGCTTGGCATGTTTTTTGTGTGATGTGATATTTACAAGTAAAAGAAGGGAATATCTTGAAGGAATGGCTAATAAGAAGCAGCGTGGCGTCGCCGACACCATTGTCGTGAGTATTTAAAAGGGAAAGAATGAGTGTTATGGGAATTGATGGATTTTTAGGTACATGTGGACAGATTTTTTGTTCAAAATGTACAACATTGATTCCAGGAACGAGTTTTGGACATATCGAGTATTTGCGTGTGTGTAATAGGTGTAACAAAATTATCAATGAGTATGAAGGCGTAGATATTGATAGGGTGGAAGGAAGGACGTTTTCAGAGAAACATTGGTTACGATCAATATCTCAGAGTCCATTTAAACCGAATTATTTTATGAATGCGCTTTTCCCTAAAAAAAAAGCATATAATGTTACATTTTCGCCGAAAAATACTCAACATTCATCACATGATCCATTAAATTTGGGTCCTTTGTCTCCGATATCTTTTAAGCCAGTCGATATTATAGACAGTGATGGATCAGATGTGAATGAGGATTATTTAGCATCTTCGTTGAAGTCCTTTAATATTGATCCCCCATGTGATACAGTAATTCCGTTAAAGCGGGAATTAATCTTACGAAGAAAAAAGAAATGCCTTACAAATAAAAAGAATGACTTTGGTTTTGACTTAAAATTGACTAATGTAGCTTTTGAGAATATAAGAAAAACATCAAATTTATTTTCGAATAGTTCTATATTTTCAAAAACAGATAGTGATTTCTCAATGCACGAAGATCATTCATTTTTAGAGAGTGAAAAATTAACAAACACAAATCAGGGGGAAAAGGGACTTATAAAGGCTAGTCAATACATAAAAGGGCAGAAAAGGCCAAATAAAAAGTACGAAGATTCTCATGTTTTAATTGAATATCCAAAAGATATAGAAATTTCTAAAAGTACATATTTTACCCAGTCTTTTTCTAATATTTCTCTAAAAATTTCTCAAAAATTATCACAAAATGGTACATTTTCGAAAGCAATAGATACAAATTCATTTTCTTTATTTTATATCCGGGAACTTTTGAAACAGTTATTATCAGATTTTAATGTATCTTTTGTTTCAGATTGGGAACAGGTTTTAACTCCAATATTGTTTAAAATTGTTGATAACATTAATCCTAATATTCGAAATGGTGATGATATCGACATACGGCATTATGTAAAAATTAAAAAAATTTTAGGAGGTAGTCCAGCATTAAGTTGTTATGTTCAGGGTCTTGTGTTTACAAAAAAACTTGCGTTAAAAAAAATGAACACTTCTTTGATAAATCCGAGAGTTGTTTTAATTGCTTTTCCGATTGAATATCATCGTACAGAAGCTCATTTTATGTCATTAGATCCTGTTATAGCTCAGGAAAAAGAATATCTTCGAAATCTTGTAAACAGAATAATTGCATTACATCCTACCATATTATTTGTTGAAAAAAGCGTTTCGGGGCTAGCTATGCAATATTTATCTGAAAGTAACATTGTTGTTGCGTCAAATGTAAAACCGTCCGTTATTCAAGCAATTTCTCGTTGTACAAGAGCAGATATTATTTCATCAATTGACAAACTTGCATTATCACCTAGAGTCGGGAGATGTGCTTATTTTAATTTAAAAACTTTTGTTAATCAAAATTCTTCAAATACCAAAAAAACGTTTATATTTTTAGAAGGATGTCCAAAAGATCTTGGGTGTACAGTTATTCTTCGTGGATCAACATTTCAAGAACTTTCTCTTATAAAACAAGTGGTAGAATTGATGACATATGTAGTTTATAACTTAAAATTGGAAACATGTCTTATGAGAGATCATTTCATTTTATTATCAGATATATCATCGAATCAATATATACCAAATTTTTCGAAAAAGACCAATTCTGTAAATGACAATGTCCATGGAACATCGTATGATGCTATTATAAGTGCATTTGAAGCGAGACTTTTATCTGCGTCGCCTTATGTTAAATTCCCTCCTCCATACATGCTTCTAAAAGCTCGGGATTCAGAGAGATATCTTAAAGCATTACTTAATAATGAAAAATCAGATACGCTGGATCAAAAGATTCATACTCTTTTAAAAGAAATTGATGCTTCTGATAATGATCATTTATTATTAAATGCAAATGTAGAAGGAATATTAAAAAATTCCGAGATTGAGAAATTACAACAAGAACTTAAAGTTCAAGAAAAAAATTGGAAATCTTATTTTGTTCAAGATATTGGTATTGCTAATCCCTTTTCTCAACAGGGTCTTGCTGTACTTTATTCTAGTGTATGTACAGCATCTGCGATTCCTTGTAAAGGGCCTGCTATGAATATCATTGAATATTATCGTGAAACGGATTGTACTTTAGGTCAATATATTGAAGATATGTGTTCAACTGTTAACATCATCTGTAATGCAAATCTTTGTGGAAAAAAGCTTTTTGAACATCATCAATGTTATGTTCATGATTATGCTCGTATTACTGTTGTTATACAGGAATTAAACTATTTTGTTCCTGAAATGCAGAAAAACATTCTCATTTGGAGTTATTGTAAAATTTGTAAAAAAAATACACCAATGATACCCATGTCTGATAATACTTGGAAATATTCATTTGGGAAATATTTAGAGTTGACATTTTATAGCATTGCTTTATGTAGTAGACTCGATGCCTGCAATCATGATATAAATAAGGATCGTATTCGTTGCTTTGGATATCAAAATTTTGTGATAAAATTTCAATTTGATTATATAGAGCTCTATGGTCTTTCATTACCTCAAACTGAAATAATATGGAAGCCAGAAGAATGGATTCGGATGAAATTGGAAGAATATAATTCAATAAAATCAAAAATAGAAAAATTTTGTGACTCCGTTGAGATTAGATTGAATAGTATTACGTTAGACGCTATGCCATTGGATAAGTTCGAAGTATGTAGGCTTGGGATAGATCGTTTTAGGAAAAAAATTAAAGAAGAGAGAATATTTTTACTAGATTTATTGAAAAATTCATTTGAAAATTCCCATCCTTTGAAAATTTTACCTCTTAATCGTGTTTTAAGAACTATACAAGAAATGGTTGTTCAATGGGACTTTGATTTCAATGAATTTGATAAAAACTTTTTTCCATCTGAAAAAGATTTACGACGGTTTACTTCTTTACATCTAAGAAAGTTCTTTATGGATAAAGATTTTATTTCAGATAGTAATTATTCTAAAGGTTTAGAAGTTTCCGGAAATCAGAGTTCCAATATTGAAGATAAATTATTAAAAAGAGTATTTTATATATTTTATTTTTACTTACTAATTTTCATAGGATAAAGATGGTCTTTTAATAATAAAAAGAACATCTAGCGAAAAAAAATTAAAATTTATATCTTCTAGTGAATCTAATCTTTCATTGAATAGTAGAGATAATATAGATACTGATATTCCTAATGTTAAAAAAGAAATAATAAAAACCTCTTCTCCAAAACAGGTCACCGTTTTTGCTGAAAATGCGTACAATGTAATAGATGATAATTTAGGTGAAAAAGTATACGAGTTTTCAGATAATAATGATAAATTTTCTCAAAAAATACAAGATTTTAATGATAGTTACCAGGAAATGGATTTATTAAATAATAAAAAGCCTGTTGATACTGAAACCAATGTTCTTTATGATAATTCTTTAAATTTTTCTGAAAAGTTAAGCATGCAAGGAGAGAGAACTACTTTTCCTGTTTCATCTTTTGGGAGTTTTCCTTTTAAAAATTCTTTTTTTAGAAAGAATTTTATAAAAATTCTTAAACTTGATCATAAATTTTCTGGACATAATTTTAAAAAAGATAATGTTTTTCAAGATATTTCAAAGTTAAAGAATGTTAATTTTCAGCCTGTTTTTAAATATCAAAAAAATTTAGATACACAATTTAATTCTCAAATTCCGGAAAACTTTAGTGAAAATAACATTCTTAATTTTTCTAATGATTTTGAACAGTTTAATAGAGAATTCGAAAATCAGCAAACTCAAAGGCATTTGAAAATCAAAAAGAATTATGCGTTTCCTCCTTCATCATCAAGACCTATTGTAGAAGTTTTTCAAAATGTTCAGGAAGCTGTTAATGAGGCTTCAGATGATGAAATTCCTATTAACGAGCAAAAAAAAATTATGAAAAGAAATAAACAATTTAGTTTAAATAAAAAAGGGAAAAGGAAAATGAGAAGGTCTAGAACCATTGATTCATTTAACTTATATGGAAATAATATGGATCTTGAAAACTCGGAAAAAGACTCTGATCTTTCTTCTTTGGAAATTCTCTATACTTCTGCAGAACGTTTTAAATTTCCCGATGATGATATCGCTGATGAAATTCCTACACACGGAGCTGAGAGAATATCACTTATGAAAGCTTTATTTGCATTTTGGGTTGATAGAGCTACTGTCGGATGGTCTGCATTGAATTATCCTCTGTAAATTATTATATATTTATAATTTTCATTGTTAACAATATTAGCAACCCATCTGAACATGTATTTACTGATTCAGATATAATTGTTCGAGAAGATGAACCTAGTTCTCTTATTGCATTTATATTAAGGTAAAATATTTAAAATTTAGATAAATTAGTAATAGTTTTATAGTTCTGCTGACTATTTGGATAAACTTAAAGAAATGGAACATATTAAAGTTCTTCATACTATATTTGGAAATTCAGAAACTGATGAAAAAATAAAAGATTTGAAAAATTTAACTAAAAAACCTTTAGAAGATGCTTTATTAAAGCCTATGGGAACTCATTTAAAATATCGTAAGATCTAGTTAAATATATTGAAGTTTCTAAAAAATATATAGAATTTCAGGAGGGTTCTGCACGATTGTTTTGTAAGGTATTTTATGCAGAACAATTTGATGCATTTAGGCGTGCATGTAATTGTGATGAAAATTATCTTTCATCTCTTTCAAGATGTTTTAAATGGGATTCTTCTGGAGGGAAGTCAGGTTCAGTGTTTCTTAAAACTCGAGGTAAGATGTATTTATTAAATATTTATTTTAACATATTTTTTAGATGACAGATTAGTTTTGAAGCAATTGTCTCGCTTGGAAACAGAAGCTTTTATAAAATTTGCACCTTCTTATTTCGAATATATGTCTCAGGCATTCTTTCATGAAGTATTGTTTTATTATTTTACAAACTTTTTATTAATTTGTTCAAGTTACCTACTGCAATGGCAAAAATTATTGGATTTTATCAGATAGGTTCTCGGAATCCTCATACAGGAAAGGTTACAAAAATGGATGTATTAGTAACAGAAAATTTGTTTTATGGAAGAAAAACATCTCGGGTATATATTATATTTATATTTACTTTTTAATTAATTTTATAGATTTTTGATTTAAAGGGTTCGATGAGAAATAGGCATGTGCAATCAACTGGTAAAGAAAATGAGGTTTTGTTAGATGAAAATTTAGTTGAATGTAATAATTATTTTTAAATTAGTTTATAAGTAACTTATTGTAGTTATTTATGATTCTCCATTGTTTATTCGTGAACATTTTAAAAAAATTTTAAGGGCATCTTTATGGAATGATACTTTGTTTTTAGCAAAAATGAATGTTATGGATTATTCTATGGTTGTAGGTATTGATGATGAAAAACAGGAATTGATTGTGGGGATTATTGGTATAATTTAATATCATTTGATTATTGTAACATATTCATAGATTGTATTCGTACTTATACTTGGGATAAAAAGTTGGAAAGTTGGGTTAAGGAAAAAGGTTTAGTAGGCGGTGGTGGAAAAGAACCCACTGTTGTAACTCCCCGTCAATATAAAAATAGATTTAGAGAAGCAATGGATTCGTACGCTTATTTGCTTGTTTTTCTTTTAGCTAATAGCATTTTAGGTATATTTATGGTTCACCAAGGTATATAATTATTTAATATTTTTATATCGTTAAACTATTATAGTTGTTGGTATTTTTATGAAAGTGCATTGGGGCTTAAGGTTTAATTTTGAAACATAAAAATAGTAATATATATAGATTTTGTATTGCATCATAGTTTTGAAATTTAATTATATCTCTTATTGTTTTTTATTCTTTAAAACTAATTTTAAATTTCGATGTGATTCAATATTATATTTGTAAAATGTTATAAAATACTATTTTACTTGTAAATATAAGGAAGAATGGAAAAGTTTACATTTTTGATGAATTCTTTAACTAATCAGCAGCGTTCTGCTGTAACAAGCTCAGAACGATTTTTGCAGATTTTAGCAGGTCCTGGTTCTGGTAAAAAGCATTTTTTTTGTTATAAAAAAAATAATGATAAGGAAAAACACATGTTTTAATTAGTAGAATCTCTTATATACTTTTAAAGCATAATATATTTCCGAAAGATATTGTTGTTGTAACTTTCACAAATAAGGCGGCAAAAGAGATCAAAGAGCGAATTAATGTAACCATAGGCAGAGACGTAGCTGTTAAATTGATTTCTGGTAGGTCTGTTTTATTTTTTTTTGTCTTAATTTTTTATATAGGAACTTTTCATTCTTTTGCAAGACAATATCTTGTAAAATACGGATATTTAATCGGATTGGGTATTTTTGGTATTGTAGATAGATCTGACAGGTTTTTTTCTAGCTTATTATTGCATTTAATAATCTTCGAAGTATTCTTATAGTTAAAAAATACTTAAAAGAAAAGCATATTATAGATTTACATATTTTAATTAATAATACTACTATTAAACTTTCAGCCAACTCAATTATAAATATAATTTCTTCTTTAAAGTCTAAGAATATATCTACTAGTGTTTACTCGGATATGGGGAAATCCTTAATTTCTTCTGGATTTTTATATCATCAAGAGATTTTAAATATATATTGGTTTGATTACTCTTACTAGCTTGTTTTATTCTTATGAATAGTTATTATCAGGAATATCTTTTTAAAAACAAATTACTTGTAATATTCTATTTTATTTTATGATATTTTTTTAAAAAAAAGATTACTTAGGATTTTGATGATCTTTTACTACACTGTTTACACTTATTTAAGGAAAATCCTAAATGTTTTGAGAATATTAAGCATGTTTTTGTGGATGAATATCAAGATACAAACTTTGTTCAGTATAGTTTAATAAAATGTTTAATGTCTAAAGGGTCCTACCTAACAATAGTTGGTATTTTTATTTTATTTTATTTTATTTTTTTAATAATTTCTAGGAGATCCTGATCAAAGTATATATAGTTTTAGGTCTGCTGATGTTACAAATTTTCAACGTATGAAACACGATTTTCCTGATTCTACAGTTGTTTTTTTAGAAGACAATTTTCGCTCTTCTGGAGCTATTTTGAATACAGCTTTAAAATTGATTGAACAAGGTAAAAATAATTTTTATGTATTTATATATCATATGAGTTTTACTTTAGATGTAAATCGTCCAGCTAAAGTTCTTTATTCAAATTTAAAAGTTGGATTTACTCCTGTTTTAAATGTTTTAAAAGATCATATAGAGGAAGCTCATTGGATAGCTAAAGAAATTCAAAAATATGTAAATAATACTTCTGGGTTCCTAACATATAAAGATTTCTCTATTTTAGTACGTTCTTCAGTTTTAATACAAACTATTGAAAATTCATTTCAAAAATTTGGCATTAATTATAGAATAGTAAATAGAATTTGAATTAAATTTTACTAAAAATTTTAATTAACTGATTAGGTTGGAGCTTGTAAATTTTATGATCGTCAAGAGGTAAAAGATATCATTGCGTATTTGCGATTAATATGTTTTGATGATGAACTTGCATTATCAAGAATAATTAATGTTCCTAAAAGAGGTATTGGAAAAAATACATGGGATTTAATTGTAGAGAAATCAAAGTTTACAAAAAAGCCTGTATTAGCATTATTAGAAGAAATAAGTCAGGGAAGGTATAATATTAGAAGGGATAAAAAAATAGAAAATTCAATTTCAGCTTTTATTAATATTTTAAATAAAATTAAAGGTTATATAAAAAATCAGATAAATATACATGTTTCTGATATTATTATTTATATTTGTGATTTAATAAGTTATGAACAATATTTATTAAAAGAATTCCCAGATGATTTTCATGAACGTTGGAACAATATCTTGCAACTTATTAATAATTCGGATACTATTGATTCAGATATAGATGATTATTCTTATTTTGAAGAAATTGGTCATACATTTCAAGGACCTTTAATAAAATTTCTTGATAACGTAGCTTTATTTTCTGATACAACAGAAAATGAAGATGTTTCTATTTCTAAAGTTTGTATAGTGTTCGTATAAATATAGATTAATATATTTGAATAGGTTACTATTTCTACTATTCATGCAGCAAAGGGTAGACTACTTTATAATTAAAAAATTACTAATTTATAATTCCAAGGTTTAGAATGGCCAATTGTATTTTTACCTGGTCTTTATAATGGGTCTCTGCCACATTCAAAAGCTGAAGATATATCTGAAGAACGTCGATTATTATATGTTGCGATTACTCGGGCTCAAGGTAACTAAGTTTTCTTTTTCAAAATAAGCTAATTAAAAAGCTATGCTTTATTTGTCTTGTCCTCTTAAAAATAGTTTTCAGGAAAATTTAAGACTTTCTTCTTTTCTAGAAAAAATATCTACTGTTGTTCCATTTGAAAAATATAGTCCAAAATTAAATATAACATTTATTAAAACTATTTCTGAACTTTTAAAGAGACCTGAGCCGACTTTTGATTTTTTAATGTATTAGATTTGATTTTTTTAAATATTTTTTTACTGAATTTAGGTTTAATCTTGATAATAATGATTCTTTTATGGATAATACATTTTGTAATTTTTTTAAAAAAAAAACAAATGAAAAAAATAGTACTAAAACTGAAACAGAATGTTTAAAACAATCTGATAATAATGTGAATTCTTGTATGACAAAAACAACTTCGAACCATTTTGGATTTATAAATGCTAAAAAAGTTCTTTATAATAATATAAATAATGACAATCAAAAAAAAATATTTAAACAAATACATAGCTTTAAAAAAAATGAATACTTTAAACAATATACATATAAAAATGATAAAGATCCGAATTCTTTAATTGAATCTCAATTCAAATGCACAGATGAATCTACATACATTCAAGAATTAGATATGCAAGAAAGTTCGTGTAATGATAGTAATATTTTATCAGAATCTCCAACAAATTTGCACCAAATACAGTCTATAAAGCCTCTTCAAATGAGTAAACAAAAAGCACTACCTCTTGTTAAACGTTTAGGAATACGTAGAAAAATGCCCAAACGTGCTATATTTTATGGAAATAAGTAAATTGAGTGTTATTTGAATGATTTATACACAACAATGTATATTTATATATATTTGTATGTTGCATATTCTATAAATTTACTTGTTTATTGTTATATATAGATTAGGATTTTTTTGCATATTTTATACATTCAAGACAATAAATAACGCTATTTCGTTGATATCTAGTTTAAGTAAGATATTATGGTTTGTTTAATATTGTGTATACTGTATAATCCTACATATATCACAAACAATATGATGACAAATAGTGCAAAGATAATCTTCAGAGTCTGATAGTGTATCAGCTGTAAACACAATCAGTTTATCACAATCATCACATTTCAATGATTTTAAATTAGTATTATTTTGCTTAGTTTCTTTATTTGAAATTATATTTTGAGCCGAATATAATTTAGTTAGTGTAATAGCTATTAATATTTGATTAGGAAAGTACAAAAAGCAAATATATAAAAAATTACTATGTATTTCTTCAATCGATGGGCGATTCTCTTTATATTTTTTTTTCAAGCGAGTATAAAACAATGAATCATTTAAAGTTCGCTTTTTATTCATATTTTGATTTTTAGTGCATTTAAATTTATTTTTAAAAAAAAAATATTAGTGAAAAATATTTTAATATATATATTTGAGTATCAATTAAATGCTAAATATTTACAAATTTGTTTTTAATCCCAATAATGTATCATTCCATCCCATCCTAATAAATATGTTTAAAATATTATAAAAAAAATAGTTTTAAATACCTCCTGTTACAACTTTGCTTGTTTCTTGAGGATGAAAGGCTATTGTAGATAAAGGACCATTATGTGCAGCAAATTTTTTATACATTCTACATGTTTTCCAATCTGGAATAATTAATAATAAATAATTAATTCAAAAAATCATTTACCCCAAAAACACGCATAACCACCTGAATCACCACTACATAACAAACGCCCTAGCATTTATTAAACTAAAAGATTCGTGAAAAAATATACTAACCATCTGGAGAAAAATTAACTTCCAATGCATATCCAGCACAGCTATGGCCTTTAAAATTCTTATGGCGTCTTTGTCTAAATTTATCTACAACTGAAAATACAATTATTTGATTATCAAGAGATTGACAAGCTACATATTTTCCAGAAGGATGTAACGCTACTGATGGCATAGAATGCATATAGGGTTCTGCAATATATTTAATAGGAACAGGTATTCCATATTCCCAAGCACGTAATGATTTATCATCCGAGGTAGTTATAAATCGTCTATTTTCATCAATAAACGTAATTGTATTTACTGCTCCTAAATGGTGATCATATTCTTGTATAATTTTTCCAGAGTTTATATCAAACTATAGAGGTTATTAATTTAAATGTAAAAAAAAGCTTAAACATACCTGAACAATTTTTTTATCTGACATTCCAGTAAGAAATTCGTTTTGTTTATCATGATCTGGATTAAATTTTACAACATAAGGAATTTTTCCTGTAGTAAATCGAGATATACATTGTCCTAAAATACTTAGACTTCTTCAGTTATAAAAGATAATATATTTACCTGTTTCAGTGTCCCAAAGTTTTATCATTCTATCATAACTTGCACTTAAGAACTTTCGACCATCATTTGTAAACGTTATATCTCTAACACCTGTACTATGTCCAAAATATGTACGAAGAAGCGATCTATCATGATAAACATCCCAAAGCTATCAGTAAATAAACAATACGTATAAAAAAATTAATCTAATAAAACCTTGATTTTAGAATCCATAGATCCAGAAAGCATAAGGTGTCCAGAACGAGGAAAAAATCTCACTGAAGAAATAGTCTTTGTATGATCTTCCCATGTGTGAATGAGTTTTTTTGGGACAAAGCATTCCTGTTGTCCTGGTTCTTTTGATAAATTTATGTCTAAATCTTGAGGTACATGTATATATGTTCGGCCTAATTAAAGTATAAAAATAAATTAAATAAATTAGGAATATTACCTTGATAGTCATATATACTTTCTCCGTGAAATGTTGTTTTTTCTATGCCAGTTGTATTAACATCAAGATCTTGAGACTCGATGATAGGATTAGAAACAGGAATTTCATCTTCATCTTCTCCATCCGTGTCTGGAGGAGATAATGTTTGTTCTATTTCTATGTGTTTATATTTTGCCCAAGGGCCTTTATATGTATTTTCTCCATAAACTGTTGCTAAATCACCTTCTTTTTCTCTCATTTTTTTTAAATCTTTAGTTCGTTGCTTATCAAACTTTCTTTCTAATACACTCTCTCCATTTTGCTTCATAGCAAGCTCCAAATCTCCTACAAAAGCTTCAGGTCCATGCAACCCTATGGCTTGGATTGATGGGTCTCGTGCATATCCAAATGCATTAAATGTACGATATTGATCACGGAATGTCGCATCTGAAAAGCCCTGTTCCTCTACATGACCTACACATATTAGATGTTTCCTAAAGATACGTATATTTACCTGTGATCACTGTTTTCTCATTAAGTGTTTGTCCATTAAATGGATTAATAGGTCCCTGGACGGGTTTAGAAAGATCTTCATATGGGATATTTATCATTATTTTTCGATTTTTTAAATCATTTTGTGTTAATTTAAGCTTCTTAGTGTCCTGTAATTTATATTTTAGAGTTTTTAAGGATAAAAATTATATAATCACCTGAAGAGATATATCTGGTGCTGCTATAATTTTTCTATGATTATTTGATTTTTTTGTTGATAGTTCTATTTGATCTTCGTTTTCATCTGAAGATGCATAGTTAACAAGTGCCATTTGGCAATTCTTTTGAATTTGCGTATTTTTATATCTTTTTATTTCGTTTTTTTAAAGTATAGATTGTCTCGAATCTTAAATTTGCATGATCGATATCTCTGTATGTGAATAAATGTGGGTATTGGAGAGCAATTCAGATGAATTGAATGGTATTTAAGTGCTTTTTTCTTGTTTATATTAGTTTAATATGTACTAATGCTTTAATTTTAGGTGTTCGTCGATATTTAAGACCAGGGAAGGAGTATCTTGTTGGGCGTGCAAAATGTAAAAAAAATAGAAAATACTGGATAAAAATGGCTTATTTTGAAAGATATTACGGATATTACGATTGAATCGAAAACAGTGAGTAAAATACATGCCAAATTTGTTGTAGGAAATGTGGAAAAAGGATCATCTGTAAATTATTTGTGATTTGAAAAAAGCTTGTAAAAATTGTTTTTTAGTTGCTTTTGGATGAAAAAATACCAATATATGTTGTTGATCTTGGTTCTAAGTTTGGAACAACCATAGATAATGTACAATTGATGAATGCATCTAAGAAATGTGACCAAGGTTCCCAAGAGATTATATTTGCAAAATGCCAAGGAAAATTCAGGTTTGCATTTGCTAGTGTTTGAAAACAGTGATTAATTTTCTAAGATTATTCTGGAATCCTGTTGTTTTTACTTTGTCTGGAATAAAATTAAAAGATATTCAGCCACTGGTAGAAGTTTATGGTTTTATAGCTAACAAATTATTCCTATAATATTTATTTTTAGGCATTAAAATTTCAAAAAAGTATTCTGAAAAAACAACACATGTTATTTCCAAGCAGAGAAATACTGCTAAAAATCTTCAAGCTTTAATTTATGGTGTATTTGTAGTAACTACTTCTTATGTAAACGAACTTATAGAAACAATAAGCCTTATAGAACTCGATTTTGATCATGGATTCCCTAATCCTCAAAAACATATTCCCCCAGATAATATATATTCAACTATTGATGCATGTTCAGAGGACTTTATGCCTAATAATAAGCGGAAGTATTTATTTCAGGGATTAACTTTTATTTTTTTTGATGAGAAACAAGTAATGTTTTATTTAATTTTATATTTAGAATTTACAGAGTTAGTATTTTAATTTATCTCCTCCAGTAAATTCTGCTAGTGGAAAAGCTGTTTTTTGTAAAAATACGTCTAATGTTGAACAAATCATTCTATTTATGCAAAATCATTCTAATGCAATTGCTGTATTACCACTTAAAGATTCCTATTATATTAATATAGCATCTAAAAGGTCTGTTTTTATATCAATATATACGTGTAACTTATATAATAGAACTAAAATAAATTTAATAAATCAAGATGATTTCTTGGAGCCTATATTAAAGTTGGATCTTTCTTTATTCAAGAAAAATTCTTATGAAGACTATGATTCAATTTATATGAATAATTTTACATGTGAAAAAAGTAGTGTTTCAGAATGTCATAAACAATTATTAAATAATAAAAAATACAATTGTGGTATATTATGAATTGTATTCAATTCTTGAAAAATATTTGATGAATATAGAATCTTCTCCTAGATTTGGATTAGAACTAAATAACGAAAATATCTGTCAAGGTAACAATTTATTTAATGTTTGGATAAATATATATTATTAGTTTCTAAGAAATGCGATTTAAATAATGTTTTAAGTGATAATGTTGTGATTTTTGTATTATTTAAGTAATTATTGATTATTTAAGGATAATAATTGTGATATTAAATCATTGGAAATTATAAATGATGTTGATAAAAACACTGTTTTACAAAAATTTTCAAATTTTAATAGGTTTATAACAGATGACAAAATGATTCATCAAGTGTCTGATAATAAGGTATTTAGTTTCTATTGGGATTATAAAAGTTGATAAAATTAGTCATGTTTTATTTCTACTAATACTGATATAAAAACGAACCACGCGCTTAATAATCATACAGATTTTGTTCAAAATACTCTATTTTCACCAAATAAATTGAATACTATGCATCGTAAGATTATTAAAAAATTATTTTAAAATTATGGTTTTAATCTTTAAAGATATAAATGGAATGGGTTTTCAAAATGCAGAAGATTTTTCAGAAAAATTGTCTTTAAATGAAAAAGTTTTAAATAGGAATATGCACGAAACTAAATCCTATAATCATTTGAATTTAAATTCATTTTTTGCATCTGATATTAAAAATTCTCAAGTTTTTTTAACTCCTGTTTCGCAAAAAAATGAGATAATATTGTCTCAATATAAAGAAAATGAATTAATAGATGATCATTGTCTTTCTAATCTTTATGAAAAAGGAGAAAATTCAAAAGCTGTTGAATATTCTAAATTAGAATTGAATTTACAAAAACCTTCTATAGATATTTCTTCTCGTTGGGATCCTAAATGGAATGGAAGAAAAAATTTTAAAAAATTTAGAAGAGTTTATTATTAGATTTTTGTAAATAATGTCTAATCTTTTTAGGCTCAAAGAACACAACCAACATACACTCAGCATGTTCGTCTTATAGAGTATAAGCCTGAAAGTATGCGGTTTATTTCAGGTATACAATATCTTTGTGTTTTATTTTTATAATAATATATTAGAACCTAATAAACAAAAGAATAATAAACAAATATTTAGTAAGATATTTTCCAATTAAAATAAAACAATTAATTTTTGCAGAAACAAATATTAATAATAATGGTTTGAGTATTTCAGAAAATGATTTAAATAGAGATAAAATTAAAGTATTTTCAAAAAATATTGAAAATTATTTCGATATCAGTCAAGATAACAGTGATGATGATCCCTTAAAATTTAGATTATAATCTGTATTATAATCATTTATGCATTATGGCTCCATGTTAAATAATGTTATTTTTTCTATATATTGTTTTGCATATATTTAAATGTAATTTCGAATTTATTAGTTTTAATTTTCTTTGGTTTTAGATGATTCAGATAACATTAATGATCTATTGATTTGTTGTAGTTGTTGTATTCCTGTAGAATATAAATATTTTATTGTTCTCTATTAATGTTAGGGTTTATATTTAAATATTCTTTATTAACAATATCATGAATTTTCCTATTTCTTTCAAATTCTTGACGAACCTAATTTAAATTAGTTGAATTTAGTTTTTAAAGGAAATTTACCCATAGATATATTTCATTCCTTTCTTTTTTTTTTAATTCTAAACAATTTAATAGTGAATACAAATAATAGGATATTATACTTTTTGTAGATCTTAAAATTTCTCTATATAAACTAATAACTTTATTTTTTAAAATAAACTAATTGCTATTATTATAATTTTATATGAAACAATATAAAAATAGTAACATGTTTAAGTGTTTTTTCTACTTTTTCCATTATCGAATTTATTGTATTAATAATTGATAGGTTAATAAATTATATATAAAAATTATATTTAGATACTGGTTATTATAATCATTATAAATTATATAATTAATGAAATAATGAAAAAAAATAATTTAACATAAATCCTTAGACTTAGGAAAAATTATTAAGATTCAAAAAATACTCGCAATAACATAAAGTTGTCTTTTAAGATTAAGTGTAGAAGGAATAGGTTCTTTGGACATAGATAATTTTACTAACCATGAAAAATCACTTTGAGAAGCTAATGAAATGCTTGATTTATAACTAGCTTTATTAAGTTGAAAATGTTGTGATGATATTTCGAATTTTTTAGCAGATATTTCTGCGTTTTTGATGATTTCTTCGGGAATGCCAGCCATAGCAGCGACATTCTATATACATAGTAAGAACCGTAGTATAATTTAGATTATAACTACCATTCCATATGAATTAGAGCTCATACCCGGTCTTAATTCATATAAAAATGTTATTTTTTTCTTATCTTCATCAACATGTGCAGCCATATAATACATAGCTATTTTTGGATGATTTTCAAAGTCTTTCACCAAAGAATGATAATGTGTAGAGAAAAATCCAAGACATCCTACATATGTAGATAATTGATGAAGTGTAGCATATGCGATTGCCAGACCATCATAAGTTGATGTTCCCTATTGTAATAAGCTATAACTATACTAGAAATATATAACCAATACCCGCCCGAGTTCATCTAAAATAACTAGTGACCTTGAAGTTGATTCTTGAATAATTTTTTTAGTTTCTGAAAGCTCCACCATAAAAGTAGATTGTGATGCAAATATATTATCACTTGCTCCAAGTCTACTTCTAATCGAATCCATAGGAGTAAGTACAATACGCCTTAATAAAATTAAATAAAGAAATATTTAGTTTTATATTACTTTGCAGGAACCCAACAACCAAGTTGAGCTAATATTACAGCAATACATGTTTGCCTTAATAAAGTAGATTTTCCCTAATATAAATTAATTTTTATTAAAGAAAATTTGAATAAAATATACGGCCATGTTTGGTCCTGTTAGCAAAGCAATTGTTGGATTGTTTCTGGACCCACCTAGCTTGATACTATTCGGCACGAAGCATGATGAAGTACTACAACAATTAGTACTAATAGAAAAAGACAAAAAATAACTTTTGAACTACACATGGATGCCGTAATTCATCAAACTCTAAAATACTATATTCACTATCAACAATTTGCGGACGACAAGACGGTTCTGCAAATTCCATAGACGATATTGATAAGCTTGTTAAACAGTCTAAATATGCAACATTTTTGATTACTTTCAACCATTGGAAATAATTTTTATCGAAATAAGTAAAAAACGTATTTTGAACATTTTTAATTATAACTTTATGAGCTTCTTGAGCTTCTTGAAGTTGTCGTACTTTTTTTTTCAATTCAGGAGACCAATATCTATTCACAGACTAAATAATTAAAATTTTAGTAGCTCAATTATTGTTAATACGAACTTTTGTAGATGAAAGTTTTATCCACGAAGATGGTACTTTAATAGATTTAGGAATTTCTAGTTGGTATATTTCTTTTCCAATATTTCTAAAAGTAATTTGAGGTGACCTAAAATTCATATTATACAATAATAACAATAATAAAGAAAATCACTTGAATTGGTTTTTATAATCTTTTTCCATCTGAAAAAGCTCATTTTCAATGGCTTTTATTTTATCTTGAGAATCATCAAATTCCTTTTCAATTCCAGGATTAGGAATAAGCATATCTAATAGTATTAGAATTTAAATAATATAATTATATGTATTACTAGATACCTTCACTTTTACATTTTTGCCAATTAAATATTTTTTGCCATTCATCAAGAATATTTACAAGATTTGGAATGTTATTTATAGTATTCCAAAGAAGGCCATTATTTGGTTTTATATTTTTAGAAAGGTGCTCTAATGTGCAATATATAGTATTAAATCCTTCTAAAACACATACGAAATCTTTACTTTTGCAATTTTTGGCATGAATTCGTGAAATCATTCGTTCAAGATCCGGAAGTGTTTTAAAAGAATCAATAATAATCTTTCTAATTGAAAGATCGTTTAATAGTTCTACTGCATCTAATCTTTCGTTAATATCTTTAACTGAACGTAATGGATGGCATAGCCAAAGTCGAAATAAACGTTTTCCTATTAAAAATATTAATAATAAAATCATATCAAACTACTTTTACCAAATGGGGTTATGCATCTATTAAGAAGTTTTATAAGAGTTCCTTCTGTTCCTCCATCATAAGAATTATTAAAAATCTATAAATTTTATGTCAATATGAACATATATCAAATAATATAGTAACCTCAAGGTTTTTCAGGGTTTGTCCATCAAGAATAAGTGATGAAGTTTTTTGTATAGGGTCATACCATTCGAAATTCCCAAGAGTACATAAAGTTTTATCCATTTTTAGCTCATAAAATTAATATAATTTATATAAAAGTTAAATTACTAACTGTTTTCAAATACCATATTAAACCGCCTACAGAAGATAATGCTAATGGGTAGTCTCGTGCTTTTTGAAGTGCAGAAGGCCAGCTTTTATAGTCATTATTTTCGAAATAACCATTCATTAAAATTTCTGATTCAGTTGTTTGCTCATTCCAAAATTCTATATTTGGCTTTATAAAATTACATATCATTTCATTAATTCCAGAATTTTTTAAAAGTTTTATAGTTTGAGGAGTGACGTTCCCCTTGTATAATTAAATAAAATAAAGAATTCAAGCCAAATTACTTTCTCTAAAATAAGTTCTTTTGGTCTTATCTGAGTAATAAGAGTATGAAGTTTTGTTCTTATAAAATCATCTTCAAAATATGTAATATTAAAATGTCCGACAGAAGCATCAATAAAGCATACTCCAAAACATATCTGAGATTTATCCATTTTATAGTCCTCCTAAATATAATTATTGATTTAATTAAAAAAAACTTTGAATTAAACCTTAATCGCCATACAATATGTTGACATCTCTGATTTTATAATTCCTTCATTAACAAGCGTTCCAGAAGTTAATACTTGGACTAATTCTCTTCTAACGACTTTTTCTTCTTTGGTTTTAGAAATCTTATCTCTCATTTCTTTACTAAGAGCTGATTCTAATTGATCTACACGAGCAATTTTGAAATTTTTTGCAATAAATTTAGAAGCCCAGTATTCGTAGTTAGCTTCTGGAATACCAACCATTCTAAATTTAGTAAATACTAAATATATATATATAGAGATGAGAACCTCATAGTTCCAACTCTATCTGTCATCTTAAGATTAAATAATTGATGACCAATATCTGCATCTAATTGATATAATTCATAAAATTTTCCTTTTTGAAAAAAAACTACTGTATCCATAAACTTGCATTTAATATCCCAATATTGCTTCTCGAATGGCTTGAATGACTTGTATGCACTTGGGGGTATATATAATGTTCTTTCATCATAATTGGGAGATGATGACAAATTTCCATCAGCATCTCTTCTATATTCAGGAAGCAAAAACATATAATTTTCACTATTTTTGTCACTAATATCCTCAAAATGTTGTTTTGTTTCTTGGTTATTAAATGGAAATTCTGAAGATGGTTTTTCATATGACATATTAATCGATGGAGATCCATCTATAATTTCTACAATTTTTTCTTCTGATTTCTCATCCTTTTCCTTTTCTATATCTTTAATTCTATTCTTTAATATCTTTGTTTTTTTCGTTTTTTTTGAATTCTTTTCTTGATTACTAGTTATAAAATCTGAATCTTAAATCGATAAGAATAAATCTATTGTAGTTATAAGTTATTTACCCTCTTTTTCATCATGAATAGTTTTATTTTCTAAAATAGTTGCTTTGAATTCATTGTCACTATCATCCACAATCTTGGATTTTTTTCGCCTTACTGCTTATAAATGTCATTATATAATAGACCGATATAAATGAACTAATACCACATGTATAAACTATGTTATTTTCATCTTCTGAATCATCTTCACAGTTAAATCTTTTTTGAGACTAAGAAATCAATAAATCTAATTTTTAGGAAATATAGGATATTTACATTATTTAATGGTGGAGATAAAGGAAAAGGAGAAGAACTTTCTACCTCCAGATGTGGCCTCCTCTCCAGATCGCTTTCTATGTTTGAAGTTAAAGGGGTAGATATACCATTAAAAGAAATAGTTTTTTCATGATTCGATGACTGTTTTTTTGTATTAAATGGTGTTTCAAAAGAATCTTTTTTTGCAGGAGATAATATATTTATAGATTTTACAGGAGTAGTTGGAAATTCATTTGAATTTTGCTTGTTTTTTTCTGATTTTTTAATAAACCCTAGGAGTGTTTGCTGTTTAGTATTCTTAGAATTCTTTTGCATTTATATCATATATTTAAAAAAAAAAGTGCTTATGCGTACTTAAATTATAAATATGTTAAAATTTTTAAGTTTATAGGTTATTTTAATAGAGTAGATTACATTAAATATTTAACGCGAAACGCGTGGTTGGTAAGATTTTGTTATATGCACGTGATTTATTTTATAAAAAAAGGAAAAATACATAAAATCCTATTATATATATGTTATTATGTATTTAATTGTATAAATTAGTGGATTTTTATATATTTATGTAACATATTTATGTATAAAATTTTTAAAGGTTTTTTAAAACTAAATTTCTGTTCTTGAACGGTTTCGTTATTGATAATATTAACGTCAAAAAAAATAGTTTAATTTTTTAATGGATTATGATTGAAATTATAGAGTATAATGGGTATTTTTTGTTTTTTTTTTTTTGTAAATAATAGAATTTTCTTTTTTTGGCTTTTTTTTTTTCAGATTTTTCAAAGTTATGCACAAAATCTATCTGATACAGAATGGTTTTACCAGCTTCAGTGTAGGAATACTGCATTTGTGTTTAATACATATTGTTTTTCTTTGGAAGATGATATTCTTGAAAGATACCCTTTTGCAAATAATGGAGAATTTAATGGAAAGTTTAAAAAAGAATTCGAAAATCTTGTTGAATCTTTATTTTTATCTTTTGATGACTGGAAGAAACATAGTGTTTTTGATACTTTAAACAGGAGTGAAGTAAATGATTTTAATAATACAGAAGATAATTCTAAATATTATATTAATGAGTCATTTTTCCATGATTTTAAAAAAATGGATCAGGTATATACTGATAATGATCTTAGGGATAACCAAAAAGATAAAATACATATTGAAACCAATAGTTCTTCTGGAAATTTTTTGTATAACTTATTTAATCATAGTGGTCGTTCGAAAATATTGCCTAAAGAAAGATTTAATTATGCATCAGCTGATTGTGCTGCCTCTGTTTTGAAAGCAAATGCAGAAGCAAAAGGTGTAGCATTTATATTATCGTCAAATAAGGATCGTTATATGCTGAATAAATGTTCTGCTAATAATAAATTTGTTATTATTGAACTTTGTAATGATATTCTCATTGATACAATTGTATTAGGTAATTTAGAGTTTTTTTCTTCTAGTTTTAAAGATTTTCGTATTTCTGTTTCTGATAGATATCCTGTTAAAAGATCTTTATGGAAAGAATTGGGTATATTTACAGCTATGAATATAAAAGATATTCAAACATTTACTATTACTAATCCTTTAATATGGGCAAAATATTTGCGTATAGATTTTTTAACGCATTATGGTGATGAATTTTATTGCCCAGTTACACTTTTGAGAGTTTATGGTACAACAATGATTGAAGAATTTAAATATGATGAAAATGAGTTTGAGGAAAATAATCAGGTTAGTAACAAGAGTTCTTTTAGAAACAATAATTTACAAATTTAGTCTGGAACTGAATCAAGTTTTAAGGAGTATTCTTTTGGAAAGCAAAAAACAAATTATCCTAATAATAAAATTTCTGAAATTTCATCTTCACCTTTTCAATATTTTGTTGGTACTCCAATAGTTATCGATTATGCTGTTAAGACCTTAAATAATAACATAAATCACAACATGGCATCATATCCATTATGTTTTATTTCTACGTTAAAAAAATCTTTAAATAATTATGATTATCAAATATCAGCTTTATTTTTAAAAGATCTTGTTTGTTCAGCTTTGAATAACCATAGTAATCAGGACCTGAATTTAGTATCTGAAAAAATGAATTCATCTTTTGTTTCTCTTGTTTCTAATGTTTCTACTGAATTACCTACAAAGTCTACATTAGTTCAAGGTTCAAGTAACTCTTTGATTCAAATGTTTCTAAAAAAAAAGGAATAGGTACACAAATAACTCAAAGTATTAAACAACAATCTTCACCTTCGAATACAGAAAATGTAGGAATGCAAAAAAATATATATAAAAACATTAGTAAAAGGTTATCTTTTTTGGAAATAAATACGACTCTTTATTTACAGTATATTGAGCAACAATCTAAAATATTAAGGAGTATATTTGTTAAAATGGAAAAAGAACATGATGATAAAATAGATTTTATTATTCGAACTTTAAATTCTACTTTATTTTCTCGCTTAGATATATTTGTAAAAATTTCTATTTATAGATAATTTGATCTAATTTATATAAAGAAGCATCAGTATGAAGAATTATGGCAAATTATTACAACAGAAATTGAATATCAAAGGACTAGATTAAAAAATGATATAAATATAGTTACTTTTAAAATGGAATATTTATCTAATGAGGTTTTTTACTTTTTTTTAATTTTAAAAGATTGAATTTTATAGATTTTGATTCAAAGATGGGTTATTATTTTTCAGTTTTTGGTTTTGTTTACTATTCTTGTTTTTTTTGTTATTAAACAATTTGCTTAAATTTTTGTTATATAGATATATATAAGTTAAAAAATAAGATATATTTTGAAAAATTTAGTTGTTGTTAATTATTTAAAAAGATTTGGTTTATCTTATGACTATAATTTCAAAGATTATTTTTTGATTGCTTTATCTTAGATATTTTTTATTATAAAACCATTCATTATAAAAAAACATTCATAAAATAAATTTTTTTACTAAATAAATTAATCTACTTTTAATTTCATGATTTCATGTGATATCTTGTTATTTGAACTAATATATAGTTATATTAATTTTTTATTTAGGAGTTTTAATTATTATCTTTTAAAATACATAAAGCTATATCTAGGTAAATCTTAATACAATTAAAAAAAAGAAAACAAATTAAATATTTGATTCACATGATTAAGGATTTTGAAAATATTTCATTTTTGCTTTTATATTTAAATTTTTAGAAATATACATATACTATTTAATATTTAGTTTTATTAAATATTACTTTAATAAAAACAATGTCTTTATTTTTTGTTTTATATCATTTTTAAAGGCTATCAATTATTAAATGTAAATTTAATATTTTTATAGAAGAAAAATTTAACTTATTGTATATATAAAGAATATCTTTTTATAATTTAAATAAAAAACCATAAAATAAAAATAATGAAAATACATTTCATGGTTTCAAAAATTGTTCTTTTAAAAGTCTACATTTAATGAATAAAAATACATGTGAAAGATTCTGTATAAAAACTAAAAACTTAGAAATATATATTTCCCTGAAATATTCTAGATTAAAAAAAAAGGTTATTATTTATTACCATAATTTTATAGGTTACAAACGAAAAACACTTCAAACAAATAAATTCAAATATTAAATTTATACTGATTCTTGAATGGATGGTTTATTTAAGTTAGATTGAACTTGAGTAAACATATTTTGCAATGATTGAGGCTTTGCTCTATAAATGTTTATTTTTTAGAAATTTAAAGTATTAATATTTGAGTTTATACTTATTATAATATTTCCGTTTATGAGCCTGTAGCTTAGCAGTTGTAGGAGACATAAGATCATCTGTAGGTGATGCTATATTTCCTCTAAAAATAATCAATAAACCATTTTTGCTGCATTAAAAAATATAACCCATATATAATTTTTCTTTGCAAAAGTTGACGTTGAAGCTCTAAATTTCCTTGATGCATAGGTTGAATAGATGTATCTTCTATTTCCATGTTAAATGTTTGATTTAAATTATTTAATGAAATCATATCTATTATGATTAAAATCTTTAAAATAAAAGAATTGTAACTATACTATTCATTTTCTAAGAAAAAAAAGAAAAATATAAAAAATTAAGGTAAATTAGTTTAAATTGTTTCGATTTCAATTTTATAAGAGAAAACAAAACATTTCTCACGTGAGGTTGCCAAGAGCAACGTGTCACGTGACTACATAAATATATTACTCTAATTATATTCATTAAATCATATTCATATTTTTAGAAATTTTAGAGAATATATATTAGATATGAATACAGAAAAGGATAGATAATGATATAGATTTAAATATAAAAATATTAGAATCGGATCAAGTAATAATTATGTACAAAAAATATGTTAATTTTTTATTTTATAAATTACAATAAAAATATTTTTGCTCACTCTACTATTTTTACACGATGATTTTTTCGTTTATTCACATTAAAATGCTTTTTAGATTTATTTAAAACATTATTTTGTAAATTATGCTAATTCACGTAAATTTTTTATTATTTAAAGTTTTTAGAAATCACCTCAAAAGAATGTGTCATAATAGGTCCAACATATTTTTTATAATAAAATTCTTTACTTTTTTGATTTAATTCCAAAGATGATTCATTTTGGCAAAAAAAATTTTTATCAAATGCTAGTAATTTATTATTTTTTAATTCTTGAGTTTTACGATAAATCTTTTCTTTATTATTTAGCATCGTTCTTTCAGATACATTCTCTTCAATAGAATCGTTTGTTTGTGGATATCTTTTTATAGATGATTTAAATGAGTTAAAATATTCAGAATTAAAAACGACTGGATCGATTCCTGGAGGCGGATTGCAGAACAGTATTTTTCCATTAACATAATCCTTTATAATATATCTAGAAGCCTTAGATTTATCTATTCCGCGACTAATTGTATATTCTATTAAGAACTGTTCAGGCATAAAAATTTTAGTTTCGTTTTCCTCAAAAGACTCTGTTTTTATAACAATTCCGTATATCGATTCTAAAACGTACTTTGGAATACGTTCTACAATCAAAGAAAGTGGACTCATGTAATCTTGAAGCTGATCAATTGGTAATATGCCGTTACAAACAAGATCTGCCTTAGTTGTACTAAAGTTTGGAAATACTAGTCCTGGACAATCACATAGTACTAATTTATCAGTTATATGAATAGTTTGGAAATGTTTTGTTTTTCCTGGAGTAGCTGATACAGATACTTTTTTTTCACCAATTAAAGAGTTAATTGTTGATGATTTTCCTACATTTGGATATCCCACTAGCCCTACGTAAAATTTTTCTAAATTCTCAATATTAACATTGTTATTATTAGTCTTTAATGTTTGTATTTTTTTTAAAAATATTTGCTTTAATTCATTTACAGTTACTATTCTTGTTTCTTCATTCTCGAAAAAATCATTTTCTATTTTTGTATTTTTATCCAAAATATTATTATTATTTAAAAAACCTTTATTTCCATTAAATACATTTTCATTTTTTATATTTTCACAAATATTAAATTTTATGTCGACAGGATATTTATCTATATTTTTTCCCAATATTGCAGAAAAGAATGTGTAACTTATTCCTTTCATTTTAAAATAATCTGCCCAGTATTTTCTTTAATAATTTAACATTATATATTACGTAAATTCTATTAAATACCTTTGTTTTAACGTCATTAAATCCGCTTTATTAATTAATAAAAAATTTTTTTTATCCATTTCCTCAACATAACGCTCAAGATCTTTAGATCTAAATAATAAAGGATTTCTGGCATCAACAATTTGAACAATTAAATGGCATTTTTCGATCACTCTCCACAATTGTCTCCAAACTTCTATATTTCGTTCAAATGGAGTTAAAAGCAAATCATGATCTTCCTGAAGACTTTAAGAAAATTAATAGATATTAAATATAAATATAATGAAACATTACGATGCTAATTTTCTGCGCCAATCAAAAAACGCTTGTTTTTCATTCCTTTCAAGCTCTTCTGGAGTAGTATTAGAATCCCAATATGGTCTATATATTAGATCTAGTAAAAATAAAACCTATTAATTACCGTCTTGGGATAATTAAATCAGATCTTAACTGTTCATGAATTTTAAGAAGCTCTTTTTCTTTTTCATATGGCAAAAGTAAAATATTTCTTTGATTTTCTCCAATAACTTTTATATTATTTTTTTCTATTTTTATTAAAAGATATAAAAACACAAGTTTTAATTTACCAGTTACAACATTTGCTTCAGACAAACTAATTGCAGATAAAAATGCATCTATTGACTTTTCATGAGTAATAGACTGTAATTTCTTTGATTTGGAATCCTTTTGACTATTTAAATAAGCCTTTAAAGTATTAGTATATGTTTTCTTAAATATCTCAACAAACATGTGGTTTTTTTTTGCAAAAATTGCGAATCTCATTTCTTAAAGAATTTCCAAGGCAGTTTTGTAACTTCCCTTTCTGTAAGGGCTAGAAATATTATGTTTATATTAAAAAATATTAACAAATTTACCATTTTTTTAAAAAAAAATAGTTATCATTTGATATCGTAAGTTAAATTATAGTAACCGTTAACACCATTAAAAATGGTAAATTTTGCTATATCTTTAAAATACAATTAATAACTATTTTTTAGACAAAAAAAAAGTTTATTGACAAGAAAAAAGCAGTTACATTTCATCTAGTTCATAGGTTTTTGAAAATTTAAAAAAAAAAAACTGATTAATAACAAATATAGGTCTCAAAGAGATCCATTAATTCATGACGATCAAGCACCATCAAGAGTGCTTATTCCTGTATGTTCAAGTAATGAAGAAAGAGTACCTAACAGTTAATACAACTTATACTTTTTTTAATTAGTTTAGATTTCGGTTGAAACAGAAATACATGAGCACAAAAATAATATTAATTGTGATATAAAGGAAAAAAAACAGAATAAAGATCTCAGAGAGAATATTGGAGAAGCTTTAATGTATGGCATTTCATATGATGATACTGATTATGACTACATGCAACATCTTCGAGAAGTGAACAAGTCTCCAGGTACAATTTTATTGCAAGCACCAACATATCAAAAATCAAATGTTATTCAAGAACTCCCTAAAATCCTGTTTCCTTCAGAAGTTGAAGAAAAGAGAAACTATCAAGACCAGCAGTCTATTCCTGATAGTATATCCGGTTTTCAACCAGACATGGATCCAGAACTTAGGGAAGTTCTAAAAGCTCTTGATGATGATCATTATTTGTCGTCAGATGAAGATGGTGATTTAGATGCTTTGATAAATTCAGGAAAAGTAGATGATTTAAATACTTTTCGAAACATAGATAAGGATGATTCGGATTCAGATGTTACAATAAAAACGTCCAAAGAAGTTCCCGATGAAAATAGTATTTATGATGATGATTTTTCTTCTCAAATTTTTAAATATAAAAAAAACTCTCGAAAATTATTATCAACAACTACTTATAATTCAATGTCCAGTTCTATACTTCCTAGAAGTGAAGCATTAATACTTTTAGATGATAGATTTGAAAAGGTATATATGAGATTATTTTTTTTTAAAAATTTAAGTTCATTTTATAGATAGAAAAAGAATATAATGATGATAATATAAATAATGAGGATTTGGATGAAGAAAATAGTTCACAGAGAATAGATTTTGATTCAATAATGGATGATTTTCTTGATAATTATGAAATAGTAGGCAAAAAAATGATGCCAAAGATTTCTTCAAAACAATTTAATACAAAACATTTAAAAAGCATAGCAGAATTAAATGAAGTTCGACAACAATTAGGAAAAACAACAATATAAATAGGTCCCGATATTTCAAAAATATGTACTAATACAAATCGAAACTATTATTAAAAACAATGACTTATTTATCAATACTGTGTTAATACATGATATATATATATATTACAAATAAATAGGAAAACATTAAAGTTACTTAATCTCGTGAAGACATTTAAAGACAAGGTATAAAATTTATTTTCGTATTATGCTTTTTTTCCTTTGCTGTATTTTTTAAAAACAGGTTGAATTGAGTTAAGAGAATCAAAATTTTCTTCATTTTGATGATATAAATCGTTTATCTTTAGCATCTGATTGTTTGTAGTATCAAGGTCAGAATTAACATCATTTAGTGATTGATTTATTTGATTTCCTATACTTTTTTTGGAATTACCTTTTTGCGATGTATTTAATTTATCTTTTTGATTTTGGCGTTCTTGAATTTTCTTTAATTCATTATCATTGAGAAGCCAGGAAACAACTTCTCTATGATTTTTACCAAACTCTACTGATTTTCCTCCCGAGATAACAATATTTTGCACTTGTTGTTTCTGTTTTGCTCTCTCTAAAATGCGTTCTTCAATAGTTCCTCTTGTAACAAATCTGTATACTGTAACCTGTTTCATTTGACCAATACGGTGTGCTCTATCAGTAGCTTGAGCATCTGAACTAGGATTCCAATCAGAATCATAAAATATTACAGTATCGGCCGCAGTTAAATTAATACCAAGACCACCTGCACGAGTACTGAGAAGAAATACAAATATTTCCGGTCGTGTTTGCCAATCATTTACCATATCCCTTCTATCATTAATTTTAGATGATCCATCTAAACGAAGATATTTGTATTGTCTATATGTTAAATATTCTTCCATTAAATCAATCATTTTAGTCATTTGAAAATATATAAGAACACGATGTCCACCTGCCTTTAAAGTAGCTAAAAGCTCATCTAATTTTGCAAGTTTTCCTGAATCAGTAACAAATCTACCCATAGAAGGCATTCTAAGTTTCCCAAATCCGCATTTTTCAAGTAATGGCCTCCCTAATGTACTTTCTACAGGAAACTTAATAAAATCCAAATTTATGTTCTCATCAAGAATATTTTTCTCATCAAATGCACTAAGCCCAAGAAATTCTTTTCTAATATTTTCATCAAAAAAAAACAGCTCCTGCTCAACAGTAAAAGCTCTGTCTGTGCATTCAGCACTAATAGGAGGAGAAGAAACCTATAATATGTACGTTTAGAACTAATTAGCCAATCAATAATTATTAACTAACCTCTTGATCATACATTGGTTCTAGTCGATGAAGTAATTGTTGAATAACAACGTCGCGAGGTACATTGCATAAATTATACATAGCACATTCGTTTGTCATATTTAATGATGGTGTATTTTCATTAAACTTTCTTATTAAAAACATTAAACGATTAGATATTTGAATATCTTTTTGATACAGTATACGTAATTTTTCCAAATAATTTTTATTCGGATCTGTTTGAATATGAAGCGCTCTTTTCCATATATTATGATGAAACGATTGAACAAGTTCAGAAGGCGAAAGTCCGATAAAATATGACCATAAAAACGGGGAATCTAATTTTATTAAGCGCATTTTTTATAAAAAACATAATAAAAACCTACCATAATAATTTTTCCATAAAGAATCATAAATATATTTTGCATTAAATATATTCATTATATAATTGAAATATTTAGTACGAAATCCAAAAGACGAATTTGGTCCAGGAATGTTTAAAATACCACCATCACGATAAAGAAGTTTTGGTATTTTGAATCTAATTAAACTTTTCAAACTATATGGTATATAAAGATTCGGTCCTTCACGCATTAATGAAGGAGTTTCAGGCCATTGTGCAAAACATAAAGGTGATATGACATCCGTTCTTTCAAATAAATAAGGATGGTTACACACTTTTCTAAATTGCATAACGATATTCATAAGGCTTGCTACATTTTCGTCACCACCTTGTGTTGCTTTTTCGATAATATCTGCAATAGAGATTTTTTCACGTAATGTTTTGTAATAAGTTTTTTGGCGATAAGAAAGATTACAATAAATTTCTAATTCGATTTTTTCTCCCAGTTCACTTTGAACATGTTTTTTGACACGTCGTAACATAAAAGGTTTAAGAATCATATGAAGTCGCTGTAATTGTTCTAATATCGAATAAATACTAAAAAACAAGTACAATTATTCACATACGTTCATTTAAAGATGTATTGCTTTGAGCATGACTTTCAATATCTTTTGAAAACCATTCACTGAATTCATCATGAGAGTCGAATAAACTTGGCATAATAAAATGCAACAAAGCCCATAATTCTAATAATGTTAAACGTTGGACAAAAATCGTAGAAGAAATACCTTGCATTGTATTTTGAATCGGTGTTCCCGTTAAAAGTAAACGATTCCGACATTTCATATCTAATAAATTCTTCCATCTTGAGCTACTTGAACTTTTAATCGCTTGCGCTTCATCCAAAATCATGTATTGCCATTTTATTCGCTGAAAATATTGTGCATCTTGAACAACCAGTTGATAAGATGTAACAAGAACATGAAAAGGTGCATCTTCTGTATAGGTAAGTTGTTTTCTGTTCCAAAATTTACGCAAAATTTTTCGATCTTTTCCATTTCCCCAGTAAGGTAAAACCTAATAAACAATTAGATCGCTTGAAATTGAAAAGTGTGCTATACTTTCAACTTAGGCACAAAACGAGTAATTTCTTGCTGCCAATTATGAAGTGTTGATGCAGGCGCAATAACAAAAAATGGACCCCATATATTGTGGTTTTCCGCAAGATAAGCCATAACCGAAATTGATTGCACAGTTTTACCCAAACCCATCTCATCTGCTAAAATACCATTAATGCCTTGCTCATACAGATTGACAAGCCAATTGAGCCCTTTAAGCTGATATTCCTTAAGTTGGCATTGGAGCATTTTCGGCTGTTTAATAGTAATACTTTTAAGAGATGAAGGATTCATAAAATTCATTTCACTCCCATCAAAAATATTTTTACACGAATCTTGCTCATTCTTCACTTCTCCATTCGTCTGAACTGCATTAAATTGCTCAGCTCGATTCCTTGCCAATGCAACTGCTTCTTGTGCATTTCTTATTGCAATTTCTCGAAGAGATTCATCATCAACTCCATCAAAATCCACTTCTTTAATTGAAAGAGGCCGTTCAGATACATTCGCTTCTAATGAATTCCCTATGTCATTATGTTTCAGTGCTTCCTGGTCTATTGTAGGTGTCCCATTTTCCATTGTTGGTGACCCCTCGTTATTAGCCTCGTTATTAGCTATTTTTCGACTGATAAAGTGTGAATAAAGTTCGGTTTGTGTAATAAGAAAATTCAATTTCCGTGCTTGCCGCATAGCCTCTCTCTGTTCTTCTGCACGCTTTGCTCGTTCAAGCGCCTCTTTTTCTGCACGCTTGCGTTGTTCACGTTCTTCTCGTTCATTTCTCTTCCAAAACAAAAGCATCTCCCTCATTGCACGTTTTGCCCGTGCTTGCATGTCCTTTATACTTTTGTGCGTTCTAAATTGCCACCGCCGTGCTTCTTTTGAACAAAGTACCGCTGTCTTCCGCACATTGCTTGCACGTGTCACATTATTTTGCTGTATTAGCTTAAACACCTTAGGAATCTCTTTTTTAGTCATTTCCCGCCAAACTATTATTGCCTGCTCCTCCATTGGCTGCACCACTCGCTTAACCCGCTTTGCTGGACGCTCTAACGCCCCATATAGCCCATCATCTGAGTCTGATGATATCTCATCCTCTGATAAACCCCCATATATATCTACTTCTTTGGCTTCTCTTAGCCGTTGTTCTGTCTGTGCCTGTGTACGCCGTACTCGTGCTTCAAGCCGTGCCACCAACAGTGCATGAATCCGTTTCTGCTGCTCCTGAACTCGTTCTTCTTCTCTTGCTTTAACTATTTCACGCCGTGCACTCTGTCTTTCAAGAAAACGTGTCTTTTCTTGTGTTATATCTCCACTATATCCTTCTTCTTCTTCTTCTCCATTTATCTCTTCAAATCTTCTGCGTTTTGCTTCTCCATCTTCCATCACTGTATCCGACCGTATACGTTTTCCGTTCTGAAACTGCTGCTGCACTGTTTCTCGTTTTTTTCCTGCTTCTATTTGTGTCATAAGTTCTGTTCCATTGGCTCCTTCTTGAACTCTGCTCATTTATGCTCCTCCACTCCCCACAAACGCTGTTGCTGTTACGCAGCCTTTAAGCTGCAGAAGCCAAAGCAATTGTCACTCGCTGTACCCGCGGGCGCCGATACCGAGCGGCCTAAAGCCGACTCCGATTTGGTCGCCGAGAGGAAGGCGATCTATTGAAATTAGATTAGTATGCATATACTGCGCATGTAAGACGCATATAAGGCGCATATATTGGGCAAATAGGCGCATATAGTCAGAAGAATGGGAGATAGTATGGTGGACAGGAGTGGAAGAGAAAGCAGCAAGAAATAGAGGATAAATCCGCATAGAGTGGAAAAAGCGGGATATATGTAGAAGAACAGGGGATATATGCGTGTTTATGTGGGATATATGCGTTTATGCGCCCCAGAAAATCTATAGTTAGTGGATTGAAATAAATGAGTTATATAGTATCGAATAGTGCATTAATTAGAATATAAATATAAAGGGTTGATGCCCGTATGATGTAAAACAGGAGACAAAAAATCATGGAAGCCGGGAAATTATGGAGAACGGCTTAATTCGCGTTTGAATGCCTCAAGTTTGTCTCTGAAACAATATTAGAAGGTTTTTGCGAGCAAAACATACCGAATAAACGCCTCTTCATGAGGATTTCTGGCGTGAATTGGCGGATCACCAGCCCGGAGAAGAGCTGCTCGTTTATTGGCGCGGTAGATGGCATGGCCTATAAATACTTAGCCATATGGGAGATATAAGGAGATATTCATGCCGACTGTACCGCATATAATCAGGATTGTCCCGATTGCAATCTAGAAACTGGTTGATGGCGGAAGATGAGTGTAGATGGGGGGCTTACATGCTCGGATTTAACAGCCCGCCCAGCAATTACATAAACCATGGCTCTCGAGAAGTGCTGGTGAGCTAAGTCTTATAACCTAACCCTAGTGATTTATAAGGAAGGTCCAAGAGTTTGACAAAAATATCAGGGTTAGGAAGAAGCAGTGTTATGTAGGTAATAATATTTTGAAGGATATGATTTGGGGGCTGAAGAATGAAGCTTTTTGTAGTTTTAGGTGGTTATTTTTCAAAAACTAGACAAGAAGAAAGGTAAAAAAATCGATGAAGGCCCATATTTGAAGAATATTGAGTAGAAATTGGGTGACTGGGCATTTTAGTTGTTATAGGATAGTTTTTGGTTGGAGACAGGTTATACTTTTGTAGAAACAGCAGGCAAAGATTGGAATTTCAAGTTTTTTATGTCAGTTTTTCAAGTACTTCGGTCTGGACGGCAGACAATCCAAAATCTGAGGCGTATTCATAGCAATGGATTAACATCTTCTTTTGAGCCTGTTTCAAGCTCCTACTTTACAGGAAAAGAGAAGTTTTATGATGATTATTTGGCAGTAGAGAATGTTCTTAAACGATACCAAACGCTTCCAACAGTGTCTTTTGAAAAGACACCTTTACGGCTATGGAAAACGTTGAGCCAATACAAAGCTAGCAAAAGTGGATTAGAATATGTAAAAATTTCGGAATATCGTACGATTACTCAGATGTTGAATCGAATTAATAGGATTGACCCAATGTTTATGCCTCAGGAAGCTAAGGATATAATTGATGCCTACACTAGAGAATTTATTGAGAAGCATGCGGAAAAACATACACATTCTCTGGATTCTCTAGGGCGTTCTTGTACTATAGGACGGCGAAAAGAGGCCGTTTCAAGAGTATGGATGATTAAAGGCGATGGACAGATTCTTGTTAATGGAAAAACTTTGTATGAAATGTTTTCTCGCTTAGATCATCGGGAGTCATTGATACATCCTTTGAAGATTACAGAGCGCCTTTTTCAGTATAACGTATGGATTCTTGCAAAAGGAGGTGGATTAACAGGTTTATTTTCTTAATGCGCCAATAAGCCGTATATTTATAAATGTGTTAGGTCAATCAGAAGCTTCTGCACTTGCAATTTCACGAGGATTGGTAATTCATGAGCCAGAGTTGCGACCCCTTCTTCAAAAATGTAAGTGTTATTTGGGTAGTACATATTTTTAACAAAAATAAATAGCGTCGTGTCTTACATGCGATCCACGCCGTGTTGAACGTAAAAAACCAGGTTAAATGTCTTTTATATTATTTTTATTATCTAATTCTTTCTAGGTCAACCTAAAGCTCGCAAAAAAAATACATGGGTCAAAAGATAATAATAATATTTGGATATTTGAATTTATAATTCATCTCTTTTTTACATATTAATTTATGTTAACTTATCAGTCTTTAAAAATGAAATAATTTTATCACCGACTTAACGCTATTGAGATAACATAATTTGCCCTTGCCCTTAACGTTTACGAAAAATTATCATACTTTTACATACAAACATAAAATGTATTTTGGAAAGATATTTGGCTATAAAGATAACTGCAGGAATGTTTAGATATGATTTAAGGAATATTTTTAACATTTTTAGGACAATTCCGCTTTTGATTCTTGCAAAAATAAACTGTCTTGAAATAGAACTAATTAATGAAATTCCAAGCGAAGGATTAAGTGAGGAATATGTTAAAGAATTTCCAAAGAAAAAAGTACACTTTCTTCTATATTTGTGTATGTTTATTTTTTCTTTATTTAGATCCCGGGCTTTATAGGTTGTGATGGATTCAAATTATCAGAAGTAAATGCAATTTCGATTTATTGTAAGTACATTCTAATTTTAATTCTCATGATATTTTGAGATGGATGATGATACAAGAAATGACGCAGTTATCCCTGTCTGAAAAATGTGTTGAAAATCAATCATCTGAGACAATGTTTTGTATTGAAAGCAAATACATATTCTATTTAATTCAGATATTTTATAACTGGATTAGATACTGTGAGTAAAAAATTTTAGAGTGTTATCTGTGGGGATTAGAAATATTTAACGTACTGTTTTTCTTATATATTTTGTCTTACATTCTTTATTATAGTTGCGAGTCAAAATGAAAAAACAACACTTCTCGGAAAAACTAAGAAAGAATATGCATCAATTGTTCAATGGATGTCTTTTGCAAATACTGATCTTTTAGCATCTCTTGCTAACTGGGTTCTTCCTTTGGTTGGCAGATATCCATACAATAAAAAAGCAGTGGAGGATAGTCAAGCTGAAACAGAAAGATTATGTAAATATGTTGATGATTTTATAAAAGAAAGGACATTTTTAGTTGGAGAACGCCTAACTCTTGCTGATATTGTTATGGCAGCACATCTCATACCGGGGTTTTCAAAAGTAGCCTTTCAAAAATTATTTCGAAAACTAATCTTGTTTTTAGGTTTTTGGAAAAGAGTGGCGTGAGAGGTTTCCAAATCTTGTTCGATGGTTCATAACAGTTACTAACCAACCAATTTGGATTTCTGCAGTGCCAACTCCTGTCTTGATTGAAGAACCAATTAAATATGTTCCTAAAAAGGATGTAAAGGGCACTGTTCCTAAGTCCGTTCCTCCACCTACTGCTTCTTCAGAATGCGAGGCGTCATATGTAGAAAAGAAGCCGAAACATCCTCTTGATTCTGCTCCAACAGGTACACTTGTATTAGATGAATGGAAACGTCAATATTCAAACAATGACTTAACTATTGCAATGAAATGGTTCTGGGAGCATTTTGATGCAGATGCATATTCTTTATGGAAACTTGATTATAAGGTATAGAATATTAATGTAGAATAGATTATATAATTAAACATTTGTTTAGTATAATAACGAGCTTGGCTTAATTTTTCAAAGCTCTAATCTTTGTGGAGGTATTTGATTTAAAATGATAAAAAAATATCTTATTTTTATTAGGATTCTTTCAGCGTCTTGATGCAAGTCGAAAATATATTTTCGGCACTTTAGTTGTCTACGGAAAAAATCATGACAATGTAATTAGTGGCGTATTTCTTATTAAAGGCAAAGACTATAGACCTGCATTTGATGTAGCACCTGATTGGGATTCATATGACTATATACTTCTTGATCATACCAAGGAGGAAGATAGAAAACTAGTTGAATCCGCTTGGGACTGGAAAGACCCGATTACGGTCAACAACAAGAGTTATGATGTAGCAAATGGAAAAGTTTTTAAATAAGATTTAAATAATTTGCTTTTTATTTTACAATATATAATAAAGAAATATATAAATATGTTTATTAATCTACAAGTTGAAGGTATCATTATAGAATTTGTCTCGTAAGACATATATCTAGTTTCTGGAATGGTATCTAGACAGTCTTTTCCGTTCTTTAGATGCTAGTTTCTTATCTTTTCTCTTCATATATCTATCTAAAGCCTTTGTTCCTTTAAGCTTAGAAAGCTTATCCATTTCTATTAGTTTTTTTTGTTCTCCTAAAAAAAATTAATTTAGCAAGTCTAAGTAGGATTTTTACTTTTTTTTAAAAAAAATGGAGTTTTGCCTGCTTCTATTTTTGCTTTTTCGATTTTCTTGTGTTCACGAAGAACTCTTAGTGCTTCTTCCTTGTTTTTTGCACTTGTTAATTTTGATTCCTAGAAATATAAAAAAAATCTTTGAAATAGATTTAGGATTACCAAAGAAGTTATTGCTTTTTTCAATTTCTGTTTTTCTTCTTGATTTTTTTCAAATTTCATTGCATTTTTCAACATCTTTATTTCCTCTTGCTGATAATCCTTAATAAATGAATATTTTGAACTTAGATTAGCTGGATTTACACGGTCTTGAAAATCAAAACGTGGATCTCGTCGTTCAATAATTGTAACAGGAACTACTTGTCTACGTCTTGAAACAGGCTTCTTAGATGAAACTTCTAATGGTGCATGTTTTTTAGAATGTTTTTTTTTGTCTACTTTTTCTTTATTTTTTAAAAGTATTTCTTTAAGTTGTTTTTTATTATTATGACATTTTTGATACTCATTTCTCATGTTTGAAAGAACATCAAGTTCTTCTTTAGCTGAAACCAATGCGCCAAATGGTACTTTTGAAAGTTCTGATCATATTAAAATACGAATATTGTAATTATTTTAAAGACCTTTTTGAAGTAAATCCTATGCTTTCTTTAGAAAGTAGTATAACAGATACTATTCAGTTTACCCTATATTCTTTATTTTGCAAAGAATCATCAGAAATATCACTTTCATAATTCTTATTTTCTATAATATTTAAATGTTTATCTATTTTTTCCATGTTTATTGTATTTTTGAAATTATTTTTAAACAGCTTTATCCTTATGCTTATAAAAGTTAAGTTAAAATTGTTTCCTTAGAGTTTTTTCTTTCTTTTGAATGAAGTTTTCATTTTTATTTTTCTTCAGAAGCTTATCGCAAGTAATTTCGATCAATTTAAATTTCAAAAACTTTATATCATAATTCTTTAAAAAAAATCCTGGAAAATTCTAATATTTCTTTTTTTTCTAAAAATATTTTAAAAAATTAAAAAGTATACTTCATATAGATTAGAAGAAAATTAAGAATTGTTAACATTTGATATTTTTTTATTGTAATTTAAATATGCACATTTGATAGATCTATTGACAGTATAGAAACTAAAGCATACTTAATATCTTATTAAACATTATAATATTATGATTGAAACATCTGAATATAATAATGATTTAAGTATAATATATGTTAATAATGAAAACCATTCTAAAACAAAGTATTTTAGTTATTTATTCAAATAAATCATTCATAGAATTTAAAAGAAGATTCTAAAATTACAAAATACCTATTGATTAAATAGAATAATTTTAAATAATTTATAGTATTATATGATTATTGTTAATTCAACATGTAATAGATAAAAAATATAAATATTAATTAAAAATAACGATTTTGACGTTAATTAAAGTATATTATTTGAACGGATGCCATGAAGATGTCTAGTTCAAACATTTAATGATAATAAGAATGCCTTAATATATGATTAAAAATTTCAAAAAAGAAAAATATAAACTTGAAATTTATCATTTATATATATTTTAAATATTTTACGGTTCTCTCCATGTAACAAGTACTTCGTCTGTACGAAAGCGTTGTGTACACTGACTATTGCATATAGGCGTCTGAAACCCTGTTTTATATGCTAATAGTCCTGCATGTGCAATCATTAAGCCATTATCGATGCAGAATCTATTTAATTATCGTTATAAATTTTTGTCTATTGTATATTTTTGAAACAAGTTACCTTTCATCTGTAGAAAACAATTTCCCACCTCTGCTTTGTGCCATTAACATCATCATTTCTTGTAACCTCTTATTACAACCCACACCACCAACTATTAAAACTTCTTCACTCCCTACATGCGCCATAGCTCTCTCTGTTATTTCAACCAACATAGAAAATATATTTTCTTGAAGAGAAAAACATAAATCTTCTTTAGTATACGGAGAATCTTTACGAAAAACTTTGCTATTGCCCTCAAAAAGGTCTTTTGTAATCATATTGATTGCACCTAAAATGCCTGAAAACGAACAATCCATTCCTTTAACTGTATACGGTAACTCAATCAATACTTTTCCTCTAGTAATACATTAATAAACCCTATTTTTAAGAAGAAAAGAGAAAATATACTTCTTAGCAAGCTGTTCTATATTATAACCAGGACTAGGATCATTAGAAACATGAATCGTCCGTGCAAAACGATCCAAACAATTCCCGACAGCAATATCCAATGTTTCTCCAAAAATACGGTATCTTTCATTAATCAGTAACATACGTTATAATGTTTTAGAAACACCTTTTTTCAGCATATGCAATTACCTGTGTATTTCCACCACTTACATATAATATTACTGGATTTTTTGCGCCCGTGATTTCCCGTCCCATTTCTATATCTAGAATCGTCAACAAAAATACACTATTATACAGGAAAAAATACGCCCAATACAATGATTAACACCTACTAACGGTTTATTAAACAAAAGAGAAAGAGTTCGTGCTACAATAGCCACCGCTTGAAGTGGGGCTCCCATTCCTGGCCCTAAAAAGCAGTCAGTTGCACTCAATCACTACAAAATAAAGAATATGCCTTGTGTAAAGCAAATACAGTCGATATCAGACATTTTTAATTTGCTGTTTTTCATAGCTTCCCGGATCAACCAGTGTATCCATTTCTTATGATGTTTTGCTGTATCCTTGGGCAAAAAACCTTCACCTGCCGGTGTAATATACGTATGTCGTAGATTTGCTAATGTTTCTGCTGGCTCATTGCTTTGATGTTTAATAATACCGACTCCCATCTTGTTTGCCGAACCTGATATGTTATATATGGGTTCAATACATATTCCTATTTTATTAACCTTCTAATCCTAGGGCTATATGTACTTTTTTCTCCTCTTTTATGGTCATTTTTACTCTATTTTTAAATTATCTCCATAATATATCATTTTATATGCGTTGCTGTACGCTTTTGATCGACGCATCATATACTATAAAAACCCTTTCGAATTCTACTTTGCATATTGCTTTTCATTTACCAGAAAAACTGATATATCTTCTAATACAGCAATTCTATATTATTAATTTTCCTTATTATATGCCTTCATTTCTTGGATTATATGTGTTCATTTGTTGTACCATATATGCACTGCCTTTTTTCCTGCAAATCTGCATATATTTTTACCAGTCCCGCATATATACTATATATATAGTATTTAATGTGCATATACTCCCATACAAATGCTACAGTTCTCTTTATTCACCATACTCTGCACTCTTCCAGCATTTTTATGATCTCTTTGTATAAATTTTGCTGTGTATCTATACTTTGTTTCCAATCTAGACCTAATCCAACAAGCACTGTCCTTTGCTCTTTAGGCTGGTTCTGTACAATGTGTGTTGCTATCTGAGACGCATACATACATGCCATATCTGCATGAGGACGATGAGATGCTCCCAGTAAAAGCTTTGGTGAAAGATATGGAAGTCCTAGGCCATCCTCCTCTGCAATAAACGTCTCTCTCATTGCAGAAACTATACTATTTAATGATACAGAAACCTATATATGCCGGTTATTTAAGAATTAATAAAAGATTAAAAATACCCATTCAGATACACTGCCACGCATTGTTACAATAACAAGAATACAGTCAAGAAATCCCTGAACAAATAGTTCAATATGTTGGCCATCAACCAAGCATGCTGTTTGTCGAGGCGTATTATCGGTACGTACAGTATGGTCCATTAAGCAATATACAGATAATGATATATATAGTATAATGAACGAGTATATATATAATTGGGAAAATATATGCAGAAATGATTAAATATATGTTACTAAGGATAAACTAAATGCATTTTATTTTAAGGAAATATACTTAAGGAAAAGATATATATAGTAGTATTTTGGTATATATAGGCAGAAGAATACTGTTATGAACACGATGTGGCTCGCACGGGGACTCAGTTAAGCATTTTATGTCGAGATAAAAAAGAGTATATAGAAGCATGTATATGGGCTTCATAACGGTGCAATATGCTTTATTGCAGAGATTATAAAGGGGAATATTAATTTATAGCATTACATTAAAAAAGATGTTACTATGTCCTGTTTGTAACAAGTCATTAGTAAGTCAGGAAAAATAGGAGAGTTTTTATGCTTTATAGTGGCTAATGGGTGTATTTGTAGGTAGATCTATATAGACTGAACCAGCATTTGGATGAGGTTCATTTTAAAGTGGTGGAGAAGCAAGAGACGGTGAAATCATGGTTTAAAAAGTGCGTAGAGGAGGCAAAACACCTTGCATCCGTTGCAGTAGCACAAAACATTATAAACAGATCAGATGTATTTGAATTGAATGAAAACAAGGTTGATTATGGTGAGACAGGGAGAGAGATAGAGACGGTTACGAAAGAGCATTGGAAAATAGGAACAGAAGATACAGTATGTTCAAGAGTATCATGTAAAAAACCGTTGTCCGTCAAAGCAGATCGCGTGAATTGTATGTATTTATGTAAAGCAGTACATGGGTATCATAGGGAGAGATGCAAATACATATATATACATGTGTATGTACACAGATATATATACTGGTGCATGGATACAAATGCATTTGTACATAACACATGTATGGTATATGTGCACATTCTGTATGCATTGTATGCAAATTCCATGTGCAGTATATGTATATTGTACGTGCAATATACATACATTGTGTATGTCTAATATGCGTGTATTGTATCTGAAGTATGTATACACTGTATATATAGTGTGTGCATTGCATACGTGGTATATGTGTTGTCCTGGATACGTCATGGTGCTTATGTATATGTTAACTGAATATAATAACTATTCAAAGGTGGGAAATGCGGGGAACTATTTTGCCATATTCATACAATGTATCAAGTAGATGAATCTGTTCAACGCTTTTTCCCTTTTAACGCTTTTAGATTAAGCTTTCTAAAGAAGCCCGACATGACCCTATGCATGGTATATGGTCTCGTGTTTGCAAAAACTGCTATGAAGAGAGAGAAGGATACATGGACACGAATGGTAACTTGAATAAAATATAGCGAGTATCCCGTGTTCTAAAGTTTACTTATTAGGGCCCATTATAGACTTTTTTCCTGAATTTAAACAGCATCGTACACAGGCGGTACATAAAATTAATCTTTATGCCAACAGACTCGAAAAAAGGCTTTCAAAAGTAATCATTGCATTCAAATTCATTAAATAACATGTGTATAGCTTACAAATCTCCTTACATCAAATCCAACCAAAGAGTCTACTACAAACTCTTTTTTTAAACCCTTCATTTCCTTTAAATTGCATAAAAAAGCATTAGAACAAACAGTTGTATCGTGGGAAAGCGACTTGTCTGTCACCCATTGCCCACTTTGCAGGTAACCCCGTTTTTTGCTTAGTTTCTTGTTCTCAGCTTTTTAGGCTTCCTTTCAGTCATACGAATAGAAAACATCATTGCAGACTCTGCGGGAAAATCGTATGTGACGGCCTGAAGGCCTTGTGCTCCTCAAAAATCCGGCTTGACCCTAAAGACTCGTGTTCTGCTGCGCCCTTTGATGCCGAAACAGGTACTCTATTTCATGCTTTCTCACAATTATACATGTTTAGTGCACAAAAACTCGGCAAACAGTGCTCCCCATTCAGACATATCCATACGTGTCTGCAAAAACTGCCAGCGTGTCCTTTTCTCCAGAAAAGAATTCCACAACTCTCTCTTAAGGCCACAGGAAACCGTTGTTTTATACAAGGCTGGCTCCTCCCCGTCCTCTGCAAACACTGACCCCTGCCAGGAGCTCTCCAGGCTTAGATACTGCATCCAAGAACTGCTGTCCAGCTTCGAGGGCCACTCCGATCTGCTCAGGCAGGCCGCCCCTGCCTGCCCCCACCAGTCTGTGCCAGCGTCCGGCTGCAAAAACTGCTCCCATGCCGCCCACACACGGAAAAAAATACTGGCAATGCTCTCTGAATACGACAGGCTGTCAAAGCACATCTCCCAGGCCCCCACTGCGTCCCCCACCGCCCAGAAGCTCCAGGCCGTCATCCACCTGCAGGCCACTCGGTTCCTCCAGCAAAATATGTGTTCCCTGCGGCCCCTTCCCCTGCAGAAACCCCCCACACACACACCACCACCCGACCCCCACGCCTTACAGATGCTCGCCGTCCTCGAGGAACAGCGCCTCCAGGTCCAGGCCTGGATCAGGGATGCAAACCAGCGGCGAAAGTACGACGAGGCCGCCTTCCTGCTCGACAATCTCCGCCTCCTCTCTCTCGAAATCGAAAAAATACACGCCAAAATATACTCCTCTGCACATGCTGTGCCTAGGCACAGCACTTTCTAGTCGCTGCTGTGCTGTTGTGAATAAACTAGCTGTAGACTGTAGACGGCCTCAGCCCAGCTCCCTACTCCTACACCCGCCCCTCCCCGCTGCTCCCGTCCTACATCTCCTCTGTCTGCGTCCCAATCGTGCGCATCAGAGACTCGTCCAGACCAAGACCCAGCTCCGCATCCATTATGCCCTGCTCAAAGTCCTGCGGCACAAGCGAGATAATCTTCAGCGTCGACTCCATCCCCCCACCCATCCCCCCGCTGCCCACCATCTGCTGCTCAAGGATCCGCGCACTCGGCTTCCTTGGCTTTTTGCGCTGTACCCTCTGCTTCGTCATCGGTCGGTTTTGGTGGTACACCGTCGGGTCGTCCGGGTACAGTCGGTGGTTGTGCTCGTCAATCACCTTTGTTATCTTCCATAGTTCCGTCTGACTCAGCCCCGCTCGCACCAGCCACGGGCAGTTGGTGCGCTTCGTCGTCTGCTTCCTCTGCCGCCGCGGAGCCGTCGGGTCCGCCACCAGTGCCGGATCCACTGTGATCTCCGGTGGCAGGTTTCGCGTGTTCCTGTACTTGCCCCCATGCACGCACTGCCAACGATAGGTGATTCGGTTCGACGCCCTCACTGACACTGCGAATCCCTTGAACTTTGCATAGGCGTCCAGCATCGCTCGAATGTCTTCTGGCGATGCATAGTGGACTCCCACCTGTGGCTGCGGAATAAGGCTTTGCGGGTCGACAGGGTGCAGCGTGTAGTGTCCGTGGACAACGTTAACCAAGCTGTCCTCGTCGACTGTGTGTGTGTTGTCTGTCTGCATGCACGTGTGTGAGAACACCCGCGGCAACGACCCGAGATTTTCTTACGAGCACGCGGGTGTCCGTAGAGCGTGTTGTATGCGCGCAGTCGGTGCACGACCGCGCGTGCACTGCCAGACAGCACTGGCAGCTAGATAGCAAGGCAATGCATACAGTACGTGCAGTACAGTGCACAGCACGCGCACAGCAGTGCTGTCCACATTATACACGCTATACTGCCATGCACAGCACGCGCTGTACATGCTGTATACTGTACAGCGCGCAGTGTGCACAATACAGTGGAGTGCATACAGTGCGTACACATAGCAGAGAGTATGCACAGCATATATGCTGTGTAGGTGTGCATAGCATTGCAATGTGACTGCATATGGTGTGCACCGTAAACAGTGTATCTGTGTATAGCATATATAATATATATAGCATATATAGTATATATAGTATATATAGTGTGTAGTGTGTAGTGTATGCGCATATATATGTGTGTATATACACATATGTACAGTGCATACATGCAGTGACATGCCGCAGTGCATGCGGTGCACCGTGCCAGCGGTCGCCGTAGGTGTGCAGTGCGTGCAGTGTATATGTATAGCATACACAGCAGCATAGTCGTAGTGCATACACCGCAGAGTGCATGTGCAGTGGACATGTTATATGCACATACGCCCATATGCTGTGCTGCACGCTGTGTGTGCTATACACACTATACACGCTATATGCTATACACTATGTGCGTTGTATGCTTTGTATGTGTGTTGTATGCGCTGTATATGCGTTGCATTCGCCGCATACACTGCTATGCACAGACTATGCTGTATGCACTGCGTGCACTGTATGCACATTGACACATACACTCACTATATACACACAGATACACACATATAGACATATACACTCATATATAGATATACACTGATATATAGATATACATACACTGACATACACGTATACATGCATATACACACATATACTCATTCATATATACTCATATATACGCGCATACACTGACTACGCGCATACACACGCACAACGCCCACCGGCACGCTGCATATGCACCGTACAGTGTAGCAATGTATGTACTGTAT